CCCCCCCCCGGGCGTTAATGTGCGACAACAAATCGTACCCTTACGAGGAGAGAAGAGCTGGGGTATAACGGGAAAGGGCATCTTTGAACAGTAGGGCTAAGAACTCGGGGAACGTCAAGAACGTCAAGAACGTCAAGAACGCTAGGAACGTCAAGAACGCCAGAACAGAACGCCAGAACAGAACGCCAGAACAGATAACAACAAGAGCAACCTACTACATAGAAAACGACTGGTGTGGGGTCCAACAAGCTTCTCTCCTCGAGAAATACCTTATCCCAATGCCACGCCCATTCATGGTAGCAGCAATGCACGTACGAGCTGAAAAGCTTTGTTCGTCCATACATAATACCGCCGCACGCTCTGCAACTCTTACCTACAGCAGCTGCTTCATCTTGCTTGCTGTCCGCCTGCGTTGCGCAGTGCCGGACCCCACCGCCCCAACCCAGCAGCCCCCGTCCCATGCCCAGCCTGCAGTCGGGCTGGTCGGGCACTCAGTAAGCCTGCCCGTGCCCTGCCGAGCGACAGGGGGACCTTGCCTGCCTGTCAAACTGCCTCTCCAGGGAACCTTGGAATCCTCCCTTCCCCCACCACCCAACGGCCCGCTGCCGGTGCTGTGCAACCCCAAAAACCTCGGGATCTCCACCACCAGACCGTCAACCCTCCCCCGCCCCGCCCGTCAATTGCCCGCCTTGCAGTCCTGCAGTGTCGTGCCTTACTGTACAGCCGGTACGGACGCGTGCATGTCGCAAGACCCGGCATCGCCGGGCCATGCACGCAGCGAGCGCAGCAGCGGGCGGCAATTCCGTGCGTCTTTCTAGAATTTCTCTGCAGCCACCGTTTCAGGACGGTGACGGGGGAGCCGCACAACCTATGCAGATGGCAAGGCGTCTTCCACCACTAGGTCCGTCCCGCTCCACTGTCAGCGACTGCCCGGGGCCCCGGGCGGTACCTTGCAGGGGTGCCTGTTTGACAGCGGGAATGCGCCTGGAAGTGTAAGCCGCGGCAACGTCTACGCTCAGGTCTGGGCTCGTGTGCAGCAACAAGAGTACACTAGATGCGGCCTACACTGCCTCCAGCTCCAAAGGAGAATTGTCAATTGCCGTGGCCGTGGGAATGCCTTTTGTCTAGTTACATCGCAGTCACCTGACCCCAGCCTGCTGCCCGCCCTGGCAGTGGGCTGTGGCGGCCGGCTGTTGGGTCGGGCGCAGCACCAGAGGTCGCACCATGGGCCGCTCTGTTGGCTCGCCCATTTACACCCTGCCCACCTCACGAGACCGCCATAGGCGTTTTTCGCTGCCCAAGAAGAATGCCATATTGGCGGGACCCGCATACGTCACTTTTGTGAGCATGAAACGCTGCCAAATTCAATACCCAGAAGTCAATGACTACCTAGTTAACTGTTGAGTATGGCGCAGATTTTGCCTTGGCCATACAAGCTCTTCCCGGCACATGCCATCGCCCAATTGCAAAGATTCCGCCTTGTGCCCATCACCTCCTTTGCCCCTGATGCACTGGCCAAAGGGGAGACCCCCAGGCGTCCGCATCGCTCTGACCATGAACCCCCCAACCTTCGCGTTGGCATCGTAAGGAATGGAGGGAGAAAGCCACCAAGACACAAAAGGTGAATAGCCACCGGCTCAACGAGAGACATGAAAGAAAGAAAGCCCCTGAGCGGCCCCCAAGTGCTGGCTGCCGCGGTCGTCACGCCGCTTGAGCAGCTTCGGTCCGCAGAATGGCCTACACCCGAGAGATCCGCCAGAGGAGAAAGATCTAAACGTGTGGAAGAAAAAGCGAAGAAGAAGAAAAGAAGCAGATAGGCAAAAAAGGAGAGCAATCAGGAACTGGAGAAATGGAGGAGCCAAAGGGCCCAAGGTCGAACCCCCCAGCCACTCCAGGCACAAAGCCCGACTGCGCCAGGCTTCAGCCGTTGCCGTGTGGCTGTCCGTACAGTCGTTCCATGACTCGGTCTATTCTCGTTTGTGCTTGCAGCCCTCGAGCAAGTCCTGCGAGGCATGTCAGAATGGGCGTCCGCCTATGCACCGTATGCAGCAACGGGGTGAACAAACCGTCTATTTCTTGGGGTTGGGGCAACTGGCACTCTGGCAGTATCCGTCCCATGTCTGGCCGGCTTGCGGCACAACCGTCTGACAAGTGCAAACGGGATGCTGGGTGCGCTCCTCGATGGTGCAGCCGCAGCTGGTGTAGTACTGAGAGGTGACCCAGACGCACATGTTGATGACCGTGGACCGGACTTGGAAGATTTCTGGGGCTGGCGGGTGGCTGCTCTGAACTGAAGTCGAGCAGGTCGAGGCTGGTTCTAGTCTTGCAGAGCGAAGTTCTCAAGACTTGGTCGAAATGAAGCTCCGTAGACTCGAGCTGTCGATGCGAGAAGCAGAAAGGTGCTGTCGAGACGTGCGGTTGAGGTCTTGGACCGAGATGTGAAAGTGTGTGTGAGCTCAGAGTTGCCAGAAAAGACGTCCAGACGGGAGCGGCTTCGAGCCTTATATACCGAGATGGCCTCCGTTCAAAGAGGCTGTCTGGGTGTGAGGGCTTGTTGGTGTCGTTTGCTTGTCAGCCGGCTGATAGAACGACGTGCCGAGTGCCACCAACCAGGCCGGGCGGAGCACGATGCAGAAATTCCAGTTCCCGGTAAGGCCGCGTCGGGTCTTGCGTTTGTTGGTTGTTTGCTCTCTGCCATCCGCCTGCAAGGCCGGGGCAGTGTAGTAGGGGTGGGTGCTGGAGAGGCGCACCGGTGGGTGACGGCCCAAAAGAGGGATGAAGATGTCTGTTAGTCGCGAAGCGGCTTCTCACGCGAATGCAGTGCCAACTTTTGCCTTGCCGGTCAAGGTTGGGCAGTGTGTTGGATGAACAGCGTCTCGATTATGTGCGGGCGAGAGAGGGGGATGCAAAGGCGAGACCACCTACACAGGAGATACGGCAGTCCCTCTCTCAGGCCCGTGTCAACGCCGTGTTGGGAACTGGTTACAGGTGAGGGTTACGTCAAGGCACATCCACTGGATGCGAGCTGGCAGGAGCCTGTGAGGGCAGACAGGATGAGGGGAAAGGCTATCAAGTCCATTTAGGCAAGTGCGGGATCCAGGGCAAGACATTGCGACAGGCGGAGAGCGGAGGCATTGGCCGGCGCCGAAGTGTACGGACAAGATGCCATCTGGCAAAGGCGAGCGAGGTCGACGACCAACACATGGGGTGCTGCGGCCTCCATATGACCCTGGACCTTGTGATGTGCGCGGTGTGGATGGCAGCTAACCCCAGCGAGAACCGGTGCCCGGTATCGTCGCGGGCCCAGGTACGAAGAGGGGCATGGGACGAACGAGAGGCACGAGAGGCACAGCACGAACGGGAGACGCGAGCGGAACGAGAGGCGCGAGAGGGGCGAGAAGAACAAAAGGCACTAAAGTCAGGAGAAAACAATAGAAACGAAAGGCATGACAGCAATGAGAGATAGGCAACACCAGCCAGCCAGCTCCTCGCGGAGCAACTCCAGCTTGGGGTTGCGCGTTGGGCATCTCGGGATTCACAGGCCCAGAGCAACAGAGGGCGCGGGACCTAGCGCGGGGCCATGGCTAGGGGAGGGGGCCAGGGCCAGGCGGCGCATCTAAGATGAGCCAGGCCGCCATCGCCGCTGCCGAGTCGAAGCCAGACAGCCCAAGCAAAGGTCCGATGTTGAAGGGGAAAGGCAGCTCAGTCGGGGCAACGGAGGCTGCAGCAGTGGCAGCCAACATGTGCGCCACGCCACGGACTAGCCCGGAATGGAACGACCCTTGCAGAGTAGAGTACGGGAGAGACGAGACGCGGAAAGGAGTCGAGGAGCGTGAAAACGGCTGCTGCGAGAGAAGGGGAGAGATGGAGGCCCAAAGAGTGCCGATTGTCGCGGAGGCAATGGAGCGTCGGAGCGGTAGGTTGGGTAACGACAAGAAGGGTGGGTGATTTTGGCACGAGGGCAGCGGCGACAAGGGTGTCGGCTTATTGTTGCAAGCGTCGGCGTCGGAAAGGGCGCTCATTGTCCAGCGGGAAGAAAAGGGTGTGCCCGTGGCTCCATGCCTGCGTCTGCGGGTGGTGCGTGCGCGTGCGGGATGCGTGTGCGAACCCTTGTGCGAGGCTCGCCCAAGGCGTCGCCGAGGGATGATGATGTGAGGCCGACACTTTTCTGTTTCGACAGCCCTCCAAGACTTGAAGAGTGTTGGCGTGACAGGTGGAAGTTGGGGAATCTGCTCGGCCCGTGGAGTTTTTGCTCCTGTTTGCGGCTGGTCGTGGTTTCCAAGATGTCCATCTCAACACCGGCTTGTTTCCAGTGGCAGGTGCAATGCGCTGAGGACTTACACCCTCAGCAGGTACATCCATATCCTAGCGGACTACCCGCAGCACAGCACCCCGTGCACACTGTCCGCACAACCACTAATACTCCGTAAGTACAGTACCTAGATACGTATCACAAAGCGGGCAGAAGACCTAGCAGCTGCCGGCCGCTCCTTTCCGATGATGACCTTGGCCAACAGCAGGCCACGGCTTGGAATCACGGGTCCCGTGGAAGCGAGCTTCAAGCAGTTCAGCTCCGCGCCTTTGGTGGAGGTGGTGGTGGCGGCGGCGGCGGCTGCCAATGCAAGGTGCCACAGCCAGGCACAGGCACGGCGCTAAGCTCTGGTTCCTGCGGCCGCGTCGCAGGCGCACCAAGAGCCCCAACGCGGGTGGAAAAGGCGCGCGGAAACGGAGAGAGACGGCACCGGGTGCGCGCTTGCGAGTTGCGACTCTGACCGATCTGGCTGGCATGGCAGTCTGCGTCGGACTGCGCGGGCGTGGCCGCAGCTTGCAGGCCAGCGTTGCATTGCACGCCCCCCTGTCAGCGTGCAGCGCAGCGCAGCAGTCGGGTGCTGTCCAGCCGCAGGGCAAGGGCAAGGTAGAATCGGGGTTGCCATGGATGTCATCATGTCGACGAGCGGCTGCATGGGGCTGGCATGGCCCGTGGCCCTCATCGAACAACTTGAATGCGGCGTCGCCCAGCAAGGCAAGTGCCGCCCAAGCCCTTCTGGCGGTCTCCTCCACTAACAGATCCATGGATCCAACATCGGGTCGCTACCTTGTCCAGCAGCGTCAGAAGCACAATAAGTGGAAGTATACTGGTGGGTCGTGCCTGTCCTGCCTGACGTGCCGCTCGTGCCTGCCATGCTTGCCGTACCGCTCTTACCTCGCGTTCCTGTCTTGCCCCTCGTGCCTGCCGTGCCTACAGTTACCGTCGTTGCGGCTTGCATGATCACCTAGGTACGTACATAGTCGGGAAGAGCCCCCTCGAATAAGACCGACTGTGCTTCGCACCTGGCTCATATACCCTGAGAATAGAGACATCAAGTCTTGCCGACAGCACAGTATTTGTTTTCTGAGTCGCTACTACCAAGGTGAGTATCCAGGGGCGTGGAGTACGTACCTGGATACATGGTAAGGCAGTGGCCGGGGAAGCTTGCTGCAGACGGGCCAGGCCTTCCAAGACTGTTGGTAATTGTAAAAGGAAGGAACTGTGGGGGAGGGACAAAGGCGGGAATCCCATGGATGCCACCCGGGCAAGGTTGCCGTCCTTGCATGGCGCCCTTTGCATCGCAGCCAAGGCCATGCACTTGGTCGTTGCACAAGCCCTGTCAACCTCTCCGCGAACTTCATTTTATCGTAAACCGCTTGAGCGCCACATCTCGCAGGTGTCTTTCGTTGCAGCTGCATAGGCTGTGGACTGTAGAAAGACCTTGCTGAACGCCCCAACGTGTTCCACCGATGGCAGGCTGTCGTTCACACATCCAGCTCATCCCGGTCACCGCCTCTCGCACTAGCACAATTCCAAAGACACCGCAACCATGTCTCCGGCTCTGTTGGTCCACGTGTGCTACTGAGAGGGGCATCCCATCCGCGAAAGGCGACTTATACATGATCGCCGGCCGCATAGATTCTACAACCCATGTCTTAAGTCCGTCACGAGGCCCAGCCTTGCTCAAGGCTCGTGCTCCCCAACGCTGGCGCCTGTCACCTTGAGCGTGTAAGCCGGAGAGTGGGCCGGATTGGATGCGAGGATGGCGAACTAACCAGACGTTGGCTAGTTACCGTGTGGCGTCTCAGGGAGAATCGGCCCCATCATTTGCGTCATGTTGGTTGGTGTACTAAACGCCGAGCGGCCCGGCCCTGCACGGGGACCCAGGCCAAGTGCGGTTTTGCTGGGGCCTGACGAGGCGTGTCGAGCCAATTGCTCCTCATGGGACGCGGTGTGCCGGTGAGATACATGCTCCCTGACTGCGCTGCCGCCAATTGTCCTGACTGGTGGAACAGATCAACGGACCCTGGCCGCGACGCCTCTTTGAAGCCTACCTCCTCAGCCCCCGGTGGCCGACTTTCAACCAGGTCAAGGCTCAACACGCCAGGCGGACTTGTTGTCAAGCCTGTTCGGCCCCATTCCAAGAGCAATTGGTCCTGCCTGCCCCTGCTACCCGTGCCGTGGAGTGATTACGCCTTTTTGCCATGTTGCCCCGTGGCGTTGCGGTCGCTAATGTTTCGTTGGCCGGACGGACTCGGCGTCTTGCAGTACGAACGTCCGGGTCCCAAGGCTAGATGACGGCTACGGACGGGACGAGTACAAGTTTATTGAGTCACTGCCGTGGGGTGGGCACTCACAACTCTCAAGGGCAGAGTTTGCTGGAGCGGCTGCGCAACGGTTACCAACTGCAACTGTCTGGGCAAAGGTCATGAGACGATTCTGCTTCCGGACTGCCTCCGCAAGCGACTAGTCTCCTGCTTCTTGCCACTTCAACGCCTGGTGGCTGCAGGAGCTCGTCATCAGCCCTGGTCTTGGGTCCGCCATTCGGAACCGCACTCTTCTGTGCCGCGCTTAGCTTCGACGACCTTGGCGCGCGAGGTACGCGAGGGTCGGCCAGCCGTCCCATTTCCCGTCCGACTTGGGGCCAGATACGGTGGCATTGCCACTCTCCATTTCCTATGGAAGGATCAAATCGGCTGGCTGGGTTACCGACAATGCTCAAATCCATTACACAGTCACTGGTATACAGTCGTCGGTAACAGCAGCAACGGGTATGCCGCGGCCTCCTCCTCGGAACGACGTCTGCACCGAGGGCCGAAGTGGGTTGCGAACCACTGCAGGTGAGTAATAGACATTCCCACGTATACAATTGAGTCTTTCCATCTTCAAAGGTGCCAATTGTTAGTTGCACAGGTGGGCCCTTTTCAATTAGTAGGGCCATAATTTCTTCCCAGGCCCATGCTTGGCGAAGAGAGCAACGAGAGCAATACGCAGCGGCAAAACGACACATTTGGTTTAGTTGAGACGGCGTTGCTAAGACATCTACTAGCCTTGAGCCAGGCCGCTGCCGTGCCAGGTAGGGCTCTACAGCATGAATGAGTGGCGCCGGCTGGCCGCTTGATTGTGGCTCCAAACCGATGGCGACTCGTGTACCTGCCCATTGGCACCTTTGCAAACAGGATAACTCGCAAGACTACGGTTCAACCGAGACCGACGATTGCTCATCAGGCCAGATTCGCAGCTGAGCTATGTCAGCGGCGGATGGACTCTTGTCCCGCGAGCGCTCACACCCCCTCCGTGTAGCGCATCCTACAGCTCGGGTTGTGCTGGTGGTGAGGCACGATGCGAACCGAATCTTTTCCAGTCTAATCACTCACGAAAATGCAAGGATAGCGCCTCTCCGTCTTGCAAATGGACTGATCGACATGTTGCAAAGGCAGACTACCACACTGCCATACGCGACCAACGACCCATGCAACATGTTGGTTCGTCATTGTCGTGTCGGCATGGCCATGTGCCTTCCAACTTCGGCAGCGGGAGGCAAAGTAGACGGCGCACCAGGGGAGAATGAGGGGAATCACTTGACTGCCGCGAGATGTGCTCGCACATGCCTGTTGGCTTGTTGGCCCGGTTGTATCTGTCGAAAGAAGCGGAGCGGCGATTGCGGACATCAGGCTGACCACAGTCAGACTCGGCCTTGCCCTAGAAGATAGGTTCCGGTCCAGAGCACCCCACCGAGCGGCCCCCGCGGACAGCTACATCTCGCGCCTATAGTGCCTGGCGCGGCAAAGCATGGCCGCATGTTCGGCCGCATGGGGCTTGAACGTGCCGGCCGGAACCAACTGCTGGGCCGTGGCATGATAGGCAGAATGGGCGGAGAATCAAGGTCGATACACTGTCCAGTGGGCGCGCCAAACTATCGCCGCAGAGACCGGGACGGCGACGAACAGCTGCAGCTCTTACATCGAGGCTGTCCAAGACGTACTCTGGCCGTGCAGGACGAGATGTGACGTCGGGAACCTCGATGCAGTTGAGCCAATGGACGGTCAATTTAAGCGCCGCGGTTGATGCAGCTGCCCGGGCCGACCCACCGTCCCCGGTGAGGCTAAACCAGGGGCCGGGGACCCGATTCAGCCTGGCGTTCAAGTAGACGTCACGGGCCTGCTCGGTGTCTCTTGCGGGCGAGACGACTCGTTCGTTCACAAGCCATCTCGGACTACTGCTTGAATGCGTCGCTGTTGGTGACGCCTTGTGGGTGGCTTCCAGAGCCAACAGTGGATGGACCACCTGCCCGAATTCTTAGGCGTGAGGGGCCTGCAGCATGCTGAAGGAAGCAAGTAAGTCATCAAAGCGATCTAGGCATGCAAGTGGTGTGCCGCGGATGGCTTGTATGCCGCATGTCGTTTCCATCACCAACAGATTGTTGACCCGAGCCGAAGCGGGGATCGTCTCGCAAATCATGACCGAGTACACGAGTCCAGCATTTGCCTCTACGTCGTGTCGTGGACGACTCGACAGACCAGGACCTTGCTGGACCATGCCGCTCAGCCAACAACCCAAGAGGTGGGGGGATGTATCGCTTCTTCCCAGATCGAGCTTCATGCCCTGTTGGAATTTGGGCATCTTTAGCAAACTGACCTACGTGATATCGATTCGCGCAAGGACGACCGCCTTCCAGGGGCAGTTACTCTGAGGCTGCTCGTGGACGGCCCGTTTTCTGAGGACAAATTCGGTGTGCGCGTGCAGAAAATTGTCGCCAAGTCAGGTCCTGCTGTTCGCCAGATCTTGAGGTTTGTGTATCCGAAGGGGAGGTGGATGACCTCGGGTTTCGAGGCATATGAAGGACGCATCTTTCTGGGCAGCAAACAATGTCAAGATCAAGAACGCACAAGACATAGCAATCCGTGGTACATATTGTCTCTCGAGTGCTTCAGGATCAGGGGCGACTTAGTCAGAAGTGTTGTCGGTAAGGATACCCCTTCATAGTCCGGCCAAGAGGGGAACGTCATGGCTTTGAGAGTTTTGGACGTGGAAACAATAGGCGGTGCGGCGCGGCGCGGCGCTGTCTCGAGCCAACGACTCGAGGAAAGACACGAAATGGACTCCTTCCGGCAGTGATGTTGGATTCCCAGGCCACGCCGCCGGTAGCATTGCAACATTTCGCTGTCTGGGCTCAAGCATGAAGCATGAAGCATGTTTGAAAGGGGCCAGGAGGCGGGGAGACTGTCGTTTCGAAGTCCTGGTAAGTGTTCAAGACCGTCACAGTTGAAGAGGGGTGTCCGTCTAACTGACTCAATGAAAAGTTGCGGACTTGCGACCGCAGGGCGAGCACGCAACAGGCCACAAGTATTGCGCTGAGGCCCTCCTATACACGCAGTCGGCCGGCCTGATTGTTGTTCACCAGCCATTGTTGCGTCCTGCTTCGACGACTCGCCGGGGAAGACGCACGTCATAGAATGGCCGGCGCGTGCGAGAGCCATTCATCAAGCCGATGGTGTCATTGGCCAGTCATGGCGAGCTTGGTTGACTGGCGGGACGGAGGGCGTCGTGATGCGCATGGCCCGCGGTTGGCGGTGACTGCCAGCTAACGGAGTGGTGAATATAACAGTCGAGACAGACGACAGACGTGTTCATGGATGCGGTCGAGGGGCCAACAGATCAGCCTATTGACAGCATGTCCACGTTTCGGATTGTCCAGACATTCATTCACTGAGAATACAGGACTCACTCCCTGGGCCCCTTGACTGGTGAGCCGTGACAGGGATTGCGCTGCGAAGCACGCAGTACCTCGGGTAACGACTCCCGACGAGACGACGAGCTGGATGCACAATACACGACACGACACGACGCTGGCCTTGCGCGGCTACCCTCGGAGGGGACGCGTGCCGCTTGAACAAGGCGTTGCAAGAAAAAACGAGACGTTGGAGTCCGCCCGGTCCCCCGTCCCCGGGTCTGGCAATTCTGGTTCCCCCTTGGCCTGCCCCGCACTTTCGGCTTCGGCAAGCCCAGCCCATGCATGCGTCGACTGTGAAAAATAGGACCATGCCATCGAGCAGGTCATGGGACCATGGAGCTCTGACCAGGCTCCGGAAAATTCCCTTTGCTCGGCCGAAGGGGGGCCAATGGCGGACCGCTCGACGGCTCGTTCCCGCCGACTATTTTTCATGACGACAACGGTTGCAGCCCTTGCGCTGAGTCCCCAGTCCCATGTGAAGGAGTCGGCTGCATTGACAGCTCTTCCCATGCTCAAGGTTGGCTCTCGTCATGCGCAGGCTCGCTCTGGAACTGCCTTCCGATTTGGCCCTGCCGCGACGCAACGCAGATTGCAAAGGCCGCCGCCGCGATTGGGCGAATACAGGATTCTAGATGGCGGCGCCGGAAAGCCACGGCCGCCGCGACGGCACAACGGGACGCGATAGATGAGAAAGCGTAACAGCATCATCTAGCTGCGCCGGGGAGATCGGCACTAGGCCGATTGGGACCTCGCACGTGTCACCACCACCCGCCTATTTGAGATTGGCAGCTGTGTATCTGTCGGGTGCAAGGGGGGCCGGGGAGGGCCTCTGCTCGCCGAGTGTCGTGCTGTGTGTCTCTACATACGACGTACGTACGTGCACTTTTCTATGAGGCACAGGGCCCAGGCGCCTCCCCCACATCTTTTCGCAAGTCATGACATGGCGGTAGACTCTTGCGTGCCGCCTTGAGCCCGGGCCCCGGGGGTGGACGGGGGTTCTGGAATCTGGAATGCCTGAGAGCTGAGACATGTCGTCAAGGGCCCCCCCCTCGGCAGACATGGGTGGGTGTGAAACGAGCTCCCTGGCTGCCGCTACATCTGTCAGAGGCTTATTTTCGTTGCGTTGTGGTGCGTGGACCTTGCTGGCCGGGGGGCCGCCGTGCGTGTGCCCGTCATGGAGTGGCAGACATATAAAAGAGGTGCTGTCCCATGCATATGCCTCGAGTCTGTCCCGTCAGCTCATACTATCCATCTACAACCCTGTCCATTCTCATCTCGACTTGTCGTTCCAAGCCAAAGAACTTGCCTCCCATCTCTCGAACAAGAAACCCACGCTCCCAACTATAAAGCCCAACACACTCACAAACACACACCAACGACCGCCATCATGTCTTCTCCCCAGTCCGGCTTCTTCCTCTCCCTGGCCCCGGCCACGTCCTCTTCCTACCCGCGCGCTCCGGCCAGCCGCGCCCCTCTCTCAGCCAGCAACAACACGCCCCCGGTCGAGCAGCCGCAGGAGCAGCAGCAGCCGTCGTCGAGGCGATCATCCAGCTCCAGCAGCACCGGCTACAAGGTGCTCAAGCTGGGGCCCGTCCACTGGGGCGAGCACCTCGACGACCACAAGCTCGACTACCACGAGACGGTTGTCCTGCCATAGATGGGCACTGGATCTATACTACGCTTCGACCTTGTGTGTTTTCAGCCATGATTTGGTACAGCGCCCGTCTCAAAAGAAGGCAACGACAAAACACGAAAAAGCGATGAACAACAGCGGATATGTCGGCAGCGGCGCAATGAACTTTCACTTGCGCGTGCAGAGCGAGCAACCAAAAAAAATTTGTTCAAACAAAACAACATGGGGTGTTTCATTGGTTTGGGATTGATTCGATTTTGCCTTTCGTGTTTTCTCTCGTCAGCAAAATGGCATCAGCTACACTCGCCGCTGGGATAAGGGAGCAGCGAGTCAGATTGCAAACGGGCGCTTGATTGGGTACGATGAGATAAGGGTTCCTGGGCAGAACAGTGTGCGGACGGACGGGCGGAAGGGGCAGGCAGAGCAGGATGGATGACATGTTCCTGTGTGTGTGAGTGTGCGTGTGTTGGCAGGCAGGCAGGCAGGCAGGCAGGTGGCTGGCTCGTGTCTGGCACACGGAGACTGATTCGCCGGAGGCACTGTGACGAACGCGGGCTGTGCGCTAGAGTAACTATCTAGATGAGCGCATGGAAAAACAGAGCACGTTTCCTCCCCGCACAAAACGCAAGGGAACCCGGCCTGTGTCATTGCCGTCCGTGCCGTGAAGCTTGGATGGGGTCCGTCGTCGTCGGCTTTCTAAAGGTGACTTGTCGATGCGGTGAGGCTAAAAGGGTGTGGGAGGGAGACGGCCCGCTTCCCGGCATGGTGGTTTGGGTTGGTGTCTGTAGGGACTATCCCTGGCAGTGGTAATGTGTGTGTGTGACAGACAGATACTGTACTAGATGCAGATATAGATACATCTCAGACGAGTGCCGTGATTACCATCTCCAATACCTATTACTCGTCGTCATCGTCCCCCGGCCTGGCCCATGGGACCCCCAGTCACCCCCGGTCGGTGTCTGGCACGCACAGCTGTCGTTATTATCGCTTCCGCGAGCTTAGAGTTCCCCTGCGCTGCGCTGCCTCCTGTGTGTGCTGCGCAAATATCTAGTGGCCCCCGTCCAATACAACAAACCGCCGCCTCAACGTGTACCACAAGTTCGGTGGTACAGTGAGTCAACGAAGCGCTTTGTGCGACGCCGACACCGACCAAGGCCACCACCACCGCTGCTGCTGCTGCTGCTGAGGGCGACCCCATGGTCCATGGTGACATGCCCCGGCGATAATACACCGAGTCACCGAAAAATAAGAAACTGAAACTCCATGGGCCCGGACCCCTCCCCGGAGCCAGCCAGGCCCCCGTGCTCGCTGCTTCGGCCGCGTCAAGAAAGAAGATTGGAGTGTCTGAGACGGGGCAGGCATGCTTACATCTAAGGTTGTAGATCTGGATGGCCCGGCCCTCGCCCCGGGAGCGTTGCAGTAAACTTGTCTTGGACTTCGGCCTCTTGGGCCGCTTGGGGACCTTGGCGACTCAGTTCAGTCATTACTCGTGCGCTGCGCTGCGTGCGCATCACCGGCGGGGCGGGTTCTGACGTCGCATCGCCGTCGATCCGCCGACGGGGTTTCTGGGATCGCGCCCCCCGACCGGATGGGTACTGTATCGTGGTGAGACACGGTGAGCACGTCGTTCTTGGCGAAGGGCGGTGGCGACGGTGAGAGAGCTCGCGGTGATGACGCGGCGACAGATTGAGTGAGGCTAGATACTGGACGGATGCCTGCCTGGCAGGGACGGCCCGCAGATTGATGAGCCGGACGCCCTGACGGAGAAGGTTTCGTTGAGGCGATAATTATAGCTGCGACCATGTTATGGGACTGTTTCCCCTTCAGTGGTCGACGTTTGAAGCCGTTTTCTTTTTATGCCCGCCTTTCATGCTTCGTTACAGGACGGAGTACTGTACATACTGCGGTAGCAACGTCACGGTCGACGTCACGGTCGACGTCAAGGCCGAACCGCCAGTTCGCTTCGAGGCATACGTGCAGGCCAAGCCTCTGTGTTCTGCGGCCTCTCTTGTAGCTAGTCGCTCCTCGCACACGGCTGTGGACCTGCTTTTATCGATGCGCCGTGTTGCTGCTCGCCTCGCGCCTGCCCTTTAGGTGCTTCCTGTTCTGCCTTTATGGTAGACATACATAATTAGCATAGTGCATTGACGCGTCTCTGAGAATCTTATGGCTTGGTCGTTTTCCAAATATGGGTTCGTGATCTGTCTGCACCTGGTTGCTGCATTCACACCTCAAGAACAACGCTTCCATCAGTAGTTCAGTGCCGTGCCATACGTGGACTAAAAGCCAAAATATAAATAGAGGCCTCTTTCAATCCAACCTGGTCGCGATCCTGGTTTAACGGTAACCCTGTGCTCGGCAACGACGGGGGCATCGAGAGCGACAACGACAGCGGCACGATGACGGGCATGCCTTTAATACAGGCGGCGTGACTACTTTGGTTTGAGTAGTCTGCTAGTTGGCCCAAGGCAGGCCACTACCGTGCCGCAATCTCTACAGCAAACGTGGTTAGCGGTAGCCGGCCAGATGGTTACTAGTCGACGAGCCCAAAGGGTAGGTGACCTACGCAACTAGGAACCATTTGCCGCTTTGTAAATAGGAAGACCCAATGAATAGTGTACGCGAAGCTAATACGGCTAGCCAACGATTGCTTGGCTTTGGAGCGCTCAGGCGCCCGGCGCCCGGGCATGCTAGGTGTTGGTCCACAACGGCGGACCAATACTGGCATCTGTGGTGGTAACAGGCAGTGTTGCCGTTGCGGTTCATGGTCCTTCTCAAAGCCACCCGCTGGAGATGCTCATGCATGAAAGAGCCCAGCGGTCTCGGATCTCCTCACTTTATTCCCTTTAATTGCCGAGTATGTGGGCCCTGAGCGGCCCGCTGTAGCGGAAGGGGCTCGCGAAGCAGTGTATTGCAGTTAGGTCGTAGAGAGGCGTCACCGGGTGGAAGCCAACGTTCTTGGAGCCCATGAACGCTCTGAGGATCCGATCGCCACTAACCCGTCTTGTTGATGCCATTGCCACCGCAATGGCCCTTCCGTTCGTGATATCAACTCTCGAGCGCAGCGCGGGAATCTCCGGCATCGCTTTGACCGCTGTGGGTCAGGCCACCAATCTTCGCCTGACATTCCGACGGACATGTGCCTTGGCACCTCCTTCGCTGGAATCTTCTCGTCGCCCGCCGCCATTTCCCTCCGTCAACTCCGACCATCGCGCAATCGCCCATACCTTTGTGCTCAGATCGATGGTCGGCCCGCCACCCGTCAAACGAACCCGATGAGCCAAACCCAGTCCGACACGTCTAACACCGACCCTGTACTGTACCTGAGACAACAATGATCGTTACGCGAGCGATATCCCTGACCAACTTCCTGGTGGCCAGCTCAGCCTTGGGCTTCCAGGTTTTCGTACTATACCCATGGCACAAGGAGTTGGATGCCGGATTTGAGGAGCTGAGGAAGGAACACTTGAAGGTCCTGGATGCCGTAGGGAACAATTTGAGTGACCAGCGGCGAAAGGCTCTCTCCGACGAATTGAACAACTTGAAGAGCCAAAGCTCGAAAAGGTGGTGGTGGCTCTGATTGCCCTTTGACATAGACGGTGATTGCGGTCTGTCTTCTTACCTGCGGTTCGCTGGCTGACTCGCTTCAGCAGTCTTCACTAAGTCAGGACCCATTCACGGCGGCCTGGAGAGCGATAATGCAGCTAGAGACAACGATTATACCGATCCGCGACAGGTGTAACAACAGTGTAGAAGGCAAAAAGACCATTCGTGCGTCGCCTTACGCAAGATATGCTCTCGCCGGTGCCTTTTGTCGTGCCTCTACGCGTGCCGTCCTTACACCAGTCGATGTGTACGAAAGCCATCTCCCGCTAGCCGTCAAACGCGACTCGGCCATGGTCAAAGCGTGATGTTCCTCGGTGTTGCTCTCCGGCGGGTGCGGAACAGACGCGAAAATATCCGAGATAATATCGTTGCACGTACGCAAACCGCGGAATGATGCGACATTCAGCACGAGATGATGGTCGTAATGAGCAGCGAACGATTCGTCGAGGAGTGCACAAGGCGAGGTGAGCGAGCCATGTTCCACATGTTCACCCGCCGGGCGCTGGCATAAACACCAGGCCCCTCAAAGGGAACATATAAGTCTCACTGTAATCTCGTGGAAGGCGCTCAAACCATAGGACTGTCTTCAACATGAAGTGCACCAGCGAAGCTTGAGTCCGGGATGGCCGTGCAGAGCTGAATGGTCGTCGTGTGAAGCTGCGCCATAGCCTTCGCCTTTGGTTCGGTCAGCGTCTCGTAAAGCGTACGGGTGTGGCTGCCCGGTATTGCCCTGTCCATGCGTCATGTCTCGGACGCTTTGCAGTCAAAGGTCGTTCGCCAACATGTCTGGAACGTCTTTGCTCTCGTGCAGCTGCCTTCGGCAGCTTTCGTCACGGACCCTCGTACTCGTCGGCCGCATACCCTCTTCCTCGCGCATTGGTCACGTCGCCCCCGAGCCCGATGACCCTTTCCCTGCCCTCCGGGTCCGCGAGCCTCACCGCCGTCCGCCAGTCCACGGGTGCGTATTCGTGCTCCCCAAACTGCCTGCTCTGTCCTGGCCCCCCGTCCGGCGGGTCCAGTCCATGCGCCGCGCTGACCCAGAGGCGCCGCTCGCGCAGATAAGGGTCTGCCAGGAGGCGTACCAGGCTCGCCAGAGGCCTGCGCGCGTACACGTCCCGCCGTGTCGCCACGTTCTTGCCGGACGCTGTGCGAACGACGAGGGTCAAGGCTGCGAGGTTGCCGGCGAGAACCATGTCCGACAGAAGCGGGACGAGCAGAACATCGATCCACTGCCGCAGCTTTTCAACGTAGACGTGCAGGCGCTTCACCCTTCGCAGGGAAGCGCGTTCGACCAGGATGCTTGTTGCTATCGGCGACCTAAGCTTTCCTCGAGGATCAAGGGATAGGCCGTCGTCATCGTCCTGTGTGAGTAGAAACGGCTCTCGTTTCGCGGCTGCATCCGCCGCATCTTCGAGGCAGTGCCTGACGTGAGGGCCGTGCTCTCCCCTCGTGTCCAACTCGAACTCGTTGCCCTCGTAGAAGAGCGGACTGGCGATAGCGTACAGGGCAGGGTGGACGAGCATCACAGGCAGCGGGTCGACGTCCCGCGGTAGGGATTCGGAGCAGGTGCAGAGCTTGATAGGGTATGCGGAGACGAGTAACGGCGTGAGGATCATGGACAGGATGTCCACTGGAAGGTCAAGCAGGTGCAAGCCCATGACCGGGGCCGTTCGGGAACCGTTGCCACGGTCCTGCCTGAAGCTGAACACTCGATGAGAAACGCTCCGCGGAGAGGTCTGGCTTTTTGATGGATCAAGACGGGAGGAGCCAGTACGCCAAGTTCTCGCAGCAAGCCATCATATTTTAATGTGATTGAAGCGCTGCGGCCCAGCCGGAGTCGTTGCTGCGTCCTTGAAAGAGTGAAGAGGAAGTGAGGGTTTCCGCTACATGGTGACGGAGTGGTGGCGGGGTAGTCCAGCGGTCGGGGCGCTAAACCACCACCTGTCGAGTCTCGCTGTCACGGCAGGAGACCTCAGGCGAGGCAGCGTTCTCAGTATACCAGCCCAGCTGCATTCGCGACAGCAACATAAGACATCAATCCGGTTCCATTCTACCCGAGTCTATGCTATTCACAGGCCGCTCGTTCCTCGCACATCGTCAGGCCGTCCCGGCCGGCGTCGGCCACTGGCTCCCTCAAACTATGCAGATTCATCATCCATCCGTCGTGAAGCCCTCCCGAGCGTGCATCAACGTGAGGCCCGATGAAACAGGAAAATGCAGAACTTTTGTCGGTGCCTCGTTATCTCCGTTTGCTCGCATGACCACAGATCCGGGAAAAACGAAAATTAAAATAAGCAAATCAGACATACGCCTAGGCTGCTAAGCCCCTCCGTGGTTCCTCGAAGCACCAACGTCTGCCCTGCGCGCGCCTTTGCCGCTCAAAGTGCCGCGCCACGCCCCCTCCCCTCATACAATTTCCATCCCGAGCCCCTCGAGCGGAGAGCATTTATCGGGAAGACATGGCCTTGGTGACAAGGCGCTTGAGGGCGAGCTCCTGCTTCTTGAGGTCATCAGCAGTGCTCTCGTTGAGCTCAAGAGCAGCCATGGCGTCGCTGATGGTGCTCTCGATCTTCTCCTTCTGGCCGCGCTTCAGCTTGAGGGACAGGGTCGGGTCGGAGACAATCTCCTCGACGCGGCCGATGTAGGACTCGAGCTGCTGCTTAGCCTCGAACTTCTTGCTGAAGGCCTCGTCGTTGTTCTTGAACTTCTCGGCGTCGCTGACCATCTTCTCGATCTCCTCGGTGGAGAGCTTGCCAACGGAGTTGGAGATGGTGATGTTGGCGCTGCGGCCAGAGGTCTTCTCGGTGGCGGTGACCTTGAGGATACCGTTGACGTCGACCTCGAAGACACACTCGAGGACGGCCTCGCCAGCCCTCATGGGGGGGATAGGAGCAAGAGTGAACTCGCCCAGGGAGGTGTTGTCCTCGCAGTTGACACGCTCACCCTGGAAGACGGGGAACTGAACGGTCTGCTGGTTGTCGGCAACGGTGGTGAAGGTGCGCTTCTTCAAGCAAGGCACAGTCTGTCCGCGGGTAACGACGGGAGCAAAGATGTTGCCCTCCATGGCGACACCCAGAGACAGGGGGACGACATCGAGGAGGAGGAGGTCCGAGGTCTCGGCGGACGTGGCCTTGCCGGAGAGGATACCGGCCTGGACGGCGGCACCGTAGGCGACGGCCTCATCGGGGTTGATGCTCTTCTCAAGCTTCTTGCCGTCGAAGAACTCGGTGAGGAGCTTCTGGATACGGGGGATACGGGTGGAACCACCGACAAGGACGATCTCGTCGACGGCGCTCTTCTGGATGTCAGCATCCTTGAGGACCTGAGCAACAGGCTCGAGGGTGCCAGAGAAAGCCTTGGCGTTGAGCTCCTCGAAACGGGCACGGGTGATGGTCATGGTGAAGTCCTCGCCATCGAAGAGAGAGTCGATCTCAATGGTGGCCTGGGCACCGCTGGACAGGGTACGCTTGGCACGCTCGCAAGCAGTACGGAGTCTGCGGAGGGCACGGGCATCACCGCTGGGGTCCTTCTTGGACTTGCGGGTGAACTCCTTCTTGCAGTGGTCGAGGAGGTTGGTGTCGAAGTCCTGGCCACCCAGGTGGGTGTCACCAGCGGTAGCCTTGACGGTGAAGACACCGCCCTGGATGTTCAGGAGAGAGACATCGAAGGTACCACCGCCCAGATCGTAGATGAGGACGTTGCGCTCCTTGTCAGACTTGCCAGAGCCCAGACCGTAGGCAATGGCAGCAGCAGTAGGCTCGTTGATGATACGGAGGATGTTGAGGCCGGAGATGGCACCAGCATCCTTGGTGGCCTGACGCTGGTTGTCGTTGAAGTAGGCGGGGACGGTGATGACGGCCTTCTCGACCTTCTTGCCAAGCTTGACCTCGGCAATCTCCTTCATCTGCAGGGGCTGTCAGCAAGGCTGATCAAAAGCAAAACCCCGCACGAGGCCCTGCGCGGTGGGCGAGATATCGTACCTTGAGGAGGACCATAGAAGAGATCTCCTGGGCGGAGAACTGCTTCTTCTCGCCGAGGTAGTCAACCTCGATCTTGGGCTGGCCGGCATCGTCGACGACCTTGAAGGGCCACGACTCGATGTCCTTCTTGACGGTGGGGTCATCGAAGCGGCGACCGATCAGACGCCTGAGGGCAAAAAGTCAGCATGCGTCTGGGGACAGACTGGCGAAGCCGTTTGTTGGAGAGAAACTCACTTGGCGTCGAAGACGGTGTTCCGGGGGTTCATGGCAGCGTTGTTCTTGGCGGCCTCACCAATCAGACGCTCCTTATCAGTGAAGGAGACGAACGACGGGGTGGTGAAAGAACCCTGCTCGTTGGCGATGATCTCGACATTGGTACCCTCGTACGTGGCAACGCACGAGTAGGTGGTACCTGTGGGCGGAGAGTCAGCACCTGGCAATCTCGTGATGCGGTATGCAGGACTCGGCAACGGCTCGAGGCTGTCAGACGACGACAAAACGGCGGGCGTGATACCGTTGGGCCATTCGAATATGCCTCGGCCGGGGGCCAGTCCTGCTCGCACCGCACGGCGCAGCAAGCGGGCGACTTACCCAGATCGATGCCAATGGCACCATCATACACTTCGTCCGCCATTTTGATTGTGTGGTCTGAGGGGGGAATTCGTCGCTGTCGAGGACGATGGAGGATGAGAGGAGAGGAAGAGAAAGGTTGGAAGGAGGGAGGGCGAGCCAGAAAAACGTGGGGTCAATCGGTGTAGAAAATTCTCCCAGCCAGCCAAAAAAATTTGTGATTTTTTCGGGGCGGCCTGTGTTTTGCCGTCAACTTTTTTTGCCCGCTGCGCTGGTGGGACATTGTGCGGCCGGCGCCCGCAGGCTGTGGCTCGGGTGGGGTAAGTCCCTGAGGGCGCCATGCCTAATCGGGACGGGGCGTCTTGCGGCCTAAGATGTCAGGAACGAAGACTTGCACCAAGCACTGTATCGCGTGCCGCCGGCTTGTCACTGCTATCACAATCATTGACTCGGTTTGCTCACTCGGATTGGGCTCCATCTGCCACTCACGCCACCGCCATGTCCCTGACTTGACGACTCGCTTTCGCGTTTCTAGACCTCCGAGGCCGGATGGCACTCTCCTGGGGCTGGAAAAGGACCGCCACGACAAAACATGCCACCTCGACCTCGGCTCCAATGGCATCCCATGCTCATCAGCTTCAACGCCAATCGCCGTGATATTAACCCGCCGTGAGTATGTACTTGCGCATATCGAGGCGCCCACCGAACACATCTACGCCTTCTTCTCCTTCGGCTTCAGCCCAAGCGCCTTGGCCTCGCTGGCGACCACCTCCGGGATTGTGTCCTTGAGCGGAACCCCCTTGGGCTTCCACCCGAGATACTTGCGCGCTCGCTCGGCGACGCCTTTGGAGTTCCTGCCCCACGAGACGCTGCCGTCCTCCATCATAACGATGTCCTTCTCGGACACGAGCTTGGTCTGGGCTTCCGGAAGGTACCCTTGCTTCTTGGCCTCCTCGGCGATCCACTGCGCGACGTCCGCCCACTTGTGCGAGCCATTCTCGGCAAAGAAGTAGGCGTGCGGGCCGAAGATGTCGGGGTTGTCCCTCTTGGACGGGTCCTGGGTGGCGTCGACGAGCTTCACGTAGAGCTCGCCCAGGTCGTCACTGTGGACATGGTCCCACTCTGTCTTGCCCTGGCCGATGATGGGCGCGAAGCCCTTGGACAGCGTGGTCCGCGCGAGGCTCGGGACCTGCCTGCTGCGCGTGTTGGCGGCGCCGGTGCCAACGCCGTAAATCGTGGGCGGACAGAGGATGGCGACCTTGACAATGTCCGAGTTGGCTGCGACGGCGATCTTGTCGACGTCGCGGTGGTGCGCGCCGTCGGGCAGGGTGACCAGACGCTCAATGTCGTCGATGTCGTGGTATTTCTGCTCGGGAAGGGGCGCAGCACCCTCGCGCTGGTGCTGGGCGTCGTACCATGTGAGGATGGAGGTGCCGGACGTGTGGATCCAGAACCCGGGGTTGTCGGGCGAATGTCCCTCCTTCAGGCCCTTGGCAATGGCGACAGCTCCGGTGTAGTGATCGGAGGAGTCGGCCGTGTCTGCAGCGGCGTCAGCAACGGGGCGACGCAACAGATGATCCCGGTCAACGTACGGACGACAATGTCTGCCTGAGAAGAGGCTCTCTCGAGAATGGCGTCGTCCTCGAGCGTCCCGTAAGTGAATCGCACATAGGGGTACTTGGCGGCGATAGGCTCGGCGCGATACTCGTCGCGGACCAGGACGTGGTACTCCCAGTCCGGGTGGGCGCGGATGATGTAGTCGAGCGCCGTGCCGCCAATGTAGCCTGCGAAAGGGTTAGACGGGGTGTTTTGACGGGTTGCGACACTGCGCATGTCGACTTGCCTGTGGCACCAGTTCTGCAAGTCGATTTATCAGCTGGGTCGCTCTGCAGCCACGGAAGAGTGAGCGCGCAGGCGACTTACAAGAAGACCTTGACGGGCATTGCTGCTGGTTGGCTCGCTTCCTGCGTCTTATCCGGTGTGTGTTTGCAAGGGTGACGCGAGACAATTCCGCAGCGAGTGAGGTGCAAGTGTCAGGTCCGACAGGCCGAGATTCTTGCTTCTTCAGAGCTCGGATGAGCTGCCACGGCATGCCATTACGCCATTGAGGCGGGGAAACGTGGAGAGCTCAGCTAAGCGCGCGTTTGCGTTCATGCTGACATCAGCTTCCCAACCTCGATGAACGGCGGTGCGGAAGCCCCAGCTGGAACGCCAATTGATGTTTTTTAAGGCGTTGTGGATTTAGACTTTGGATGGATGGATGGGCAGATGGAGACGTGACGGGCTCTCTCAGCCACTGCCACGGCTCGCTGCTGGCTGGCTGGCTTGCAGCGGGCTCATGATGCGATGCATGATCCTCGGTACGCAAAAGAAATGTCCCATGGCAATTATCGATTTCTTTCGTAAGGACGAAATAATGATTCGTTTCACAGACCAACGGCCTCTGGGAGTAATACACGCCTGGCATGTCCCTTGTACCAAGTCTCGAACGTATCCTGCATTGACGGGCTTCGTGTTAACCACAGCTCAGGAGCCATTCGCGAGGTGACCTTGGGCGGCACAGCAGCGGAAAGCATCAGCCTGCAGCGGGCCACCGTATCACCGTCATGCATGCTCGTACAAACGAAGCATAAAAAGCAACTACTCCACCACGAAGGCTTGCTGTGAATCCCCGCGTCAACCAGCCACCCTGTAAACATGGAAGGTTCCAGGGTCGCGAGTCGAGACGGAAGATACGACTCGCAGCGCGGATAAATACCAAGGCTGTGTGCTCTCCCTCCGACCCCTCTGCCATCACCCTGACTCCCCTCCAGAGTTCTTCGCAATTCATCGTGCTCATTGCAGCAGCTCGCAGCATCATCAAGGCAACGCATCACATAAACGTCTCCCTTCTTCCACCGTAATCCGCAGCAATGCCGTACCAGTACAAGAGCTCCGGCACCAACAGCCAGGTCTGCGTGCACCCCTTATCCCATCACCGCTGGGGCTCTCATCCGCTGACGCTCTGCTGCATGCTCTAGGGCAACCACTACTGCGCGCGCGACTACGGCAGCGGCGCGGCCAACTCCAACTCGTACCACTACTCCAACTCGTGCGTTTTGGCTCCGGCTTCCATGGTGTGTTTCACGCAGCACTGAACTGACACTCGCGTTAGCGACGGCTCGTACTACTACTCGAACCCAGATGGCAGCACCTACTACAACAACGGCCAGGGAGACTCGACCTACACGCCTCCCAGCGGTGGCAGCGGAAGTGGCAGCGGCAGTGGCAGTGGCTCCGGAAGCAGCGCCGGAAACAAGAAGTAGACTGCGCCGGCCAGACCACGTGGATGTCGCTTTGATTTGAACGACACTGCGGGTGGACATGGGTGGCAGCGAACTTGACCTTTGGCGGGTGGATGCCCTGGGCTAGGGTCGACAAACTCCTTGATGTCTCATCCAGCCCATATTCATTTCGGTCGGTAGCCTGGAGCAGGTTACACTGAGTTGGACCCGAAAATTGCCTTGATCTCATGACCAGATGCAGTACGTGTTTCGAGACGGCAATGTGTCCCAATTGTGCGTAGATCGACGGGGAGACGATCGATTGAGGGCCGGCGTGCGGGCGGGACACACACCCAGCCAGCAAGAAGGCGGCCGGAGGGTTAGCAACACTGATCGGTGACCGGTGAGGCACTGCCCACGCACTGCCCAAGCCCTACGGCAGTGTAAGCGTCGGTGGCAGCGCATCCCAGCGGAGATCATGGCCGTTCGGCGGCTAGTCCCGAGCTTGTGACACGGCCCATGAATCCATCCCCAGGTAGGCAGAGCCCGCAGAGCCTCGACGTCATTTTTTGGCCTAGAAGATCCATTCCAAGCGCCGCAGGTGACTTCAATGAAAAAAAGGGCACGCGCCGTCCGTCCGTCGGCCCGCTCGTCCCAGATGAGAGACCAGAGACACCCGCTCCGTTTCAGCATCTCATGAATCTCGAGTCCGCTCCATCCCGGCCTCCCTTCCTCCCGCCCGCTCCGGGCCTACTACACCAGACGCGCTTACACGCTGCTGCACCGAAATGGCGGGCTCGGTGACACCGACAACGCCAACACCTGCGGCGGCGGCGGCTCCGGCAGGAGCAGCAGCAGCAGCGCCGGCGAGAAAGAAGCCGAGGCGAAACGCATCCTTCGCCGACGACGTCCGGTGGCAGCCGTCCGGGCCGACGCTGGCGCTCCGCAAGGACAGCGTGGGCGGGCCGTTTGGCTTCCTGAACCCGACGACGGCGCTGTACGATATCCGGAGCAACGACGAGCCTGGCGGCGGGCGCGCTGACCTGGCTGACTTGACCGACGCGGAGCGCCAGGAGCGCGCAAAGGTGCGCTGGAACGCGCGGGACTATCGCAAGGGTACGTTTTTGTTGCTGGTCTCCCGTGTTTGGCTTACACGTTGAGCGTCTCATGATGGGTTGATGGATGGACGGATGGTGCACGGCGTCAGGGGGGTAGGGGACGGCCACCGCTCGCACTCACGATGAGTACCACCACAACAGTCAGACTTGATAAGTCCTTGCCGCCATCTCGCTGACACTTGCCTGGGCCTCTTGTTGCTGCAAATATAGGCCGCCACATCCTCATCCTCCCGCGCGCCGCGCCCCTCAGCTCGCGCCTCCACCCGAGCACCAACCCGCACAGCATCCTGCGCGGCCTCGGCCGCATGCTCACCCTGCACCCCTACTGGGACGTGTCGTGGTGGATCGGCGTCTCCTTCACCGTCGGGTGCCTGCTCTTCGTCGTCGCCGGCTTCTTCTACTGGCTGCCCATCGCCTACCCGGACACCGAGTTCCCCCACGAGTCCGACGTCGCCGGCGGCGTCCTCGTCTTCATCGGCGCCACCCTCTTCCAGATCGGCGCCGTGCTGCTCTTCCTCGAGTCGTACAATGACCGCGCCGAGACGCAGTTTGGCGGCGCCGTGGAGGACTTGTTTGTGAATCGGCTGGGCGTCGTGCGGAGGGGCCGCGGGCGCAGGCATGTCCATTTTGAGGCACCCTCGGCGGCAGCGGCGGCGGCGGCGGCGGCTGGCGCTCAGGGGCAGCAGAGCACGCGGCCAGGGTCCTCGTCGACGCCAAGCAGCGACGGCAAGCAAGAGGTTGACAAGGAGGCCCGAGGAGATGGCGATGCCCGGTCGCCTTCTCCTCATGGGTCCCATGGCCGCGACGACCATCTTCACGGCGACGACGATGACGGCCAGCACCACGGTCACATCTTCGAAGAGCGCCAGTGGCAGTGGTGGCCCTCCTGGCACGACGTGACGACGCACTACATGTACGAGATCGGCTTCCTCGCCTCCTTCACCATGTCCGTCGGCGCCACCGTCTTCTACATAAGCGGCATCCTCGCCCTGCCCGGCATCTTCGACAACCTCAGCGAGGCCGCCCTCCAGGGCGCCTACTTCTTCCCCTACCTCCTCGGCGGCGTCCTCTTCGCCCTCTCCTCCCTGTTCTACATCCTCGAGACCCAGCCCAACTGGTACACGCCCCAGCCCTTCAAGATTGGCTGGCACGTCGGTGTCTGGAACATGATCGGCGGCGTCGGCTGGACCCTCGCCGCCTCCTGGGGATACTGCACACCCAGTTGGTGCAAGTACCAGAGCGAGCTCGCCCTGATATGGGCGTCGGCCGCATTCAGCGTCGGGAGCGCCCTGCAGTGGTACGAGTCGCTCGACAAGTACATTGTCATCATCGAGGACTAAGGCGACGAGATAGCTGCATCTGCGCCGGCTGCCGGATCTTCTCTGGGACTCGGCCGTGGATACCAGGTACCAGCACCTGGCATCGGTCGAATTGGATAGTTGACTTTGCCGCCTGCATTCATCAGGACGCGACACGACGTATGACAGTTCACGACGGCGTACCATGACGTGCATTTCTGTATCACATTTGACTCTACAATTACACATTTCGAAAACTGACTCCCAGTGCTAGAAACAGTTCCAAGTACCCATCTGTGACAATTCAGTCCAAATCTCCCCGCAACTCGCCCCCCTCGAAGATTCATGCGTGAAAACATGGCCGCCCAAGACGCGGCCGGTATCACTATACCCCTTCAACAACGCAATTTTCCCGAGGTGTGCCCGTTGAGCCCATCTATCTCAAACGCCAGCGTCATTGTCCGTATCTGTCCGTCTTGACAGGGCCAGTTGCTCAGTTGTGGCGGCCAAAGTAGACCGCCAGAGCAATGACTAGACCGACATACAGCGCACCCTCGACCATCAATTGCTGTTTCAAGATGGAGCGCTGCTCTTTTGTGAAGCAATGCGCTTCGCCGTGGGTATACCACGAAATAGCCGAGTCGAAGTGGCCCAGCAGCGCGAGGAGTCCGATGGGGGGGAGGATCAGGGTAAGCACCATGACGGCGAGGAAAATGGCTCTCTGGCGGTCGTTCTCCTGGCCTCGCATTGCTCTGTTCAAGCGTACCTCCTCTCTCGCCGAGCGAATCAGCTCAGTTTCGGATCGGCTGAACATCTCGAAACTCTCCCCAATCGCTTCAGCACGTCTCTGCCGGGTTCGAAGCGAGAAGCCACGAAGGCGACGAAGGTCGACTCCCAGGATAGAGGGGCTATCGCGCAGTCCCACCTCATACCAAGGACCACTAGATGTTCGGCGTGGCACCGGCGTGATAGGGGAGCTCCCGAGTATAGCCGAGGAGTGAAGCCTGCTTTGGGTAGTATCGAAGCTTGCTGGGGACAGGTTAGTCGCAAATGTCCTTCGGTGACGGAAGGTTCCCTTACGTGTGTCCTTTCTGCGCGAGAAATGGTCCTGGTACGCAATCGGGGGACGGGCTGGAGTCGACGTCGCGACACTCCCACGCAAGTCACCGAACGGTGAAAGGGGAGTCAACGGGCTCGTGCGTGACGACATCGAACTGAAAGTGCCGGACCTGGTCGACCTGGCCTTGGCCGCAAATGAGCTCGGGAGATCCGTGTGGTCCTCCTCGCCTCGGTCGATTCGATACCGTTGCATTTTGGCCGCCTCTGGCAGGCTAACCAGAGGAAATGGCAGCCTTGATATGTTGGCGTAAAAGCTATCATTTGCTGTACCGAACGTGAGTTCAGGGGCAAGCGCAGTTGAAGTCCCTTGCGCAAGCAGGCGACTGTCAAGAGCACCAGCGGAAGCATCGGGCGCCTTTGGACAGTGTCTTCCCCTGGCAGAGGGCATAAGGCCGTCATCTGGTTCAGAGTCCAGACTTTCGTAGCTGCTTCTGAGATTCTGCGACTCGGGGACGGCGTTCAAACGGACACTCCGACGTGCCCTGCTGCTTTCATTGCCGAAAGGGCTGGAGAATCCGCGAATTGCAGCAGCAGCCCTGGCCGGCATCTGAGGAACCCGAATAGAGAGATCAGGGCGGGCGGCTCTGACACCATTCGGGGTCCAGATGAAGTCTGGCGGTTCTCGACCATGCATAAAATGCCGCCTGTTGCGAATCGACGAAAGCTCTCTAGGCCGGGGCCACTCTGTATCACTGTTCTGGGCTGAGCGGCGACGCGTTCCCGAGATGCCGTCGTTTGCAAGATCGGACGTATCGGACACGTCTGCAATGCTGCTGCCAGTGCCTCTGATAAGGTGTATCTCAATCTCCCGAGGTTGCTCGTGAAGCTGGTCGGTGGTGACGGTTTGCCAGTCGCCATCGGTGTCTTGATCTGTGCGAGTTCGAGGGAGGGCGAGCGTGCGATTGCGATCATCTGCATGAGGCTTCACATCGCTGCCAGTCTGGTTTTGCGCAGTACCTCTCACGACCGGGATCTTGACCGCATCGTTGACCTTCTAGGTCGACCGGATGGCGGAAGGGTCGTAAAACTGCGGATCCTGAACAGACGGTTGGTTGTCGCCGTCAAAGTCGGCTCTCGCCTGGGTGGCCACGAGGCTCAAGTCAGAATTCGACGCTGCGACATGGAGTGCTCTGCTAACCTCTCTCTCGGCGCCAGGGCGCAAGAATACAGCATAGTGGCCGTCATCGTATTTGAACCGGTCCACAGTCAAGCTGCTCGACGTTATCGAGTTGCTGGCGACGAGCCCGCCTAGTCCTTGGCTGTCAAGGATCGTCGCAGTATTCACGCGGTTTCGACTGAGGGCTCCATGGGGCTCATTGCCTGAGAAATCATCGGCAGCATTGGCGTCCCTCCCTTGGTCTCGCCTTTCGTTGACAAAGCTGCTGTACCTGATATCAGTGGGCTCATTTGTTTTAGTGGCACCCGAGCTCTGCTGTGGCTCGCCAGCAGGCGAGAGACTGGTAGGACCGAACATGGTGTTTGGTCGCTGGGGTTGATTTTCAAGACGATAACCGTGCCCGATGAGATCCTGGACTTCGAAGGCGTTTGGTCCGTACCGCACTGGAGGTGGGTAAGCATGGCGCACCATCTCGTCATCTGCTGCCACCGTCTCCCAGTCGGAGGTGGCCTTGTCCTCGTCGAGTTCTGGCGACGTTGCCTCATGATCAAGGGCGGAGTCGTCCAGATCTGGACCATACAGCGGCTTTCTCGGGGGATATTCGGTCATCGAACGGGGTATGGCGCCGTCACTGCTGAGCTGGCACTTCGAATCGTTTCCATCCTCGGGAGTCGAAAAGGGATTGCGCTTTTCGGAGCGAGGAGGTGGCACAGGCGTGCTCGGATGGGCGCCCGCATCTTGTGCATTTCTGCCACCAAACACCCATGGTGCAGACTGCTTCCTGGTTAAATCATTCATCGTGGACCGGGTTTCTTAAATCGAGTACGTACGCCTTCCGCGGTGGGTGGCATCGTAGACCGACAGTAGCAAACGCGGGTGTCTGTGAACAAAGAGGTGTCAGCAAATTCCGATAACGTCAGGTGGAAGCATGTGGAAACGGCAGGTGGCGATGTTCACTTTTGCAACAATGAGAGTTGTACAAGAAAGAGGATAACAAGTCCCGCGGGTGCTGAGGTGCCAGCCAGCTGTGCGAGAGCTCAACAGGCGTTCCGGCTTGTGAGACAGTTGGTGTAGCCGGCGCGATCACAAGAAAGAAGCTTTTTTGCAAGTCAGAGGGGGCATTTGAACTGGTCTCTGCCGCTGCCATACCGTGAATCGGGCGCGCTGAGTCGAGACGGAACGAGAAGCGACGCCGAGGGACGTTGCGAGCAACGATCAAACGTGCGTCCGAAACCGCTCGCAGTAACCGGCGAGAATTGATGAACGAAGCGGTAGCGATGGCTTAATTTGATGAGGATGATTGATGAGAGTTGCGTTGATGAGGGATCGTTCCGGGGCCGGAGATGAGAGGAGGAGGAAAGTGGTCGCGTGCCTTGGGGGGGGACTGTTGTGTGGACGTGTTCAGTGCACGCGAGACGAGCCGTGTTCATGGGCCGCAGGGAAAGCAATTGCCTCAGGCAGGAGCGAGTGCAGAAGGCCGCAAGACACGCCTGGCTGTGCGGCGACGAACAAGATGGAGGTTGCGTTGCCACGCCTACGACTGGGAAACAGCTCGGCTATGCGTGCGAATCGCAGGCATCTATTATGTAGACTCCCCAAAACGAGGGCCCGAATAGCAAGGAAGGCGCTGGCTGCATTGCACCTGCCGAATTCGCACACGCAGCAATCATCACACGGCACTCTGCACAGTAGTGACAGTACACGGTGGGAGAATTATGCAACTCGGAAAACAGCCGCTTTGCCTCGCTGGATATCAAGCAGTTCAGGGCGACTTTCACCCGTCGCTGCACTTGGCCTGCAGGAACGTGGTTGCTCTGAATCTGGTGGCGAACCACATGCGCGCCCGCAAGTCATTGGCGCCATGCAGGCAGCCTCACTCGGCACGCTACCTGCGGCAATTGTACATACTAGTGAGCGATAATGGCTCATCAGCATCAGAGAGGGAGTGGCTGCGGTCGAGTCTGCTAGCGCACCCACGGTGCGAGATGCCGAGCCTCGATTCTTGTGTCAGGCCACAAAGTTCGAGGCACGCTCTTCGGTAGCCAGACCGAGACCTGATAAGAACGCAGCCAGAGGGGTCGCGTCAACGCCCCAGAGCGGCCGCATGCAGCCGCGGTCAGCCCGCGGGACATTGAGTTTCACGGCTGGCCATCTGGACCGGGTCTGTCTGCTCAGGGCAGTGCCTACCACGACGCCAGCGTCCGGCTGGTTCGGCGCTCAGCGCAGCTCGCCCGCAATCGCATTCGCAATGGCCATCGCCATCGCCATCGCCATCGCGGGGAAGCCAAGCCTCGGCCGACCGCCTGGCTGGCAGGCTTGGGCGAGAACATTCTGCCATCATTTTTGGAGATTGGCACTTTTGTCACTTACGTACTGCTATACGAATACAAGAGCTTCGTTGATTCAGGACCCTGAAGGGGTCGCCCATGCTGCAGCGGACTATTGCGGCAAAAGAATGGAAGCCCGTTGATAAGGTCCACGGCCGTCCAGGACTCCAGGTCAATCTGGAAATAGGAACAGGACTCGTGCTGGGCCCTGCCAGGCTACCCGACGGGACCTCTTGCCCCGCCGCTGGAGAACCACGATGGCGGGGCCTTGGGGGTGGCCTACGAGGAAACAACGCGAGCCCGGCCAATGGACCCGACAGACCCCACCCAGAATCGGCGCTGAAACGCTTGCGGGTGCGCCCACCAGTTCGACGGGACTCGTCCACCTCAGTGGACCGATGGCCCCGCGGCAGCCCCCCCAAGGTCAGCGCGCTGTAACACACTAAGCGCTTCCCGTCCCCTGTCGGCCCGCATCCATCCCTCCGCGGCGCCCGCGCCATACTCGACTCAGCCAATGGCTGGCACAAGGCTCTTCTGCCTTTCTTTCCACGGGCTTGCATGCTTGCATGGGGAACCGCGTGGAAGGAAGATGCGGCGCACCTGGTGGGACGGGCCTTTTCTCTTGGAATCCATCAATCCATCATTCATTTGCCATCCCATCCCATCCCATCCCATCCCTCCATCCACTGTCCTGTCGGAAGGCTACTCCGCCCGTGGCACAAAGCTACCACTACCTTAACCGTACAAGAATCTGACGGCAGCCACGCCTCAACCCGTCTTGCTGCCGCCATCCTCTTGCAACAGCCATCCACCACCATCCGCCATCCACCATCCACCTCTCGACCGGCATTGTCCCGGGTTCCCCCCTCTTCCTCGTCACAAACCACGAGCATCGTTACCACCCCGGCTGCTCCCCAACTTGCCAGTCACCATGCGCCATGGCCCCGGATGACCGGCCCTCGCGCTGGGATGAGCTTCCCGACGAGATCTTGCTCCAGATCCTCAACTGTATGTCCCCGTTCCCCCCGGCTGGTCGTGCAGTGCAGCCCCCCTGCTGTCCGTCATGCCTCGACTCCCGCAGCCGATGCCCCCGCTCACGCCTCGCCACCGACTAGATCTCGAACCGTATCATATCACGAGGCTGCAGCTCGTGTCCCGCAAGCTGCAGAAGCTTTGCCTCGACGATGAGCTGTGGAAGGAGCTCTGCTTCCAAGACTCTCCCTGGTACCAATGGCTGAGACATCGCCGCAATCTGGTGCAAGCCACTACCGAAGCCGACGACGATGTGCTCATGTCGCCCCCGGACCCCGCCAGCGACGTCCGGGACGCTCGCCGATGGAGGAAGCTCCAGGACATGGCGAATTGGGATCCAGCATACCCCGGCGAACGGGTCTCGTGGTACGACGAGTACATCCAGCGCAACGGACCAGCCTGCATCAATTGGTTGCAAAGCCCTCGCATGCGGGAAGGAGGCTGTGAGGCCATCATCGAAGCCCGCGGAATGGCTATGTACAACCCATACGATGGTCGTGACGGTCTTGGAACGATGCTGGCCGTATCGCCGCTTGACGATGGCTCCGTTTGCCTTTGGGACGTCAAAGGCACGAGGGGTAAACAAGGCAGTATTGTGGCCAGGAGCAAGCCCGACATCCTCTTCTTTGACGGACCCAACGGCCAAAACACTCGGAGGTCCAAGAAGATCGATACTGGTGTGACGGAGTGCGTCAGCATCAACAACGATGGCCACCGGGCTTTTTTCGCCGTTCAAAGCCGTGAGCAGACCCCCCGTGCCCACTTCATGTCTTGCGGCTTGCATATTGACTGACAATGGCAGATCTTATTGAGGTGGATTTGAATCGTCTAGAGGTCGTCAGCAAGGATTCTTTTGAGTGGTCCATCACGTCGCTGTCTGCCACTCAGCCAGGCGTTCCCATGACAGTCGGGACGTCGCTCGGGATACACCTTCACGACTTTCGCTCTCGCATCAGGCCGTCGCACGATGTTGTCGAGCGCGTGGACGCCCAGCAATACGCACAAAACGATGTGCTGAGGGCTCTGTTCGACCCCAAGCCGCTGCCACCATACGCCTCGCTCTCCCAACCTACACCAGTCAGCATCCTCCATCTTCCACGGCCCGGGGAACAAGACCTCGTCTCGGATGACATTTACGTGTCTGGGAGGTTTACCAACATACTCCACTACGATCGGCGCAAGTTTCCAGCCATCGTAGGATCGATATACTCGGGAGCTCTGATAAAGAGCCTCACATCGATGCCATTCCCCTACTCCACCGTCGACTCAGAGGTTCGCCGACGTGCCGAATTCAGCCCGGAACGCATGGCACAAATTAAGACTGCCAGCGGAGGGCAGACGCTCGTTGCGGGAGGCTCCTACAAAACGAAGGGGTCTCTGGAGATATACGGCCTGAGCTCAGCAGCAGATGCTGGCAGCCACACAACGGTGCAGAGCTCCGTCTTCAAGAACAGGCAGTCAGCTGCCTCGGCAACAATCTTGTCGGTAATCGAGCACGGAACGAAACTCGTCTTCTCCGATGGCGCGGGCTTGATCAAATGGTTTGAGCGGGATGGCTCAACAGAGTGCCGGCGCCTTAAGATCGGTCACAGCGACGCAGACGAGCCAGCGTCTATTTTCGCCTCGATGCCAGCGTCGGACGACCTGGCTCGCAAGATCCTGTCGACGCGGCGCAAGGACGGACAGGACCGGCCGAACAACGACAATATCCTCTTTTGGACGGGCGAGAAGCTGGGCATGGTGAGCTTCACTACGGCGCCGCTGTACCAGGCCAAGGATTTTGAGTCTCAGGGACCAGAACGCAAGGCCGACGAGGAGATCAAGGACCAATACGCAGGGCGTATGCGCAGGGCGCTCGAGAGACAGGCCGACGAGGTCAGGTACATGAGGAATCTGGGAATGGGCACAGGCGTTGGTTAAGGGTCACCGACTCACCGAGGACACTCGCGGCGTTGGGAATTAAAACTACATGGGTTGGGCAGCGACCTTCTTAGCGACTTATTGGCATCATGGTTTGCTTGGCTTGGCCTCTGAGCCCCGCCGCAGATAGACGAGGCGGGCGGGGGGGCAGAGAGCGGGAGGCTGGCTCTACCGAGACTCGCCTCGAGATGGGATGACGATCAAGTGGATAATTTCGGGACATCAGTGTCGCAAAGCACGACTCGCTCAGAGGAGACGGGAAATACATGGGACGCAAGCTAAGAGAAATGAAGCGTGTGTAACTGTGTATCATGCATGAAGCGCATTGCCCTGGGCGGGAATCGCGACGTCATTGCGTAGCCTGCATAGCCTTGCATTCGCCTCACTCTGGCCCGGCCAGCGGAGCCCAATTGGCGAGGTGTCGTATGCGTATCAGATAAGACCAAACACGGGCGACGAGCGACGGGGCATTTGCAACGCGGTAAGGCATGAACGAGAGGCCGTTGACGATGGGGCCTGAACGGTGCCAGCGCAGTCCACTGTGGTAGAGCGCCAGAACCCACAGTCGGGATGGCCGGCCATGTGGCCTGGGCATCGGTTGGATTGACAGGTGGACGTCGCAGCGCCGAGGGCGAGGCGACCAATGCCACGGCCTTGCCGCTGATGGGATGGTGGTGGCGCGACGCAAATAATAGCAGCGTCCCGCGCATGGTGGAGGGAATTGGAGCCAGTCCCCTCCTGCATGTGCCCCCATCCCCGTCCCTCCTCGCCAGCTGCACTGAAAAGGTTTGTTATTACATACCGTTAAATCCGGTATTTACAGGGGCGTCGTCTCTCTTTGGTCAGTGGGGGGGAGCGGGAATCGACGGATCGGCGCCAGGGCTCCCTGGTGAGGCGGGGAGCTATTCGTCAATGAGGCCAGGGGTTGTGAAGAGTTGTTCCACGATGAAAAGACTTGCTGGCCGGGGGCGGTCGCTTGGTGAGACGGTGATAGTCGAGCCTCAATGGCTGCATGAGAAATGCAACGCTCCCCGACATAGGGGTCGAACCGAGGACACGGGGACGTTGCGCTTGCCGTGGAAACAGGTCAGGGTACACAGCGTTTGGCCAGAGGACGACAACTGTCTGCATCTACTGTACATCAATCTGTCCCAGGGACGAAGCCGGCTGAGCGGGACGCATGGCAGGCCACGCCGCATCGGACACGCCGCTGGACAAGACACAAGCGCAGGCCCGGAGACGCACAGCTCGTCGACCACGTCTCCAGCTAGTGTCGGCAGCGGTATGTTGAGGTATCCACAGACGAGCTGAGAGTCGGATGCCATGGCGGCACCAGCAGCAGGATCGAGGCAACGAGGGGCAAGGCTGCAGCGCCCGCCCCCGTCCCGACGTCGTCCATGCCCTGGCAATGCCCACACTGCGGCGCGAGCGGGGCGGAATGGAGAGACGGGAATGGCGTTGAGGTCTGGTACGGGTGGACTCGTTGCATGGACCAGCAGAACACCACAAGCCACTGGCATACTGGTAATGAGCCTGATGGGGGGGACAGGGTCGAATGGTTGGTACTGAGCGTGCGTTTTCGGCAGGCCAGGTCCATGGCGGGGCTAGGCGCTGCCAGCACACACAGATGGATGCCAGAGAAGGGCGTGCAAACAGAGGTCAGAATGCCAGGGTCAGGAGTCGTGCGTGGGCGGGTGAGGCGGCGGCGACGAGAGAAGAGCGTGTCGGCCGGTGTCTGGCTCCAGAATCCAGATAGCCGGTATGCACGCGAGCCGCACAGGAAGCTCGCTGGCGTGCAGGGCCGCCACGACGACACGCCACGGCCACGGTCGAGAAGCAGACCGACAGCATCGACGACGAACGGCGGCGGTCACCTGCCGACCCGCCTCCCTCTCCTGCAGCTCTCACTCCCTCCTTGGTACTGTGCTGCTCCCTCCGCATCGGCGGACTTGGCGAGATGTGCGGTCCGGGGCCCGGGGGGTGGAGGCCGTGGCAGTGGTCCCGTCCGTCCTGTGCTGGGTCTGGCTCCGGCAAAGGGTAGGTTGCGTCTTGCGTCCCAACACGAGACGGCGCTGCGCAGCGACATGCGCGCGCATGCATGCACGATCGTCGCCGCTCGCGGACCCAGCGTCTGATGGATGCCCATCGTCGCCCGCTGCTCCTTTCTTTTCTCGTCCCCTTTGTCAGGCTTTCGCGGCCGGCCGGTCCCTGCGTGCGCAACCAGCGCTCGACGCATAATAAGAGAGGCGGGCCGCCGTGCCATGGTGCTACACTGCTTCCGTTGCCTCCCCCCTTCCGGAAGTCCCAGAGGCATACTAAGCAATTGGTGAGAGGAGTGCATCCAAAGGAAAACGACGCTGGCACGACTTACTCTGCTTCCGCCGTCGGCTGCCACCTGCGGTTGGGAAGAGGGGAAAAGAGACGACGACGACACACTGGCCACTTTGAGTCAGTGGCTCTTTGCGGTCCCGGACTCCCAGGGCCGTCGCTCCTGCCGCCAACCACCGCAAGACGGTACTTGGATACTTGGCTTTGGTCGTGGTCTCGTGGGTCGCGACTTCGAGGTCGCTCCTTCTCACCTGAACGCTCACCGCTCAACCAAAGCCCGCTTTCCCAAAAGGGCGGCCACGAGCGACCACCACTTACACACGCGCCGTCTCCCTCGATTGCACGGCGTCGCGCCCTGGGCAGGGTACTCAGACCACTCACCGTCCCGCCACCGAGCCTACCGACCGTCAATTCTCCGCACGAGGCGGCCTCTCAAGCTGCCGCCGGTCCTCACCAACTTCTGCCTCTTGCACAAAACTAGAACCAGGCCCAGACGGAGGAGCAGACGACTGCCTCATCGCGACCGCAACCACCGCCAGCGGCTTTGCGTATTGAGCATGCCCCATGGCCTTTTGGGTGCTCGGCGGAGGCGAGAGTAGCCTCCCTCGGGCCCGGGATGTCTCTCCTCCCCAGCATCGTCAGCAGCAGCATCTTCACCACGACGATGATCATTCGGGATGGGTCTCTCCTCATCATCCCGATCGCGATTTGAGGGGCGAAGGAGAGCTTGGCGGTGGTGGCGATGGTTCCGGGTCTAGTCGATACTACGAGGATGAGAGCGTGATGCTCAAGAGATCGAGGACCCTGCCATGGACGGTAGGCAGTAACCAAGACTACATGAGCAGATATGCCGTCCACAACAACCACCACCGTCACCAACAGCGGCAGCTGCGAGAAAGGCATCAGTACAACCAGCAACCCGAGCATTCGATGTTCTCCTCTCCCGACCTCAGTCACTCCATACCCGTCAACAATCTCGCCTTTCTCGTCATCCGCGAGGGCGATTCGTCGTCGCCCAACCTCGTCCCTTCCCCGTCTCCCTCTCCCGAGCCGCCACAGCTCCTCTTCCGTTCGTCTTCCGATCAGGGAAACCATCCCATCCACTTCGGCCACGGCATGACGGAGCCCTTCTCCAGGCCAGGCACTGCGCCTTGTCCGATGGCTGCAATGCCAATGGAACGCACGGAGTCGGGCCTGTCCATCTCATCATCCGCGTCGGCCGGAGACTCCCTCTCCGATACCGACTACCTGCTGCCTCCCGGCATCACTCTGCTCTCGGATCACTCTGCTGCGCAGCTCGCCTGCAATCACATCGCCTCCTTCCGCCGCCGCTTCCCCGATTCGCAACCTGAGCGAATTCTCCGCGCTCTCATATCCCCTCGTACACGCGGTACCGATTGGCCTCTTGACAATGACGCGCTACGCAGCATCTTCAGCGCTGCCAACGAGCTCTTCTTTGCCAGTCGCCTGACCCGCCGCGTGACGTGGGACTGGAGTCACCCGGATTGGGGGCAGTACGAGAGTCACATCGTCGGTACCACGGCCGTGCGGCCTTGCGCGCGGCTGGGCGGTTGGGAAACATTGATAGTGCTGTCGTCACCGATATTGCGCGATACAAAGTACAACCGGAGGCTGCTCATCTCGACTTTTCTCCACGAGATGATCCACAGCTTCATGTTTGTCATGTGCGGACTCAAGGCGCGTGAGGCAGGCGGCCACACTAATGGTTTCCGCCAGATTGCCGCCGTTATTGACGAGTGGGCAGGGAGAGAGTACCTGCGAATGGGCGACATGGAGGCTGATCTGGAGCGCTTCCGCGGTGACGTGTGCTCACACATGGATGAGGCACACACTATCCAGGCGAAGTCAGTGACAGCAGAACAATACGGCGCCGGTGGCGGGAGGGACGAGTACCTCATGCAGCCGATATCTCTGCCACGCCTCGATGGTCACAACGGCCAGCACCATGGGCATGGCCACCATTTCGGCCACCAGAGATACGACCAGGCAGTCTATGGAGATTGGCAGTGGCAGCCGCGCGAGGACTTTGGGTCGCGCGACCCGCCGGCGTCCTCGGGCCTGCCATACGTTTACTGACGGGTCTGTTGCGGGGAGAGGTCCCCGACTATTCCATGTTGCCATATGTCCCCTTTGTTCAAATCACATGTAGCGGCCAGCATGGTTGAGGAGTTCTTGATTTCGATGTTGTACACAGCCGTCGGGACTACGTACTTTGCAAAGTCACATGGCTGTGAGTTGCGTTACGGAGATGGAAGACGTATTCGAAAACTGCATTAGGCGAGCGTGGTGTCTCCATAGGGCTTACTGGAAAAGAAAGTGCAGTGGGCGCCTGTCACCGCTCAAGGCATTGTACCGTTGTGAGCACGAACAAGGTGACGTAAGATGGCCTGTTGAGAAAGGTGGCACCAAATGAGTCAATGCTAAGATATGTTCAATTGCACGTGTCCATGTCCTCATCCTCATGTATAGTCTTGACGATTGCAAAGGCTCCGTGTTTAGCCAAAACAGTACCCGACGCCGGCCATGCATATGCCACGCTCCAAATACAAGACACACCGGCATTATTTTGTATCAATCTCGGAAGTCATCTCCGTCGTGAAATGTTCCTCATGGCCTCGTTTTCCTCATGCCCCAGTCACCTCCCGGCATCCGTATTAGTTACCTGCTTCCACCGTTGATAGCCTGGTAGGTCGGCCCATTCTGTTTCTTGGATCCAAGAAGCGGAGCATCGACTTGAGCGTCGTCGTCATCATCCGACTCGTCCACCATGGCCGACTCGTCCAGGAAGGCAGCCGAGCTATCGACGAGAGTCTCTTCACCGTCCGAGTCGCTGTTCTCTGCCGAGGCCGTGGGGCCGTCTCCCTCGACAATCATGAAGGCGGGTATGGCGCCGAGGATGGCGAAGAATCCGAGGAAGAAGTAAGCCGATACAATGTAGCCGTGGTCGGCGCCCCAGGTGAAGGCCATGCCAGTCAGGCTAGGGCCGAGAGCACGGCCGGTGCCGCTGCAAGCCGTAGCAAAGCCGTTGAGCGTGCCGAGAATGCGCAGCGATGTGCACGAGTTGGTCAACAGGATGGTCGTCGAGGGGAACGCTACGATGATGGCAAAGGCTTTGAAGATCATGACCGCCATCAGCGCGGCGAGTCGGCCGTTTTCAGTTGGAAACAACGAGGTATACGGCGTCAAGAAGTATACAAACGGCAGCATGACACCTACGCGAGGATTAGTGTCCGTTGTTCCCGCAGGGAGCCACGGGATACCTACAGCAGACTCGGAAGCAGTGCAAAACGCCGTAGCGGTTTACCAGGGGCGGATAGAGAATAAACTGGATAAGCCCGCAGGTGATTCCGTAGATGGTGAAAATTGTGCCAATCTTGCCCGACTTGAGACCAAAGCCACCGTTGAAGTAGAAAGGGAGCTTGGTGTTCTCCGGTGTGTGCTCCTCAACCGGGTGGTTCAGGAAAACGGTAATGTTCTGGTCGTAAGCGACAGAGTGGAAAGCGAGAAAGGTGTAGGCGGCAAGGTTGATGACGGTCTGGCGGGTAAAGACGTCCTTCATTCCCGGTGCAGGCCCATCCTCGAGCTTCCTCCGCGGTTGGACCTTGCTGGGGACAAGGGGCGCGGTGGCTTCGCCGTCGACGAAGGAGCTCCTCCTGCGATGGGCATGTCTTGCGTTTCGACTGAATGCGCGCGAGACGCGTTCACCGACTAGGAGACCCCAGTCCTTGCGATCGCGCTTCGAGGCTAGAGTTTCCTATAGTTTTGTCAGTTACAGACTGCAGGCACTCGCGAACTTGTACAAACCTTGAGAAACAGTGCGGCGCTGGCCGCAGAGATGAGGAAGAAGACGGTGGCTATCAGGTTCGGCAGGGCATATGGAAATTTCTTGAAGAATTCAATGTTGCCAAAGACATCTGGATATTGCCTCGCGGGCTGGGCGAAGAAGCCACCAAAGGCCGGACCGACGACGGAGCCAAGAGACCAAACCAGAGGCATCACGGAAAAGGCTCTGGGCTGCAGTTCCTTCTCAGGGACCATCTCGGCGACCATAGTCCGGATGATGCCGACTACTCTCTCGTTAGTAAGGTCGACACCAGGGAATGGCGTCCCACATACCGTTGCCATTGCCGCCGCCGAGAAAGGCTCGAACAGTGATGGCCATGGCGAGACTGGTCGACATGCCCCAAACGATGAAGCCCACCATGGTACTGATGAGGCCGCAAATCAGGATAGGTTTTCGGCCGAAGCGGTCGGCGGCCTTGCCCCAAGGAACCGCGGCGATAGCCTGAGCTATTGAGAACATGGCCGACGTGAAGCCCGCCCACTTGGCGACTTGGTTCTGCTCGATGCCGAAGTCACGAATCATCTCCGGCAAATACGGGAAGACAGATGTATATGCTAAAGGTTCGGCAAAGCGAGCCACGGCTGTAAGGCTGTTAGCACAACGGAGCTGAGCGAGGTGGTGAGCAGTACCCTGATGAGCATCCGCAGAAAGGAAGTGGCCCCTTGAGCCAAGGCAGAGCTTGCGACTGGACTAAACAGCTCGCCATGATGATGCCGCGGCCGTGCTCCCTAGTCTGAATAAGAAACAGGCCTCACTATGTCCGCGACTTGAGGGGATATCATGACAGGGAGCTGGTTATCCAAACATGAGGAGCATCTCGCCACAGGTTGTGGAAGAAACAGCCCGCAGCGGACGACGGCCCTGACAAAGCAGAGGGACATGCTCGGATGTTACAGTGGTGTAGCAACGGGTATGCCGTACCTAATATGGCCAGCTGCTGCACGGGCAGCTTTGGCTTGGATCTCGTCCGTTCCGTCATGGTGGCGAAGTGCAAACTGACGACGGTGTCGAAATTTCTCGTTCACGCCTGACGCGCCTTCTGGCAAGACGCGGTTTGGGGGGTTGAGGCTCCTCAGCAGGGTAGGGCAGGAAGCAGCGGGCGGCTCTTGCAAACTTGTGGCTGCCAAGAAAAGCATTCGCCCCTCAAAGACAAACAAAGCAGGAGCAAGCACCGCGATGAAGTTTTTTGGGAGCAGAGTTGGTCCGGCTTTGCGGGTATTACAGCTGCGAGCAAAGAAGTCATCATCCGCGCCCGTCGCGGGCCGGGCTGCCAGCGGCAACGCCGCCACGGCAGGCGAAAAGCCTGGCAAGCGTCAACAGCCGCTGCAGGGTTCCCGCCCTTCCGCCCACCCATCCATCACCCAGCGGCCGGTCAGTCAGTTGGCTGCATCGAAGCTGCAAAGGTGGATGCATCGTGGGTCAGAAATGCGGCGGGCGGAGCCACCGAAGGGCGCGCTAATGGCGCCCCAAGCTCAGGTTTGGGGGAGGGCGCTGGGCGCTTACAACATGCAAGTCGCTCGACCTGATGAACCGCTCTGCAAGGTTTTGGGCCTCGCGGCACGGGTTGTATTCATTGTGGTGCTGTGCTTTACAGTACAGTACTGTTGTCGTATGGTTGCCCAACGGGCGTCGACGTAGATGACGTCTTGGTGAAAATACAATGCGGGCTCCATTGTCGCCCGTCGTGTTGTTGGCCGGTCCTCGGACGTCAGCTCCTCAGCGAACCAACCTGCAGGTATAGAGGCAGCTCGCGCAGCAGCTGGGTTCCCTTTCTCCCCCGCTGTTCGTGTAAGGGCCCCCCTGCCTGCACTTTCCGGTCTCATGACCGGGAAGCCAGCAGCGGATGTCCGAGAGCGGAGCCGTACCGGCGCCGCGAGGGTGAGGGTGTGCGGGCCGAGACACGATGACGAGCAGAATGGTTCCCGGCCCGGCAAGACGGCGAGCCGTTGCCTGGATTGCTTGGGCAAGGATGGCAGCCTCGAGGTCAGCGGGCATGGCAATGAATAGCGGTGTCGGCCTCCATGACGCAGCGGGCGGGCAGCCTCGGGCGCGTGCCCTGCAAGCAGGAAGGCAATGCAGTCACCGCCTGCGCCTGTCATTGGCGACGGCCTGAAGGCCGCTGTCGGCTCCGGTGACGAGGCTACAGCGGCAATCGAGGCCGCCTGGGGCGCTGCCTCGCTGGGGCATGCGGGCATCCTCCGCCTTCTGCAGCCCAGCCGATTTGGGAACTTGCATGCCCGTGTGTGTGTCTCCCGGGATGCAACCTCCGCGTCCAGCTAACTTACCCCAGAACACAGTGACAATACGGGCCAAGCTTCAGCACAGCGGTTCTCCAGAGTTGAGGGCATGGGAGAAATGAAGCTTCTCCCACGGCGGACTACGGGCCGGCCACTCTCGGACCAGTCTTGCAAGCCGGCCGGGGGCTCGCTGCTGTCCCCCACGTACAACTACAGGGGTTAGGAAGTCCACCGGGCGGCGCAGTACGGAGCAGTAGCATCGTTATGTGCAAAGTGCAGGGCATGATAAATTGCCCCAGCTGTGGCTGCCGTCCCGGCAACTGTCGCAGCCTGTGTCACCCCGTATCCTGGCAGACCTCGGACACCCACAGCGGAGCGGCGCAATACCCTCCGCGGCCGTGAGACCGTGACCCCATCCAATGCCCCGGAGGCGAGGCCTCGGCGCGCGCCCGCAGCCGTCGTGGGTACAGTACCCTCGCCCCCGCCGAGCCTCCGCACCGAATCCACAGCGCCCTTCGTGCCTTCCAGCGGGCAAGTGGCTGGTGCCCTCTCCAGCTGTGGCTCGCGCCAACCACAGGCGGGCTTCCCCGCTGTTACCAACCGATCTGGAAGGAGCATTCCCGCGTGTTTCCCGCAAATCCCACCAGAGCTGTGGCTGGCGATAACGTCAACGGCCCCAATTTCGTAATCCGGCTCTGCGAGCTCGACAGCCGTGCAGGACAGAGAACGTCGCTATCTGCTCCTCTGTCCGGGCTTTCTTCTTGCTTCAATGCTGCTGCTGCCAATTCGGGCAACTTTTCCAACAACAGCAGCGACGCAGGATATCGACTCCGTCGCCGACCATGGGCAAGCTGTAAGTGACATTATTACATCAGTTGGACAGCCACACTCCCTCAAGTGACACACCCGTCACACACACACCCGTCAAGCTCCCGTGGCAAATCACCTGAGACGACGCGCGCTCAGCCGCGTCGACGCCCGTCCGACGTCAACCCATCGACTCTCTTCAATCGCGCTGACTCTGGCGTGCGCAGGCTCCCGTCCAAGCCAGACAAAATGGCCAACGAGTCGACGCCCCTCATTCAGACCGTGCGGGTAGGCCCTCCGCGGAGGAGATACCCGCACCAGACGTGCCGGCGCTTCTGCACCCTCGCCTGCACGTGCGTCCTCATCTTCGGCTTCATCAGCTTCGCTCTCCATGCCTTCCTCCTCTGGCCCTACCACCGCCATCACGGCCACCACAGCCACCATGCCTTGTCCAGGCACAACGGCAAATCCCTGTCTCACGACAAGCTCAAGTCTATCCTGCTCGACACCCCCTCGGCCAAGCACGCCAGGGAGTGGAGCCAGTACTATACCTCGGGGCCTCACCTGGCCGGAAAGAACTTGTCACAGGTGCGTCGACTGAGATTTTGCTATGTGCATAACGTAACTAACCAGCAAAACTCAGGCCGAGTGGACTAGGGACAAGTGGCAGGGCTGGGGCGTAAACTCCGAGGTCGTTGCCTACGACGTCTACATCAACTACCCCGTTGACCACAGTCTGTCCCTGCTTTCCAAGTCGGAAAAGGCCAAGTCCTGGACCGTCGACTTCAAGGCTACCCTGACCGAGGACGTACTGGAGGAAGACCCAACCACTGCACTCGACAACCGCGTTCCCACCTTCCACGGCTATTCTGCGAGTGGAAACGTGACCGCGTCCTTCGTCTACGTCAACTACGGCACCTACCGTGATTTTGAGGACCTAGTCGAGGCCGGCATCGACCTCAAGGGCAAGATTGCCATCGCCAAGTATGGCGGCGTCTTTCGGGGCCTCAAGGTCAAGCGCGCACAGGAGCTTGGCATGGTCGGCACGCTCATCTACAGCGACCCTGGTGACGATGGCAAGCACACTGAAGAGAACGGCTACAAGCCGTATCCTGATGGCCCTGCTCGCAACCCCAGCAGCGTTCAGCGCGGCAGTGTGCAGTTCCTCAGCGTGCGCCCAGGTGACCCGTGAGTACCATCTAGCCACCTGTGTCTTGAGCTCGAAGACTAATACGCTCAGGTCAACGCCTGGTTATCCCTCTAAGCCCGGCGCCCCGCGAGCACCAGTCCACGACTCCACGCCGTCCATCCCCTCCATCCCCATCTCATATGCCGATGCTATCCCTATTCTGAAGGCTCTTAACGGTTACGGCCCCAATTCTACAACGTTCAACAAGTACTGGAACCGCAACCTGGGCCTCGCCCACAAGGGCGTCAGGTACAACATCGGCCCGTCGCCAGACAATGTTGTCCTCAATTTGTACAATGAGCAGGAGTACACCACCACTCCCCTTTGGGATGTTATCGGCGTCGTCAACGGAACCATCCCCAACGAGGTCATCGTGGTCGGCAACCACCGAGACGCTTGGATTGCCGGCGGAGCTGCCGATCCCAACAGCGGATCTGCCATCCTGAACGAGGTGATTCGCAGCGTTGGCAAGGCCGTCGACGCCGGGTGGAAACCCCTCCGCACCATCGTCTTTGGCAGCTGGGACGGCGAGGAGTACGGTCTCGTCGGAAGCACCGAGTGGGTGGAGGAGTTTTTGCCTTGGATCTCTGACGCCAACGTCGCCTACATCAACGTGGACGTCGGCGCGTCTGGCCCCCAGTTCGAGGCCGCGTCGGCCCCCTTGCTCAATAAGGTCCTCCGTGAAGCCACCAAGATGGTCCTTTCTCCCAACCAGACCACCAAGGGCCAGACCGTCGGAGACGTGTGGGACGGCAAGATCCGCACCATGGGAAGCGGCAGCGACTTCACCGCGTTCCAGGACTTCGCCGGCGTCCCCTGCATCGACATGGGCTTCAAGGCCGCCCCCGAGAGCCCCGTCTACCAGTACCACAGCAATTACGACAGCTTCTACTGGATGGACAAGTACGGCGACCCGGGCTTCAAGTACCACGAGGCCATGGCGCAGGTCCTCGGCGTGCTGCTGGGCGAGCTGTCCAACACCATCGTCATCCCTTTTGGCGCCACCGAGTACGCCGACGCCCTGGACGGCTACCTCGACCAGGTCGAAGATCGTCTCAAGGCGGCGCGCGAGCCCACCTCCGAGGCCGACATCTTCGCGCTCCGCGGCGCCCTCACCCCCAAGGAGGTCACGGGCAGCGCCGACGCCTTCGAGGAGAGCCTCCGCACCGTCCGCCGCTCGCTCGTCGCGCTGCGCGTCAAGGCCGCCGAGCTCGACGACCTCGCGGCCTGGGCCAACCGCAAGCTCGACGACGGCATCCCCTGGTGGAACATCATCGGCAAGATCAAGCTGTGGATCACCATCGCAAAGGTCAACGTCCAGTACAAGTATTTCGAGCGCCACTTCCTCTTCGAGGGTGGCCTGGACAGCCGCAGCTGGTTCAAGCACGTCGTCTTTGCGCCTGGCCTGTGGACGGGCTATGCCGGAGGTAAGTTTTCTGATCGCAGCGAGCTGTCATGAGGCACTGTTTCTGACTTTATACGTACCTCTAGCCGTGTATCCTGGTCTGATGGAGAGCATCGACGCCAAGGACTATAACAACGGCCTTAAATGGGCCGGCATCATCGACCGCTGCGTCGTCAAGGCCACGCATAGCATCAAGTAGCCGTGTTGAATGAGATGCATTTGCGTAGGCCGATTTGTCTGGGCTGACGCCGACCAAGATCAGCAGTGCCTTACATAAATCATATTTTGGATCAAGTAGCAAGTTTTGGATCAATGGATACTTTCAAGACATTATTTCATTCTCTTTGCTTTAAAGCGACACCATCTAAAACATGTCGTCTACCCAGAAAGAGCATTCAGTGACCCGAGACGCCCCAACGCCCTTCATGACCTATTGGCCTCATTACTTGTGCAAACCCCAAGTGCTTTGCCTCGTGTTGCAACACCGGGTATTATCGTCACTCCAAGATCTCTCCATCGCCATCCCACGTATCCAGGAGCTCTTTCACTCGCCCGTGGCCCAGCCATCACATTAGTATCCTTGGTGCGGATTGTAAGGGGTAGGCGACGCTACGGGCGGCGGCTGAGCGTACGGGTGTGCCTGGTGCGGCGACTGCGACGGGTACGGGGCGGGGAATCCACCCTGAGGTTGCGGCGAAGGGGCCTTCTGGAATGAATTGCCGGTGTGCTGGGCAGCGAGGGGGGCGACGGGTGCGCCATATGCGCCGTGGTTGGAGTAGGGCGAAGCCTGTTGAGGAGGGAAACCCTGAGTCGGGGGGTTGTACATGCCCTGCGGGTTGTAGGCCGTCTCCTGAGCGTGGAAAGGCACGCCCTGCTGAGGAACGGCCTCGTAGTTGGACTTGAACTGAGGCTGCAGCTGAACCTGGTAAGGGGCGCCAGCGCTGCCGGGCTTAACGGGCCGGTTGTGAAGGCCGGCGCGTCGGTGCTTGTGAATCACAACGGCATCGGTGACCCAAGAGATGAAAAAGAAGAGACTGCACAAATGTTGTCAGCGACAAGTCGCAGAGGCCGTGGTCGGGGCGGGGACTCACAACTCCAGAGCGCCGAGGCCAGCCATGCCTGCAACAACTCCGCCGTGAATGACGTTTCGGCCATGCCTGTTGCCACACAGTTCGTTGTAGGCATCGTCATAGTCGTCGTTGTACCAGTCGCTGCCATATTTGTCGCAGTAAATGCTGTTGACGGCGAAGAGACCGACGGCCTGCACAGCGCACAGCGAAAATGAGGTGAGCCACCAGATGTACAGCAGGATGTCGAAGACAAGCGCAGCCCAGTAGTTGAACGATCTGGGCTGGCACGTATGCGCCGTGATGAGCCAGATGGAAATGGCAAAGGTGATAACGGACTGCAAGGCCATGTTAGCTCTGTGCTTCACTCTCGAAAGGGCTCGTGTTGCGCACCGTGAACATGGCCATGGCAGAGCCGACCGCGTACGGGATGAGAACGAGCGAGTAAGCCCCCAATCCCAAAATGATGAGACAGAAGAAGAGCTGGAGGGAGCGCAAGACTACCCAGCCTCTGGGGTAGTTGGGAATGTGCTCCCGGCCGGGCGCGCGCTGGGCGGACATTTTGGCGGGCTGTTTTCGACTGTGCTCGAGGGACGAGAGATGCGTGTAAGTGTTGGAAATGAAGTACTACGGACTCAAGCCCAGCCTCAGCAAATTCCTCGAGGTAAAGAAGGAGACGACGACCGAAAAGGACAACCACGACGATTTCACAAGAAGGGGAGGACTGGCTTACACGCCTGGGGAGGGGCCAGCCTTTTTGACCTGGGTGCCCATCGCGCGGGAAGGCAGCGAGCACCTCTTCGCGAGAACGCCACCTCACGAGCCTTCATCTGCCGGCCCCATCACACAGGCTCAATGCGAGCTGCATCCCCGTCGAGGTCGCAGGCACACGCCCACTCGCGTTGGCTCAATTCTGCCTTGTGGGACCCATCTCGCGAGCCTTTCTGTGCCAGATGTGAACCGCGGCGGGTGGGCAAGGCACAAGGGCGATGCCGGCCGGGTCTCGCTCGGCCAGTGGCCCAGGAGGCCAGGAGGAGGGCCAGGACCCAGGCAGGCGGGCTGGCCCAGTCCGCAGACGGCATGGGGAGATTGCTTCAAGGCGCAACGGCGTCCTTTCTTTTGGCCCTCCTGCTGGTGCCAGGCAATGCAAAAGCCGCCTGCGACGCGGTGGACGGCGTCGCGCTAAGTGCTGCGGCTGAGGGCGACGGACTGGGGTGTCGGGTTGGGTTGAGTCGGGTCATCTTCAGCCCCGGCTGGGAGTGACTGAGACGGGACAGACAGCGCAGTGATTGATCGTCGTCAACTTTTTTTTGTGTCGTCGCGGGGCAGGAAGAAGCGGATCCAGAGAACAGGCCCGCTGCGACGCAAAGGGGCCCACGGCAGCTGAAGAGGTTTGAGACGGAGGAGGTGTTTGCTGTGAAAAGTTCACGGACCTGGCGTTGCTTGCAGTCGGCGAGGGAGCTGGGGCTTGGGAGCATGGCGGCGCGACCAGGAAGGAACGACCCGGGACGTCCATCACACGAGCAGGAGCAATGGGAAGCGCATGTGGCTTGCTCCTGCCTTCGAAGTTCGAACCCAAGAACCAGCCACACTGACAGACCAGCAAACTCATCACGACAACGCACAAGCAATGAGCATCACGAGTTCCCAGGCCGCCTGCTGTTGGCTTGGCGTTCGCTTGATGGCTTGGCCCGCCCGCAACGGCGCCTCTTCTGCAACCCAAGGGTCCGCCAGCTCGTGGCTGCACAGCCATCAGCCCTATCTCAAAGTGTCGTCAAAACGCGCCCGGAGCTTGCAAACCCCCCGACAGGGGTCTCCAGCAAGCAGCCAAGCTCGCCAACAAACCTGCATGGCCCGCCCGCACGCCCCAAGCCATCATTCCGATCGGCCAGTTAGCGTGAGGTTGCGCGCCCACCAGCAGAGCACCAGGCAGGGGACAGACAAGCGCCACAGGGCATGCATGCTTTCAACACTCTTTTTGCCTGTCTTGGTTACCCGCCAGGCGGGCGCCTCTCCGTCAAGAGACACATGGGTTGCGCCTTGGGTGCTCGTTCTTACACATCTAGATGTGTATAAGAGACCATGTGGAAACCGGTCCGCGTTCTGGGAAGGCGGAGGGAGGTGCTGTGAGTCTGTGGCCACTTGAGCCTCATGGAGGTTCGTTGCCCTTGCCGTCGCACACCCAGACACGGGATGCCCCGTCCAGCCGTGGCGGCTGAGGCGCAGCCCAGAGTTTGCGGCGGGCGGCTCTCGGTGGCTCACCACCGTTCAAGACCCTCCAAGTACAAAAATAGGCAAGGGGCGTTCCGCTGCTTGGAGCGACCAATCTTGAATGTATTGAACCTCGTGACGAGATACGCCTGGAAAGAGGCATTGCCGCCACGACAAGGCTGCTTCACACTCCAAGCGGCACCCCTCCAGCTAACTGGACTCGACTTCACTTATGAATCGTCGCCACTTTCGGAGCAGTCGCTGTACACGCGAGAATACCTGCGCCACATCACAGCACCTCGTTCGCGACAGCAATAGACGTCAGTCGGCCTCCAGGCTTCACGCTTGTCACGGTCACCGCCGAATGAGTCAAACGAGAGAAGGGCGCGTCAGACCTGGCGTCTCTCCTGTCATCACTGTACGTCTATTGTATTCCGTCTACTATGTCCATCGTACAATGTCTCGTCTAGTCTACAACAACTCTAGAACTTGTACACCTGCTCCTTCTCGTAGCCGAGCTCCTTGAGGGCGCCCGTCAGCTCGCCCTGGTCCTTGGGGCTGACCTTGTTGCCCGAGATGGCCTTCATCAGGCCGGGCGGGCCGCAGACGAAGAGCTTGATGTTGTCGCTCTTGGGCTCGGGCAGCACCGTCTTGAGCAGGTCCTTGGTGATGAAGCCCGTGTTGCCGGCCCAGCCCTTGGGGGCCTTGTCGACGACGTAGAAGGCGCGGAACCGCTGCGGGTACGTGTTCTCCAGCTCGGCGAGCTCCTTCTTCAGCAGGATGTCCTCCTCGGAGACGTTGCCAAAGACGAGCGTCACCTTGGTCTTCTCGTTGGGGTTGCTGAAGATGGTGCGCAGCAGCTGGTACATGGGCGTGATGCCGGTGCCGCCGGCAATAAGGCCGATGTGCTCGTGCTTGTTCTCGGCCCACGAGTACTTGGGGAGGGGTCCCTTGAAGTCGAGACGCTGGCCGGGGACCATGTTGTGCAGGTGGCTGCTCATGGGGCCGTCGGGGTACTTCTTCACGAGGAGGTCAACGTAACCTTGGGCACCTGTCCGCTTGTGTCAGCGCATGCCTTCAAGCCAAAAAGCAGGGAAGGGAACCTACTCTCGTCGCTGATGGGGGTATAAGGCCGCAGCGTGGCCTTCTCGTCGTTGGGGCCCTTGTACTTGGTCAGGATCGCGCTGGCAATGTGCAGACCCGAGACCATGTCGCCCTCGGGCAGCTCGAAGCGGAAGCGCTTGGTGTTGTGGTTGACGTTCTCGACATCGGCCAGCTTCAGGGACACGAAGCCCTGGTCGCCGCCGGTGAAGGCAGGCTTGGGAGCGGCGCCCGTGGCCTGCTTGACCTTGGCCTCGGCCTGCTGCACCGCGGGCGTGCCAGCGAAGTAGTAGTAGCCGGCACCGGCGAGGGCCGCACCGCCGGCCAGGTACAGGAAGGTGTTGGAACCGGGCTTGGCGCCGGACTCGGTGGCGTACCGGCGGGCGTGCTGCGCGGGCAAGAGTGTCAGTCTGTATTCACGAGAGCGGCTGGGAGCGGGAGGCGGGCAACAACCCCGTCGATTGCTCCCTAGCACTCGGCACACACAAACATACCGTCTTGAGCGGCTGGGCCGCGCGGAAAGCAGATCTGGCAAACATCTTGGCTTGTTCCGACTGCGGGGAGGTCAATTGGGGGTCGAATTGGCCGCGGAGGGAAAAGTTGTTGGTTGAGGGAGGCCGATGATGAAATGGACTCGACCGAGGAGCTTACAAACCGCGCGCTCGGGGCTTGTCGGGCGGTAGTGGGAACTGGCAAGCTACCGCCCGCCCGGCACGCAATTGCGGAATGACGCAGGTGTCACGTGACGGCCAACGTGCCGCATCGATCTGAATTCCAGGCTCAGTCCATCGATCCAAGGATCCAGGAACCGAAACAAGGCGCCTCCCGGTCTCAGCTTGTCAGCCACCTGGGTGCAGGTACTGGAGGGCATCGGGCTTGAAAACAAGCTCAACACCAAACATAGCACAGAACAGTCCGGCGTAAGCCTCAAGCACAATCGCACCCAGCACATCTCAAGGATTCTTACTTGCTGCTGAGGACCACCCAGCCAGCTTGTCACTTGAATTTTGTATAAGGGTCGTGTAAAGTCATCCGAGACCTCCTCCGGCTCCATTTCGTCAAGCCAAAGGCCGGTCTCCTATCCTGTATTGCACACTCCTTGCCATGGACTCATGCTTCCCTGGTCAGGCCAAACGCCGCAAAACAGCCAACTCGTCTCTTTCGTCCCCTCATATTGCATTTCAATTGTCGTTCCATCAATTCCACATATCGTGCTCCCTGCATCGCCGGGTAACGGTATATAAATCCCAGTGGGCCCGCCAAAGCTGCCGCTGGTGTTAGTTGTCTGTCGGTCTTAGCCTCGCTGCTGTGTGGACCTCTGTCATCGAGGAAACGTCGCTGCTCCTGAGCCCTAATGAGCACGCAGAGCGCTCGATTGTGCCCACACCCGAAGCCGAGCAGCGGCGAAGGTTCGCATTATGAGGAATGGTGCCAGGTATTAGTTGCGAAACGCCTCACCGCCCAGTCTCCTTGCCGTGTTCTGCTGTCTCGGCAACCCTGATGTCGGAACCTTCTGATGCCGAGCCGGGCTCCGTGTCAGGCTTTCGGCCGGAATCCTGGCCCTCCGTGCGGAGAAGAGTCGTGTCTGTATGCTGCGAGATTGTGGGCGTGTTGGCCTGGCTGCCACCCCTCTGTCCGTGGTAGTGGATGACCTGAGGCGGCGTCTGGCCGGCTTGAATGCCCAACTGCTCCGTAGGATAGGGGTTCAAGTCCTTGCTAGAGGTCGAGAACATGGACACTACCGGTTGATGATAGCCATTGGTCGGATTACTCGAACTGTGGTGGTGGCCCTCGGGGCCGCCGTGCTCAGCCTGGGTCGGCGTACCGGCTTCGTTGGGAGAGCCCGAGCCGTCTCCGATTTGGCCCGTAAGACTGTTCATCCCACCCTCGATATCTCTGAGTAACCGCACGTACTCCTCTGGCACCAGCCCACTCTCCTGGGTCTTGGGATCTTCCGCCACCAACCAACCCTGGCCGTGGCGATACGAAACCCAGATAATCTGGCCTTCGACCAGGGGCAGCTCGTTTTCGTTTTCCCGCTCAAAGTCGAAGAGGGCCACCGCTTTGCCATGGAATTCTTCGTCTGGCGACGTGATGGTGAACTGGTAGTCTCTCGAGTACCGTGACTCGTCCGTCTCATTGTATCCTGGGGATGACAACGAGTCAGAATCCTCCGAACCATACAGCTCGTTCTCGTTGATCCGCTGCGGGTAATGGTACGCACGGCTGTGTCTCGCCTGGTCCGCGGGGTACGTGACAAACTCGCCTCCCGGGCCGTTGGCCTCGCCCCCTTGGTTGACGTAGTACCTCTCGCTGCCGTCTCCAGCCGTACCCACGTAGTATCCCCTCTCTCTGTCGTAGTTGGAATGATTCATAATGCTTGAACCAGGTGCATCGATGTCGCGGCTGGTGCGGCCCCTTCCCGCGCTCATGGTTGCCGATGTCGACTTGTGCTTCCGGTGACGGGTCGCGACGACGGGGCTCTGCAGGTCCTCGTCTTCGCTATAAGGTGGGCCATCGCCGAACTGGATGGGCGGGATGTCGTGACCGCGGTTGAAACCATCTGCGGTCCATGAGTCCCACGGCATCTTCTGCTCCCACGACGCCGGGGGATCAGATAGTCTCCGGGTCTCACTCGCGGGCGTGGTCAGCCCGGAAGGAGGCCCAGAAGGCTCCGGGGGCGGCCCATAGTGCAGCGGGTGGGAGGCAGGATACGCGAAGTCGCGCACCTGGGTGTACGGGAGGCTCGAGGGAAACATGGGGAACATGTGCGACTGCGGCCGCGATCTGGAAGGGACAGAGCTCGCAGAGTATTGCGACAGTCGATGTCTCGAGGCGTGTGACATGGGTCGTGGCAGAGTGCTCCGGCGCGAGGGCGTAGATGTTGTCAACGGCGGCAAGGCGGGGTGGTTCGCGATCGACGAGGGAGAGGCGGCGTCTGGCGCTGGAGAGGAGGCGGGTGACGATGACGTTTCAACCATGGCGGCAATTGCCATGATCCGCCGCGGCGACGCAACTCGAGATGCGAGCCCCAGAGACTGGCCGGGCCGTTACCTGATGACGGTAATGGCGCAGGTCGCCCAACAGCGGCGCCGGGCCCGTCGCTGCGCAAGTAGCCGCGCGTTGGACGGATGCTCGCTGGGCCAAAAGGCCGGATGTGACCCGCAGGCGGGGTGGTTGTCTTTGTGTCTCGTGGGATGGTTTCGAGGCGCGGGAGGGCGCGAGCTGCCGGGCGGAAGCCAGACGTGGCGAGGAGCTGGGCGCGATGACCGACAGTGGCACGGTGCGGTCCTCACGGAGTTGGAGAGGAGCGGGGCGGCAGGCGCTGTGCGATGCCCCGAGCCCTAAGACAACTTGAGGCTGTCGGCGGTCGAGTTGCGGGCAACTGGCATCCAAAAAATGGCGCTGCGCGAGGCCGTCGGCGGCACAAAGAGGCAGAAGGCCGGTCAGAGCTTGGATGCGGGTCGCCGTGTCGACTCGGGCAGCAGGACGCGATGCCAAGAGGCAATGCTGGCGAGAGCGGTTAACGGGATGCTCGAAGAGACAAGACGCAAGAGGCGGGATGGAGAGGAGGTGGAGGTCGGTCCTGGCGCCGCCGCCTCCTTTGGCCTCCACCTGTGCTGCGACTGGAAGTGGATGGCGGGCTGGATGGATGGAGGGATGGAGGGATGGATGGCTGGCTGGCTGGCTGGCTGGGTATGGGGGTGGGTGGAGGATGAATGGGGGAGGCAATTGACGGCACCTCGCCTAGGTCGGGGGATGGATGGAGGGTTCCTGGGCTGCTTGCTGCTGGGGCCACCAACTGGAAGTGGGCGCTGGCGAGGCGGGCCTCGCTTTACGTACTTGCAGTTGTACAGTACAGTACAGCACAGCACAGCACTGTACCTCTTTCGTTGCGCTGGAACTCGGGCAGTAGGTTTAGGTACCTTGGAAGTTAGAACTGGCCTGCCCACGGAGCTGGAAGCGCGGCGCCTTGCGGGCTCGTCGTGATCAAATGGGCGCTCGCTGCACTGGCTCCAGGCACTAACTGGGGGACTCGGCGAGGCGGGCAGGTAAGCGCGAGGCCCGCCGACGCCACTGGCCAACCTCAGGGCCTGTGAGATGGTTGGACGAGTCAGACGGCGCGCGCGTGGCCTGTCATCAGGCTGTCTGTCAGTCAGTCTGTATGTCATCTCGGCTCTGCTGGACGAGGACGAGTGTGAGGTCCAAAGACGGAAGAATAAGTGGCACACCACCATACGTACTCCGTGACTTGTCTGTGCTGCACCGTGTTACGATGGAGGCGCAGTGGTTGCCGTGCTGACCATCATGGAACGGCCCTGTCCGAGGGAATCACAACCTTGGTACGGAGCTGTTGAAGACGACGCGCAGGGCGGGCAAAATTCGAGGCAATCTCACGCCCCCAGGCTATGTCGCTTGCCGTGCCTTGGCCTTATATCATGTATACGATGCGTCAGACTCTCTTATCATCTGTCTGCGCTGGCAGCGCCTCTCACACGGGCCTCTGCCATGCTCAAGCAGGCAAACCTAAGACCGTCACTTGGTTGTTGGTCTGCACGACAGCGTCGCCCTAGGTACAGCACCTTCGCTCCCAGTGACTGTTGGTGGCGCCGGCTTGACAAGGACATTGTCGAGATGGATCACAGCCCTGCTCCAGGCCCACAAGTAAGACTGACAGTGGCTCGGGACTCCATGTAAGCATTCATCCACGAAGTACAAGTCAATCAGGTATCCTGGTTTCGTCAATATGAATCATCTAGACAGCAGAGCTGCCACCGTGCCGTCATGCAAGGGCCCCGACAAGGCATCACAGACTTGACGAGAGTTGTCTGGTCGCGTTTTTGAGCCTGTCTCGCCCGACGGTCTCGTTTTCGAGTACACCGCACTCTCTCATGTAATAACTCGGTCGGCGGATAGCGGAGATTGCCACGATGCAACTCAACTCTGATTAACGCTGAAACGTCCGGGGTTCAGGACGAGGGAGCATCCGCCGAGGCACCCTGCCGCCCGCGTCCCAAAGACGTGTACTTGCATCCGCGCTGCCTCGACGAAGGCGCATCCAAAAGTGTGAAACCATGGTTCAATGTGCGGCACTGTCCGGCGCGAGGGCGACTCCGGCACATGTCACGTCTTGTCACGAGGTCCGTCGGCAGGACGCAGCACAGGTTGGTGTCCGTACGCATACAGACGCGCGTACAGAGAAGTTTGGAAGGCTCCAACACATCGTTGCTACTTCTTGGCGGCTGTACGTATGTTGCAGAGGGTGGTAGAGGTGCTGTGCGACGGCACAACAGGCCGACGAGGGTGCCATGAGCTGCAGCGTGGCGTGCGTCTGCAGACAGCTCCCTACAGTAGCTGATCGATCTCGCTACGCACTGACGGTGATCTAGGGGGCCTGAAACATGACGCTGGGTAGAACAGCACGCAGCTGGCCATCAACCGTCTGTCAACACCAAGATTAACTGCGCTTCTTGACCTGTTTGACGGACGGCTGTCCTGAGTTCCGCCGCACGCTGCCGTATCCCGCTTAATGCCCCTGCTGACTTCTCGGGTATCACCAAAGGTTACACGGACGCTACCTTATTACCAGCCCGCGGGCGCTATTTTTGGGCCCTGGAGAAGCTCAGCAGTGAAGTGATCCAGGGACCGGGGCGTTAAATGATGATTGGAGCACAGGGCATCCCGTCGGTTGTTTCAGGTCATGCAGGCGCCTGTTAGCCAATCACCACGGCGTGGAGAATCCCGTCACTTTTCGCGCGGCCTGGCGACATCTGCTTGGTGCGCTTTGCCGTGGCACGCGACTGAATGCCCACACGTGAGGATCTTCTTTTTGCGTGACCACGGCAATCTCCTGCGTGCAGACATGCAAGTGTCGTTCGAACTGGAAGCTTTGGATTGTAATCGCCGGCACGCAGCCTTGGAGTGTCGCGATTGCTGACCCTGACGCTCCGAAACCGGTGCTCACTCAAAGAACACATTTGGCGGCGTCGGTAGAATGTACATGCTGCGCCGTACTTCTCTGCGGCTGAGGTCCGTACTCGTTACCTGGTGTTCCACTTTGTAGGGCCAGCCTGCCCGGAGAGCTCTCCAGCCGGGCTTTAGCCGCCCCCACGTGAACGTCTTCAACGCGTCCCGCTAACTGAGCTTCTCCAACCTCATCCAAACACCGACATTTTCTTCCACTCAGTCCACATCCCGACCACTCAATGTCTGCGCGAGCGCCGCGTTCGACACCTCGCCGTTCTGCTCGGTGATTTGGTTACGCCAATTGCATGAGCTGAACACTGCCTCAAAGGTAAAGAAGCTTCACCGCTACCGCCCTCCACGCCCTCGCAACCTGATGAGTCTAATTATTGGAGCTGTCTGAACTCCCTTGCTGAAAACCATTTTATACGCTTTTTTATCTGAATTGCAAGCTTTCACAACTGCTTTGTTTGCCAATGCCTTCAGTGGTCCTATGCTGACACAATCTGTCCTCAGCTTCCCGCGGCGCGCACTCGAATGATGCACTGGCCTGGACCATTGAGCTCCTCGCTGCCAGCCACGCCCAGATAATTGGACAAGATGGAGGTGGTAAATGGGGCAGCAGCCCCTTCGGTGCAGAATGGCACCGGAGAGGGTCAGGAGTCGTTCAAGCTCAAATTTTGCACCGTCTGTGCCAGCAACCAGAACCGGTATGCACCAGCGCAGCACTCGATGCGCCTGACAGCTTCCACTGACGGCGAATTAGGTCGATGGAGGCACATCTCCGGCTGTCACAGGCCAACTTTCCCGTCATCTCCTTTGGTACTGGTTCCCTGGTCCGTCTACCAGGCCCCACCATCACCCAGCCCAACGTCTACCAATTCAACAAGACTTCGTATGATAGCATGTACAAGGAGCTCGAGGCCAAGGATTCACGGCTTTACAAGAACAATGGCATTCTCAATATGCTCGACCGGAACAGAGAGGTCAAGTGGGGTCCCGAGCGATGGCAGGATTGGGCCGTTGGCGTGCCGCGCTTGCAGCACGCGAAAGATCGCGGCCACGTCGGCACTGAGGGAGGCCTTGTGGACGTAGTGTTCACTTGCGAGGAGCGTTGTTGGGATGCCGTCATCGATGATCTTCTCAACAGAGGTTCGCCGCTCAACCGCCCGGTGCACGTGATCAACGTCGATATCAAGGACAACCACGAAGAGGCCCACATTGGGGGGCAGGGCATCCTCGACCTTGCAACCTCGCTCAACAAGGCCGCAGCAGAGGAGCGCGAAGCGATCGGTGCCGCCGCGTTTGACAGCGGTAGTGCTGCCAGCCGGGCCAGCTTTGACGAGAGAGTGCCCGAGATCCTTGGCGCCTGGCAGGAGCGGTGGCCCAATCTTCCATCAACTTGGACCCTTGCGTGGTTTTAGTGTTTTTTTGTTCTACAAGTCACGATTGATGGCAGCCAGGCGTTTATTGGTTTGGGACTCACTACAGGGACACGCGCATAAGACGTTATATTTATCAAATCTATATTTCCCACTCTGTTTGTGGGCCATCCCTCTCAAGTTCTTCCTGCTGGCGAAAGCTCCACGCCCCGTTAATCGCAGGGCGTGGTCGGTGCTCTCCCGATCTCACTGTATGTGCACCACGTGCCAAATTGTGTGCGTGGAGGGTAATCGGGGGATTAGAAAATGTTGTGGATGGACTGTGATAGCGTGCTTTGATGCTGAATGCACCTTGTCTCCGTGCACCATCGGAGCGAGGCCAACACCTTGAACCTATTTGACCTTGAAATCCCTTTAATATGCCTGATTGCATGACCGACTTCGAGAGACAAGATTTGGGCGTCAGGCGCGTGTGCCTTAATACCTGGTATTCTCAGCTACCCTAAACGGCCATTTCTGCTGGACCCGCACGGACGGGAAACTCTCACAATGCGACTCGTTTAATGGCATGTCCCGCCTCGGGTAGATTAAACTCAGCGGTATTTTCTGTGAACCTGCTTAAGTTGTGCAGCTTGAGGACTACGGGGGATACGATTATCATGTTTTGGGTGTGTTCAACAGCCAAATTTGCGTATACGACTGTCACCGTATGCTCGCGCTCCCACGCTCGGCGAATCTGCACCGGCTCATAAATGATCAATCGCGATAACAACCAGGCAAGCAGTTCCAAGCTGAGCCGCTCCGTCGGCACGCCGTTGCCAGCTGAGCGCCTCCACCGCCTTGCCGACATTCAGCTGCGATGAGCTAAATCGCGGGATGATGCAGATACGAGGGCGCCGATGCTTGCGCCAAAATGGCGGAGCCGGCCGTCCACAAAAAGCTTGGCAACGTAGCTTGTTTGCTCGACATGCCATGCGACTGTTTACTGGCACTATTTTGGGTTGTTTCGGCAGGTAGAGGCCTATTCTGCGGGAAAGTCCTTGGGCTGGGAGGCAGCCAGTTCTACGACGACGACGTCGTTGTCGTGGGCTACACGCACAACCTTGAATCGATCTCATGTCATTTTTGTGTTCCTCTTCCCCACCCCCCCTGCCTGCCCAATTGCCAGGGTCCGGTGTCTCGGCGCCGGGGCGGGTTGGGAATTGCAGCCGAGTCGGAGCGCGCATTGCAGGGGCAGCGGTGTCTCACAGGCGGGAAGCTCAGCTGGCCAGTGCGGCGCGCGAGGGGAGCTGGGCGCGATGCCAGTCGCAAGGGATCAGTCGCTTGCCCTGCATGTCGTCATATGATTCACGCTGCAGTTTTGCAAGGAGAAAGCACCGTGTAAGTGCATGCAATCACCGTCACAAACAGACAGAATCGTGTCTGCGCACGAGGTCTTGCCGCCGCTGCACCGCCAACAGGAGGATCCTGTTCCTGACCGTCGTGCCGGGCTGGCCGCGGTCTGGACCTCAAGGGGGGGCAGCACTTTTGCGCTGCCCGTGGTTGGGATGACGGCAAATTGCACACGCGCAGCAATGAACAAGATGGCAGTGCAGCATCGTCTGACGAGGGCGGCATGGCAGCTGAGAAGCGCGTTGATGGCACGCTGTACCTGCTTCCTGTGCAGACTCGAGCGCATTCGGTGTTGTGTCATTGGTGAGCGCCAGGGCGGGCTCGCGTCCCCTTGCCTCGCGAGGAGGACCCATGCTGGCTTGGCGATGCGAAGTGAATCTTCGAACAGCTTGGCCCGCAGTCATCTATTCGCCCTCGGCGTCCTGCGTCGTCCAGTCGCAGGCGACGGCGAGCAGCGGGCAGCTGCGTCGTCCGCGTGGGCGGTTGAACCCCGCGACATGGGCTGCTTGGCGTGGACCAACCCGCATTCACGGCTTGCAGTTCGTCCAGACGAAGATTTCGGCGCATCCCATACCTATCCCTCTCCATCGTCAACAGCCCCCTCGATGCGATGCGATGAGATGGGCCAACCCAGCGCAGCTAATGAGCGCCGGCGACCCGCCCCGCCATCCCAGGCACATCTTGAAAAAGAGTGGGCGCTAGCGCTAGCCGGTGGGCACAATGGACAAATCAGGGGGGGGCCCCGGCGGTTAGGCCATTCAAGGACGGCGCTTGCTCAGGGGCAGATGGGAGGGCTTGCCAGGCACAGGACACTGGCACAGCTCAGGGCAGGCACAGTGCAAATCAGGCACCAGACGGGAGCCAGTGAGATCCTGCAGACGAGGTCGACTTTACCTCGTGCTGGGCCCTCTCAGATCCCCTCAGGCGCCAGAACATGAACGGGACCGCCGCAGTGGAGAAGGAGCGAGAGCGCCGCTGACCGACTGCCCCCAAGCAGGCTGGGACCGACGACGCTGGGTGGCCAGCTTCAGTCACGATGGAGAATGCCAGAGGGAAAGAGAGGGTGGAGAGGCGGCGCCCCCCCAAGCCCCCCTTCCCCCAACGCCGCAGCCTAGTGGGCCACGAGCGAGGGGGGAAGGAGTCCTGGGAGCTGGAGAAGGGGGGGAATCCATGAACCCAAGGCTTGTCGAGTGCTTTGAGGGGCTGCTTCGCGCCGGGCACCTGTGCCTGCGCTCTGGAAGTGGGCAGCTGCAGGGTTCCATTCTTCGTAGGCCCTTTCCAAGGCGTCCAGGGGCGGTTCAAGGGCGGCTTGTACGACGCCGCAGTTGCCGGCAGTGGCTGCTGGCCAGTCAGGGGCCGAGGACCAGAGCTTCCATCCAACGGGCCTGAACCGGTGCTGTGCTGTCGGCATGCTGTGCTTTCCCCCCCAGCGATGGACTGCATGAATGGCCCTGGAGATTCGTCGGCATCAGTCAGGCACCGTATCGCGAATGCTCGTCCGTACCGTGCCGGATCAACACAAGCGCGAGGCCACCAACTCCCTCGTCAGTGACACCATTTTGACTTTATGCTTTCTTTTCCTACCCTTCCGCGACCTGGGCAAAACGACGACGAGCACGGCGACGACGTCAATACAGCAGCTGTCCCTCTCGACACGGGCTCACGCACCTTGCCATCCCGGTCCGTCCGACCCCCAAGCGAAAACACGCGGCCTCCAGCTCCTTCGCACATCGGCCAAGTGGGCGGCAGAGATTGCCTGCTTGCCTTGATATAATTTGCACAGCAGGGGCAACGACGGCCTCATTTCCGACCGCCCGCGCAGCGCACGCTTCCGGGCCCTTGTTGTGCCCCGAGCCACCCTGCGATTGCGCGCTCGCTACCTGGAACGCAGCACTCGGCCGCGCCGTCCATCCATCCGCCCCCTTTTGTCCCCGTCGATACGGTGCCGCCCACGGTCGCGCATCCCCTGCTTCCCGCACTGCCGTTTCAGACGCACACGCTTGAGCCCGACGAGTGACCTTTTGCTACGGCGCTCGTACGAGTCCGTGACGCGGGTTGGTTATCCAGCACGGCACAGCACATAACCTGCTTTATTACCTGGTACGCGTACTCCGTGCACGCTGGGTACTACTTGTATTGTCAGGCCCGGCAAGCATTCTCTGCCGGTACGGACTACTTTTCGCCCATCCGGAACCGACTCCCGGCCCGGCGCAGACCAACAGCGCAGGCGTCTCTGGGTGTACGAGGTAGGCGCTGGCTTGCATGCACCACGGCCGACCCAGGCATCTGTTTGCTTGCCTCGCGACGGCGAATTTTATATCGACTCAGCTGATACCATTCAGCGACCTTGTGATCTCGAGCTCCTGGCAGTGAAACCTGGGGTGCCAACCGATCACGCCGTCTTCCGCGCTCGAGCAAACAGGGGGGGCTATAAGGTACAGTAGGTACATACCTAAGGAGACCCCGACCAGGTGCTCCTCCGGCGGCGCTCAGCGCCCTGTCTCGCCCCAAGACGGAGCTGGCCCATCAGCGAGCGACCACTACGAGCACTGCGACGCCCACCACTAACACCACCCAACCACTGCCACCACCACCCACCGGGCTCCTCCTCCTCCCGGCCACCTCCCGGCCACCCGCCAGGGGCAGTGCTGCAATCCGTGTGGGGAACGGCCACAACGCCTCGACGCACCCGCCTCAGCGCCCGTCCCTGCTCCTCGCCGCCTTCTCCCTGGGCCTCTCCGTGCGGTGAGACACTCGACCTCCACGACCCGAGGCCGCCGCCGAAATCCTCCTTCGTGCGGCATTCATCCCTCGCCTTCTTTGCCGCAACACACCTCGCCGCACAACACCCCGATCATGAGCGCTGGAGGCCGCAATGCGCCGCTGTCTCCAGTCTCTATAGGCGGTAGCGAGTGGTCGTATTCCGCCAAGTTGCCGACCTCTGCAGACGACGCCGGCCCGTATCCCGTCATCAACAACAGTCGCGGCAATCTTGCCTCGCCTCCCCATTCGGGAGGCTCCAACGGGGCCATGAGCATGAATGGCTTCCCAACTGGGCCGCGCAGCAATGGCGGGCCATCGCCGCCGCCCTCCATCGGCCGATCCAGCATCGGCACCAACATGTACTCGGGAAGAAGCGAGGGCAACCGCAACAGCACCCGCACCGATATCGACGACTCCGTATTGAACGAACACTACATCGCCCTCAGGGCCTTCCTCAACGCACGCGACCCAGGCGCCCGACAGCAGCCCAACAAGGCCCGCGACAAGCTGCTGCGACTCTCGTCGGTGCAGTTCTACGAGCTCAGCACCGATGTCTACGACGAGTTGATGCGGCGCCAGGCCACGGCCAGAGCGCCGCCAAATGCCCCCAATACGCCCCCAGCCTTTCTCCTGCCCGAGAAGTCGTTCCACCCGAAGCGAAACCAGGCCCGCCAAAGGCTGTCGTCGCTTGGCCCTCCGCGATTTAGGGACCTCGCGGCCGACGTCTTCCACGAGCTCGAGAGGCGATTCCCCAGCTTCGTCGGGGGCGACCCGATCCCCAGGGTCGGCAGCGCCATGTCGATGCGCGGCGGCCCCATGAGGACGGGTACGCCTGCCAATGGCAACATGTTCCCGCCTCGTGGCCAGAGCCGGATGCGAAGACCCTCGGATGCCAGTTCAATCCGTGGCCCTCCTGGGCCCGATGGCTACGGGATGCCCCCGTCCCCCAACATGCCGAATGGCGAATTTGGGCGACCGATGCCTAAGCAGCTCAACCAGAACAATACAATCGTACCAAACAAGAGCACAATGGTAGAGGAGGACGATGGGAACGGCGAAGAGGTGCCGGGCAAACGCAGTGTCGTGAGTGAAAACCTACCTGCGGGTTCTTTCGCGGAAAGCTGTACTGACATATCTCTAGGCCGATGAGAAGCTCATCTCAGACTACGAGACTCAAGTTAAGGACCTGCGCGGGAAGCTTGACAGCTTAGAAGACGCAATGAGGAAAAAGGACGAGGAAATGAACGGCATCCTGGACGGGGAACGCTCGCGAGCGACGGCCGCCAACATGGAAAAGAAGGAGTGGGGAGATGTTCGACTGAATCTGGAAAGCAAGTTGGCAGAAGCCCAGAGCCTCAACAAGTCCATCAAAGACGAGCTTGAGCGCGTGCGAGACGACCACGACAAGGAAGTCCACCAGCTCCGCGACGAGCTGGCCGAGATGCATCAAGGGTCAAAGGGCGGGCCCACTGACCCGGAACTGCAACGAGAGAACGACGAACTACGCGAGTCCTTGCGGCAGCAGCAGGCAGTCACCGAAGAGGTGCGGCGCGAGGCACAGCAGTTTCTCACGGAGATGCGCACGCTTTCTCAGCAGAGCAGCTCGACATACGAAAAGCAAGCCGAGATGGAGCAGACGATCGCGCAGCTGGAGAATGAGGTCCGGGACTGGAGAAACCGATACGCCCGCGCAAAGACTCAGGTCCGCAGCATGCGGGCGTCATCACTCGGCCTCCCGATGGAGCCGGGTATTGCAAATTACATTCGCGACCGAGGTTTCATCGAGGAAAGCGGGCTCATTAAGGATGTGCACGTCACCAAGTTCCAAATCGCCATCGACGAGCTGCTCCAAACCGCGCGGAAGGAGACGCCAGACAAGGTGACCGATGCTATGAAGCTGGTCGTGGTCAGCGTCCGCCGCATAACCAAGGATCTTGATGAGTCGGCCCCCCGCGACGATGAGCAGGCCCACCAACAAGCCAAGCTCAAGGCCAAGGTGTCCTCCACCGCCAATGGGCTCATCACGGCGTCCAAAAACTTTGCTGCCGGCGCGGGATTGTCTCCTGTTTCCCTCATCGACGCAGCTGCGTCTCATCTCAGCAACGCAGTCATTGACCTCCTACGGATGGCCAAAATCCGGACTAGCCCTGCAGGTGAACTGGAGGACGACGATGACAGGTCCCTGACGCCCGTGGACTCTACTGCCTTTTTCTCGCCGCGCAGCCCAACTGAAGCCTCGGCACAGGATAGCCTGCCTCCCCCACCGCCGTTCCAGGGGCTCGGGGGTGTCCGGGCGAGCGCCGAGTCGTCGGCGTACAGCCCCATCAGTTCCCCTAGGGAATCTGTCGATCCGTATCCAGGGTCTGGCACCAACGGCATGACGAACGGCGGCGGCTACATGGGCTACGACAAGAGCCACGCGGCAGGCCCTGGCGGGTATGGGCTACAGCAGGGCGACAGCCGAGCCGCGGACCTCAAGGTAGCTAGCTACGGCACCTATACGTACGGCTCCTGAGTCCAGCAGCGGCGCTGACCGCTGTGTAGATCTACCTGGATGACCAGGCTGCCGTTCTGGTGTCAGACATTCAAAGACTCGTGGCCAGCGTCCGGAACGATTCTGACGTCGGGCAAATCAACAATCAAGTGGACTCCATCGCGGTGATTGTCGGCAAAGTCATCTCAGAGACAAACAAGAACGGTTACCGTGGTCATGCGGCCCAGCTTAATGACTGTCGAGACCGACTACTCGAAGCCATGGAGCGCGGCCGAGATCTCGCAAGCTCGGGCGTCGACCGGGATGGTAGGGACTGGCGCATGTGGGCGCAGACTCTGCCGCCCATTGCCTTTGAGCTTGCTCGCGAGACCAAGGAACTTGTTCAAAGCATCGGCAGCGTCAGTGGTCGCGAGGATGACGAGTTTTCGTGATGCGACTTCACAATGATGAATATTCCCAAGCCTCTGAAGGTGCTGATGAGATATTCTGGGGCTTTCCATAATGTTTAACAAGGCGTCGCCGAGGCGACCAATGCGTCTACCCGACTGGGAACGGCTTCTTGATACCCCTGTGTGTGTGCGTGTTGGGACGATGATGGCGCAGAGAGCGCTCGTCGTCGTGGAAGAGATTACGTGGTGGCTGGGCGAAGTTATGATGGACGGCATGGGCGCGGACGGTCCCGCCAGATGACGACAATGGAAGGCCCAGGGTTGGGTATAGAGGTACAGAGGTACAGTACACGCTGGCGTTTCGAATCGGGGTAGAGCATTGCTTGGTGTAGCATAGGGCCGAGCTGCAGCCCCGGGACAGAATATAACGTTTGACGAGGAGTGTTGTCGAGGGCTGGTCGCGGCCCGTGCAAGACGCGTGCAGAGGCGCAATGTAAATGGCGCGGGATGCGACGAGAGACGCAGGACGGTGCAAAATCGCCGTGTTCAAGCGCGTCGACAGCTCCTAGTGCATGGGAGAAGTGCGTCGCCGTGAGATTGCTAGAATTCCAGTGCGGCACATGTGCTGGGCTGGTGAGCTGAAAGCGAGGCGATGAAGCCACAAAGGTTGGATGATGGCCAGGGCACAGGGTATTATTAGCAGGTCGTTGGATACGAGGCTTCGGCGGGTGCTTCCATGCTTCCATTCCCACGGAGTCGGATCTGAGGCGAGATTTGAGATCCATCGGCATGCATGCAATGCAGCTGGGCTGGGCCGAATTCCCCGTCAGCCGAGCGGCGCCCGCGTGGCGCTCCACTCTTGCCTCTGGGGGGTCAATGCACCCTGGATCCCTGGATCCCTGGCAGCGGGCGTCTGCCTCCATCCTTGCTCGCTGCCGGCAGCGGCACCTCATGTCTATTTATACTCTTGGGCGACGACGGCGGCGACGACGACGACGACGACGGTGCATCGTGCGTACGCTGGGATGGTCATGTAGTTTTGTACATGTACGGGACGAGCAGAGCGTAGAGGCTTAGGCTGCCTGTCAATGGCGCGCGAGGCATGACACGAGCCAAGGGAGTGGTGGGAGAGGACGGCTACGCGGGACGAGGGAGCGATGAGGGCTTTGGGGGCAAGGATGCTGCGACTGCGAATGGGTAGGGCAGAGATCGGAAAGGGCCCATTCGAAGGGGCTTGGGAGAAGGGGGGCAGGGCGGCCGCATCGAATTCATGTGCCAGCGTTGCGAAATGCAGACTTGAGAAAAAGGTTTGCCCCCTCGAGGCGCCCTCGGGGACGCCGCAGCGTGCGCCGGCCGGCCGGCCAGCCGTGCCAGAGCGAGTCAGGCGAGAATGGGAGGCTCCTGGGGCGGGCGGCGGCGGGGTGGCCGGCGCGGGCGCCCCTGAGGTGGCTACCTAGGTGGACGATGCAGGTACCCATTTCTTGTCTGGCTGTCTGTCTGGATGCATGCACATGCGTTCGTGCGTTCGTGCGTGCGTGCGCGGGAACACGAGTTCTGGCGTCTCTTGGGCCCATGGGCACGGGGAACTGTGCACATGTGCCAGCGTCGCACTGGACTCCGGGGGGCCCAGAGAACGGGAGAGAAGGAGTGGAGGGGGCAGCGCATGGACTGCACTCTAATCCTGCGCGTAGGGCTGAGTCCTCCGGCGGGCTGGATACCAATCGAAAGCCGTGCCCATGCCGGCCGTGGCAGGGGCAGCACACACCTACTTACCACCTCTCACGGCGGGCCCCGATTCGTGATGTGTGGCGGCGGTCGGTGGGCGGGTGTTTCGGATGCGCGCGCAGGCAGCGCTGCGGCGGCGATTGAGGAAAGTGAGGTGTATGGAGGGGGTTCGGTCCATGCGTAGATGATGGAAGGGCGGGCGCATGAGGCGACCTCCATTCGCTTGCACCCCCCACAGCTGGGGCTGGGGCTGGGGCGTTTTCCAGCGCACCAGCCCTGGCAGCCCACCGGGGCACGCAGGCGAGGAAGCAGCCACCTCTGGTGTGCGCCGGAGCGGGCAGCGACTGCCTGGTGCCCACGGCCAGGACGGACGACGTCAACGACCCGACACAGCCTGAGGGCAGCAGCTGGAGGGGCCGCGGGGGGCTTACGTGCCTCCCCCTCGTCGGCTACCAACGAGGTAGGTACCCGCTGTCGCAGCCGTTGCTGCCCGGGCGGGCGCCTGCCGCCATCCGGGCACCTCATGGACGGGCTGCCATTGCCACCGGGCTGCCCACTAATACTGCCACTGACCGCCCCCGGCGTGCTCTGCCTCGATGCAGAGATCAATTCATCCGTTCCCATCCATTCCTCCACTGCGTCCGCACTTGGAACCCCTTCGCTCGTTCGCCTGCACCGCAGACATTCGCCCAGCCGCTGCCGCTCCTCGAGGAACCGCCTCGCGCTCGTCAAGGCTCGCGACCAAGTTTGACGACGACGACGACAACGACGACGTCGTTGCGGTCACCGCCTCGCTTGCCGCCTCGCCAATTCGACAGAGAGAGCGCGGGGGACCCCTGTCGCCGGCCGCAAGCCAACGGCCTGGGAGGCACGTCACTCAAAAGCCTTGCAATCGGTCCACGTACGGCCAAACGCCTTGGTCGCCTTTGAGCGACAAATACACCGCCACTGGCCTTTGAATTCGCCAGGTCCGATCCGCGCCGCTCCTTCTGCTCGCCTGCGCTCGTTCAGCACGGCGGCTTTGTCGCATTCGCTGCTCGCTGCGTGACTTTGTGCTGCCGGGCGACTTGCTCTGGTGCCGAGTTCAGCTCCTCGACTGCGTCTGCGGCCTGCGTCGCAAACGGAGACGCCGCCATGGACTCTCAGCCCGGCGCATCCCACGACATGGACCTGCCACGGAGCGCACACCTGACAACGTCATCGCCGCGCGATACTCTTGAACCTGCTACCATGGATGCCCCTGTCCCGGCCGGTGCAACTCTTGCCCAGAGTGCGGCGCTTGTTCCGAACGGCGAGGCGGCCGTCGCGGCGCGCCAAACGCCTGCAGCCTTGTCTGACGTTGGCGCATCAGGCGACGGTGGCCCGGTGACGGTTGTTGACGCAGGCGCAAGCTCGGAGACGGACACCAGCATCGTTGCTGCGCAGGTATCGCAGTCCGCATCTGACAGGCCAACGTCAGCCGTCCCCGACCGGGATTCCGAATCTTGGGTTGCACCCCCGGCAGCCCTACAGACCCCGGCCGCCGGGACGCCTGCAGCGGGTGATGCCGCCCTGGCGACCCATCCCGGCGCATATCCGCTGTCATGCCTACCACCACCACCGCAACCGCAACTGCAACCGCAACAGCAACCGCAGTCGCAACTGCAAGTGCAACCTCAGCCAAACCCCACTTCAATCAGCAGCGCCCGCACGCTGAGCACTCCAAGCGATACCCCTCCCTCTGCGAGCACGCCCACAGAATCAAGGCCCGCGGCATCTGAACAGAAGCACCACGAAACTGCCGTGTCAATGGGCGTTGTAGCATCAAAGCCCGCCGGCATTGAACCGTCACGAGCTGACCATGACCGCGACGAGCGTGACGGAGCCCAGGTCGTCGTACCTCAATGTCCGTCACCCGCTGCGCCCACTGCCAGCTCGCCGGCGAGTGATTGCGGAGCACACGGTGGCCTTGTTACACCACCAGAGCAGGAACTTCTGGCTAGCGACAACAATTTCCACATCGAGTATGATTATGATGACGTCCAAGGACACCGAATCCTGCGCCTCAAGCCCACGACCGCTCAGTGGGACGACTTCCCCGCCGTCCTAGCTTATGCCAGGAAAATCGGCGCCCAGGGAGACGGCTGCTTCAAGGTCATCATCCCCGAGAGCCTATGCGAGCCGCCCCCAGAAAAGGCGACCAAGGCGGTCCCTGCCAACGCATACAGGGTGAAGCAGATTCGCAAGACGACTTTCTGGCAAGTTAGCACCGTGCCGTCCGACGGCGAGTTTAGCTCATCGAATACGGGCCCCGAGTTTACCGGCAGTGTCGACGCGGCGTTCAAGAACCTGCGAAGGCTGTTCAGAACCAACAAGGACAGGCAGATGCGCAACGTACGGTACAGGGTCGACGTCCCGGCGTGGACACCAAAGCAGCGGCTCGAGGCCGGTGTCCCGGAACGTAGCCCGCTCCATCCTCTCAAGGGTGACAAGCTGGACCACACCAAGGCCGTCATCCCAGGCATCCACACTCCGTATGTGTACGAAAGCGGGCCATACTTTGGCGCGACCTTTCAGATCCACGCAGAAGATTTTCGCCTTGCCTCTCTCAACCATCTCTACAAGGGCCGCAAAATCTGGATCGTGATCCCTTCCACGGCTGTCGATGTCGCTGAAAAAGCACTTGGGCGGGGCACCGGCTGCTCGCAGTTCATGCGCCACCGTGCCGAGTTCTTCTTCCCCGACAAGCTGGACAAGCTGGGCATCCCGTACCGCCTCGTCGACCAGCGCCCTGGCGAGACGATTGTCATCCTGCCCGACGCTTACCATGAGGGCTTCAGCACCGGCTACACCATCGCCGAGGCTAAGAACTATGCCGACGCGAGCTGGAACACGGATACGTATCAGCCCTGCGACGCCACCTGCAAGCTGGTGACGGCAATTCCAGCGGCGTTTATGCGGCCGCTGGAGGAGGGCGAGGCGAGACTAGATCTGTGCGCGGCGTACGGCGACGACGGAAAGCTCAAGCCGTTGGAAATTCCGCAGAAGCGACCGCACGACGCATTGGATGACGGTGTGGACGCCATTGCGGTTGCACCGTTTGTGTCCAAGAGCATGCAAGCTGTGGCTCTTGGAGAGCCAGACCTGAAGCGCGTCAAGGTGTGAGTGACGAGGGGAGCATTTTTCACAACAGTGAGAGGACCCGCCTCTGTACTTTTGGCGTTTTTGGGGAAAACCTGTACAGGAGGCATATTGCATGTCCTGTGGACAAGGGAGTCGGGGAAACGTGCTTCGGACTGCGTTTTGGGTCCTTTTGCTGCAATATACCCCCGTGTACTTGGGACGGCGACGGGAGAAAACGGCGTCAGCATTTCGGGAGTGCTTGCCAACCCTCATCGACGGACGGGTTGGCGAGGGGGGGCGCATGTGCATTTGCTTCAGGGGCAGGTGGGAATGACGAGGACACGCATTTAGACGCTTTCTGGGACTTGAAGGTATCATTACTTGGGCAGATAGACGGCCGGTGGACGGATGGACGGGCTGATGGTGCTTTGTTCCATCTCTTAATGCATCTAAATTTGGGGACAAAATGGTACACAAGCCGTACATGTGACATGGCCTCCGTGGCCAGCCGCCCCCCCTGCCGCAATTATCTTCGTTTACCGTCACATGGGGTTTCATGATATTCTACACATGGACAATGCTGACGCCGTTTGCACAATCGAGTGCGAGTCCCATCTGCTGCCTCCGTCCCGCGCTCGCTGTGGCCGTCGACCATTGTTGATGAGCGACAGCACGTCTATCCAACGACGTGCTTTGCTGCTGCTGCTGCTGCTGCTGCTTCTGAGCCCAAATTGCCCTGCCTCGGAGCCTAAAACATGTCGTCGCCGCGCCTCTGCCTCTCCTGGCGGGCGACCTCGTCCCTGAAGGCGTTGCGGCCAGCGCCGGTGGTGCCCTGGCGCTCAAACGTGGGGTCGACGGGGCTGCCGGCGAGGCTGCCGAGGCCGTCGCTGTCGCCGCGGGGCCGGCCGGCCGGCGGCAGCTCGTCCGAGTAGTAGTGGTCGCCACCGTGCGGCGGGGGAGACATGGGCGCAGCATCGAGCTGAATGCCGTTATCCTTGGCGGCACCTCCCCCGCGGCGGAACAGGTCCCTCCTCCTGCTGCGGCCGTCGTAGCCGCGGCTGCGCCGGGAGCGGCTCATGATGTTGCCGAGGTCGATGCGGCGCGTCTTGCGGTTCCAGATGCAGAGGCCGACGACGAGGAGGGCGATGGTGCCGAAGACGACGGGCAGGGCGATGACGAGGGTGTCGCCCTTGGGGACGGGGCTGGGCGTCGTGTGGTCGAGGTCCGGGTCGGTGATGGCGACGGGCAGGGGCGCCGTCTTGTTGGTCACCTCGTAGGAGCCCTTGACCGAGGCGTGCAGCGCGATGGTCACGTTGTTGAGGCGCTTGCCCTTGAGGAACGAGCGGTCCACCTTCCACGCCCGGAAGCCCCACGCCGCGGGCACGCGCTCAAACGTGTCGAGGAGCACCATCTCGTTGGACGTCGTGTTGAGGTACTCGAGCCGCACGGCCACCTCGTACGTCGAGTTGCCGGCGAGCTTGTCCGACGTGCGGTTGTAGTAGTCGGGGTCCCAGGTGACTGTTTAGCACTCCCCGTTAGCACTTTACCTTGCCATCCAGGGACAACAGGCCTTCTCAAACCCGCACACCGCGGCCGGGCTTGATGGATATGTGCAGAAAGTGACCTGACACGGGGCGGGGCCAGGGGAAAAGACTCACTGTAGTAGGTGCTGCCGGTGAGCAGCGTCGAGTTGGCGGCGGGCCGGCAGAAGGGTGCGTTGGGCCCGTCCTTGTTGAAGCAGCGCGAGAAGGAGCCCTCGCCCGTCTTGACGTTGGTGGCCGTCGGGTTGGGCGGCTCGCCGGTGCTCGTCGTGATCTTGCCCCAGGTGGTCCACGTGTAGATCGAGGCCGTGAGGTCGTGGGGGGCGCCGTCCGCGACGGCCGAGGGCGTGCCGTCGATTGTCGTCACGCTGGGCGTGATGGTCGTGGACGGCTGGCCCTCGTCGTCGACGACCACCCAGGGGTCCGCCGCGCCCCAGCGGTCATTCGGGCTCTCGCGCTTGTTGAGCTGCGCTGCTGCGTCGGGGGGTGGTGTCGGGGCGGCGGCGGCGGCGGCATCGCGGGCCTGCAGGGCGGTGGCGGGGATGGCGGCCACGGCGCGGGAGTAGACGGCCAGGACGGCCAGGAAGGCGGGAGCGCGCATTGCGAAGGGGGAGTAGAGAGGTCGGTATCCGACCGTCCGTTTGTGAATGGACGGGTTCGCGAGTTACGTCGGCGACCAGCAGTCGCAATCAACCACACAGCAGCGACAGCACACACACGTCGAGTTGGCAATCAGCAACCGTGCGCGAGCCGCGAATTGATGAGAGAAGCAACGCGCGCGGGATCGACCGTCGAGGAAAGAAGAGAAGGACACGCCGGGCAAGGGGGGATGAAGGAGGGTAGGTCGGGAGGTAGAATCGAAGATCTCCAAAAACTAGAAGCGGGATGGAAGGCCCGGAAGGCCGTCCCTGGTACACGCTTGGTAGTGCGACGAGGCTTTTTCCGTGCCATTGGCCCGGGGGCAGGTTGGCGGGTGCCCAGCATAATTTTTCTGGGGGTGCCGTGCCGACGACGCGCGAACGCCGGCAGCGGACTTGCCGTTGTCCACTGGCGAGTAACTGTCTTTCAACCATTCAGTTCCGCCTGGCAGGCACCACCACACCACACCACCACCAGCACCACCACCACCGCCCGACACCATCCCCTCGGCACCGGCGGCTGGCCCTGGCTGGCGCTACGCTTGTCGGGCTCTGCCGGGGCGCGCGCCCCACGAGAGACTGGCCCCATCGAACCTACGTACGTACCTAGCGAGGAAGTCCCGCGGTGGGCGAGTGGCGGGCCTTGGCTTCCGGCGCTGCCGTAGGCTCCGGTTCTGTCAGGCGACGCGAGCATCCAAAGTGATACGACCAAAGCATTACGACTTCAGCAAAAGCGGCTCGACCAACGGCATGCCGATGTGTCAAAAACCGCCGAACCCGTATGTGCGGATGACATACAAAGTACAGGCATTGAAGACGCCGCTCGTCTCCCCCATCCGGCAGATGCGCCGTTGACGACGCCGCCGCCGCCGCATTGCCGCGGGCACAGACTGAAACGCTCTTGAAGCTCGAGCCGGTCCTTGGTTCAAACGCCGCCAAACATGCCCCCTTTCTCCTCCAGCGCAAGCCTCCGCAAAACGGCCTGCCCTGGCATGGCCTCCCGTGCCAACCATACTGCGCACCACGTCTGGCCCGCCGCTGTTTCACATGGACCCTCGCCGTCCCTCGTCCTGCCAGCTCGTGACAGCCTCGGGCCCTTTCAGATACACGAGGTCGACGCAGTGCACCACTTTCCCATCCACTGTCGCCTTCTTGATGCTGGCGCCGACTCTGGTGGTCAGGTTATTCATGTTGTTGCGCATCTGCAGCGTCGAATTACGCGGCATTCGCTCAACCAAGGCAAGCGTGTTGGTGACGTTGTACATTTCAGCGAAGACGGGTCCATGGTTGTAGGCGTCGAAGAGCGAGACCCAGGCCTCTTGGTCACCCTTCTTGCCAAATATCACCAGAAACATGGAGCCCGTGCCCAGCTCATCATCCGGCCTCACGCCGTCGCGTTTCACGAACAAGGCGTACCCACAGAACTCGGCCGCTCCCTCCGTGAGGAACATGTGGCGCTGCGGATCCCACTCCTCCATGGGCATGACGAAGCTTGTAGAGAAGGGGAAGTCCGGATAGGGCGTCTTCTCCGCCGTGTTGAACCCTTCACGCAGCATGAAGGCGTTGCTGTGGCTCGTCTCTAGTCGCTTCGACCGAGCTGCGCTGAGGTGTCTAAAGAGAAACAGGTCGCGTTTCTTTCCGGTGTCTCCCGCTGCCGCTACTCCAAACTCCGAAAGCCTCGCTCGACTGTAGACACCCCCGCCATGCGGTTTGATGAAGATGCCCACGGACTGCTGTCCAGTTGCAGTCACCTCGTCGCAGTTCAGCTTCAGGAGATACGCATCCTCCTTGGCCGAATAAAGGTTGACGTTCATGCGGAGGCCCTTGTTGGTCAAAGTGAACTCGGGACTATAGACTGTATCGCCCGCAAGTTGAACCGACCCCGACTGGGCAAAATCTGCAGGGGAAGCGGCAAAGACCCCAGAATGCTGGCGATCCGCCTGCGTCGCTCTCCACGCAAATATGCTGAGATCGTTGCTCTCGCGCGCGATTTCTTCTTGCAGTCGAAGGAAGGCTCTAGATCCTTCGCCGTACAGCATCGGCATGTTCACGTCGAATATGCCCAGCAGGCAGTAAGCCATGTCCTCAACACGGGTCGTTTGCCGGGTAGCGGCCCAAGACATCCTCTGCGCGATGGAGAGGGTCGGAAGGAGCTCGGGGTCTTCCAAGACGCTCGCGTTCACCATTGTGATTTCCGTGAGCATCTCGCCGATGGATGCCTTGGTTCCGCATGGCGCCCACGCCTGGTCAAAGAACTGCACCGCTCGAGGTGCAATCAGCTCCTGGAGAGTCCAACCACGCGTAAACCAGCGGCACCTGCTCAGGCTTGTCTTCTCCGGCCGACCGTCGACAACTGCGGAACTGGGCAAGTCGGCGAGCCAAGCGTAGCAGGTTACGGCGTCTCGGTACCACTGAAACATGGAATTGATGGCTTCGGTCAGTTCGGCGCTGCTGGTCTTGTCGATGCAGCAAGTGTCCACCCAAGCGTACTTGAGTCCCTCGCTCTTTGCCAAGGAGCATGTTTTCGAGATCTTGGCAAAACCTTGCTTTCGTGATCGCACAGTCTGGTCGGGGTTGATGAAGTCCTGAAACGTGACCTCTTCATTGCCCCAGGTATGTGATAGGATGGCATATGGTGGTGCGTGGGAGCCGCCTGCCATAAAATCCTCCAGGACTAGCGACTCGACGTTAATGAGCCTCATGATTGTCGTCGATGCTGCTTGAGACTCGGCCTAGCAAGAAGTGAATGATTGAGCCGCGACCGCATTTGATCTTGTGACTTGTGAGGAACAATGCTGTGGTTTTAAACATGTGAGCGGGGACACTCTCACTCCCTCGTCCCCGAATTGGCGCCTTCAGTTCCCGCTTGGGTGACAGGGCCCCTTGCAAGCTGCTACTCCACGTTGTGCGGCTGAAGTGGGCTCGACTTGGTCAACTCGGTTGCATGGCGCGTAAGCGGGCATGAGACGACTTTGGCCCGCTGACAGATGACGTTGCGAGTTGAGAGTGCTTGTTCTTGGGTCGGGAGCTTGTCCGAGGTATTCTCTTCTCCAGCTGTTCCTGAGAGCGTCAACCGTCGCGGTGTATGTCTCTCCCACACAACGCATTGTCAAGGCTCAAGAAGATTCTCACGGCGGTAGTCTCTTTGTATCAATACCACCCCAGTGGTCTGGGGAAATCCCATCCAGATTACCAGACTCGGCGGCCTTTCGAATGACGAGCGAGCCCGCGCCGATGTGCCCGGCCCCACACGGAGGCGGTTCAACGGTCAATCCCTGCCGACCAGCCGGGTTCTTTGAGCGGCCACACCGGCGCCCCGAGTTGACTGCAATCTCCGCCGGTATCCGTACACCAACCTTGGTCGACAATTGAAATTCACATAAGCTGCTGCCGCAGCTCTTTGTCCGTTGCTGAGTCCAGGGGTCTGTAGGCTGGCCTGTTGCCCCAACAGTGTGCGCTGGGGGCCTCCTCACATAGCGTGTAGTGTAAGTCCTTCGTAAGTGTAGCCTGTCCGCGTCCCTTGCGCCGGTCCTATTCCACTCAACTATGCATGACGGAGGAGTGGCTCGCGTGATGTTGGCGCCCGCGATGCTCGCGGCGCCCTGCCTTCCGGATCCGCGGCCGGGGGTTTGAAGGTAGTTGTTGGGAGCAAGCCACCAACAGCCTTCATGCCATCCTAGTCAATGCCATTGCATGGTTGGCAGGGAATAAGGAAGCCGCTCGTGGCATCTCCTTCCGCATGGCCGATGGCGAACCCGGCACGTGGATGACTCGACATGGCGGACCGTCAGCTGCCACGCAAGAGCCGGCACAAGAGCCGGCACGATGCTCTGAGCGCGGAGACAGGGGGTCGTACCTCCGGATCACCAACGGCAAACGTAAGTTGGCCTTCAGTGTTGGCGGCTGCATGTTTGATTCGAAAAGCCGATGCGGCATTTGGGCGAACAGCTCGAATGGGCGGTGTCGCTGTCTTTGAGGCTGTCGTTTGCGGACTTGGACCACTCGGAAGCTTGGGACGCAGACAGCGTTGAGTGTGCTCTGCCAGCAGTGAAACTGAGGAGTAGCAGATGTCCGCCTCTAGACCGCCGTTGCTGGCCGAGTGGGACAGTCCTGGCGGTGACTCTGCGAGGTGGAAGGAGCCAGAGCCACCACAAGGCAAGAGCAGCCGTGTCTTCTTCCCGCGCCTGCCGGAGACCAGCATTCGGCAGGCGCAGCCGGCGTGAAAGCAGCTGGCACTCCCTACTAGTAAATTAGGCCAGTGAACCTGTCAGCCTCAGGTATCCTGGTACGGGAACTTCAAGCACCAGCCCGAAAGAGATGGCACGGGCGTTCTGCTCGAATTCACGCAACGGGGACTGTATTGGTGCCACGACGGCAAGCCCCGGGAACGTACCCATCGCCTTGTCACAGTAAGTAGCGTCTCTGATAGCTCGATCCTGGTAACTGACCCCTCTGACAGCGACTCCTCGACGTGGTGATCGGGGCCGGAACGTGTAACTCGGCAAGAACAGCGCCTACATCACGATGACCGGTGACAGAACGAGGGCGGAATGGGTCAGGACCCAGTCTGGACTGGTAAGTTAATCATTATTCGCTGCCATCCAGCCATGTAAAATACAATCGCTAATGTTGAGTCAAGCCTCCCGAATATGCTCCGACCCTCTCGTCAGCGACTTCCGGCTCGAGTTCAAGCATCAAACTCGTCCGGTCTCCTGCGAAATCTTTTCTCCCCAATCTCTTGCCGCCTGAGCTATTTGCAGCGCTGCAACTTCGATCCTTTTGGCCTTGCCGGGTAATGTGTGCTCTCTGCTGGCGCCAGGCGGTCTCTTCAACCGAGCTATGAGCTCCAAAACAGCCATGTGGTCGACCACACGGACCGAATCACCGCCTCCCTTGGCCAATTCGGAAGCCACGCGGCTGGGTGTGCTGCCACAGTCGGCATTATCGAACAGACAGTTGCTGCATTTGCCGTCAGGGAGCAACTCCGCTGAGGCAACCACACATTGCGGGGATATTCCTTGCCCTGCGCGGCAGCGGCCGCACCGATCATCCGGATGCTGGGCGACCCCTCGTTCATACACCATGACTGCCTCGAGAGATCGCTTGTCCGAGAGGTTTGGCACATGCCTCCATCGCCATCTTGCCCATTTCCGTACCACTGGACTGGCCCGGAGTCTCTGAGGAGTCGCCAACGCAGCGTGGCTCGACACGGACCCCGCGATGTCGTCAAAGACGCAGAGAGCATGGATTTCTTTCGCAGCTTCGTCTTCACCGTACTCAATCAGGCGAGCGGCACGTCGCTGTAGGCCGCCTTTACAGACTTGTATTGCCGATCCTTGCCGGCCGTCGCTATCGCTCTCCTCCTCATCGTATTCCAGCTCGAGCTGTATCTGATGCAGCGACCGAGACGTAGCTATGGACTGCATGGCTGCAAGCAGGCGATCCCGTAGCATTCGAGGCGTCCTCGAGGACGCAGGCGTGACGGTCACCATCTCCTGCTTACCGTGCCTCGCGCCATCGCGATCGAGAGGCATGTCTGCGAGGTTGACGGATCATGGGCGGCAAGACAATGGGTGCTCTACTGATCCATGCGCTTTGAGACGCTGCTGGAGGTGACGACGGCCAGCGGTACGACGCGAAACACCGTTCGGGGGACACGGGCCACCGACCGGAGAGGGTACACGAGCGAGGCCAGCGAGGCCAGTGCCCGCGAGAATGTCGGAGACGAGACGACGATTTTAAAGAAACCGCTTGATGATGCCAGCCTTGCTGCTCAGCTCCTCATGCCGAGCGGTCCGCGACAGGTATACTTATGTGCGGGCATGCTATTATGTACTGCTCTAGCAAACAAGGGTCATTGACTAGTTCAGCCAGCCCAACCGAACAGCACGCGACGGCGAGTCCTGGTATTGAAAGATGCTGCCGGGCGTGGGGGATATGTTTGTCGGTAGCGGGAGAGGCTTGGCCCGGTCCATTTTCTGGCCCCTTCGCTGTTGAGCGGGCACAGAGACCAACGACGACGCGCGCCTCACGCGGCTTGCTGTGCCCGCAGGACGGGCTTTTAGGTAACAGCGAGGTCCCCGGCACGAGAGCCGCGGATGACGGCCCCATATCACTGGCTACTGGATGAAGACTGCAGACTAACGTGGTGCCTCTGCCGTCTATTGATGACGCTCGCTGCCTGTTTTCGGCGCATTGTGCTGTCTGCTGCCGGCATTGTTGGACGCGGTTGCTGTCAGGAACGCCCGCGCGGGCCTGCACGATGCACAAACGGCACACCATCCGACAAGGTGCACCAGAACAGCTTGGACAAGCGTCCCCCCAAGAATCCACGCCAGACCAGCCCTGCCTGTCAAGGGGGTGGGGGAGAAGAGGTGGCATGGTAACGAGGCAGCTTTGGTCTGACGGAGCCTACCTAGGTACGGTTCCCTCGCCGTGCCTTGCCATGCGTTGCCATGGCCTCTTCGCCACGTTGCTGGGCCTGGCCTGCGGGGGAGCGCCACTTGTTACTGGCCTGACCGAATCGTCGCCTCTGTGCCTCCCCAGTCGCGCCAACGATGGTGCAATATCAATGTCCGGCAGCGCAGATGCGGCGGCGATCCACGAATCGGACATGACAACAACATCGTGTGAAACGGCAATTGGAAACTCTGCAGCGATAACCCGTCCCGAGCATGCTACCGACCCCGTCCCGTACTTGTACGTCCATGGCACGGTGGACAGTCCGATCCTGGTACAGCGGATACGGCAAGCCAGGCAAACCTGGCAAGCCACGGCAGGGCATCAGGGCTCGGTGAAGCACACCCCCCGAGAGTCCAAGACGGCCCCCGGAACCTAGAGAGAGCTGGGCTTGGCTTGGGTCCTGGACTCGCACGCTCGTGGTGCGCGTTGTGGATCCGAGGATCGCGTGGATCTGTGGGCAGCCGGACCATTGGCCGCGCTCGCGGGACAGCGCTATTCCCAAGCGTCGAAGCCCCCTTCGTGGGGGAGGATGGGCGGAAGGGCCAGGTACCCTTGACGGCCCTTGCGATGCTGAGAGGCGGTTATCGTGGGGGGCAGGCCTTGGCGCTACCGAATCGCAGCAGCCCTTTGACGCACCTCAAAACCTTTCCAGGTGGATTCGCGGGATGTGCCACCGTGGGATGGGGTGGGTGGACGGGTGGATGGATGGATGGACGGATGGATGGACGGATGGGACAGGCGCTCCTTATAACGACGGCACCCTCATCTGGCGATACGGGCCGCCGTCCCCCCCCAGGTTTTCACTCTTTTCCCTGTTCCGTGCCCTCCAGCCAGACCCGACAGTTTTGATTCAGGTCTTCGACTGCCTCTCCCCAGTCATCCTTAAAAACGACGTCGAGACACGCCACCATGACGGCAACCACATCGTCCGGGCACATGAACGGCGCCAGCAATGGCCTGGCCGCTCCGTCGACCCGAGAGCCCCTGGCCCCGGGTGTATACGTGCCCACGGTGGCCTTCTTTACGCCGGAAGACACCATCGATGTCGAGACGACGACGGCCCACGCCAAGCGCCTGGCTGGTACCGGCATCGCTGGCTTGGTGACGCACGGCTCCAACGGCGAGGCAGTTCACCTGGATCGGGAAGAGCGCAAGCTGGTCACCCGCACAACTCGTACTGCTCTCGATGAAGCGGGCCGACAGGACCTGCCCGTCATTGTGGGCTGCGGTGCGCAATCGACGCGGGAAACGATCCAGCTTTGCCGTGACGCGGCCGAGGCGGGGGGAAGCCATGCCCTGATCCTCCCACCGTCATACTACGGCGGCCTCTTGTCGACGGAGCTGATCCTGGAGCACTTTCGGGCCGTCGCCGACGCCAGCCCCGTACCTCTGCTGATCTACAACTTCCCTGCCCCTTGCGGCGGTCTCGATCTCAGCTCCGACAGCATTCTCGCGCTGGCTGAGCATCCCAACATTGTGGGAGTCAAGCTGACGTGCGGCAACACCGGCAAGCTGGCCCGGGTCGTGGCCGGCACCCAGGGCACCTCGTTCAGAACATTCGGCGGCAGCGCCGACTTCACCGTGCAGACGCTCTCTGTGGGCGGCCACGGCGTCATCGCGGGCCTGGCCAACGTGTCGCCAAAGGCTTGCACTGAGGTGCGGCAGCTGTGGGTCGCGGGAAACACGTCCGAGGCGGTCCGTCTTCAGGGCATCGTCGCCCGCGGTGACTGGGCCGCCATCAAGGGAGGTTTCATCTCTGTCAAGGCTGCGCTGCAGCGCTACTATGGCTACGGTGGCCAGCCCCGCAAGCCGTGCACACTGCTCGAGGGCAAGGCTCTTGAGGCGCAGATGAGCGAGTTTGCGGAGCTGGTTGAGTTGGAGAAGACCGTGGCCGGCGCGGCGGCGTAGTCGTCGCTTTGACGGCATAGGACGGGACTCAGGGGTCAGGACGTCAATGCCTGCATGAACTGGGCGGTCTCGAGGATTTGCATCAATAGGCCGCCTCGATTGGATATGGGCGGGAAGCACAGACTCTGTCGGCTCACGAGCCACGAGGGGGGCTGCAGGATTGAACGCGCGGGCGTATTATCTCTTTTTGTTTTGGTGGCATAGCAAATCGGGCGTTTTTCAAGGGCTTCTTGATAGGAACAAGAGATGACCATGTCACTGATATGTGACTGTTGGGCGAGAAAAGCCGAGGCGCGATAGATCACAAACATGTAATGAGACGTATCGTACTCTATACTGCATGTTCAAAGTACGTCGGATGTATTTCAGCCGTGGCTCGTCACAATTAACCCCTTGAACCTGAATTTCGTATCAACAAGATGCATTATTCAAGTGTTTAGCTATACATAACACATCTCATTGCAGCAGGCCCTCGAGGAACTTGACGAGGCCGTACGCCCCGGGATCCGGGCACGAGTTCCAGCCCTCGACGCTGACGTAGACGGACCGGCCGAGGCTGGCCTCCATGCCCTTTGTCGACTCGCATCCCTTCCTGGCCGCGTCCACGGCGCTCTGCAGACTCAGCGTGCTCGCCAGGATCTCCACGAAGGGGGCCAAGGCATCGACAACGGTGCGGTCACCCGGCTGGGCGGGGGTATACTTGGCCAAGCTGGCCAGGGCCGCCTTCAAGCCCTCGGCCCAGATCTTAGGGGTGACCTCCTGCTTGCCCGAGGACGCGGTGGCCTGCTGCAGGCCAGAGGCGAGGGCATTCATGAAGATGGCGTAGAGGGCGCCCGACGTGCCGTCCATGCTGTTCTCCACGACGTGGGCGATCGACCGTACGAGGCGGATGGCGTCGCTGGATGAGGAAGACTGAATGTGCGATAGGACGGCCTCGGCACCCGTCTTGAGGCAAAGGCCGCAGTCACCGTCGCCAACGAGGGTGTCGTACTTTGTGATTTGCGCCTCGGCGGCAATAAGGGAGTTGAGACCCGCAGTGAGCTTGGAGGTAGCAAGCTGAGAGTCAACTGCGGAGGGACTATTAGCATGCGTCACCTTTTCTCATTGGAGCAAAGAAAGACCTACTGGTGAGATTGCTGGGTGCTGAGCTGGCGTCGTCAGCCTCAGACGAGGGGGCGTCCTGGATATCGCTCGACTTGCTCGTGTCGATTCCACGCTGCCAGTTCTCAGGCCGGACGGGAGGTGACCACCCCGCAGCATCGGCGGGCGCATCGAGCAACGAAACAAAAGACTTGTCGGCAACCTTGAGCATTGTGATACTGAAGCCCATGCCATTGAGACTGGTCATGTAAGTTCCGCTCAGCAGGCGCGTGGGCGTGAGCTTGTACGTCGTCGCAAGCTGCTCGACGACCTCTGTAGTGATGGCGCCTTGTTCCAGGACGCTAATGCCGCCGAGGTTATTGACCATGACGACAATCTCGTCCGAGGGCGCGACGTTGATGTACGCGCGATCAGAGTCAGACTGATCGAGAAGCTGCTTGAGCATCGTCGAGACCAAGCCGGAGAGATCAGTCTTGACGCGACCGAAGCCTTCCTCGTTGTGAATGCCCATGCCAATCTCAATGTCCTGTCCGAGCTCGTCAGGGACAATCTCGCGTCCGGGAACGTGAACGTGGGCGAGAGACGCGCCAACAGTCGCCGTGTTGTCGGCTACCTGGCTGGCGATTCTGCGGACATCCTCGAGACTCGCTCTGCGCAACAGAGGTCAGTCAGGGTAAACTTTGAAGCCATGACGGGCGAAACTGCATACCCCTGAGCAGCCGCAGCGGCAGCAATCTTTTGCACCAGCACGGTGCCGGCAAGTCCTCTCCTGCCGATTCTGCCACCCCTCTTGCGGCCGACGCCGACATCGTCACCGACAACCATCTGCTCAACCTTGATGCCCTCAGCGCGGGCCTTCTCCACGGCCATGCCGAAGTGCAGCACGTCGCCTGTGTAGTTCATGATGACGACGAGGATGCCGCGGTCGGGGTGCTTGGCACCCAAGACCTTGAGCGCACGAAAGACCTGCTCGGCGGATGGGGACGCAAAGACGGAGCCGGCGACGGCGGCGGACAGAAAGCCGCGGCCAACGAAACCCGCAAAGGACGGCTCGTGGCCGGAGCCGCCGCCGGAGAGCAGCGCAACGGCATGCTGTGAGGAGCTGTCATCATCTCGGAGGATGACGGTCTTTTGAGAGGGAGAGAGAGCCAGGGACGGGTTGGTGTATGTGCTGGCGCGAAGGGCCGCAGCGACGAGCGCTGAGGCGTCGTTGGAAAAGTGCTTGGCTGGCGCACGATGTTAGTGAGTGAGCCTCGGCTTGGGGGGTTTTGGATTGCGCTGCATAGCGATTGACGAACGTACTGGACATTACGACGGCTGTCACTGCTCTTTGCAAGAAGGCAGAGGCGGAGAGAGAGAGAGAGGATGAGGAAGAAGAGGTAGACGGGGGACGGGAGGGGGTGGGTGTAAGTCGCAAAGGCAGGCGCGCGCAGGAGAGCTCCTTCTTTTCTACCGTGTTGCGTTGCGGGGTTCGTCTTGTCGACCTTGAACCGGCCCAATGACGAAATGCCTGCCAAAGGTTCGTCCGTACACCTTCTACTGTATGAGCCTCTTTCACCACGACAATAATGCACATTCACATCGTTGTGCTGCTGCTGGGCCGCTCGCCCGCCTGCCCGCCTGTCCGCCTGCTACCTGACCCCCACCCACCTCAGCGCAAAACCCCCCATCTTGCGGCACGTCCTGGCTTCGCACCGCACCACCACGAGCTCGAACGGTGACCCCCAACGAATGCGCGCCGCAGCACCCGCAGGACCAGAGCGTTTCCCCTTCGTCCTCGTGTTTGACCGTCCGGTTCCACGCCATCAAACGGAGCCGCACCAGTCGTCTGAGGTAAGCTTCTGGGCGTCCCTGCCCCTCTCCGACGCGGGGGCACCCCAAGACCCCATGTGGCGCCATGGTCATTACCCACAGCTTGCCGTTTTCGACATGGAGGAACGGGGCGTATGCGTGGCATCCCGCGGGGGCTGGCGCGCATCGCCAGGGGTTCGGGGGGCCGCGTTGCGAAGAAAGCCCAGCACGGGACCTGACCCGGGCTCGTTTCGCAAGGGGGCAGGACTGGGGGGGCCGATTTGAGCCAGTTCAGAGAAGCATCGACGGGAAACTAGAAGCCCGGTCTGTCTTGTCGTCAGGGCCAGACCAGCAGTAGCGCCTCACTCCTGCGGACTGCCTCGGATCAGTGTCGATGACGCGCCCGCCACGCAGTTCACTTACGATGTAGCAGCTTTGCGCCATTGATCCCAGCCTGTATGATCGGACCTTGCAGAGGGCCGGTTGTTGGCACAGGCGACGGGACAGTCTATAAGTAGACTGCGTGCTAGACCATGTGCCCTCAGAGCCGCTTGGGACCTCCAAGCTCGTTTTTCCGATTTTTCTGCGCAAACGTAAGAGTCTGGCACAACCGGCATGGGCAGACGGCTCCTTGCAAGACGTGCGGGTATATATTACGCATTACGAGACTCAAAGCACAACGTCTTTTGCCTCGCACGGATTGTCGCTGCGTCTTTGCTTGAAACCTGGGGCTGTGCGTCGTGTCATCATGAAGATTTTCGCGAATCATGATACCTCTTCCCCTTTGACTCGGGACACGTGCGGTGCCTGAGTACGCGGTGATGCCATTCCATCCAGACGTTGCTCGCGAGCGCCATGGAGCAGCCACCGCTGCCACTGGTGATTCCCAAGGTATATATAAGACGGGCCAAACCCCAGCACCGGATATATCTTTCTTCATCCTCTTATTCATTCAGTGCCGACATATCTACCAATCGAGCTTATCTTCGACCTTTCACGATGAAGGCTTCCCATGTCATTGCCATTGTTGCCTCTGGGTACTTTTACGTCCCAGGCGTGCTCGCTGTTTCTAGAGGGGTGAGTCATGCCACATAGCGCTCGAACCGCGACGGAGAACAAAAGTTGCTAACCCCAGGGCCTCTTGGCTCGACACAGCGATGCAGCTTGCATGACAAATACTGCATGTGGGAAACCGGGCCGGATACAGACGTTTTCATGCACAAGCCTTGCCGCAGTGACGCTCCGGTACGTGCCCACACACACTGTCTATCTGTCTCGTACATGTGCGCGCGCTCACTTTGCCTCGGCACCCGTGAACTGCTCAATCCCTGGCGTGCATTCGATGCTGACAATAGTGGACAATCGAAATAGTGCACTCAGAGCGGCAACAGATGCGAGGCCTATCCTAACGAGGCGTATGCTACCTGCCGGTAGACATGCGGTGGTAAAACGGGACGACGGCGTTGAAAAGTCGGCATTGATCTCGCCATTTTGGGGCGATCTACGGGCAAGCACGCATAGCGAGACGGGGCGACGGACATCATGTGTACTCGCATTCGACTTGAGGCTGGCCAAGGGAGTTGCGCGGAAATAGTGAAGCATGTGTGTTGGATCAGACAATCCTAAATGTAGAGATAGGACTTTGGCGACAAAAGCACGATGCCGTTTGTGGCCGATCTGTACGTCGCCTCGTCTCGCTTGTGCTAAAGACCTTGAGCCATCCATTGCCGACAGAGACAGCATGCCATCCATCGCCCGCGAGATAGCGTTCCAAACAATTTGCTTTCATCACTTCCCGACGCCCATCGACCCGGCCGGAGCCTTGGAAGCGGCCGTTGCTCGGCACGACCCATCCGGGGACTTCGGAGCTGGAAGCCGGGGGGCGCCGGAGCGGGGGCCGGTCCCGTGGTGGAGCGCCCCTCCCGCGATCTTGCGGCTCTCCGGGAGTCCATGCCGGTTGCGCCACTCCCGCGGCCAGGGGGCCCTCTTCCGTTATTCACGACAGTGGCATGTCCCATCTAGAGTCCGGGATTCTAGAAGCCCGATGACTGTCGGCGTTAGGGCCCTTAGGCTGGGGTTTCTTCTCGACGTCGGCTTACACGTCCCGTTCGACCTTATGCACCTTGGCGTTGGCCGCGAACTGGCAACGAGGGCAACGACAAGGTACGAGCCAGGGTTTGACCTCAAGGCGGTCCAACACCGCCCCCGTGTATAGATATATATGAACTACATTTCATGACTTATTCACAGGGAATAAGCTATACTGAACCAGAGGCGGTAGAGGGGCGAATCCACCTCAACCTCCTCAGCCTCCTCCTCGTCCTCCTCGTCGGAGTCGGACTCATACTCGTCTTCAGACTCGGTGCCCACGAGCGTCCTTTCCGAGTCGTACTCCTCCTCCTCCTCCTCCTCCTCCTCCCCCTCTTCCGCCCCTGCCGTCTTCGGCGTCATTGTGATCCGCGGCGGCCGCCATGCCCCTTCCCCCTCGCCGCTGCCACCGCCACCACCACCACCGCCAGACCCCCCTTGACCCGGGAGCTGCATCTCGTCCTGCGTTGGATACCGCTCCAGGTGCGACCGCTGGGATGGCTCGCCGGTGTATGGGTTGAGCCCCTGGCTGCGCCTGCGAATCTGCATCCGGCCGAACATCTTCCTTTTCGCCCCACCGCATCGAACTTCGACGATTCTCCCATCCACCGTGCGGCTGAGGATGAGCTCGGGATCCTCGAACATCGCCTCATCCCCCACAGGGCGGGGGCGAAGTTTCTCCTCGCAATTGGGGTTATCGACCAGGGGGAGGATCGCCCTCATCGTCCTCGCGGCCCTCGCGGCCCTTTCGTCATCGTCGTCCTTGGCCCTCATCGCCCAGCGCTGGCGAATGCTCAGCATGGGCTGCTTGCCCTTTTTATCCTCCCCTTTCTCCTTCTCGTCGCCCGAGTTTCCCTCGGACGGGCGCCGCGCCTGAGGGATGGGCTTGCCATCGAGGCCCTCCCCCTCCATGCCGTGGCAGTCGTTGCTGCCGGTGATGTTGCTGCTGCTGCTGCTGCTGCTGCTGCCGCCGCCGCCGTAGTAGTTGTTGCTGCTGTTGCTCGCAGGAGCAACTGCAGCGGCGGGCGTGCGCGGTCGCGCCGCGAGCTCGGCCGGATAGCCGCAGGCCTCGCGCTCGTAGTCCATGTAGACGTATTTTGCGGGCATGGTAGCGTCTTCACCAAATATCTTGGCCTTTTGTGAATGGTGGGAGGTAGGAAGTGTAGGACAGGTATGGTGAGTGTGTGGTGATGTGAGGAGGTGTGGTGAACTCTGGTGGACGGAGAAGAGTAGACAGAGACGGAGAGGAAGAACTGGTGAGAGATGGGGAGACAAGAAGGGGAAGACGAATCGACTTTTTATACCGTATGCCCAGAGCAGGGCAGGAAGCGGCAGCGATAACAAGGTTTGACGCTCGAGAAAGACACTGTTGGCAACCACTCGAGAAAGGACAAAAGAGCGAGCCGTATATTGTTTACCGGCTGTAAACTCTCTTCGATACTCTAGTAAGAAGCCAACTCTGCAACGAACTCCCACCAGGCCAAACCAAAACTAAACAATGGTCAGCCCAAAATCGTACCCCGATGCGCCGTGTCCATGCAGATGACCAAAAACAAATCTATCCTTCCACTTTACGCAGACTTCTTGCCCTTCTTGGCCTTCTTGCGGGACTTCTCCCCCATGGCCTCCTCATAGACCTCAGCCGCCGTCGGTCCAGCCTTGCGCTTTTGCTTGCCAGACTTTACGCTAACGACCGTGTTGGACTTGCCGCTCTTGACCTGCTTCTCGGCCTCTGCCCAGGCAGGGGCGTCACCTTCGATCTCGAACCTAAAGAGAAGACGCCTCGGTTAACCCAGTTCGCCCTGTTGACGCCGCCGTGGTTGTAGAGCCGACTTACTGATCCAGTGGCAGAGAGTCAATCAGCTCCCTCTGCTTCTGTCTAAGGGCCTTGAGCGCCTCGTCTCCACCCTCTTCCAGCTCGTCGTCGAGAGACGTAGACAGGGGCGCGAAGCGCTCGTCGACCACTTCGTCATCGTGTGCGCCGCTGGCGTCCGCCCGTGAGACCCCAATCTTTTCCGGCTTGGGCATCTCCGCGTCCACGGCGGCCGACACCAGCGTACCAAAGTGTGCCGTCACCTTGCGGAGGATCTTGATGAACATGGCCAGAAGCTGCGAAGTTTGCACATCCAACTCCTTTCCGATGACATCAATGTCCTTGCGCTGCAGACCAATGCCCAGCAGAATGCACTGCTGCAAGCCCGTCAACTTGATGTCTCCCTTCAGCTTCCCCGAGAAGTACAGGTTAGCAATGACCGGCATCATGTCTAGGATGACGTGGTAGTCTAGCATGTTGTTCGCGTATGACTCCAGGCGCTTCAGATCGAAAGGCGAGAAGTTTCGGTCCAGCTCGAACTTGTCCATCGCTGCGGCCTCAACCGCGTCCAGCTTTGCGCCAGCGTTGGCGGACTCATCGATGCTGAGCGCTTCGGCGGTAGTGAAGGTCCGGAACTGGTACGAAAGGAGCGACAAGAAACGCTTTTGGAAGTCCCGAGAGAATGCCCCCAGCCAAGTCCTGTCCTGGCTGTTCTCAAGCGGCCGGAGCATGACGCAGGTGTGCTCGCCGGTGAGGTCGTTGGCAGTCTGCCGCAGGTATACCGGCGAGAACGCCGAGCGCTTCCAGAATTTGTGCAGAGGCTTGGTCAAGCCGTAGCTGACGCCAATGTAATCCAACGCCTCGGGTCTCTTTTCTCGTAGCTTGGCAAACAGTGGCGGCATGTGTGCCTGGTCGCGGACCGTGATCTCTTCGTTCAGCAACGAAGCCTTGGTCAACTCAGCGTCGGTGGCCCGATGCATCCTCTCTTCCATGACCTGGTCGTCATCCTCGGATAGGGAGGCGAAACGGCCCTCGTAGTAGTCGGTGAGAAGCTCCAGCGCCTTCGTTCCGTAGCCCATGGACACGTACTCCGGGTTCGTTGCTATCCGCACGACACGGGCGCCGGACAGGGAAGCAAAGTCCTCATCCTGGAACTGCTGGCTCACCAGCCAGGGAATCAGATCGCCGTGAGGCCGCTGGCCGCGACTCAGGCTGTTGAGAACGCTTTGCCTGCTAATTTTGCCTTCCAATGCAACCTGGATGACGCACAGCGGCTCGGGCAGCTTGCCAGTATCCTCCACGTTGGGGGGAACCAGCACGAAGAGCTCGTGTGCCGGCGCATCGCTCATGAGCTGCAAGTCATCGGGCGAGTTCTTGTAGTGGCTTGCGACGTAGAGCGCCACCATTTGTTGAAGGAAGGCTTCGGAGACGGGGTGGAAGGAGAAGAGGGTGTCACGGTTGACGGCCAAGAGCTCGCACTGGGACGGGTCCGGGCAGCCGTGAACGTTGGCCTTGGCCTTGGGCAGCGTCGCGTCCAGGCACAGGAGCTTGTTCAGCCACTTCTCGACAGCATCGCCCTTGGCGTATCGGATGGGCTCCGACAGGGTGATTTCCCGCAGCTTCCTCGCGGCCTGGTACTCTTCCGTCTTGGCCGCCTTGCCGGTTGACCTATCCGCCAGCTCCGTCTCGCCGTTTGCGATGGAGGCAGACCGCGACTGTTCTCGCAGCTGCTTGATAAGCTTGAGAGACAGAGACCGGCCGGTTCCTTCGTAGCCGTTGATGGTGGAGGCCATGAAGACCAGATAAGGACCCATCAGCTTGCGGACGAGTGGAAGGGGGATGGCAGCCGCCTCGTCGATGACCACCAGCTCAGCTTGGCCCAGAACATGGGCATCCTGGGGACGGATGTATTGGATGGTCTGGCGGTGCTGCCTGTGGATATTGACTCGCACAATGGCTTTGTTGAAGTCGGGGTTCGTGCTCTGGATGATGGAATAGTCGGCATGATCCGCATAACCAAGCGCATCGAAACCCTTGAAGATGAATTCAAACAGAGTCTTCAAGTTCTCCGGCGACGGAGAGGTGATGAAGATGTTGCTGTATCCGTACGCCACGGCGGCGGCAACAGCGACACCCATGGCAGCAGACTTGCCTCGACCTCTGGCGGCAGTAAGGGCGACGGTGCTTCTCAAGGTCTTCTCGGAGATGGCTTCCGTAAAAGTGAGAAGCGCCTTTGCCTGATCCACAGTTCGCGCGAGCGAGATGAGCGACCCGACCGGCTCCCGCTCCTGGTTGTCGTCCTTGATGTTGTCGAGCTCAATCTGCTGCTCCGTCTTGGGCTGATCCAGGTCGGGTGGCGGCAGGGCCTTGACATCCTTGCCGCCAGAGATGGGCAGCACGTTCAGCTCATCATCGATGACCAGACAAGACTCGCAACGCCCCAGAGACAGCAGGAAACGCTCGTTGAACCGCGCCACGACATCGGTGTGAGCCTCGGTCCTGTACCGCGAGTGGACGTCCATGGACAGGTTGTAGAGCTGTCGCAGACTGTTCATGCCCTTGAGCAGCATGACGACCAGGCCACCGCCCTCGACCGTCTCGATTGTCCGCGCCAGGATGTTGGGCGTGAGCGCCTCGAAGTCTTGCAGGACGCACATGCCAAAGGTGTTTCCCAGAATCTTGTCCGTCTCCTTGTAGTATGTGTATCGGATGTTGTGCAGCGACACGAAGAGTTCGAACGGGTCTTCGGAGTTGGCCTCTCGGATGCCTCGCTTAATTTCCTTCTTGATCTTTTGCTCTCGCTTCTTTCGGTGACTGACGCGCCGCCTGGTCAGCCGGCATTCCTCAACAGCGGGGGACGGAGTGCGAGACATACCTCGTGAAGCCAAGCAGCTTGTTCTTGTACGCCCACAGCACGGACTTGTTCTGCTTGATGTCCATGCTGGACATGATGTAGTGCAAATGCACAATCACATCTTTGGAGCGGTCGCCCACCACGACGAAGAAGCTCCTCTTCTTCTCCTGCAAGCCATTGCGGATGAGCGTCTGGATGCGCTGATCCCTGCGGAGGTCGTTAGCGGCACTTCACGAAAGTTAATAGCTTTGAAGACCTACACTTGTTTGCGCGACATGTTGCGAGCGTGCCCAGGTGGTCAATTGCACGGGGGAAACAGTTCGGCGCAATCAAGGCTGTGTCGTCGATTCACCAGGCGGCGGGCAGCTCTGGCGATTCCAAAATTTTGGCTGCAGAAAGATTTCTGCCGGGCGGTGTGGCTGGATCGTGGCTGGTGGGGGTGCCAGGTACGTACCGCCACTAAGTTACGCCGCGACCCCTACTCCGTCGGTAGGTACGTACTTCGTGCCTCGCCTCCACTGCGAGAGAACCTCAGCGACAACGAAGGTGCATGGTCTCAAGTGGGAATGTACTGGCCAACCCAAAATAAAGTCTCATTCATAGCCTTACTGTACAGTTCCACCATCTACGGAAGATAGCCCAGCTAACATAGTAATACAGCGGGAGAGGTACTGCGCACATGGCCGGTAGTCACGAAGGAATGGGTCAAAGCCGCGCCATCTCGGGCAGATTGCCAATGCCATCATGATTATTCCTGCCAAAGTCTATATGCGAGAGCCCTAACCGCGCATATGCCCCAAATGAATGCCCACTAGCCGTCGCCCGCCATGCTTGGCAGACGCGCCTGTAGACGAGCCCCTCGAATGCAGACAAGTACGCAAAACACGAACCGCGCAAGTACGCCTGATGTGCAAATTTACGTCCGGTCAAGCTTGCGGCGCAGGTTCCGCGTCCGCTTCATCAGCTTCTTGTACTTCTTCTTCTTCATCTTGAGTTTCCGTTGCCGCTTGACGCTGATGGCGTGCATGTCGCGGCGGGGGCCCTGGGCCTCGTCGAAGCGGACCTGGCGGCGCGCCATGCGCTCCAGGAAGCTCCGGGGCTGCTCGTCGTTGACGATGCGCGGGCTGTGAGCGACGATGCGGATCTGGCCGTCGGGCTCGGTGGACTCCTCGATGGTGAACATGGCCTTGTAGACGCGGTGATGCGGCACGTCCTCGACGACCTGAGCGTGAGCGGAAAGGCCATCCGCCTCGACGCCGGATTGCTCTTGCGGCAGGGGAGGCGGGCGGAACGGCAGAAATTCGCCTGACATGGTGTCGACCTGGAGGTAGATGCTGGACTCGCTGCCGTCAGGATTCCGCAGCTCAACCTTCTGCATGCCCTCGGCCATGCCATGGTCTTCCTGGTGCCCGCCTATCGTCAGCTGGGCCATGGGGCCGTCGAGCTGATCGATGGTGCTGGAGATGGTTGACACTGTGTCGGAGACTTTGTTCGACTTTGTTCGAGGCGTGAAGATGGAGGCAAAGTGCTCGTCGGTCACGGATCGCGGCATGGTCTGCGTGATGGAGATGGGCCGGTGGAGAGAAAAGAAGCTCGAAAGGCCGAGTGCTGGGTGGAAATGTTAGCCAGAAGCGCCGTGACTGCCGTGACTGCCATCTCCTTACCTTCTTGAGACATGTGGTGGGTGCTGGGAACGCTGGGGAGTTTTCGGAACGAGGCGGCGCTCACGTCGGAGGCGTCCTTGCTCTTTCGCTTCCGCTTCTCGCCAGCCGCCTTGCCGTCCCCGCGCGCCGAGGCCGACGACGCGGGAACCGACTGGCCGGCGGCGACATCGCTGGAGCCGTTATCCGGGCGCGAGGGCTTCGAGGAGGAGAAGCGCCGCTGGTGGCCGCGGACGAAGAGCGGAACGGTCGCGGTGGCGGCGTTCTTGGAGGCGGAGGAGGCGGCGGCAAGTGAGGAGACGAGGCCGCCGGCCTGGGGGGCCGAGGAGACGACGCGCCGCACCGACGAGGGCAGCATGACGGCGACTGGGCGCAATCTGCGACTTGTCGGGGGCCGGGAGAGGCTGTAGGGGGATGCAGAGGCGCTGCTCGGCCGTCAGGATGAGTGCTGGTGATGCCGAATGTGGTTCGTCAAAGCCGGCTGATGGTGGCCGCACGACATCGGCTGGGAAAAGGTTGCTCCTTGCAGCGGCGCGGCTGCGCTCGGGGCGGGTCGGCGCTAAGACTCACCACCTGAGCACGAGGTGAGTAAGCGGCCTGGTTAGATTGGGCAGTGCTATTCGCACGAACATTAAAGTCTAATCGCACAGGTGTTTCTCATCTATCTGTGAACGGGACGTCACCGGCGCGCCGCCTGTTGCCGCTGTCGCTGTTATCGCTGCTGTTTCCATCGCTACTTTCGTTGCTGTCGTTGCCATCGTTGCTGTCGTTGCCATCGTTGCTGTCGTTGCCATCGTTGCTGTCGTTGCCATCGTTGCTGCCTTTACTGTCGTTGCTGCCGTCTGATGTTAGCGGGGCTCATGCGGCGGCCCATGCCTGCGCCCCCTGTGTGTGTCGGGGGCTGGCTGCGAAACACCTAAGCGGCTAGACTTCTCTACATGTGCGAATAGCACTACCTATCCGTCAAGACATAACGCGCCTTGTCCGCACTTCGCCTCATAAGTTCAGCTTCGGACAGTTGTAGTTGTCGCGAGGAACATGTTCTTGTCCTCGACCAAGCTCAAGATCGGCGCAAAGTGAAACGAGGCACTGATACTTTCCATCTTCGAAGACAGGGGCGAGCGAGCCTCTTCGTGAAACGAAAGGTACGATCCCCGCACCAGCAGGAAACGGGCAGATGCCGAGGTGAAAAGTTAGATCGACTTCAGTTGTGTTGGATTGGACTTGTTCAAATAAGATAGGGTATCGTGGTGAATTCGGAAGAGCTAATGCCAGCTACCTGAGATACCTGGGTAAACTAGGAATGACAGCAGTTGTCGCGGGCGCTTGATGGCAGCGCGTCGACGATGCTATTACCTCCGACCTCAATCCTGCCGCAGCTTCCAGTCTTTCCATTGATATCCGGGCTTCTGGCACTCTGCTGTGAGCATGACCCACCAAATGCCCATCCATGCTACAACCAAGACAACTGTCATTAGCGCCGTCTCGAAATACCAACCCATCGCGATGGATAGCACAATGCACGGCAAACTAAATGCAGCGATGGCTGGACCGAGGATGATAATGAACACGAAGAACATGCTGGCCTGGGCTACTTGCAGACGAGCGTGTCCTGGGGTAAAGAAGCCCCAGGCGTCGGAAATACCGAGTCTATGCGACTGAGCCCAGTAGCCATACTGACCGAGCCAGAGCAGCGCGGGGTTGAGATTTCCGCTTGCATCAACTTCCGGCTCCCGGTAACATGTGCGGAAGAATTCGCGGAAGCTTGAGAATGGAGCGGCTGGGGCAGCCGGGGCGACCTCGTAGCTGGTCTTGGGAGAAGGACCTCTTGTTCGCCGTCAGCGAAATGTGCAACAGTGACATGGCTGGCCGTGGCGGGCTCTCGGTACTGACCTCTGGTCATCCATTTTAAATCCGCCGAGAAGGATCGATCGTAGAGTAACCTGAGGGCACTTGATTCTAGGGAAGGGGTGACGATGATGTTGATGATGGTGATAAGTGGGTGGTGGGAGATGTTTTGGCCATGGCGAGAACGGCCAGACGAAGTTGTGACGGTGTTCAAGTATCGAGCCGTGGATCAGAGGACCTCTTCACCTCGCGACGGCGGGCGCCACCTCAACTTTGAATTTTAGTGTTTGATGCCGCGGTAAGGCAGCTACGATGCAGGTTTCACAAGAGGCTCGTCCACGTCCGCTCGTGGGTCTCCATGACGTCCTTCACCAGGAGCCTCGACCAGACCGTTCGGCACGCGGGGGGCGTCGAAAAGGGCAGCAAGTTCTGGAGCCCGCGCACGTATGGCTTCCTCGCTGCGCCTCGACGGCGACAGGACGGAGCAGTTTGAGTGGCGCCACGGCCACGGCGACGAGGTCCGCGAGCTGTCTGGCAGCGCGCAGCCTAAGCTCTCCCGTGGTAGCCCCGAGTTTGCGTTTGTCGGAACCGGCGCCGGGGGCGAGCTAGGCGAGATGTTTGATCTCGTCGTCGTCATGGGCTTCCTGCGACTTGTACGAGCCGTCTGTCCCGCAGTCCACCATCAATGCCTCGGCGGCGCGTTCCTCGCCAGCGGCTGTGGCTGTGAGCTAGACGGTTCCGAGGGAGGAATGATTGGTGATGGAGCGCGCGATTCATAGATACCATTTTTGATACACCTGCTTGCGCAGGCTTGGGGGATAGAAATAGAGGCAGGAAGACCGATTGTCTCCGAGCCGACTTCTCATTCCGTAAAGATGTGTGCGCAAAATTACAAGGCAATATCTCAGTGCTCTAGATGCCAGTCCATGTGTTGGCCGCCGCGGCCCAATGACCCCCCGTCTATGTAACCCGATGCAAAACGAACCTCGCGTATACCGAATAGACAGAGAGCGAATCCCAAATCAAGCCTTACCCATGCAGTGTTTCCGAATAATCATCAAAGACCCATGGGGACGGCCTCGACCTCCTCCTTCTCGTCCTCGGACTGGCTGTTGACCCAGCTCAGGTAGCTGTTCCAGCCAATGGAGATGACGTTGGCGAAGAGGACGCGGTGCTGCAGGGGGAGGAAGGTGAAGTTGACGAACTGGACGAACGGCCAGATCATCCAGTTGGTCTTGAGCGCCGGCCACCACGTCTTCTCGAGGCGCTCCTTGGCGCTGGCGCCCTCCATGGTGGCCATGCTGCTGAGGAAGACGCCAATCATGACGGGCGCGAAGAGCGTCTGGTCGCAGCCGACGCGGGCGAGCGTCTCGAGGCGCGGGTTGCGCAGGTTGACGCGGCGGGCCAGAATGCCGAACCACGTCGTGGCGACGGGCCCGAAGACGCCTGCAACAACAAGTCAGCATTCATGCCCTCGGGGGCCACGTCTGTCGGCGGTAGTAGACGACGACGAAGGCCAAGACGAAGGGGAGACTCACAGCCGCCGTAGAGAGCCATGCGGCCGGTGCGGGTCAGGTCATGCTTCTGCAGGCCCTTCTTCTCGACGAGCTGCTGCGCGGTGATGTCGCCCGTGGCGAAGAGCACCGCCGTGGTGACGCTCTGGGTGAGCAGCGGGCGCGCCGCCAACTTGGCGTTGTACCTGAAATGCGAAACGGTCAGCGCGCTGGCATTGACGAGTTTTGAGAAACGTGAGCGACGTACCATCTGAAAAAGGCGACCATGATGAATCGACGGAGCGACGTGTGTCTTGGGTTGTGATGTGAGAGTTGATGAGAGGACGTTCGAAGAGAGGGCTCCGGAATCCGGATGCCGTGCAGCAAGCGTGCTGGGGTGTCGCAGTGCGTGGTCGCAGCCGGGCCAGGAACCAGGGGCGTGCGAGAGGCGCGCGCGCGGACAACTCAAAAATTTCCCCGGACCGCCCCAAAATTGGCAATGAAACCAAGCAGGCGTCAGCAGGCAGGCAGGCAGGCAGGGCGGTGTGTGCGTTGCGCCCACGTCTGGATCGATATGAACGACGAAAACCCGAAAGAAGGCGAAGCGACGACGCGATGTGTGAATGAGTGAAGTGAGGGAGGGACCAGATGGAAAGAGGCGATGACGAAAATGACGAGAGCGAGAGGGGAAGAGTGAAAATCGCAGGTCGCATTGATCGGGGGACAATAGTGGTGATCAAGCGGGTTGAAGGGCGAGTGGCGTTTCTCACCCTCCATCCACTCCACTCCACTCCATCCACCACTCCAGGTCCGTTCTGGCGGCGGGAGTTGAGCCGCTAGCGGAGGGGACCCTGCTGGAGCCCGCTGGGACGTCGCCGTGGGCCTGGGCTGCCATCTCGTCCGTCCAGTGCCCGTGCCGTGCCTGGCGCCTGCAGTCTCTGTCAGGCTCCACGGTGCTTCTCCACCCATGCCGGCTGGCCGCAAACTGGAAAGGCTTTTTCTGGGGGTCATCTGGGGCTAAACGTCGCCAAAACGGGACCGCCGTCCATTGCGTCCATCTAACCTACGCAATGCACCGCCTCGACTGTCTCCCGTGTCTAGGCCCTGCATTGCGGTGATCAACCATCTCGACCAGTCGCGCACGCACGGTGCGTAGTCGAGGCCCGAGCCCGTCCGCAGCATCTTATCGACACCGGTTGGATGGTTGCGCGGCGCTCTCAATGGCGGCGCCTCCCTCCGCGACACGCATCGGGCACACGTCCTTGGCTCGACTCGGAAACTCCGTTAGCGCCACGGCACTTGGGCGCTGCCCGTTCATCGCCCAGCGGCGCAAAGCCGTCGCTGGAGGCACAATAACGGTGCTAAAATCTCGGGGCGCCGCCGGTAGGACACCCGACGCCCGGGAGACGGGGCCCGTCCCCCGCTGACGCCCGGCCGGCGGCATGCCCGTCCGCTGTTTGTTTCCCTGCGGGACTCCATTCGGGCGCCAGGTTGGCAGCTTGCACAACCTCGGATTGCGCGTGGACAATTAATATAAAAGCCATTGTGGACGTCTCTTCCGTCCCATGCTGATCCAGCTCGACAAGTGCCGCATCGTACCAGAGTTGTCAAGTACTTGTGTGATCCGCCGCGTGGTGTGGCTATGAATTCGCTGCGCGGTGTTGGGAGCACCGCAGGCCGCTTCGTGCATCCGTGCATCCCCGATTCCTCAACAGCTCCCCGTACCAGCATCAACACCACCACCACAAAGACGTGGCCGCCGCCGCCGCCGCCGCCGCCGTCTGCAACACCCAATCTCGTCATGCAAGTCACCGCCATTGGCCGTGCCCACTGGCCAGCTCCTTCCCCTTCCCCTGGCCACGCTCGTCGCATGCGTGCGCCGCGCCCGCCCATTGGCTCCCCCTCTCCCTCTGCCCCCCATTCGAGAAAGTAACTGTATCGCCTGCCTGCCGTATCTTCACCGACAGGGGTGGCTTGTCGCATCACAGACCACCAACCAAGGCAGCTGCCCGCCCGCTCGACCTCGTATGTTCGTTGTCTAGCTTTCTCCGCCTTCTTCACATGCATCCATCTCTGCCATCACAAACAGACATTCGACGCGTGAGCCTGTGAAACATACATCTTTCCACAAGGCATAGCACCACGAGGGAGCCCACCGCCGCGCGCCCGCCATGGCCGACGACGAGCCCGTCACCGCGGCCGTCGCGCACCCGCTGCGCATCCTCCTCGCCGGCTGCTTCATCCCAGCGTTTCCCCTGTGCGTCGCCCACGGCGTCCTCTCGAGCAGCCCCGTCCCCGCCGTCGGTCTCGTCCCGCAGGCCGTGTCTGTCGTCTCCTCCCTGCTGCTGCTGCGCGTGCGTACCGCGCCGTCGCGAGATGCCGAGCATCAAGCTGGGCATGGCACCCTCGCCAACGGGGAGCGTGCCCATGACGGCGACGACCACCCCCACGACGAGGAACACGACGACGAAGATGATGACGAGCCTCGCCACGTCCTGCGCGAGACGCTCTCAAACCCCATCGTCGTCTTCCTATTCGACGTCCTCCTCGCCGCGTCGTACATGATTGTCCTCGTCTTCACCTGGATATCGCCCTCGCGCTCCCCCTCGCTCAGCATGCTCGCCGCCTACGCCACCATTCCGCTCCTCACCAGCTTGTAAGTCGCCCATTTTCTTCTCACCCCCATCACATCCCACGTGCCACCAAACCCGGCGCTGACAATGTCTCGCTCCCGTCTCAAAGCTTCGGCCACCTCTTCCTCGCCCTGCGCGCCCTCTACGACGGCCTCGCCGTCCGCGGGCTCGTCAGGTACGTCGCGTGGCGCGCAGTCCCGCCCGACTGCCCGCACTGCAGCGCCCGCCTGCGCCCCGCCCAGCTCCCCGAGTTCCCTTGGCTGAGGGCGCTGCGCACCAGCTACCGCCGTCTCCGCCTCCACCTCCGCCGCCGTCGTGCAGACGATGGGTACACGCCCGTTTTCGTGAGCGAGACGGGGCGCTATCGAGACGACGATGACGATGATGAGCCTCGTGTAGACCACGACGGAGGTGCAGGGCGGGCTCCCGGGGACGACGAGGTGAGGGCGGAGCAACCCGAGGCCGTCGACGTGAGGAGCAGGGAGCGCAGGGGCAAGAAGAGCGCCCAAGCTGCTCCCGAAGACGCGGCGCCATGGGGGAATGAGTGATGGCCATTGTGGCTGGATTGTGCTTTGTGACTTCACGGGGTAATGAGTGACTGTCGTCGATGATCGGGTGGTTCTTTGTGAATTTTGGCGAGCGATGATTGCTTGTGTGGCGTTGACGACGACGACGACGACGACGACGCTGGAGCGTGCACTTTGAGATACCGCAAGTCTTTTTTCCGTTTCACGCGTTCCCGCAGCAGATACCCTCGATAGGCTCTTGTTCTCTTATTCTTTCATACCGCTGCGTCATGGGCCATGGAGCAGCCGGCCTTGCTAGATGGCTCCACGTCTCTCTATTCTACAACAATTCACTGCCTGGTGCAGTGCCTCAAATATCCAAGTTCGCTCTCCGGTATGAACCCACACACGCACACGCACGATCAACGTGGTGTATTGTCCCTCCACCTTGGTGCGCCAAACATATATGTTTTACAGCGCACAGTTTTACACCTCCGTCTCGATGCCCTCCTGCTTCGAGTGGTGGTCAAACAGGCCCGACACGCCGTCGCCGACCCTCTCCATCTTGTGCTTGACCCAGCGCGCCGTCCGGGGCACCTTCCACTGCATGATGCCGCGGTGCTGCCTGTGCAGCGCCTTGTCCCGGCGGCGGTAGTCGCGCAGCTGGTCCAGCGGGCCCTGCTTGTCGTCGGCGCTGCCGTCGGGGATGGCCTCGCCTTTGCGCCTGGGCTTGCCGTTGCCCTGCTGGCCGCCCTCAGCGTCGTTACCGTCGTCATCGTCATCGTCATCGGAGCTGTCGCTGTCGCTCGACGCCTCTTCGTCCACGATGCCCGCCTCCTTCTGCAGCTTGTCCACGTCGAGGTTGTCGCGCGACGTGTCGATGACTTCGACCACGTCGCGCGTGTTTTGGTTGCGCGATGCCCACGCCGAGTGTGCGGCGCCCTGAGGAAAAGGAGAAAGAGTCCCGTGTTAGCTAGCCTGCCAGTTGTGTGTGTGCTACTTGAGCCGGGAGGGGAGGGAAATGAGTGGGAAGTGAATGCTTACCATGCCGGCCCAGAACGTGAGCTTCAGCTTCAGTGTGCCGAGCCGCTCGCCGCACTCCTCGAGGCAGTTGGACGTGGCGCGCTCAAAGTCGCCCTTCCAGATGGGCAGCTCCAGCTGCTGCTCCTCCTCGTCGGGAATGTCCTTGAGCCACAGGACGCAAAACGCCGCCACCTTGTCCCCGAAGAAGCCCTTGTCCTTGAACGAGATGGACATGCAGCTGCTGTACCGCTTGTGCACCGCGAGGCTGACGTTTTGCTCCTTCTTGGCCGTCCACTTGGCCTCGGCGTTGTCTCCGCCGCCGCCGCCGCTGCTGCTTCGCGCGTACAGCTTGCCCATGCTAATGTTGGTCTTGAGCTTGAGCTTGCAGGATCGCAGGTCCTGCGGGCAGTCCGCGCTGGTGGCCTGCGGTTGCACGTCCACGGTGCCGTAGTTCCAGCCCATGAGGTTCCGCGGCGCCTGCAGCTTCACGCTCCTCCACACCATGGACAGTCTGATCCTGCCGTGGCCGATGCCGCCTGATAGCGGCCAGAAGCCCATGACTTGAGACCGGTCCTTGAATATGTCGCCGAGGGGTAGGTGCACGATGCCCAGCAGTGGGTTGTCCTCGTGCAACCTGGCGTCTCGGACCGAGACGTACACGTCGCAGTCTCTCCAATCACGGATGAAGCGCTCACAGCCTGCGTTGAAAAACGGCTTCGCGTTCTGGGGCTTCGTCCGCGTCTTAAACGTCTTGCTGTGGTTGACGATGACGGTGCAGTACGAGCTCGGAAGGCTCTCGCCCGTCTCCTCTTCATCGCTTGCCTCTTCGTCGTCGACGTTTTGCGACTTGCTGAGCTTGATGAGCTCGAGCCCCGTGATGTTGTGGATCTGCAAGCTGAACAGCCCGCAGGGATACTTGTCCGGCGGCGGCGCAGATATAATCATGGCGTCTTGCTCCGACTTGAGCTCCTGCGCCTTTTGTTGCTGCAGCTCGGCTTCGTCCCGCTCCGTTTGCCCTTCCCTAAACATGGTTTCCCGAAGCTTTCGCTCGCAGCTCTGGTCCACCTTGTCCCTCAGCTGATCCATGGATCGTACTTTGCGATCGTGAGTCTGCCTCTCAAACTGATCTTGTTGTATCTTCGCCTTGGAGAAATACCCGACGCTCCACTCGAGCTTCCCGGGCATGTTGTCTCCCGATTTGAGGGCCCTGAACCCGTCGGTGCGCTTCCACATCCGCCCTTTGGATTGCTCGTTGGCCATGAGCTCTTTGAGCGGGACCTCGATGCGGCCTAGATCGTCGTCGGCGGTGAACCGATCCGAGTCCCAGAGCTGGACGCGCAATCGCTCGTCAATGTTCAGCTCCTCTGGGGTGACGAGAACAAAGCACGTCTCGTCCCAGCGCGGCTCCATCTCCGACATGAGGATGCGCGTACTCCAGAGCACCCTGCCAAACTTGGCCCACCCAACAGAGACGTAAGGGTCAGAGCTGCCGTCGCTGAAGAACGGAATCGCCGTGTCGCCCATTTTGAAGTCGTAGCCCCTCTTGATGTTGATCATAAGGACACCGACAGAGTTTGTGTCCTTCTTGAAGTCATCTCCTGCGAGCATGTCCTTGAGGTCGAGGGTCAGGCTCTTTGGCGCCACGTACTCGGCCACAGCGGCATCGACAGCAGACTGCACAAAGTTGCTGATGAGAGGAATGTCCATGATGTTCAGGCCATGCTGGCTCAAGGGCGTGCAGCTGAGGTTGACCTTGGGCTGGCCCAGAAACGTCATGGTGCAGAGGGCGAAGAAGGGCGGGTCAGGCGTCAGTTGCAGCCTCAGCCTCATGATGCCAATGATGCCCTGCAGGTCGACCCAAACTGGTATCTTGATGTTTCCGGGCAGGTAAAAGGCCAGATAGAGATGCATGTCTTTGGTTCGATCCTTGAGGCTCTTGGAACTTGAGCGCGTGCGATAGGCAAATGCGACTTCCATGTTGACAAAGTCGCCTTCCTCGCCCTCCATGCCTTCGGCTATGGCCTTTTTGTCTGCCTGCTTTTTGGGGTCTGCGTCGCCATCTTCGTTCTTTTGATCCCCACCATCCTTGCCGTTGTCGCACTGCTCCTGAGTGGTGAGTTTCCCATCCTGGGTCACAGAGTGAGCAGCCGCGGCGGTCGGAAGCCACCGGATGCCGAGAATTCGGAGCGACTCGCTGCCCTGACCAATGTCCTCGACGCTGACCATGCGAACAAACTTGGGGAGAGACGCCTGCATGACGTCTTCGAGGGTGTCGGACAGACTGGCAAACAGGTCGGGGTTGATGAGGGGCCATACTGAGCCGAGAAGTGAGTTGAGCCAGGCCGTCGTCTCCGTCTGGTTCCTGTTCGCGTCGGCCTCTATCTGCTGGCGCTGGGCATCCCACAGCTCATCCTGGAAGATGCTGGTGATTTTCCGAGACGTGTAGTCCCGAACGCCTGCAACTAGAGCAGCGATGGCGGCGGCACTCAAGCCGAGCAGTGTTGCCCATGTAAAGCTTGTCCCTAGCCAGCCGCCGCTGCGGGATTGACCATCCCGCTGGCCGTGAACCCAGCGCTCCAGCGTCAATGCTCCGAAGAAAATGAGAAAGGCGCCGCACAAGCCAATGGTGATGCCCCGCTTCGTGATGGCTGCAAACTGCTGACCCAAGACATCAAAGTCGGGAGGCGGGAACCGGTTGGTGAGCATGTGGTGGTCCTCCTGCATCCGCTTCTTCTCGCTGGCGAGCTGCTCATCCGACTTGTTCTTGGCGCTCAGGCCGGTCGCCGTCTTTGGCGTGGAGCCAGACGAGGGGCTGTTGAGCTCGAGCTCCTCGAGGGCCTCGCTGGTGAAGTCGTGGATGGTGACGGGGAGATGGGTGACGGGATCGGTGACTTCTCGCTCGGCACGCTCCTTTTTGCGGTGCTTCATCTCCTTGCGCCGCTGCTTGGGGTCGGTGGCCCCCGGGTCGATTTGGGACGTGTCCTTGGGAGCCTCCTGCTGCTGCTGCTGCTGCTGCTGCTGCTGCTGCTGCTGCTGACCGGCGTCATCGTTCCCACCCTGGTCCGTCTGTTGAGGCTGACCGACGTCGCCGACCGCGGAATCTGGTGCGTCTGTCTGGTCCTCTGGCTTAGCCTCCGACTTGGCCTGACCCCATCCCCAGAGCGACGCGGCACCCTCGTCGGGGCTCTCATCGTCCTTGATGGCATTCTGCTGGCGCGCAGCCTTTTCCTCGCGATACTTGGAGATTGTGGGCACAGGGCGGTGAGCGCTGTACGGTGCCTGATAGCGCCTGACGTCGTCGGCGTCGTCGACGCCCGACATTGCGGCGGATTAACTGCCGGCAGGGGGTTGTGCGCTTTCAACCCATTCGCGAAGAGTATCCAGGTAGCAGCGCGACGATGTATAGAGAAGATTGGATGCGAGACGGGCTGTTGGGCGTTGGAAATGGTGTTGACTAGGGAGAGCCAGGTGAGTGAGGCGTGGATCGTGATTGTTGAATCTGGCAAGTTTCGAGGCACAGCGCGCCTGGCCTTACGTCATAAGGTCTGATTCTTGGCAGGCGAACCCACAAGAATAACCTGACGGCGAGGCCTGAACGCGCGTTGAAACGGGCCAAATACGACCGGGTCACCGTGCCGCTGCTGTGTATTTTGGCGAGTGTCGCCAGTAACTACGCGGAAGAGAGGCTCTTGCGACGGTGTGTTATGCGGTGCAGTCGACGCCGCCTTCGGTGAAGGCACCAACGCGCACGCCAGGGCAGGCCTAAGGTACAGTAGCTGGGGGGCCTGTGGCGCGCTCACCGCTGACCACGGGCCAATTCGGCAGCGCCTCACACGACACCAGGGCGCTAGCAGTCAATTCAGTCTGCAGACTCTCAATGCGAGATTGTCCCTCCCGCGGGGCCCCTGACGATGGCTTCTTATTCTGGCCGTCTACTGGGCTGCTCGGGGACGATCAGAGATGCAAGCGAGATAAGGTGTTTTTAGCGCGTCCCGTCCCGCATCGCCCTGTGATCATACTGAAACCTGAGCCACACCGCACAGTGATGGCGTCGTGTCTTTCCGCCACAGCTTGCAGAGTATGTTGCATAGTGCAAGGCAGCGGGCACGATGTGCGTTTTCTGTGGTTCATCCACGATATTGTTCCACCTTCGGCACTGCACCAGCCTTGGCCAACCGCAAGCGGCGCGATTCGTCCCGACCCGCAACCTTGTCCTCCACCAGCAGCAGTCTGGGCGGAAAAGTGTATGCACAAGTCTCATCAGCCAACACGACCGGAGCCCGCCCTTCCTACTCGGCAATCGTCCAGTCAATGTTAATGTCGCGGTCAGCCGCCTTCCGCTCACTCGGATCCGCTTCCCTGCCATCGTCTCCGTCGCCGCCAAAGACCGCCGCGCCGCATCTCTCCCAGAACCGGCCGGCACCCTCCTCGAGCTCCGAGGCGCCCCTCGTCGTGTGAAGCATCTGCACCACCAGGTCCGGCCGCTTGTCCCACACCAGCCGGAACCCCATCTCGAAGACGACGGGCAGCACGCCCACCATGCGCCGCAGGTGCCGCGCCAGGTCGATGTAGCCCTCGTCGCCCTCCCCCTCGACCCAGACGACCATGAAGCCGCTCCCGCCGCTGCCAAAGCCACCTCGCGTCTGCGTGCTGCAGTGGCGCAGCGTCATGTCGTAGAGCGTGCCCATGCGCAGCCCCTCCGGATAGCGTAGCAGACGCGGCTGGCCAAGCGTCTTGCTGAGCGAGGCACCCGGCGCGCGCGATGCGCTGGCAACGACGATGCGGCAGGGTGGTTGAGACGTCAGCATACGGCGCCATGAGGCTTCGGGACGAAGGAACGGGTTGTCGTGACCGCCGGGGCTCTTCATGTGCAGGCTCGCATCGTATAGCGGGAGCTCCTGGAAGCGCTTGTAGCCCATGGTGACGGTGGCGGGGAAGCGATGGAGCGGCTCGGCAACACTCGGACGGAACGACGGGACGCATTCAAACCAGGCGGGGAACAAGACCCTGAGCAGTGGGTTCTGCCTCTTTGCGGGGATGCGGTCGCGGTCGCCGGCGCTGTCGTCCTCGCTCTCGGGATGGAAGAATAGGGCGCGCTGCAGCGGGAGGGATGAGGCGACGACGGCGTGCCAGCGGCGGGAGACGCGCGGTACCGAGACGAGCAGTGTGCGAATGTCGACGCCTACGAGGATGGCCTCGAGAAGCTCCGCGGTCGACAGGACAGCTTGCGCGGCGGAAGACATGTCGGCGGCGGCGCGGCGCGGCGATCGTTGTCAACGATGAGCTCATAAGCTCTCCGTTGCGAGAATGTCAAATGTCGTGACACCCTGATGGGAAGAGAAAGGGCGGGGGCGGCACGCGGCTCCGAAGTGGGGTCGCCCGATCGGTGCCGACCCGGGGCCCATGCCGGCGTGGTCCGGGACGCAGCCCGACCTCTCAGCCTACGGGCTCCGGCATTGCCCTCGCAGTTGGATATGCAAGAACGGGATCCTGGGGTCGAAAACATGCAGCGATCCGGGGACAGGGCCTGAAATAAGATTCACCACGGTGCAGGCGCAGCCGTAAACGGTCTGATGTCTTTGGACGACTAGGCCGTGGCGCTGCCTCCGTGCCAATGCTAAGCTTTTGCTTCCCCGTGGTCGATGGCAACCATCACGGCGCCTCCAGACGCGCGGCATCGAAAAAGTCGTACGATTCCCCACGGGTGGCAGGGATGGGAGTCTGGCAGCGGCGTACGTGCGCCCTGGGAAGGGCGTGTGCTTCCACGGAGCCATCCATGAAGGGTTGTCGCCCACTGGCATAAAGCCAGCAACATCCCCCAACATGGTCCTCATCCTCTCCCTCGCAAACAACATCTACGCCCATCCATGGATGGAGCAGCGCATGGACAACGATGCAAAAAGTGGCCTGATGATGGGAGGCCCTCTGACCCCGTCGAACGATGCATGGCAGCAGCGACTCGGCGGCAACGCCCAAAGGGGCTCGACACTCGCCCGCTTCCAGCACGGGACCGGAACGTCGACACAGCCGGCCGGCAATCAGGGACACCAGGTGTCACGGCTCGCGGGCGCGGCGCCGCATGTCGTCAGGGGCGTGGGGCGTGAAGATGCCATCCGAACGGAGGAGCTGCACCATTGTTTCGGGGGGCGTTTCACCTGCGTCCAAGGGCGGTCGCGCCAGTGACTCGATTCGAAAAGAGCCTTACGGGTTTGGCTGCTGGGACGAGCGTTTGGATCCATCTCGCAGAAAGTGGACAATGTTTCTGGAGAGGGCGAGTCGCAAACACAAAACGCTGGAAAGATATCGTAGCTTGTATGGAGAGAAGTTGGACCATGAGGTGCTGGCGGACAAGGGGGCTCCGTGCCCGGATGCATCTGGTTTGGGTTGGGGACTTGAGATTCTGCAGGGCAGTGGCTGGCGGGGGTGCCGGCCTTCAGGGCTCCACCAGTCCGTTGCGGGGAGCGCCAGCAGCCATGGACCTCAAACTGGAAGCCGCCAGTGCAGTTCACGCACATGCAGGGAACTTGAAAGTTCACCGACACGGGCCCGAGTGAGCGGCTTGGTGACGGCTGACTGCAGAGATCACCCTGTTGAACGCTTGCGGCGCATGCGATAAACTGCTCGTGGCGTCTGCGGTTAGGTAGATGGGCAGAAGCTCAGAAGCTCAGCACTGTAGCAGGCCCCCCAGGTGAAGTCCCCCCACCAACACCAACAGCAGGACCAGCAACCTCGACGCCCCGCCCGTTGCCAATTCGAGCCGGCGCCGTCCACTGGCAGCACAGCCTTTAGCGCCCGCCTAGCCAACCGTCCCGCACCCCCCGTGGCGTCCAGGGGCTCCCGCAGCCCTTCTCCCGCCTTCTCGTTGGACGAAGGCTCGAGCTCTAAGCGCCCGCCTCACAGACCTGGCCCAAACCGGCTTGGTGGGCGATGCCCCGGGCCAGTCGTCCCTGCCCGTTTGTTGCTTGTTGGTGCGTTGCGCCTGCCAATGCCAATGCCATTGTGTGACTTGCTGTGTGAAGCGTCGATGAAGCGGAAAGAGAGGCACGATGCAAAAGGCGGGCAGCTGCGAGGACCTCGAGTCCTCAGTCCTCACTCCCTCCATATTCCATAACATGCCTCGCCAGCCTCAACCTCGCCCTCTCATCCCACCAGCTCACGTTGCACCGACTCCACGACTCGACGACAAGCCGCTGCCCGTAATACTTCGTACCCAGTATCCGTATTCCACAACAGACCAGGACGGCTCCGCATCCTGAAACTCCAGGCGTAGCAACCCGCCTGCCTCCCACGCCCAACGTCTCGCAAGACACCACGCCTCTTCTCCACGGTCCCGTCCACCGTCCTGCCCCCTGGCCGACGGTTGCATTGCTCGCACCTGTCACGGAGACGCCCTATCGTCCGCCACGTCTGATCTTCGCCGCCGCTAAGTTTTCCACTTAGCCTCGCCTGCATCGCACCCGACAGTGGCAGCTCTCCACCCCGGCCGCCCGCCTGTGTCACCATCGAGTCCGCTGCAGGTCCCCTTCACTCTTGTCACCGAGATATCTCGATCGGAATTGGCCTGGCAGAAACCACGGGGCTTCTCTTGAATCGGATGACGGCAACCAAGACGACGGCGCCAAAGGGACTTTTCTTCAATCCAGCTGAGCGGAGCTCCTGGCGCCTGTCCCGTCCGCCTCCTCCAGCAAGAGCAACGCCATAGCGACAGGAACCACTCAGATCTCTCATCCGCCGCTTGCCCCCGACAACATCGTCAAACCGCCAGGCAACCCCCCCTGCGACTCGGCCCTTTCGGCTGTCCCTCACCACCCCATGAGCCCGGCACCTCCTTGGCCGGTTCACCCCTCGTCTTGACTTTTGACGCTTGCCGCCCCCGGCGTCCCTGACTTATTCATCCCATCCGTTTCCTACTTCTCTTTCGCCGTTTCCTTGCCATTCATCTGTTCTTGGCAGGCCGGGCCTCTTCCTCTTGACTTTCCTTCCCTTTGCGCCTTCGCTCGCTGCTGGTTCAGATCGTTCGCGTCTTTCGTTCTTTCTCATATTTTAATAGCAAACCCGCCACTGTTCTTGCGACGAAGGCCATCCGAGGGATCGACTGGATGAAGAGACTGTGAGCTCGAACACAGCCGTCGCTGAGAAAGAGGAGGAGGATCGTCGCCTGCTCAACGGCCACCGAGCCTCGCAATCTGCAGTCGACGCCACGGACCCGAGCTCACTTCGTTCCTCACCTTAAGCACCCAGCCGTCGCCGGTCGACAGAAACTCTGTGCCAGGGTCCCAACGGGGCGAGACAACTCGGGGAAATAGAGCCAAGATGGTCGGGCAGTTGGGCTACGGCGAACTGATTCGCAAGCAGTTCAAGCCAAGTAAACTGCTGTTCCACTTCCTCTTTTGGACTTTTCAATGGGGCATCTTTGCCTATGGCTGGTGGGCTGCCTATGTTGTCCAAGATGCGCACTCAGGAACATGGCTGACGTTCTCTTAGGTATAAGCAGGCGGCCGATGAGCGCCTTGCTGGTCTCAACACGCTGCAGTACTCAGTTTGGATCTCGCGTGGCGCTGGGCTCATTCTGTCCGTTGACGGCATGCTGATCTTGCTTCCCGTCTGCCGCACCATAATGCGCTGGCTGCGACCCAAGTTGCGGTTCCTGCCGCTCGACGAAAATCTCTGGATGCATCGGCAGCTGGCATATGCGCTGCTTCTTTTCACCATCCTTCATGTCGGCGCACACTACGTCAACTTCTTCAACGTCGAGAAGACGCAGATCCGTCCCGTGTCGGCCCTGCAGATTCACTATGCCCAGCCTGGCGGCATCACGGGCCACGTCATGCTGCTTTGTATGCTGTTCATGTTCACCACGGCACACGCTCGCATCCGCCAGCAGTCGTTCGAGACGTTCTGGTACACGCACCATCTCTTTATCCCCTTCTTCCTCGCTCTCTACACCCACACCGTCGGCTGCTTCGTCCGCGACTCGGTTGACGCCTTTTCGCCTTTTGCAGGCGAGCCCTACTGGACGCACTGCATTGGATACCTGGGTTGGCGTTGGGAGCTCTGGACCGGTGGTCTGTACCTGATGGAGCGTCTCTACCGCGAGATTCGTGCCCGCCGCGAGACCACCATCACTCGCGTTATTCGGCACCCCTACGATGTCGTCGAGCTTCAGTTCAACAAGCCTTCCTTCCGCTACAAGGCCGGCCAGTGGCTCTTCCTGCAGGTGCCTTCCATCTCTCGCTACCAGTGGCATCCCTTCACTATCACCTCGTGCCCCTACGACCCCTATATTTCGGTCCATGTTCGCCAAGTCGGCGACTTCACTCGGGCGCTCGGTGATGCGACGGGTGCTGGCAGCGCACAGGCCAAGCTGTACGACGGAGTCGATCCCATGGGCATGTATGAGGTTGCCCTCCAGAACGGCCAGCAGATGCCCGCCCTTCGCGTCGATGGGCCCTACGGTGCCCCGGCCGAAGATGTCTTCGAGAACGAAATTGCGGTGCTCATCGGCACCGGTATTGGCGTCACGCCCTGGGCCGCTATTCTTAAGAATATCTGGCACCTGCGGAACTCGCCGAACCCCCCGACCCGCCTGCGTCGTGTCGAGTTCATCTGGGTCTGCAAAGACACCGGCTCCTTCGAGTGGTTCCAGACGCTTTTGTCGTCTCTCGAGGACCAGTCCAACGAGGCGGCCCGTCTGCCCGGCTCTACGGGCGTTGAGTTCCTCAAGATCCACACCTATCTTACCCAGCGCCTCGACATGGACACCACTCAGAACATTGTCCTCAACAGTGTCGGCGCCGACATGGATCCTCTTACCGAGCTCAAGTCTCGCACACACTTTGGCCGGCCCGACTTCCGTCGGCTCTTCACAACCATGCGCAACGGCATCCTTGACAGGACTTACCTCAACGGCCTGGAAGGGAGCATGCGTACAACCGTCGGCGTCTACTTTTGCGGGCCTTCTGCTGCCGGTAAGCATCTTCTTCCTCACACATGGTCATTCAGCGTAAGCAGTGAACTAATCGTTTTCCTCTAGCCCGCGATATCAAGGCGGCGTGCAAAGCCGCCACAGTTCGGGAGGTTAACTTTCGGTTTTGGAAAGAGCACTTTTGAGGAGCCAGCGATCTTCTCTCGATTTTTTTTATATCACTCGTCATCTCCAGTACAGGTAGCTTGCCACCATATACAATCCAGGGCGTTGTCGCGGCTTGGTGTAAAACGGCAGATTATCGCACCCCAGACAAGCATCAGGTCATCATCATGTAGCTACCCGCCAGCACGGCTCTGTTAGGTTGCCACGTGCTCAGCTAGGACCATTAATGGCTTCAGTGTATCATTCATTCGTTGCCTCAGCCGCTCAGCGAAACGTGTGCGTTGCTCGTTACAGACGCTTGAAAAGAAAGCCCAAAACGCTCCAGAATGCCTTCCCCGTGTCCGCACTGCACCCTCTGCTATGAACCCGAGAAAGAGTCGCCGCGTATTATTGAGCAGCCCGCCGCCAGTGTATCCCGTAGTGCTTTGTCCCGTCTACCGTATTTTTTGTGAAACCGCAACCCATGGACCATGTACGTGCCTGTGCAGGAAAGAATATTGAAAATCGAGAAACGGGTTTGGCAGGTAAGAAAAACTGTGTTGCGCAATGCCGGATGCAACAAAGCAAGGGGATTCGTCATCGAATGATGCCTCTGTCGTACGCATGGTTGTCGATGCCCTCCTACGTGGTGGGCGTCTGCGCCACGTTGGTGTTGCTCGTCTCGTTCGCGAGCCTGCTCATGTTTTCCTCCGTGAGGGCCTCGCCGGGGCTGGCTTCCTGGAACGAGCTGCTCCTCATGTTGAGCGGCCCGCCGGCCGCGTCAATCATCTTGGTCTCCTGGAGCATCGTCGAGAGCTCCTTTTCGCCCTCCTGGCGCCTGATCTGGGGGGCGAGCTCCGCCGCCATCGGCGAGTCGAACGGCGAGAGCTCGTGCTGGCCGTTGGTCGTCAGCGGTCGGGGCGTGATGGGGCTGTTGTTGAAGTCGTCTGCCTCGCGGTCCGTTGCCGACAGGTTCTCGTTCTCGAGCCCTATGTGCGGGATGTCGGCGTTGTCGCAATGCTCGCTCATCTCGGAGCAGTCCGATGCGATGGTGTCTGCGGGGTGCGGGATACGACGCTTCGACGTGCCCCATCTGATCAGCATCTTCTCGAGGATCGTCATGGTGACAGGCTTGGCTAGATAATCGTCCATGCCGGCCCGCTTGCACTTTTCCCGGTCCCCATGGATCGCGGAGGCTGTCATTGCCACTATAGGCACATCGTGCAGGATGGTCTTGTACGGCAGGTGGTGCCGCAATAGGTGTGTGCACTTGTAGCCGTCAATGATGGGCATCTGCACATCCATGAGGATGATGTCGGGTTTGGTCTTGTTCCCCTTGCTGGCGTCCATCAGATAGTTTAGAGCCTCTTTACCATTCCAGGCTGCCGTCACCTGGAACCCGAGCTTGCCGATGGTTTTGATGGCGATTTTCTGGTTTACCGGACTGCAGGAATGTCAGCATCGGCGGGCACATACCCAAGCAAGAAAACTTACTTGTCCTCCACGACCAACACATGCATCTTGGCACGCTCCGCCCGAGGAAGCTCCCGTTCGATACCAGGTGGTGTCCGTACAGAAAGGCGTCGGCGAGGGACTGACGAAACGGATGACCCGTCTGGCCCTGTGGCGGCTCCCGCGACCTGTTCGTACTCGGAGCTGTTGCACGACAAGCTCAATTCCGACTGCAGCCGATCAGGAATCGCTCCAGACTGAGCCAGGCTCGAGTCTTGCTGGCCATGTGGTTTGCTGAACGGTATCCAAAACGTAACAGTCGTGCCCGTTCCCACCGTCGATTCCAATGTGATACGACCGTGCATCAGGTCCAACAAATTCTTGCAGATGGTGAGGCCCAGCCCCGTTCCGCCGAAACGCCTCGCGGTAGACGCATCGCCTTGACTGAACGGTTGGAAGAGTCTCTTCCGCACGTCTTCCTGGATCCCGATACCTGTGTCCTCAATTACGAACTTGATGTCGATCGAGTCCCCCGTCTCTTTCTCCTTCACCACCGAAAAGCGTACATAGCCTTGATTCGTGAACTTGATGCTATTCGTCAATAGGTTCGTGATGATCTGTCGTACCCGTCCGGGATCGCCGATGACGACTAGGTCTTTTTCGATGTCGCCGTCAATATCGGACTCGAAGCTGAGATTCTTGCGTTCCACGGCGAATTGCAACATCTTGCCGACTTCTTTAACAATGAGTGAAAGGGAGAACTGGACCTCCTCGACGTCGAGACGCCCCGACTCGACCTTGGAGAAGTCGAGGATATCGTTGATGACTGTCAGAAGCGACGTCGCCGAACTCTGAATATTATCGACGTAATCGCGCTGTTCCTCGTCCAGGTCCATGTCGCCCAGCAGCTCCGCCATCCCTAGTACACCAGTGATGGGGGTGCGGATCTCGTGGGACATGTTCGCCAGAAACTGGCTCTTCAGCCGGTTTGCCTCTTTGGCAGCTGCCTCGCTGGCCATGGCGCGGCGCTTCTCTCGGGATTGTTCTCGAATTGCCTCTTCCCTCTCCTTGAGCTCCGTAACATCGAAAATGACACCAATAACGCCTTCGATGCAGCTTTCATTAGTCGGCTTGCCGTCGTGCGCCCGCTTGCCATACATGGGGAGGAACCGAGTCCGGTAAAAGCGCTCGTCTGCTCGCGTTAGCAAGGGGTTCGACCTCAGCGACTAGTGAAAACGCACCGATCGCATGTTCCTTCACATCCTCCTTCGATTTGCCATCGAGTATGTCCTCGATAGGCCGCAAGAACTCTGGCCGCTCCCCTTCCGCCAATTGCTGGGTCAAGCGGTTGAACACAGTATACATGTTCTTGCCAATAAACCACCCACTACCGTCGTGGTTTTCTTCGTAGGTGTTGTTCCATATTAAAGCGCCTTCGAGCATTGTCACGTTGCGATTCGGGTCCACGGTGAAGATGGTGACATGCGAGTGAGCAATGACGCTCAGTAATTGCTGTCGAGTGCGTTTCGCGGTGAACTTTGTCTCCATACTCTCGTGGACATCGGTGCACGTTCCTGCGGCACCAAGGTCAGTTCCTTCTGTTCTTTTGTCTCTTCAGAGAGTTCGATTGACTTACCGAACCATTTCTCGATTTCTCCCGTCTCTTTACTTCGGACTGCGAGAGCACGGCCCAGGAACCATCTCCACTCGCCCGATTTGTTGCGACACCGGTATTCTACCTGATACGGCTCACCCGTTCTGAGAGAGTGGTTCCACCGAGTGAGCGCCTCTGGAATGTCGTCTGGGTGAAAAGGGCTTTGCCACATGTGCCCCAAACAGTCCTCCGGCTTCAGTCCTGTATATGTGTACCATCGCGTATTGAAGAAGTCGTGCAAGCCGTCGGGGGTCGCAGTCCACACCAGTTGCGGCATTGTGTCGCAGATGAGCTTGAATCGTTCGTCGTCACGCTCCTTAATCTGCTCGATTTCTTCCGTCATCACTGTAACGTCTCGCCCTGTCACGACACCGGCGAGGAACTCTCCCGTAGCATCGTCGCGGATCGCCTCGCCCAGAACGTCATAAACGATTCGGTTTCCCTCTCTGTCGTACATTCCAACGCGGATGCTGGTGAATGGCGACTCTGTCTTGAGGAGGATGGACATCGGGTATTCTGCGACGTCCAGCTGACGGCTGAAGTCGTCAGTCCACAGCTGCCAAAGCCTGATGAGCTCAAACCCATCATTTGTCATATCCAGATCTGCGTCTATCGGAAGCAACATCCTCGCAGCCTTATTAGGGAAGGTCACGCTGCCATCCTTCCACATGACCAAGATCGGCATTTGGGTATTGTCTAGGAGGGCGTCCTTCATCAAGATGATCTTTTGTAGGAGAGACGGCGTGCTCGCGTGGGCCGCAACGGACGGGGGCCCCATGGGTGGAAACGGGCTCGAAGACATGGTGACGATGCCGGGGCTGTGGAACGAGGGGGAGCTGGAGTCTCGACTCGAGGCAACCGACGACGGGTTCGAGTAGGCGATAGACTTGCGATCGGCAGCCTCCAACAGACTGGGTCGCGCGATGGACTTGCGTAGGTTGCTGGGCGCCGAGGGCGTGGATTGCGTGTTGGTGAAGGTCAGGGTGAAGTACGTTTGCCGCTCTTCCACTTCCCATATTGTCACAATCATCTTGGCGAATGCCTGATACTCTGATTCCTTGGACTTGTACCGGCTGTCGAATGTTGTTTTGGTCAGGTCCTTGCGGCTGACAACCACCTCGACGACAGCGTCTTGTTTAGTCCGCCCGCCCATGTGGCCCAGCGATCCGACCGTGGGTGTCGCGTCGCCTCGAGCATCTCGCGCCGTGCCATCTGTCGCTGGAGGCCGGACCCCTACATCCTCGACTAGCGAGTCGAGGAAGGCTTCCCAAGTAATCCACACTGGTCGCCCGTCCTGCAGCATGTCGATGCCGACTTGTGATAGTGTCTGTCCTCTCAGCTTCTCGATTGTAGCCGTCGCATCGTCTTGGTCGGTCTCGTCGTTGATGATGCCCATCATCCTCCCCATCGCCTCGTTCGCTAAGACGACCGTTTTCAGATTATTGAGGACTAGTGTAGGTACAGGCAGGTATTGCATCGCCGAAAAGGCGAGCTGACCCGGCGAAATGGTCGGCATGGTGAGTCGGAAGGGGCTTTGCGACGGCGAACGAGTCGAACCAGACATGGAGAGCCCGAGGGGGTCGCGGAGGAAGCGATTTCCGCCTACGGCACGGTGGCCGGCCTCGTGATTGTTCGCAGCGGAGTCGCCACTTGTTGTTCTCGTGAACGTTGAGTCTTCGCGGAAATGCGCGGCCTCGGTCGCGGAGGCTGCTGTCGTCTCGTCGACCACGCCAGCTTGTCGAGACGGGTCATCGTGACCAGTAAGACCGTGCCTAATAGCTCGTGTCTGACTGCTTTCGCGGGGCTTCTCAGTCGAGGTCATGTCGGACCTTGCCCACGTCGCATGAAAGTCGCAGCAGGGCGGCGGGAGGTCCCAGCGAGACCGCCCGCGGCACGGAACGAGAGCTTGACGGGGTTCCGCGGATGCTGGAGCTGCGCCGGAGGCGTGGCGTGTATGGAGGGTGAGGTCCTGTTGCGCTTGACGGCTTCAGACGGTCAAGTTCGCCCAGCGGTCGAAGTTGCTTCGGCAGGGAGTTCAGATGATGGCTTTGACGGAGCAGGGCATCCTGATGCCGGCTCCGATGCTGGCCACGCAGGGCAAAGGCAAGGTCGGTGCGATCGATGGTTCAAGACCATGGGTAGGCCCCACGGGGAGCTCGCGAGGCACTTGATGGTCGAGACTGAGCCGAGATTGTGGGATGGATCCTTGGCAGGCAGGTCCAGTGCCAATCCCAGGGCGATTCGGCCTATGACCGGAGGCGAGACGGGCAAGCGAGGAATGGGATTTGTGCGGGATGGCAAAGGAGCAGAAAGGGAGCCGCGCGAGATCAGTCGGGTTTGAAGCAGCAAGCTTGTAAGCGTTTGGGTTTAGTGCCCTGGCAGCAGGCATGGGCATGTGCCACCGGCAGAACGGGATGGATGGATGGATGGACGGATTCGGATGCACTGGCAAACCTTGGATGTCCTGGCCGTCTCGCCTAACCTTGCGTCAGCTGAGACGGTTCCTCAGCGAGCTGGCGACGGGACCAAGACAGGCAGCGGGCTCCCGTGCCTGGTGACTTGGTTTGGGTAGGTTGCCTCTGGGCCCAGTGCCCCATTGAGGGTCGAATTGGTGAGTGAACCACTGGCCCAGGCTGAGATCCGGCTTTCGCCAGCAGAGAAGCGGGGAGGGGGGCAGAGCATGGGGGGGCGTCGCCAAGATGGTGGATGGGTGGGTGGGCGTTTTTGGCCCTGGTGGTGGTGGAGGGGACCCCTGGGTCGTGATTGGGGCCAGACAGGGGATTCTGGCATCCTGGTTGCACGGGAATCCGATCCAGGCGCAAGGCCCGAAACATGCGAATCTGCTCGCCTTTGTTCTGGCCTTGTTTCTGAATCTGCCGGAATCAGAATCGGGGGTCCTGGGGGGGCCGGGGCCGGGACACGCTCGTCGGCAGAGGGCGAGGTCCAAAGTGCCACCGCCGCGAGACGAGGCAGACGCTGGCCGGATGTCGCCCGACGCCTCAACCTGGCAATGGCGCCAAAGGGTGCCCGTTGGCAGCCGAATAATGAAATAGTAAGCACCCGGCGAGGACCAGTCCAGAAGCCGCGGCCTTGCGAGACAATTGCCCGAGCTACGGTGGAGAGCGCCGCCACGGATCGCCGGGCGCCCACACCACCAGCCTGACAGAACGGGCTGCCCGCCCGCGATGCATGCGCCCGCAGCGCGCCCACGGCCGGCAACGTTGGCGGGCGGGAAACTTTCTGTGCCCGCCCGGTTTCGCCACCGACCTTGTATTTTATTTTAACCTCGTGGAGCCCAGGTCCGTCACGCGTGGGAAGGGGGAGAGCCTGCGCGGAACCCGCCGCTGGGTGAGACGAGAGGCGAGAGGCAGCGAAAGCCGTGCGACGAGCTGGAATGGTCAGCTCTGATGGCGAAAGGGAAAAAAAAGGCGCGCAGGCATACCTGGTTGGAAGGCTAGCGGCGAGGGCCATCGCAAGTCGATGCGAGTCGTGCCCATCCATGGTGGGCTGGCCGGCCGACCGGACCGTCCACCATCCGGCCGCTACCGTAGGTCGTTCTGGTCTCGCGCTTCCCGTCGTTGGTCGCTGGAGGCGCTGGAGCCGACACGCGTGGCTTCGGTGGTCACGGCTGTCCTTTGATTGAGACTCTCGACAAACCACACTGATGGAGAAGCGGCGGCGCAGCGGCGAGCTGCATGATGCATGGCTGCAGGGAGCGGCCCTGCGGCGCACGGGGCAGGTACGAGGAGGGCCCCAGGGCAGGGACCCAGGCCCCAGGTGTCGAGCGGGCTGTTGGTTGTTGCAAGACCCTGTATCAACATGCTTTGTACGAAGTACGAAGCACCCTTGCGGCATCCCAAGTCGAGATGTCTACAAAGGACAAATCCCGCTGCTGCCTTGACGGGTGCTGGTTCATGCATTGCTTTGTGTGCTTTGTCCTTCTTCATGTTGCTGATAGATAGGTACCCGAAATAAGGCAGGGTACTCGCTCGCACCTGAAAAACGCCCATATCGTTGCCGCGCGTGCTGGCTGCATCGCCCCCGGCCGACACGGAAACAACGCCAGTGCCTCCTGCCGCCCGATGCCGCAACATCGGACGGGTGAACCATTGATCCTCCAGGCTGCTTTGCTTCGTGCATCTCGCTGCCGCCGGTCCCACTTGGGAATAAAAGCCCACTCGGCTTTGCTCCCTCCACAAGCATTGACATTGAAACACTTTACAAGTGCCGTGTTGTTTGCTTCAAACGGCCCACGGCCGCCCGTGATGCGTGTCCGTAAGCGCAATGGCCCGGCTCGCCTGACAACAAAGCGACCACGTCAAGTCGCCGGCTCACTTCCGGGAGCTGAGGATGCAGCCCGTCCTCCCTCGTGCCTCGTACAACTCGAACGAGAGCGCGCGTGCGACCTCGACAAGCACCGCAAGAAAGAGAGCCCACTCAGCAACCAACTAATAATTATCATCGCCCTCCCAGCCCGCGCCCGCGGCCAATCACCACAACCACCAGAGATCTGCGCTGCTCCGGCCGATTGCCAAGCCGCCGGGAGCTGCACGACAGCCTGCACCAAGCTCGACTCTGTGGACCCGGGATGCCACGCTTGCCAGGCTTCGCTGTGGCCATCCACCCACTGGAAGCTTGCAGGCCCCTGCGCCCGGGCCCGCTGCGTCCGCGATTCCATCCGCGTCTAGACCGCGGTTGTTGGGTGCTGATCCTTCCAGACTCGTCGACGCGACACCACTTGACCGAGATAGAGCGCCTACTCGGCACAGAACTTGGGGGCTCACTGCAGTTGACTCTGCTGAGTCCAGTCATCCACCCAACAACACCAAACGTTGGTCCGTCTGTCCGCATCGCGAGCCTCGTTTCATCACTCTTTATTACAGTATCTTTCGATGCCAACCTCGCCCCTTCACACAGGCACCCCAGGCCCGTCCCACTTGGTCGATCTTCTCCAGTCCCCCCAACTGAGGCCATGCCTATTTCGCACTGCCCGCACGTCATGCCCGATTATTGGTGATGGGCGGAAAACCGGTTCTTCGCCAAACACCCAAAATTCGGTTCGAATGCAGACCCGCTCTGACGCCCAGTGCTGACGGCAAGTGCAACATTCGCAACAAGCGGCCCCCTCATCCCCTTCATCCCAAAGACTGTACATGCGCCAAGTGGACGCCGTGACGCATCGTCACTCCCAAGATCCGACTCTAACTATCTGGTCAACTCGCCACTGTCGTCACTGCAACGCCTCTCTACTTGGAGTTGTCCTTCACCCATCCGCAGCTCATACACGACCACCACTGACGTTCCATCTCCATTCCGCAAGACTTACAGGTCCACGTCAATGGCGCTGGCGGGCTGCGCTGCTGGATCTGCGACGTGCGACGCCCCTTTCCTTTGTCTTTGGGTGGACTACTCGTCAAGTCAATCACCTTTGGTTGAGACGAGTTCGAGGCCGGTTCGCGCTCTACCATCCTCCGCTTCTTGTGTTGCGGCTGTTCGAGGCCACAGGCGTCGCAGCAGAGGTACTTTGTAGGGTTGCGCAGTGTGCAAGCCTCACACTCCCAGAAGCCAGCTGTCTCGTCTGTGCTGTCCCTCTGCAGCAGGGTTTTCGAAGACTTTGCAGGATATGTCGTTGCACGCTGCGTCCCTGCCGTTCCGTCAGTGGATTGCGCAGACCCAGCAAGGCCCTGCCGGTACTGTTCTGGTATGGTATCCGAGGGCGGGATATAGGCGTCACCAAGCCTCTTCTTCTCGTCTTCTTGTACCAGCTCCCACAGAGCTTGGGAAATGGCTGCCTCATTCGCTTCGTCCTCTTCTGCTTGAGTGCGGAAGCCGTTGTGTGTAGCCTGGTCTGCAATCTCCTGAATCTCGCGCTGACTGAGGCTCTCCTCGGCACAGCCTCGAAGAACCCGTCTCCGTCGGTCGGCGGCGTCGGCAATGACCCTGCGGATGTCTTGTCCAGGCCTTGGGGCCGCGCCACCCAGCCGTCGGCCGAGTGCTGCTCCGGCCTGGTTCTTGCGGCGATCGTCTGCAGCTTGCCGTACCAGCCGTCGCAGTTCGTTCTCGGGAACTCTGGCACCGCCCAGGCGACGACCCTCGGTCAAGAAGCCTTCTCCGGTGTAGCCTTTGTTCAGAAGGCTCTGCATCTCGTCGCGCAGCTGGTCCCAGAGCTTGTGGAACTGGTCATCGTGGGGACCGTGGACAATGTGGACGAGCTCGTGCAGCATCGTGTCCAGGACCTGCTCGAAAGGGAGAAATTGGCGGCGGTCGCCAGGATGCCGTAGTCTCAGGCATATCTTTCTTCCCCGGTCATAGTTGAGTCCTGGAGTGTCCAAGTCAGCTCGAGTCCATGTGGCGGAAGGAAGCATGCGCACCTAGGAGGGTCTGGCCTGTCGTTGTCGGAGGGTAGAACTCGACAAGCTTGCCAACGTGCCACCGCCGGGCACGCATGAGAGGCTTCACCATGGAGGCTATCCTCTTGAGCGTGTGAAGGGCCTCATCTGCTCGATGCTCGCCCTTCATGTGCACGAAGTCGTGAATGAGTCGATCCGGTCTGAACATGGCGAGCGCTGTGAAGGTGAGATCCGGTCAGCCTTTCGGCGACGCTCTCTCTCTCTCTCTCTTTCTCACGGGTCACAAATTTACGAAATAAGAGGGTCGTTGAGATGAAGAAGAGACAGAGATGGAAGGATCTTGAGACGAGCCAGCCAGGCTGGCCATATTCAGCAGCAACGGACGAGTTTGAACGAAAGAGCCAGCGCACGCGTCAGTGAATGGGTGGCCTGGCCGTGGCGGCGCACTCGGCCCGGTGCGTGCGCCTGATACGCGTGCCTCGTCGCTTCCCAATCTGGCCAGTTTCGGGACCTGGGACCTGGGACGACGTTGCTGGCGGGCAGGCGGGCGACGTGCCCGGAGCCCATTCGCTGCGCTGCGAACCTTCACGGGGGAAAATTAGTCAGCCTCTGGAGCTTTCTGGTGCGCCCCAGAGCCCCAGGCCCAGACGCTACGGCACGCCTAGGTGTGTCGTTGACGGCTGCGCGACACCACCACGCTGTGCAACTCCGCCACCACCCACCCAATTCGGGCGCGTGCGTGCTTGCTCCAATATCGCCGTCACTGCCATGCGCTTTCATGTGCGTAGGCAACTAAGACGCGTTACAAGAGGGAATACCAGCTGCAAAGGAGCAGCCCGCCATTTGTAGGTGCCCATGGCGAGCGAGGCAAGCTGGCTAGCTGTCTGCGGTCTTGTCTCGGCCGCTGTGCGCACGATACACGGCGTCGTCACGTCGTGCCACCCACCACCACCTTCATGCACACAAACGGCTTGCCACGGCGGAGCGGCAGTGTAACCCACCCACCACCCACGGACTTGTGCTCGCTTGAACATTTTTTTTTCTTCTTCTTCCTTTTGTGTCCCTTGCCCTCTTGGGACGCATATCTTTAGTTCCTGAGACATGTAAGAACTACGACAATTAATCCTCTCCGTCTCCATTCTGCACAGTGAGGGTAATAACACGTGCAGGTTTTATCACTGGAAGCACATTCCCGGTATCCCCTCGATCCTTAAGACTCCATGGTAGCCGGATCTTTGCAATTTTAGTTATATTATACCTTGCTACGTATGCGGCATACTGGTTTGGGTCCATGGACGAAGCAGCATCAGTCGAGCCCATCTATAGGGTAGTCAACCACGGTAGGCGACTTACACGACCTTTCGCAAAGGTGTCGTCGTCCAACTCACCACAGACGCTGCAAGACGCCGCGTAACCGTACTGTGATCCAGTACAGTCTTGCTACCGATGAGCTTGCTTGTCATGGTGCAAAACAGATTCTTCACTCACGGCATGGGTGGCAACATCAGTACGATAACAAAGACATTCGCATTCCGCTAGGTATACACATCACAGCCACGTTTGCGTGGCACTCCTCTTGACCACAAGAAGCAAAACGCCCGCAGTACCCCAACCTTCATCTAGTCTAGCTCCAGCAGCTTGAACTTGTCGTCCCCGAGAGCATCCTCGACCCGCTCCATGAGCGTCAGGACCTTCTCCTCTTCCAGTCGTCGTCCGATGACCTGGACGCCGACGGGCAGGCCGTGCATGGCATTCGCGTCGTAGAACTTGTACGCGCCGCGGGCGATGCCGTTGAGCTTCTTGACGTTGAAGGTGCTGGGGAGTCTATCCTTGATTCTATCAACGTGCGTTACTGGGATGACACCAGCAGTGTAGTCAATCTAGGTTCTCATTAGCGTTTGTCACTTGCGAGAGCCCGACGACACTTACCAGGTTGAAGAGGAAGGTGTAAGCGCAGCTGCTCACGGCGTCGTTCATGCCGTTGTGCGGAACAGCGGGCGTGGCGTTGGGAGGCGCAATGATAAAGTCAAGCTTGGCGTCTTGCCACATCTCGAACCACTGGCGCTTGTACGCCTCTCTCCGCGCGATGAGGCTCCAGTACTCGTGGGTCGTTGTCGGGTGCCAGTCCCGGAGAAGACCGGCCCAGAGCGGATCGCGTCGGATGTATCGCAGGTAGAGATAGTAGAAGTACTTGACGAATCGAGGCAGCTTGGCGTAGTACCGCATCTGCGCGGCGCCACGGTCGTTCCACTCGCCAGTCTTGAAGAAACCCTTGACAGTCTCCAGACCGTCGGCGCAAAGCAACCGCGAAGCCAAGTAGAGACCTTCATAGCCCGACGGGGGCTCAATCTCCACAATCTCATGACCGGCCTTGCGCAGCGCCGACTCGGTCATCTCGAGAGCGCGCTTGCAGGCAGGGCTGGGGTCAATGACACCATCCGTACGGTAGACGCCAACGCGAAGCTTCTCCTTCTCCTTGTACTCGGCTACAACGTCCGCTCTCCAGGGCATGGGATGGCACGAGGGGTCGTAGTTGTAGGTGCCCTGCTGGAGCACGGCGCGGGTGAAGTACATGAGATCGTTCATCGTGCGCGCCATGGGGCTATATACGGCAGGAACGCCGTCCTGACCGGGCATGCTGGTGGTCATGCCGAGCTTGGGCCAGCGACCGGTCGAGCACTTGAGGGAGTAGATGCCGGAGAAGTGAGCTGGGCAGCGGACACTGCCAGCGACGTCGCTGCCAATGCCGATGCGGCCGCCGAGAGCGAGCAGAGCACCCTCGCCGCCGGTGGAGCCGCCGGGGGTGTACTTGCTGTTGTACGGGTTCGTAGACCGGCCCCAGATGTCGTTGGCAGACTCGAAGCTGAGCAGGGTGATGGGGATGTTGGTCTTGACGTAAGGCACGGCACCGATATCCTTGAGCAGCCGCACCATTGGGCCGTCCTCAACCTTTGGCTTGTGAACATTGATGGTCATGCCAACGGAGCTGTCATAGCCCTTGACGTCGATGGTGTCCTTGAGGCTGACGGGGATACCTGCCAGGGAACCCTTGAAGTTGACGGAGCCCTCCTTGATCCACTTCTCGGCATCCTTGATGAGGACCTCGGTGACGCAGTTGGTCTTTTCGTGAGCCTTGAGGGCTACCTTGCCGTAGGTGAGGAGGAGGTCCGAGGCCTTGCTGGGGTCCTTGTGCACCTCGTCGACGAGCTCCTCGATGGGTCTGTTGACGGTTTGCCTATCGAGGACGCTGAAGGGAGCGTGGTAGGCCTTGAGCGCCCTGATGCGACTGACGCGCTCATCCTGCTTGAACCGGCTGCGGAAGTGTGAGCGCGCAGCTCCATGCTGATTTTACGCAAAGGTGGGCGCGGGGACATGATTGCAAGCGGGGATCACATACCAGTCCCGGCGATGCTGCAAGTAGTCCAACAACATGGTGACGAGCGATGCCGGGCTTTGACAGAGGATGAGTGGCTGAGGGGGGGAAGTGAGGGGAGAGAGGATTTGGGGGTGAAGAGGGTGAGGTGAAGAGAGATGGGGGAGGTATGGAAGGAAGTAAAAGACGGTCGATCGAAAGAGGTTGTAGGCCAGAGAGGTGTATGTAAGTCACGAGGCCCGGGGGAGCTTAGCCCCCTGCCAACACGGTGAGCAGTCGCAGAAACGGCGCGCACCTCCCCTCCCCTGCCCCTCCGCTCCCGTCCTCCACTTTGACTCCAATTACCTGCCGCGGACGGGCATTGCAGGGCAAGACGAAGGGACCTCACTGAAAGCACGGCCGTGGTGGCTGGCGCGACAGTGGGTTCCAGTTGCTGGAGGGGTTCGGCTGCTCGTGCAGGTGGCACTGGTGGGGCGGGCGCCCGCTGATAACCGGCCACTGAACGGCTCCCCCGCACAGGGCATTGGCGGGCGATGTGGGGGACTCTGGGGGAGTCTGCAGCGGCGTTCCACCGCCGTGGCCCCAGGGCGCACTCCGATGACCCCTCCGGTGCTCGCGCCGGGGCGGGCTTTCACGATTACTGCTCGTTTGGGCAATGTGCGTATGGATGGCCTGGCCCGGGCCCCCGGGGGTTGTTTGAGCGCTGGAAGTGGGCGCGTCTTGGGGACATGATGCACATGGCATCTTGCGTGCTACATCTCTGACATGCGTTTCTCCTGTAAATAAGTTGCCCATGATCCGGCGACACATATCTGCAAGATCATCCAAGCTTCGCCGTTTATCAAAACTGGAGATGCGCTTGTGCTTGGCCCGCTCTCCCCGACGCCGTCAACGCTCCGGGGTGCGGAGGCCGCGCGCCCCGCCGGCCATATTCCCATCTCTCCGTTGGACCGAGACATGAGTGCAGATATCAGGAACTGGAAACGCCTCGCCTTGGCATGGATGCCGTCGCTGTTCGAACGCGTGCTTGTATTTGGATGGTGGCATGCTTGACAGCTTCGTGGCGAGGCGGGTTGGGCAAGCTCACTGAACGCGAATGCGTAGCGCCAGGTGCTAGCCCCGTAGCCTTGGCTTATTGCAATACATGTGAAATCAACGATAGCCCTACAATAGGAGTTTCTACTTGTCTACTGAAGGTGACACCAGTTCGCATGCAGTGGCAGCAGCCATTCACGGAACATGCAGCATTCGCCTATCTCATCTCTATCCTCCGCCGGCCGTTGGTCCACGCGGCCGTGTCCGTTGCCCACCCCAGCTGCCCCTTGTCTCCAAGTCCCCCGCTTACACTCTGTCAGTCATCGTCCCTACACAGCTCTGGTCCAACCTATTCGATATATATATTTCGAGCGCCTGTGCCCTCTAGCTCTTCACATTCCCAGCTCCATCCGTTGAACACTGCTCAGGCCTTCTCACCTCGATATTCGGCTGCGGCACCCTCTGAGCGCTTTCTCAAAACTACTTCCCAAACAGGCAAGGGCAGGCGCAGCTCCACCCGATACCGTCGGCCGTCGGCACGGCGAGCGAGCTTTCAGAGGGGGGCTTTGGGCTGCTGCTCCGCCGGCGGCCAATCACGGAACCCCGGCGCGGGTCCCCCGCATCCCTGCCGCCTGACGACCGGGAGCCTGTCACTGGCGAGCCTGTCGCGCGCGCGTGCTCGCTGACGGAAGCAAAACCGCCGTCTCCACCTGCCGCCAAAAGTCTGGATAGCGTCATCCCATGTGAGCCCGACGTCTGGGCAGCTTCAGCATCAGCCGCCCCTGTCGTCGTCGCCGACCCCCCATCATGTCTGCCGACGACCAGCAGTTCCTAGACGTGGTATGCACCCCCCGCCATCCCCTTTACGCCCGACAAGACTGACCTGAGCTCCCACCACTCCCTTTCAGCTCTCGAGCATCCCCGTCCACCTCCGCAAGTACTCCAACGACGTCGCCGATTTCATCGACCACAACGTCGACCGCGCCGCTGATGTCGTCCGCGAGACGCTCTCCGCGTCGAAATGGATCCCCGACTCTATTCGCCCTAGCCCGCCGGCCCGGCCTCCCGTCGCCGTCATCTCCATGACGCGCTTCGAAAGGGTCCAGGATTGGGTCGCTCGGCACAAGGTCCTGACGGGTGTCGTCATCATCGTCTGCGGCACCGTCGTCTTCAAGGGCTATCAGAAAAGCCGCTGGCTGAGGAAAACGCGGAGGGCGAAGCGCGCCAGGAATGGCGGGCGTACCGAGGTCATCGTCATTGCCGGGTCGCCCACCCTGCCGTTGACCAAGTCGCTGTCGCTTGACATGGAGAGGAGAGGCTTCATCGTCTACGTCGTCTGCAATGCGTCGGAGGATGAGAGCCTAGTGCACGCATACTCCCGGCCGGATGTCCGTCCACTGGCCATCGATACGACAGACGTAGGTCGCCCATCCCGTCATGGAAACCCAACGTACCTAACCCTGCTTCCAGCCGCCCAGCGCCGGAGCCGCCATGGAGCGCTTTGCCGGCTACCTTCAGTCACCACAGGCCCCGGGCCCTCAGATGAAGCCGAATCAGTTGACCCTCAAGTCGGTCATCCTCATCCCCAGCCTACACTACCAGACCTCCCCCATCGCCACCATCCCGCCCTCGAGCTTCGCCGACCTCTTCAACACGCACCTCCTCCAGCCGATCCTCACAATCCAAGCTTTCCTCCCGCTGCTCACCTCGCGTCTGTGTCCCATCGGTGAGAAGTGGGTTCCGCCCAAGGTCCTCGTCTTCACGCCGTCCATCATCTCCTCCATCAACCCACCGTTCCACGCGCCCGAGGCGACCGTCTGCTCCGCGCTCTCCGCCTTCACCGAGGTGCTCACCGCCGAGCTCCGACCCCTCGACATTCCTGTAACACACATGCAGCTGGGCACATTCGACTTCTCCGGATTCGTGCCCACGAGAGCTGCCATCCCGGCGTCAGGCAATCCGCAGGACACCCTCGTCTGGGCAGACGGCGCACGCCACGTCTATGGGCGCAACTTTGTCGCCCAAACCAGCTCCGCCATCTCGGGCGGCCGCATTCGCGGCCTCAAGGGAAGCTCCCTTCGGCGTCTGCACAACACCGTCTTTGACGTGATTGATGGCTCCATCGCCGCCGACTCGGTGCGCGTGGGCCTGGGCGCCAGCGTCTATGGCTTCGTCGGCCGGTGGGTGCCCCGCGGCCTCGTATCTTGGATGATGGGCATCCGCCGGGTGGATGAGCTGTCCGCGTGGAAGTCAAGCTCCTACGAGGGCTCGTCGCGCGAGGAAAGCGAAGATGGCGAAGCGGCGGCTGCTGGTGCGGGCGCGTCGTCTCACGACTTTGTTGCCGTTCCGTCGGAGCGCAACGTGTGGAACTCGGACACGACGGGGAGCAGCCTGTGGGTTCCGTCCACAGCCGAGTCCTCGTAGTTGCCGCCACACAACATACGCACATACACACTCAACAACTCTTCTCCGCGAACGATCGAGTCTACATGGTGCTAATCATGCCGCGTCTCGCTCTCTTGGTACGGGCGCGATACGCAGCGAAACACAGTCACCTCTCATCGAGTTGCTGGAACGCCTCTCTCTCCACATTGGACACTTTTCAGGCTTGATTCTGGTCTTGCTGATGGCGGGCTTGCCGGCGAGCAAAGCTGGGGGTTTCTTCGCCGGTCATTGTATAATTTCAATCTCAAGCCGAGTCTTCGCGGCGGGGGCGTATAGGAGCTGCACGCCATCGGCGCGGATCGACCTGAATATGAACCATATGAAGTACATGTGTCTTGACGGCCTTGGCTCACTCGTTGTTTCGTAAGCGTGTGTCTAGTGCGATGATCAAATGATGCCGTCGAGGGGTCATGTAGTTGTGTAAACGCGCCGCAAAGTCATGAACCTTCTCCGTTCCTCACAGTGAGCACCTTCACGGCTGCGCCGCAGCTATCGGTGAGTTAGCAAGTTTTGACGTTGAAATTTGAGCCCTTTTGCTCTCCTGTATACTACATAGGGGGTATCGCGGAATAAGAGAAACCTTGCGCCCAAGCCTCTGCTTCCGGCACCATGTTGCGACGCATGTCCACAGCCTCGTCCTCGATATCACAGCTCGGCCCTCCAGGAGCTTCACGATCCGGCTAATGCCCTCTGCCTCGGAAGCGCCTATCCCTCCCACCCCTCCACTTGCCGCCTCCGCCTCCGCCCCCTCTGCCGTGGCGGCCAAACCGGCCCTCGTCGCGATCCCGCGGGCCGTCCCGCATCCTATGATCTCCCCTACCCGTGTTATGCATGCCATCGTCGTCGTCACCCCTCGAAGCCGCGGCGGCAGCGGCAGCAGCGGCGGCGGCCTCGGCACGGGCCTCCTCTTCCTTCTTCTCGTCCGACTTGAGGGTCGGCTTGTCCAGGTCCTTGCTCCACTTGGGGTGGGAGCCCTGCTTGCAGTCGGGCCCGTCGGGGCAGAAGCCGGCGAGGTAGAAGATGCAGAGCTTCCGACGGACGTGCTTCTTGGAGCAGAGGGGGCCGAGGGGGCAGAAGCCCATGTCGTAGTGGGGGCAGGGCGGGAGGCGCGACGACGGGTCGACATGCAGGTACAGGCACTCCTCGCCGTTGGAGCAGTAGCCGTTGCGCATGAAGAAGTTGCACTCGGGCATCTTGCGCAGGTTGTACTCGTGCAGGAACTCGCAGTGCTCGCCCTTTTTGCAGAGCCCGCGCAGCCAGTGCTTGCAGACGAGCGAGTTGAGGCCGCCCGACTGGTGCTGCGACTTGCCGCCGGAACCGGAGCCTGACGGCTCAGAGACGTGCCGCTCTGTGCATCGTGTGCCGTTGGGGCATGTGCCCGTCTGATAGGCCTTGCACACGGGGCGGTCGGCCGGCAGGCCGACCTGGTACGTCTGCCGGAGGAAGGGGGAGAAGCGGAAGCTGTATGGTTGCGGCGCGGTATGGTTGAGGATGAGGGAGGCGGCCGAGTCCGCCGGGGACGTCGTCGTCGTGGCCGTGGCTGTCATCGTGGGCACGGTGGCGGCCGGAGCGCGCCTCGAGGGCTAAGAGGGCTTCGAGTTGACGGGATCCGATGGGCTAGGTTTTCCCACCCCGCGTGCTCGTCCTAGCCTGTTCCTCGTCTGTGGAATCGCGAAGGGCTACGCGTTGATCGCTGCAGATGGGGAGTGCTTGGTAGAGATGTTGCGTGGTGCGGCGTGGGTGTTGATGTTGGGCGAAAGACGAGCCGTTCGGCGGTGTTGTGACAGTGGACGAATTTGAGCCGACGTTGGAGAGCTCCAAGCTAGGCGGAAAGCTGGAGATGCCTTTGTCAGCGAGTTTCGGCGCCCGAGCCACCTGGAAGCTGCTGGGTTTCGGCACTGCCTGCCCTGGAGCTGCTGGCCCCTCCGCCGTTGACCTGGGCGGGAAGCTGCTGCGCGCTTGCCCGCTAGCCAGGGGCAATCACCTGACTGACGACTCCGGCAACCAACGTCGCAGAGCATCGGCCAGTCTCGAGATTTCCCACAACCTGGGATTTGCATGCGCCTCCACGTGCCGCGCCCTCGGCCGCAGGGCACGGGGCAGTACAGTATTCCAGATAGGACTGATTTGAGCAAAAGTACGTACAGTACAGTACTACACGGCGCACTGACAACGTCGCGGTGCCTGACTCGGGCATTGTTGGTGGCGGCCCCCCGGGTCTCCCAAACGATGAGCAGGGACGAGCCAACCCTGCTCCCAGCCGAGTTCGCCGGGTTTGGTCCCCGAAGGAATTCAATCGCTGCAAATCCCCCATTGACAGGCAACACTAATTATGTCTTGGCCCGAGCTTGGACTGCAGCCAACACCAACGCCGTTGACGCAAGCCCTCGGGCACCGGCTCCGCGGGCGCGGGCACGGGCCTGGATGGTGGCTCACCTAGCTGCCTATTTCCAGCATCGAACACGCAGGTACCCGAGTTCGAGTCTGATGTATGGCATCTAGGTACTTACTGGTGAGTCTCCTCTCCACCGTAGCAGAGTCTATTTCGTACAGGACAGTGCTGTATCATGAAAGGAGGCCCATTGTCTTCATTAACGCTTCGCTGTTCTGTGATCCCGAATCCCATATCCCAAATTCCAATGCCCAACGCCCTGTCGCCATGTTCTCAAGCAATGTTGTCATCATCGCATCCTGTGCGAGCCAACACGAAACTAGGCGCACATTTTCCCCCGTGACTAGCCCATGCGGGCGCCTGTTCACACCCATTCACTCCCAGAGTCAGTCCAGGTCGGCAAAGGCCCCGTCCTGTTCCCTCTTCTGCCCGTAGCAAAACACGCAGTTGACATAGCGGTGCACCGTGTTGTCGTCCAGGCTCCTCCTGACGTGGCGTGTGAGCTCGCGCCGGTCCGAGGGCGACACGCCGAGCGCCGCCAGGGGCTTCGCGGCCAGCGCGTCCAGCGAGTCGAGCATGACAGTCTTCATGAAGAGCCCTAGCGTCTTGAGGCGCTTGCCGCGCGCCCAGGTCGATATCGGAATCTTCTTGGTCACGCAGCGGATATTGGTGTAGCCGGCGTGCTCCAGCGCCTCTTCCAACCTGGCTGGTCGCAACGGATCGCAGCCAAACGTGCGCAGCCCCTGGGTTGCGGCGTCGTAGAATATCCGCAGCGGGTCGTCGGGGCGCATGCTGCTATCGTCGCATTCGATCTGCGGAATGATTTCTTGAAACTCAACCCAGCCGCCGTTCTTTGTTCGCCTGCATGTCGTCAGCTTGGTTGGCCCTTGCGCGTGCCAAGAGGCTCCCCCGGCACGGGCGACGAACCTGTAAGCAGTTTGTAAGACGCTGTCCAGGTCTTTCAGTATACCCGCCATGCCCCGGAAGTGCACCAAGTCGTATTCCTCGCCGTGGAGCCAGTCGGGCTCCTCGCAGTCGTCGACATACATTCTCACGTTGACGGGGAGCCATCTGGGTTGAATGGCGGACAGGTCTGTGCCCACGACGGTTGCCTCGGGGTACTGCTCGGCCACTGCACTCAGTCAGTCAGTATTTGACCAGAAGATCGCCGCAGACAATAGCGATTCGCGCATACCGTCGATGGCCCAACTGCCTGCAAGAGACATGCGAGGTTAGCGCCATGCATCAATTGGACGGATTGTTCAGCGGTACATACCGATGCCGGTCCCGACGTCGAGGATGTTGGTTGGAGATTGCCCGATGTCTGAATAAAAGAGATGCCCGTCCTATTGTGCGATAGACGTCAGCAACCTGCGTAACGACCGGCAACTTGGGACGGGATTCTCACGGAGAGCTCCATCATCATGGCGTGGTTCGTCTCCTCGCGCTGCTGCTCCTGCCTGTCGTTGGGCAGCGGATAGCGGCCTTTGCGAAAGCCGTGATATCGACGGCCGTGTGACAGCTCGTCCTCGTAGACGCTTTGCGAGAAGGAGGACCAGTCCTCGTAGGAGGCGTCCGATGTGCCGTCGTTTGTCAAATCATCGGCCAGGTCGGCGGGGATAGGGAGTGCCGGGATAAAAAGGCCGTCCTCTTCCGGCGCCGTGTCGTCGACGGTCAGTTCCGTCTCGTCGTCGGAAGGGGACGAGTCCAGCGACACGCCATCGTCGCTGGAACACCAGGTGCTGTCCCCATCGTCATGGCCATCGAAAATGTCCGTCGCGAGCGGCGCGTAGGGTATCATGGCGCAAAGGGAAAGCGAGCATTCTATCGACATGAATGAGCAAGCTGGACGAGCGCCAGTGACCGGGCGTTGATGGGGAGGTATGTGCCGCGAGACGCCGCGCCAGCCGGCTGCTGTGTATAAGTGCGCTTCAAGGGGCTGCGCCTGACTTACCCAAGAGTTGGCCCTTGGCTTCCCATGCACGGCTCCGCGTGAATAGAGCGCAGCAGAGTACTGTATGGGAAGAAAAATGCGCCCAGATGATGCGATTGAGTGGCGCCTTCGGTCGCCCGCTTCGATGCCGCCGCAAACTCTCGCGCAGTCGTGTACGACAAGTATATGCCGGCCCCGGATCGTCCGCAGGTAATTGGCCCTGCAACGGCACTGCACCCCAGCAGCAGGCAGCGACAGCTCAAGCGCAACCGGGCGTGGTGTTGCAGGCGCCAGAAGACGGACCGTGCTGCGACGCCGCACGCGGGTGGTAGAGTGAATGGACGGAGTCGAGCGTGCGAGCCATGAATACAATACAAAAGAGGCGGGGCTCGCGTCAGACGGCGGGACGGAGAGGTGAGAGAGAACCTGGCCGCTGGTCGGCGGTCTCACTTTTTGGCTCCTTCTCGCCCGGGCGAGCGCTGATTGCGGCGGCTTCCTCCCCAGTGCTTCCTTCCTTGCGCGCATTTGGACGTGAGACGGCGACCTCGCCGTTCCCGCCGCAGACAGGGGGGTCGGGGTCCCTGGGCCTCTCACTGGGCATGTTTTCCTCTGCCCAGCTGCTAGCGCTCATCCTTTGTACCGCCGACTCTCGCGCCGCGAGTCAACTCTCCCGCGACTGTCACCGTCCTCTTCTACCCGCCATCTACCTACCGCCTCTCACACTCTTGCAAAAGCCAGCTCTGTCTGGGCACCGGCCGTGGCGCCGTGTCTTCAGCGGCCGTGCCGTGTCAACGCGCCCGAGTCTCTTGTCCCACTGGGTGTGCCCAAGGGGGTGATGTCTCACCCCTCGCACCGTCACTCGTCCACCTCGTCCAGCCGAGAAACGGTGGCGCTCTCATGGGCCGGCCCGTCTGGGGGGGCCTTGCCAGGCCGGGGGGCCCAGATGCTGGGAAACTCCACACGGCCGAGAGGACATGGAGGCGTCCGGAATCATCCGCCACTGGATGGCCGTCCGACCCTGCCGTGGGCTCGTCGATCTGCAGAAATGTACAAAACTGACCAAGTACCAATCAGTACCTCGTCGTCTCGTATGGAGTACGGGAGAGACATCCGAGGGCACGTACTGGAACGATGGACACACTGGGCTTCGCGGGTTGACACTGAATATCACGGCGGCACCGAGCTCAGTATAGCCTCACCAGCCAGCCTCGGTCGACACTTTCACCCGCCAAGGCCCTTTCGGGCGCTGGCAAAAAAGCAATTCTCCAGTCCAGGATACCCTGCCTGCATCTTCTTCCCTCTCGTCTCATCCCTCTCTACCCATCGACCCTGTCCGCCCCAACTCGTTTCTGATAGACTGCTCGCCTTGTGAAATCCTCTCGGGGTTTGGGGTAGTTGCCCATCTCCCTCACGGTGCGCCACTCCGGGTCGAGCCCCCATTTGACGAAGAATTCGGTCAGGTCCTGTTGGGCAAGGTCTGACGCCTCGCACATAAACCAGTGTTTCTTGTCGGCGTCGCTTGCCTGCACCCGTGCTCGACGGGAGCGCTTGTGCAGGCGATGGTAGAATTCGTTGCCGAACACCTCCCGCAACTGTTCGAACATTACGAGCCGAACCGGCAACGGCTCGTACGTATACGGGTCGACCACGACGTCGTCTTCAATGTCGAACACCCTCCTTCGTGACGTGAGATACTCCTGTGCAGAGCGCCATTCGTCAGCCGTCCCATGCTTCCTCTCATGCTCTGGTATCTCAGGGAGGACCCGGCGGGTCGCGAGTGCATATATATCGGCAGAAATGTTCTTCACTGCACCCCAGCTCCACGTGTCTACGTGCTGGCGTTGACGACCGAGCTCGTGCCAGATCGTCCACGACCTCACGAGGTAGGCGCTGGACCACATCTCGTGCGCCCAATACTTGCTCAGTGCGACGCGGTAATCCTGCGCGCTCGCCCTGGCCAAGTAATCCCATTTCCCGTGGACGACCATCGGTCGCAGGGGGCTAGGCATGTCCCTCGGGTTTATGATCCAGCCGGTGCTGTGAAGCCCGCTGATGGCGTCTTGCGCCTCGACGATGTCCTTGTACGTACGAAGCAGTGCCTGCTGATCGTGGGACGGATCCTCCGCTGCTGCCCTGGCTGACTCCGCGAGGCCTGTGAGGATGATCCTCTCGCCAGATAACTCTGCAAAAGGCACGGTCGTCTCCTTCAGCATCTCTTCCCACTCTTCGATTGTTGTTATCTCTTCTCGGAAGAACGGAAACGGTTGAGCAGCTTCTCCCTCGATCGTGACCTTGATGGCTCGCGGTGGCTTCTCGCCAGCCCCATGAGTGTAGCGGATGTACATGATGCCGCCCTCCTTGCTGGTCACGGAAATCTCGTCCTGGTCTTTGCCGAACGGATGGCTCTCTAATTCCAACGGCAACGTTTCCTCTGGCCGCAAGGGATCGATCAGGCCAGGGGTGCCGACAAGTATGTCCAGCATTGGCCCACGCTCCGGACTGCGTTTGTTGACTTTGACATGGACCGCGTTCCCCGGGTTGAGGTAGAAGCCGGTTGGCATGAAATCAGCCCATAAATGCGCCTGCCTCAGGCGATCCCGCTCGCCTTCTGCGTCCGGGAGGGCCGCCACGGATATCGTGCGCGGTTGCCGGAACTTGTGCGAATTCGTCTGCCTGTACGAGACACTCTCCCACCTTACCATTGTCTCCACCCTCTTGAGAACCCCAAGTCGTCCAGTGTTTCGATCCCTTGCGTAGGCTGTCACGGTGATTGGGAAACTGGATCCCCGCGACGAAGAGCGTATCGCTGACAGAACGGCCTGGCCCGTCAAATTTGTATTGGGCTTCACGTCGTCGACTTCCCACAGCCTCGCAGAGTACTTCACGTGCTCGTCGGCATCGACTGGGTTCAGATCGATCGACTTCATGCTCCCCGCGTCGGCCACAATCCGGTCTGCCACTTGAGTGCCGTTGTAAAAGACCGTGAGTGTCACGGCACGCTCTCCCCAGCCGTAGCTCGTCAAGGTGGTGTTGACCTTGACAGTAAGCGTTGGACCGGCTGCGCGGCCGTCTCGTGAGCCACGGCCCTCGGCTCCCAAGGCCGTAAAGAGCAATGAGATTCCCAGCACGCCCCAGTACATGTTCAAAACGCTTCGAATATAGACAGAGATCGGTGGATGATGATCTGCTTCCGGTGCAGACGCTTCTAGTCTCCTTATATATATAGTCTCTATGTGCCAAAGCAGCTGATGAAACTCCATATTTTGAACGCAATTAAGTATCTGTCCAACAGTAATTATGCGACTTAAGGCTCAATAAACACTGATTGTGATACAGAAAATTGCTCGTGGGGTTAAGACAGAGACGTTAATGCCCCGGCTGAGGTTACACGATCCTTAACATCACGCGTTCTCAGTGGGGAAACAAGGCTCTACAGTACGAAGTATATCAAGCCTGAGATGGCCTTCAAGTCGTTACGGCTGTGGCGAGATGAGCTGTCGAGGGCCGGTGGCGCATGTTACTGAAGTTATGAGGCACCGTAAGCCACATCCAGCATATGAAATTCTTGACGAGCCTGGATCAGCTGTCAAGCCCATCCCACCTGCTTGTTCAAGCTCCACAGGAATTTTTGAAGGACACATGTCAATTGTTGGACACCGCACTCACCGAAAGCTAAGGACGGAACTTGCTTTAATCATTACGCAATCGAATGTAACGCATCAAAGCTTATGGGCTTCCTCATGCTCTTGCCCAGACAAATCCTCGTGCAAAAATCACCTTTGTCAGAAAGCGTGGCCAGGGGCGATTCCCTCTCTTTCTGTTCCGTGCCCCTGAAGATGGATTATGAAGGTTCATCTTCGATGTAGTCCTTGGTAGCCAGGGCCCGATGTCCTCAACGATCGTAATGGTCTAGCACCACTGTGTGTTACTAGATCCCTTATGCATAATTGTATATAGACCTGCAGTGATAATTCATATCTTCAGCATATACTAGACGCATGCCAAGATCAACATCGTCTAGGCTGCCTATAACAATTCGAACAACCGAGCGGGTGCGCATCTTCGGGGAATATCAGCAACCGAGTCAAACATGTGATTTAACGGCCGGGGGGAACATCATGCAGCAGACACTTGCCACTCGACGCCACGCTGTCATTCGAACCAGACTTTCAGCCTGCCACTTCCCACGGTGACTCAGTGGCCAACGCATCTGGCACGCAGCCTATAGCCCCATGGAGCCTCGGTGGCTGCCATGTGCTGCTCTTCCTCCTTGCCTTTTTGCGCAAGCTCTCACCAGCCATGGCTACCAGGTTTAGGCTAGCGAGTGATTCTAGAATGGTATTCGAAGGATCTCCGGCCTCTGGCACTTTTGAAAGGTGATGAAACGTCCGAACGCCCGTAGTGGCGCTCTGGGACACAAACAGACATCGGACATGCCTGTAGGGTCAGGGGCTCCCCAACAGGCTGACCGAGTAACGACCGGGCACTGCCTGAACGACAATGCAACAAATGGCATGAGGCTGTAGGACACAGGCGGAGGATTCCGCCACACCGGCCACGGTCAAACCCCCCTGTGTCCAGTTCCGAGAAAAATTTCACCGTCACCATGCCATAGACAGGGTTTTGGCATATACTATTTCCAAAAGTACACTGCGGCCTGTTACGATACAAACGTGTCCTTTTTTGTATCTCTTGTTACCTGCCATCACTGCCTCGTCTAGATTAGGGGGATATCTGTCGGGTCTTTAAAGGAAAGGCCGCTGCATCGCCGTGGTGCCGCTGGCCCGCTGGCATTGGCAAGCATCCAAGACCAGCTACTACGGCAGTGATCGTCAGTGGCTTTCTGTCATGATGTAAAGACTGCGTGTATGTCGCCAAGGTCGGTCGACATGTGCCAAAGTACATGCCGCGAGACGTGACCGACCGTCGCAAAACGCAGGTTCTGGCCCGCCAACAACAAATACTTACAACTTTGCCAGTGCACAGCCTGGGGAGAAAGCCATCGAATTATGCAGAGTCGTGTGTTCATACATTTTGTAGCAGGCTGTGTATGAATGGCGCAAAACGACACCCTGGTTCCGTGGGAGCAGGCGGCGCTTTACGCTGCGCCACAAAGCGCAGATGATACAACCGTGAAACTCTGGGGACCCGACGCGGGCGAATACATGGATTGCGCTGGTCAACATGCCAAGCGCGTCTGATACGCCGCAAACGAGAGGCGCGAATACGAGTCCCCGAGGTGTGACGGCGGCAAGGACCTGCTTGGGTAGGTCAAGCCTTTCCACTGTTCCACCCAGCCATACGACATTACCTCCAGGCGTTCCTGGGCTCAGGTAGCATCGCCGCATGCATCCTCGCCAAACTATTCGTCTCACACTATAGTGTAGGACAGCTCTGGCTTACTCCCATTCTTCAACGCAAAGGGCGCTGAGGATGCTCAAGTCGCTCAGCTTCGGCCAGCAAATCTATCGATGAGGCTTCAGCCTTGGGTATCAACTCCAGCGACCGACTCATGTGTCTGCGCTCATCTATACTGGTACACGTCCTCATTGAATCCGCAAAGCGTATACAAGGAGCCGGTCCAGGTATTGAAGTGGGCCGCATATTGTCAAAGGTTCGCTCAGGTCGGGCTAGCCGGCATGATGCATCGCATGGGCAAGCGGTCCAAGAAACGCCAGATCATGTTCCCCCTTCCGGCATTCGAGAGTCCGAGACTACTAGGTACTAGAGGGACCCATGGGCAGCGAGCAGAAGATGGCTGGAGCCTGTGTGCTGTCTCTGAGCGAGGCCGTCAGGTAGCTCCTGCCACGACTCCTGGGCATCATATAGTACATGATGATGATCATATAAGGAAGGCGCGCGGACCTCGGAGGTGGCGATGTTGTCGAGGGAAGGCACGCACATGATGTATTGGGCAGGTGCGGACTATGAAGTACCAGTTTGGCAAGTACAGTACCTGGAAAGTAGGCACCGTGCAAGAGGCATCTGCTTGGACAGCTACCACCTAGACAAGTACCTGCCGTCGTGGCCTGTGACTCCGAAGCCGCAAGTGACAAGAGTCCTCAGAGGCATGCAATGCCAAGATTGCGCCTTCCTGCGCACTTGTGCTCGAGAAGCAATCGCCTCATGCACATCATGCCCGCCATTCCCCAACCGTTGAGGGGAGTGAGTGAGGCATCACTCCTCCAGATTCTTGGCTTGACTACGACATTGGCCTCAGCACCCCCTCATCCACCAGAGTCAGTGAAGACCCAAGCTCTCACCACGGACAGCAGTCCCACCGCATCCTTGTCTATACCGAGGGGCCCCTTTGTTTGCGGCAGATCAAGGATCTCACGAAGCGACGAGAACGAAGCCGCTATTATATCCGAGCCGACGTTGCGAAGGCAGCGGTGCATCGACTAGGGAAGAGCCGCGCGGCCGCGACGCCCCCGTCGCGATGGCTCAAACTACGTGCGGTCCGATCCGCTTGACGGCACTTGCGAGTGTCCCTTTGAGCACTTTCGCAAGTCCTCACGAGTCAAGATACCAGGCTTTATGTCTCGAGCGTCTGCATGCTGAGGACGACAGAACCCGTCTTCTGTGAGAAAGCATCTTCAATCGCGACGTTCACTGAGGTGGGCTGTGCCAGTCCAGAGATTGCTGCGATCCCAACCTCGAGCTGGTCTGAGCCTCAAGGGTCAAGGCTACCCGCCGCGCTGCTTTGCCGAGCTCAACCCCGGCTCAATCTTCACCACCCATCGCCGGCCTCGGTGTTGCGCGGTTCTTTCGCCCGATGACAATGGCAGGCACGAGATGCCATCGGGCAAGCCACGCCCGCCGCCGCAACGTTCCGATGGCGAAAGACCAGCCTCATCCTATTGGACGTCCCCTGGCATAGTCTTTTTGCGGCGTCGCACCGCTGATATTGGCTGCCAAATATGGGCCGGGTTCGGACGATGGTGTTTGCAGATTCTTTCATCCGTTGCGCCGATTCATGCTGGCTGTCGATTGCTTCCTTACTGCTCAGTAGCTCTCGGTGTCACGGACCATGCTCGCAATGGGTCAGATATGGAGCCTGGACAGGAGCCAACCCCGGAGCCACGACTCACAAACTTCGGTTCGACCGCCAGTAGGCTCGAGGAGATGCCGTGCATCGGGCCGATGCCGACGGCGTGAATGTGTCGCCCGGATTGCTCAGACGCTTCTAGGGCCGAGATGGGAAGGAATTGTACAGTTGCGAAGCAGAACCAGTTGAAGACAAAAGGGCGCTCACAGGCAGAGCGCCAGGATCTTTTGTCCCCGACCAGCAAGGAACCAGCTTGCGCGTGCGCAACAAATCGACAAGCTTTGTTACCTCGGCCAACCTCAATCGCCAAGCGTCAGCAGTGACGGTTGCAAACGGTCGGCTGTCCACACCTGATCGGGCGTGGTTCCTAGCTCCCCGGCCGCCGTCGCGGCTGTGGCTCCGCCCTCCAGGTCCCTTACCAGCAGGTCCGACTGCCCGTTATCGCATAAGTTTGCTGCAACTTCACATGGGCCATGTCATCCAGTGACATCTCGACGCCATGCCCGATTTATGTTCTGCAGCAGCCGGTTCGCCGTTTGTTGCCTTCGCGGGCCCCGTACCGCTGTTACGGCCGCTTTCCAGTGGCGCGTGCTACGACTTTGTGTACTTGGACTGGTGCGAGGCTCATGGCGCCCTCGCTGTTCCGTGGCGATGCAGGCCAGGCCCTGTATAAGCCGTTGGACGGGTCTACCTGGCCGCAACGCCGGTAGAGTCCGTCGCCCGGGGCCCCTTGATGCCTGACTCGGCTCACTGAGCGGTTCCATGCCCTCGAACTTCTTCCAAGTCCCGCCATCCCGGCAGCAACTTTAGTGCTGCTGCTGCCAGGCCGCCGCCGTGAGTCCGAGTTGCTGGGTACAAAAGAAGCTCCGTCCTCTTCCCTCGGCGTCTGGCCGTAGGATGGTCCTCCCCTTCGTACACACACTCTTTTTTCTTCTTTCGTTTCCTTGAGTCGGCTAGGCTACGATTGACTCCGAGGCTCGATTTTCCGGTCACGATGAGCTCATCGTCTCGGTCCCACAGGTCGAGGCACGCGACCAGCGTTGCCAGAGTCATGTACACCAACGCCGTCTACTTTCCAAACAGCCGCATATACCAAGGCGACACCCCTGGCATGCTCAACTACAGCTGCATCAACCGCGTCTATTACGCCTATGCCAGCATCGCGCCGGATGGCGGTGTGTTTGTGAGTTGACGCCACCTCCTTCATATTTCCCGATTGGGACGGAGCGCAGCTTCTTACTGACTCGCACTCGTCGTGATCGACCAGCTGAGTGACGAGTGGGCTGACGCAACAGCCCCGGTGGATGGGGTCCAGGGCGGCCTAGGATCGCTGATGCACCTCAAGCAGAGGCATCCTCACCTCCAGGTGCTCCTGTCGATCGGGGGTCCGGCCGCGTGCGAGATATATCCCGTTGTTGCGGGCGACAGTTTGCTCAGGGACAATTTCGCCCGGTCTGCCTTGGGCCTCGTGGAGGCTTCCGGCCTGGACGGAATAGACAGTGAGTAACTGACCATGCTCGGAGAGCTACCGTTGGGGAAGCGTGACGGCGCGCAGGCTGACCAGGCGGCATTGGATGTGCCTTCAGTCGCATGGGAGTATCCGTCTGATGCCGAGCAGGGCTATAATTTCCTTGCATTACTGGCGACGGTTCGATTGCACTTCAGCAGCGAGCGCTACACGCTGACGGCGGCTCTGCCAGCGAGCAAAGCCATTCTGCAGTTCCTCGACCTGGGGCAGGCGGCCCAGTACCTAGACTTCATTAACTTGATTGCATACGACTTCTTCGGGCCGTGGTCTCCCAAGACTGGCCACCACTCACAGTTGTATGCGATGAGCCGAGACGAAACATCAGCAGCGTCGGGCGTCGCCCATGCCATGGCACAAGGCTTCCCGGCGCAGGGGATACTGCTCGGGATCGCAACACATGGCAGGAGCTTTTTGCACGCTTCTGGACCGGGGCAAAAATTCCGAGGTGGCGGGGGCGATGACGGGGCGTTTGAGTACAATCAGCTTCCTCGGAGAGGCTGCAAGGAGACAGTGGACAAGCGTCACGTTGCCGCTCAATGCGTGGGTGCCGACGGAGGCTTTGTCACGTACGACAACCCCGAAACCGTCAAGACGAAGGTGGGATTTTGCAAGCAGAAGGGACTGGGAGTAAGTCAGGACCGGTTATTCTGCATAGGATTTCGAGGGGCATATTAACGAGCCTGGGCAGGGCCTATACTACTGGAACGCCCCGGCCGACGCGAGAGACAGCTCACGCAGCCTGATTGCGGCGGGCTTTCGAGCACTGCACTCGTCGTGAGATGGTGCCGTTATCGTGTCTCATGGCGGGAGTCGTGGAGGGCGCGGTGCCATCGGCATGGCTTGGAGTAGCAGCCACTCATCGGCACTGGCACCCTTAGCATCGCGGTCTGCTTTCCCATGTCAGGGAAGTATTGCTCGACCAAAGACTTGCCGCGGCAAGAAAATGGTGCTGCACTGCTGGACGAGGCCGGCAACATGTTTTCCCGCGGATCCGCCGGCGCTGATCGGTCTACATTGACCTCGCCATGCCTCGGAATCGTTTTAGCCGGCACAAGGTGTAAGTAATAGGGTTGCCAGTCAGGAGGGCTGCCAAGGCGTGTCAAGGCCCAAGGTAGGCGGCAGCTGTTGCAAACATGGCTTGTCAGGCTAGCAAAGCCGAGCCGACGGAGCCATAACACGAGCCGACGTACCACACAAACTGTACTCAATATTGCGTCGCGTGCTGTGGACGCGTTAATCGCACAAGGGTATACGCATTTGCAGTCTCGGCCAGCGGGTGACCCAGGGTGGTAATGCAGCCGGTCGAGTTGCGCCAAAAGCGATGAAGTGATAGCAAGCGGGGGCAAACCGACGAAGCATGGCTGAAGGTATCATCTATCTGCATGGCCGGCGATGCCTGAGAGGGGCCCTAGGCATGGCTACTTCCTGTGCAGATGCGAAAGCAAGGGCTTTGCAACCATCAGGGATGCCAGGGCCTGAAGAGGGCTTCCTCGATCCGGAGCAACCGGGAAGCAAGAATGGTGATGGTGCAAGGGTATAGTGCTGAGCGGCAATGCCCTTGCGGCGGCCGAAGGGCTTGCACACGGAGGTTGATGCGGGCGTTTGTGGTGGTGCAACAGTCAAGGGCGTCACATGCAGGATCACGACGTCAGCACGTCGTTGGAGCTACAGCTGGCCGCTGAGTCCGAGGCGACCCAATGCGGGTGTGTGGAATCCCTGATGATCCCTGATGAATCGAGTGCTTTTAGCGGCCGCCTCTGTCAGTTCCGTGGCAGTCGACGGGAGCTTGGGGAGGTGGCAGAATGGTACCTACCTTGGCGCCACTCCAGGCTGTGCAGTGCAGTGCGGTGCGGGCAGTCACTGCCCGTGCAGCGCACTCCACTGGTGTTGGGAGGGTCTGGTCCCCTGCGGGCTACCTACCTACTAGGTAGGTACCTGAGGTACTATGGTCAGGCCCCGTCCCGTGCCTATGCACAAAGTCCACCTAGCCTGGCGGAGGCCCAGGTAGCTAGCTTGCTGGTGGCGGGAGGGGACCCGGAGCTCCGTCATTTGCACAACGCCTTCTGCCGCCCATTCTCAACCTTCCATTTGGCTCTGCCACTGCTTCAGACGTATCTACAGACCGACAGCCATCCGCCGCTGCGGGCTCCCCGTCGCACGCAACTCACCATTGCTTGTACGAATCGGCGCCCTCGGCAGCCTGCAACCATCACGTGGCGACATTGATTGTGACGACACCCCAGCTCGCACCAAACATGCTCGCCGTGCGGCTCGGGCAACGTTAGCCTCAGCTGTCCGCCTGCACGTACGGCAACCCACAGAGAGGCGGACCATACCACTACACAACGCAAAGTCATCTCCCGCCTACAGACACCGCCATCAGCTCTCTCACAAGCCTCCCCGAGCATCCACTGACGTGGCACCATGGCTGAGAGAGATCAGCGGCCCGAGGCCGTCTCTCCGTCGGCCGATGGCGGCAGCACGCAAGTAACAGCGACATCACCAACGGCACCGCAACAAGTCCAGCCTCATCACGACGCTCCCGCCTCGGCGGCGCCCCAACCTCCGCCCCTCGAGCCGCTCTTCACGCTCCTCACAAACACCACATCCAATGCGACGGTGCACCCGCGTGTCCAATACATCTTTTCCGACGACGACCCCTCCCCTCTTTCGAATCAAGATGCCGCGCTGCAGCCCCCGGTCGACGCGGGTGGCGGCACCACCGGCGCGCAGCACCGCACCGTCGTCGTCGACCTCGCACCCTCGGCCGACAACTCCCGCTGGACCGTTGCCTGGGCGTCGAGCATGAGCCACGACTTTGCCGTCACGGGTTCCAGCATCGCCGTCCAGCAGAGCGGCAGCGACGCCTCAGACGGCAGCGCGGGCGCGCCCGTCCTCCGCATCGAGGGCGTGGAGAGGGAGCCCGTAGACCCCCGCGGCGAGAGCCTGCCCGGATCCAGCTCCGGTAGTGCCACTGTCGGCAGGGAGGATGTCGAGGGGCTGGCCGACGAGTTCCGGCGCAGGATGGGCGTTCTGCGCAAGGTGGTTGGCGAGGGAGAACGGCGGAGGGAGGCTGTCGCCAAGCAGCACGAGGAGGCTCGGCGACAGCATGAGCAGCAGCACCAGCAGCCGCAGGAACAACAGCATCCGGAAGACGCCACCGAGGACGGCCGGCGCCTTTCCCACGGAACTACGGCAAGGCGGGCGAGTCATGACGACGGCGACATCACCAAGACCGGCTGAAGCGTGACGACACAGTCGTTTGCTGCTAGACGATCTCCTCTTGTGGAAGTCGTCGTGTCTGCCAAGGTTCCTGTGGCAGAAGCAACCCCCACCCTTCGCACTGACCGAAGCCGAACCCTCCAACATACCGTCAAGTTCAAGTCACCTCATGATGGTGGACTGTCTTCTGACGAGCTCGCCTTGTGCTGAGCGGCAACTAGCCGCGGAAAGCGACCCTAACACACCACCCTCACCCTCTCCATCCTATCTCACCCTCACGATGTACGCGACGACGCTTCACGACGGCTCTGTTTGTTTTTTGCCGCCACAAGCGACCATGTTCTTGCAAACCCGGCCTCGCGATAATGGGCGACTCGGGTTTTTCGCTGACTTTTTGTACGGTCTTTGTCGCACGACCAAAACACGGCGTGCATGCATCTTGTTTGGCGCAATGGTCGGGATATTCAGCTCGTGGGCATCTTTCTTTCCAGCCGGGTCATTCTCCTCTCGTCAAGGGGAGCAAATGGGGCTTATGATAATCTCGGGGCCACGCCCCTATGTAAAGACCTAGGTAGTCGTGGAAGTTTGTATGTTCGTTCAAACACATTAGACGAGGATATGGCACTTCCAAACATATAAACACAAAAGGCAAATATGAGCTTTGGCACTCATTCCCATTGTCACGCCCCCCTGGAAGGGTGTAATGATGTAACAACACCTCCTTTGAGTTATTACGTTGTATTTCTCAACGCCCTCCTAATGCTGAAAAAAAAAAACTCCGCAAGGCACACAAACAAAACCCGCGATAGGGGCCTCCCGTCGACAACCAAAAGGATGGAAAACCAACAGATGGGAAAACAAATGCGGCGGAGGCAGCAGCAGCAGCAGCAGCAGGAGCGTGATACCGGAGAACATGGCGGATCCGAGGACAGGCCTACCAGACCGGCCCAGAATCTCGGAAGCCTTTCCCACCCACGGCGCTCCCGCCAAGCCACCAGAGACATGGGGAAAAAACCAAAGCGCGCGCGCAGACTGCTATATATCGGCTGAGACCCTCTTTGTACAGTAACTTGATGAGAAAAAAAGCACCCTTATCCCGCTGTGGTGTGTGTGTGTGTGCGTCCCCGTCTGCGTATTCCCGCCGCAGCTCGCACGCACGCACGATATATCCCTCGCACAGCCCCGCTACCTCGGTCTCGGCCAATTTATTGAGGTATCTGGGGGAGGTGGAGGCGCTGCCGCATGATGCGGGACATCTCCTTCGCGGCTTCTTGGTCAATCGAGCTGGATTGGGCGCCCATGTGGGCTTCGCGAGGCTGGATTGCGGGCAGAGTCCTGACAACGGGTTCCATCGCGGCGCCCATCTCCTCGAGGAGGCTGCGCTTGCTGCTGTTCTTGTCGCCGCCGCCGTTGTTATTGTTGGTCCCGCGGATGACGAAGATGTAGACGAGCACGATGATGATGACAATGATGATGATGAGCACTGCGTCAACGTCAGTATCCTGCGCAAGCTCGATTGAAGAGGATAGGAAAACATACCGCAGATGCCCAGGCAGATCCACTTCTTCTTGCGCGTCTTGCGGGCCGTGTCGACGGCCACGCCAATCTCCTGGTTGCCCTTGTCCAGGTTGTCGACGACCTCCTCGCCCTTCTGCTCGATCTGCATGACGGCCGCCTCCTGCTGCACGACCAGCGTGTCCATGTCCTGGAACAGCTGCGCCAGCTCCACCATCTGCTGCTCGATCTTGACCAGGGCGGTGTGGCGATCCTGGACCGCCGTCAGAGCGGCGCGCGCCCGTCCTTGCCTGTCGCTCTGCATCAGAGCCTGGCTGAAGACCTGGCCGCCGCTCGTGTCCTCGACCGCGGCGCGAACCTCGTCCTCAGACGCGTTCGGGCGCACGATGCGGTACTGGCGGGCCATCTGGTCCTGGGTGCGCTTGCGGAACTGAGACTCGATCTGCTGGTACTGCTGGATGGCGGCCTTGAGCCTGCGATCGACGCGGCTGACCTGGGGGTTGTTCTTGGGGGTGCGGGAGTCGGGGTTCGACTTGATGAGCCGGACGCGCTCGGTGAGGCTGCGGTACAAGGCCATGGTCTCGGAGCTGAGGGCATCGAGCTGGCGGTTGTTGGCGCTCGAGGCCGAGCTGTCGGCGTCGTCGAGGGTCCGCTGCTGGAGCATGCGGAGCTGCTCCAAGTTCCGGTCGACCTCGTCGACGCCGCGGTCGATGTCTCTGCACTCGTTCAGGATGCCATTGGGGTCGCCGCCTCCCATGGAGCTGGCGTTTTGAGCGAGGGGCGCCATCTCGACGTTGCCGCCTGACACGTCGTTAGCCTTTGCCGTTGTGCCCGCCGCGCAACGGTTCCAAGCTCACCAGAGTAGCCATCGTCCAAGGACGAGTTCTGGCCATAGCCGCGGCCACCTCCATAAGGTGAGCCTTGGCTGTAGCCGCCTTGCTGCCGCGGGGGGGCACCATAGCCGTTATCCCGCTGGTCGTAGGGGTTCTGTCTTCCACCGTATCTAATCCGAGGCGTCGGTCAGTCCAATCGGTCGTCGCAGTCGGTCGGCACGAATGCATCGTTCAGTAGGTGGTACTAACCCGTACTGTTGGGCCATTGTCAGCGAACGTGTCCAGCAACTGCCGCGTGATGCAGGAAGGAGAGCGGGATTGCGTCGAGTCGCCGCGGCGGGACTAGAGGCGGGTGTGCCCAAGTGCCCACCGCGGCACCGCCTAGTTGAAACGCCAACGGCGGAGGGGAGACGGGGAGGGTAAAACACTGACACTCATGGTGAGATCGAGAGGCCGCGGTGGCCCACGGGAAGCGTCTGGCCGGAGACGATGGTGGAACTGAAGCTGGCACCCCGTGTGAGACGGACGGCCCGCGACGCGACGTCAAGTGGCTGCGGTTGCTGGTGCTTCACAGGCGTGCGACGAGGAGGCGAGGGCTGCGAATTTGAATCAGGCGGCGTCTGGGGATCGACTGCTGTCGTTTGGTCGTTGTTCTTTGCAGCTCCTGGAGGAGAAGTGCTGACGGTAAGATTGTTTGTTGGCGATTGTCGTCGTCCCTGGCTGGGGCTGGTGGCAATCAAAAGGGGGCCGCTGGCGCATTGGTGCTGGCCGGCGCTACGGTACGAAATACTGGCACCCAAGGGGAGGGCAAGGGGCTCTGCCACTCGCACTGTAGCGGGTAGATGGGGTCGGGCCAATGAGCCCCTGTCGTGCCTGAATGATCAGCGGCCTGCTAACCCTGGTGGCGACTCCGCGACACTGTGCGAATGAGCTTGCACTGGGCGGTTGCGAATCCCGTGTTTTTTCATTGCGGTGGCTGCAAAGGGCAAACGTCATTCACCACAAGCTTCATTCCTCCCAAGCGCCTCGTTCAAGCCAGAGGCACTGTGCAAGCAAGCCTCTCCCTCTTTCTTTATTTCGTTTCTTTAGCACGGTGACACGCGGCCGCAGAGACCATTCGATGGCACCGACGACCGCTTCCGCTCCCCCCTCCCTCCAATTCAGCACCGAGGCCTCGGGTTAGTTACGAGGTCAAGCAGGTCAAAGAGAGGCGCTTGCGCCGCAGGCCAGCCGCACCCCGACTCTGCGATTGGACCCTGGCCGCGCGCGCACGTTTGGCCAACCAACACCTGTAACGACATGGGCAGCAGCGGCGCAATGCGGGTGGGACCCTCCATCGCTCCACGGCTCCATGGTCTGGCTCGGGCTGAGCCAGGCGTCCGGTGCAGGAGACTAATATGGCGGGGCAGGGAGGCGTTTGGGCGTCCATGGCGTCCACCCTCTCTCTGTCGCTGGCCAGGCCAGAACGGGCAGGGTTTCATGTGCAAGATTGGACGTCGAGAATCCTTGGCTGTTCGTTCGCCGTTGCGATGCCCCTTGGACGCCTGCCCTGCCCTCCCACCAGGTACAGTCATATCTCGATTTGCTTCGCACCCAGGGCATCAGAGACAATGGAATCTCCTTTGCGTGCCCAAGCTCCCCCGCGTGGCACTCCGTGTGCGCCCGCGCGTGGCTGGCAGACACTGGCGTTGGGCGCTCTGTTCGTACGCACCATGCGGCGCTACCATGTCAGCCCGAGCGAGGCTGATTGAGCACGGCGCATCAGCTCTCGTCAGCACGGTCGGATATGCCTTTGCACTCTTCCCGGCATGCTGTAGAATTAAAGCAGCTGTTGGGCTGCAGACCCGACCGCAAAGGTGAGTGCTGGCATCGCACAAGGCTGGAGGAATCTATTTACGTGCTTTGGCGCCGGCTCGCATCGGGCCAACAACTACCTTCTGATCAGCGGCGCAGAGTGCTGAAGAAAGAAGGTTTGCATTCATTCACCAAAGTATCAAAGCTGGTTGGCCGCCCGCACCTACGCACGCAACAAACAGGTTGGCGACGCCATGTCGCTCGCCTGTACCCCGGATGTCCACAACATGCGCGCAAAGCACTACAGCACGGCATACGCAGACACGTAGCTGACGCTGGAGTCGTTGGCGCTTTTTACCAGGCTGCTCCGGTCATACCGCACAATTTTGAAGCGGTATTTGCTGCTGTCGTTTGTCTCCTTCGCAATGAGCTCTAGGGCCGCCATCGCGACGCCGATCGGATGCCTGCCACACACGGTGTTGCCGGTCAGGCGCAGGTTGTCGACAAAGGCGTCGTGCCTGCCGCTCTTGACCGCGTCCATGGCAGCCTCGTCGAGCAGGCGTATCGTCTCGTGGATCGGCGGCCCCGCGGGAGTCGAGTCGCGCCAGCGCAGCATGGTGAGCTTTGTGATGTCGTTGGTCGGCGAGTATGGCTGGTAGCTGAAGTGGTCGCCCCAGTGGCAGAAGTCGGAGCTGATGACGAAGGCGTTTTCGGGGTCCTTGAGGTATGAGGCGAGGACCCGGCCTACGTCCTTTTCTTCGGCGCGGTTATTGTCGCCGATGAGAATAGGCACGATGGTTGGAAACTTGTCGGGGGAGCCAAACGTCTTTTCGCAGCGCTTCCAGAGGTATGGCAGGTGCATCTCGAGCGAATGCTCCTCGGAGTCCTTGGATCGGGGGATGTCGGCCATGTCCCCCGCTTCCTTGACGCGCTGGATAATGTCCCTGTCCACGGTAAAGTCCCCGTATGGCGTGGCATACTTGGCGAATGTGGTGACGGCGCAGCCCTCCAAGTAGTACCTGTGCGAAGGACCGAGAACGAAGACGCGCTTCGCTTTGCTAAGATCCAGGCAGCTGTATGCCCAAGCCGCGCAGTCGCCCGAGTAATCGTAGCCAGCGTGCCTGGAGAGGCAGGCAGGCAGGCTGTCAGGTCATATGGATCTCTCAATAGCAATGGGTCGTTTGGAGGCTACTGGTACTCACGGGGCAATCACGATGCGGGCATCGGCAATAGGAACTGGCGAGCCATCGACGTTCTCGGGGACCTTGGCGAGGTATCCGTTGAGCTGGCCCTCGAGGTCGTCCAGCGCACGTGGATACCAAGAGCCCGCCTTGCCAGCGGGACGCGTGGCCATGATGCGTAGAGGGATGAGCAGCAGTGAGGGCGTGCGATTCAGACGTGAGTATGCGAGATACGGCGAGGCACAGGTGGTGTTTTCTATTTTGAAAAGCTGGCGATGGCGATGGCGATGAAGATGAGTTAGGTGATGACGATGATGCACTTGTAGAGTCGTAAGGTAGAGCTGGGGCAGCTTCCAAGAGCTGCTGCCCCGCTGCGTCAGGCGGGGTTGCCGGAGGTTCGTCTGGAGGTGGGGTCCGCGGCTGCTGGGCTGAAGTCACTTACACCCTGAAGTTACCACTTGGACTTGGCACGGCGTCTCAATACACGTGCGATGCACGCCATTGCTGGTTTAAGTTGACGGGTGGTTCGGTTTGGCGGTTCCTGTGCCGCCGCCAGAGCAGACCTGTCGATGCACACTGCCAATGTTAGTGTACTTGAGCAGAGGGTTCTTGGGTCCGGTCACGGCGGGCTCTCGAGGTGCACAGCTTTGGACATGGTCAGGTCACGACTCACGACGTCGTACACTCTTCGCACCGACAGATGGTCGAGTCCCGGCGCCCCCGATGAGGGTCATTAAGTTTCTAGCAGGGTCTATACAGCACATACTGTACAGTACAGTATAGTACAGTACAGTACTGTATCTTGAAGCAGAGGCGCATCGAGAAGTCGTGCCGCTGCCAATGATCTTTCCGAACGAAGCCTGTGCATACGGCGATAGACGCCCGGTTCAGCTTGCACATACCATGGCCTCCACACTCTGTCCATACGAAGCAGAGAGCTCGTCGGGCCTTTGCCCATCGGACCGCCGAGGGGCGCGAGCTCGAGCAGGGGGCCCTCTTCAATATTGCAGAGACATTTGGTCAGTGTACCATACCCCGTACTTTACTCTGTGCGACTACAAAGCATTGCAGAACGAGCGAGTACAGTAACTACCTACATGGCACACGGCAAAAAGACCAGCATGCCCAGGGTAGAGAGACCTGTTCGAATGCACGAGTCTGCAGCACCCGCGGCAAGGTGCCGAAGCGAGGTGACGGCGCAGGCAAGCGAGGGCGTTCAATATTACAGACTCATCACGTAATGACGTCGCATGCCTGCGCAGCCGTGTGGCTGAACGTGCCGTGCGTGAGGGCATTCTCTCTTCGCAGCGTGCAGAGACATGGCGTTCCGGCATGGATGTGTTCCCCCCTTCTTCGGCCGAGATGAATGAAGCCAGGAAGACGGTTGGCTGCTCGAAGACGCACGGATTCAAGGGATCAGATGGATCCCGTTCGGCCACCACCCCAGTCACGAACGGTCCACTCCTTGCCACTGACTGCCGGAGCTGGCGCAGGGATGGGGGGGCCCGTTCGGGGCAGGGATGGGAGCCGTGGCGGGTGGCCTGTCCGCGCCGAGCCGAAGCAAACGCTCGGCGATGCTCTGCGATGGTTGTGGAGGAGCATCATGGTGATGGAGTCCTTGGGCGTCGATATCCTTGGTCGCAGTGCTTCGAGAGCCAAGAGCCCGCTGTCCATGAACCCGGCGTGGAGGCCAGCGGGATGGATGCATTTTCAGCGCGGGCATGTTCTCCGTAGCACTCAGGTACCGTAGATGCTATGGGGTAGCACCGACGAAGCATCGAGCGTTCAATGATGGACCTGTTGCAACGCTCGGTCCTGCACCCGAGGCCTGGCGTGGGTCCCTGCAGCAATAGATCGTGACGAGAAAAAAAAGGTCTTGCACGCCCCGGCACGCGATGCGCGAGGAATCCTCCGGCGCCGTCGGCCGCATTCGACTCTCTTGCCATCGACCCGCGGGCTACTGTACAGGACTAGGTAGGTACTGTAGATAGAAAGGGCCTTTTTTTTTTCTCTCGCCACGGCTCGGCGCGCCGACGCTCATCTCGGGTCGGAGGGGGCCCTGCATCAGGCCATTTGTGTGCCTCGGTCTGTGCCGTCCCGGAGAGCTTGGTCACTCCTCTAGTTGCCCTCAACTCTCCTCGGGCACGGCATTTCAATAAGACCCGGGAGGGTTCCTCAGCTGAGTGTCGAGAGAGCGGCTCTCAGTGTCCGGCACACTCTATTGGTACCATTGAACGCTGGGCAACAAAGCAAGGCGACGTAGAGTCCCTTCCCGCACATTCTACGCCCACCTGCAGGTACCTACCTCCTCGGGGGGCCAAACTCAAAAAAAAAGGACAGCCAGCTCTCTCCCTGGAAGGAAACGACGACCGGGACTTGAGAAGGGGTCGCCGCTCCTGCCTGCCCTTTGCTTCATCACCATCATCAACGTGTCCCTCTCTCTTCCTCCACCCTCTCTTCTACTTACTCCTCCTCTCCTCCCCTCCGATCCCGATCCCCGACCCTCCCCTTTCGGCCTCGTCCCCCCCAACAGCCGGAAACTCGCTGCCGCCACCGCACAGCCTCGACCTTATCAATCGCGCCTCCAGAGCGCCTCGCTGGGCTTCCAGGCGTCGGCTACCGCTGCCGTGAACCGGGGCCACTACCGCCAGCAGCGCGCCAAAAGCCCGCCAGGCTGTTCCCGTTCGGGCATCGCTCGTTCGCATTCCGTCATTCCGTCATAACCAGCCGACTAAGAATTACGAGTTATTCGCCTCCACTGCGCAAGCCGACTAGAACCTTAAGCCCGCCGTCGCCGCCCTGCTAGCATTAGCAGATTGGTAGTAGCTGGCAGTTGGTTCCAGCGTCGGTCCGGGTCCCTTCCTTAGCCAAGGTCCCCACCGGGCCACCACGCGCCGGCCCTGTATTTCCAGGTTGTTGGCGCTGCTCTGTTTCTTCCAGAACCCCCTCCTGCTCGTCTTCCGCTCTCGCCATCGCCCTTCAACAACGTGCCATCGACCGTCGCGCAGACGCACGCAACCTCTGCATCCCGCCAGGCCTCCCCCGCGCAGGCACCGTCTGCTGCGTCGCATCGCATTGACGACGCTGTTGCCGTCGCCGTTGCCGCCGCAACTCTCCTCCCCTTGAACGCGACCGCACGCGCGCGCGCGCGCGCTCTTCGCCCTCGTCATGGCCGGTTCCTCCAAATGGGCGTGGTCCAAGAGCACACGCATCAAGGTGATGCTCATTATTGACACAGCCTTCTTCCTCCTCGAACTCATTGTCGGCTTCCTCGCCCACTCCCTGGCCCTGACCGCCGATGCCTTCCACATGGTTCGTCGCCTCGTGTAACCGCGGAAGCCTTCACTGCTAACGTCGCCACTACAGCTCAACGACATCATCTCTCTCGTCATCGGTCTCTGGGCTGTCGTCGCCGCGCAAAAGGAAACTACGGACGAATACACATTTGGCGTATGTACTGCCATGCACGATCCCCCTTACATTCTACATTTTACTAATGGACCTCGCAGTGGGTGCGTGCCGAGATCCTGGGCGCCTTCTTCAACGCCGTCTTCCTCATCGCCCTCTGTGTCTCCATTATCCTCGAGGCCCTCACCCGCTTTGTTGAGCCTCCGGAGATCAACAACCCCAAACTCATCCTCATCGTGGGCTGCGCCGGCCTCTTCTCCAACCTCCTGGGCTTCGTCGTCCTCGGCGGCCACGGACATTCGCACGATCACGACCACGGCGACGAGGGTCACGATCACGATCACGCCCACGGCGAACACTCCCACGATCACTCCCACACCAATGATGCCGAGGAGGGCAGGGCTGGCAGAGATATCCGCTCCGAGGTCGCCGACGAGAGCGGCGACGTCAACGACATTCTTCCCGAGGTCGTCGTTAGGAGGGCAACCACCGACAGATCTGGCACCGACAGCCCCGAGACCACGCGCCGCATTCGCTTCGGAGATGACGCGCAAGGCCGAGACGAATCCAACACACGTGGCAGCCGCGCCTCGGGCCAGTCCCGCGGCAGGGTTCGCCGTCGCTCCAGCAAGAGCGGCCATTCGCGCTTCGCCAGCATTGAGGACATGAGCATACACCCCGCCAGCTTCCGCCAGGACATCATCGCCGCCAGTCTCGCCGCCTCGTCCAATGGCCCTGTCGCCGAGACCGATAGCAGCGAGGAGTCAGCCGTGGCCGATTCCGAGAACGACGCCAACGAGTCGTCCCCTCTTCTCAAGGACAGCAACGCGACGAGCAACAACGGTACCATTGCTCACAAGTCGCATTCTCACTCAACCTCAACCACATGGAGACGTCGCGCGCGCCGTGACTCGAGCGTACACGACGGGCACAACCACACCATGCCTCGCAAGCCCGGCTCCAAGGTCAGCGGCCACAGCCATGCCGACATGGGCATGAACGCCATGATGCTTCACGTCCTTGGCGATGCCCTGGGCAACGTCGGCGTCATCATCACTGCTCTCATCATCTGGCTCACCGACTGGCCCGGCAAGATATACGCCGATCCGACAGTCTCGCTCTTCATCACTGCCATCATTCTCAAGACATCGATCCCTCTCACCCTCGCCACCGCCCGGGTCCTTCTGCAGGCGACACCCGAGAACATCTGCATTCAGGATATCCGCCAGGACATTGAGAGACTGCCCGGCGTCGTCAGCTGCCACCACATCCACGTCTGGCAGCTCTCCGACACCAAGATAGTCGCCAGCCTGCATCTCCAGGTCTCTTTCCCCATCAACACGCACAGCGGCGAAAAGTACATGCAGCTGGCCAAGCGCGCGAGGAAGTGCCTCCACGCCTATGGCATCCACAGCGCCACCATCCAGCCCGAGTTTTGTTTGGATCAGAAGCACCAGCGTGACCACGACGTCGCCGCCCTGTCACTCGACGGCGCTACCGCCGACGGTCCCGCCGACGCCGCTTGCCTGCTTGAATGCGTGGACGACTGCGAGGAGCAGGGTTGCTGCACCCAAGACACGGCTTCGTCTACGCGACGCGGTAGTGACTCTTCACAGGGCGACGCCCAACCGCGGTCGTAGAGCGACGATGACTATCCACGGATTTTCACCTTAGAGATGAGCGGGTAGACGGTCCCGCCGCCTGTGATTTCACCCCCGTCTCGCGACTCTAGGGCACGCTCCGTGATGGAGCAAGGGGCATGCTCTTTGGCCTCTCATGAGTCTTCCTTATATGGTACACTCGGGTAATCTTGTAACGGTCTGGCGTTGGTCGGTTTTGGGCATATTTTCCACCGGGATAAAAAGCTGGGTGTGAATGGTCTTGTGTCGTGGAACAGCGTACGATGGGTTTTCTTTTTGTTCAAAGCGTGTGGCCGAGGGGCACAAGCGCCGTAGAGAGGTGCACCCAGAATCTATTTCCTATATTACTACTAGATCGTCCAAGGTACCAGGTGTGCACCGTTGCCGCCTGTGAAATGGTTTCGTCCACTGTTGTCAACCCCAGAGCCCAAGGCGTCGAGACTGTGAGTTCCTTCGCCGCACCCTGTTCCATTCTGCTGCGCGATCGACCTGTGCGGCCTCGGGTGTATTAGTGAAGACGGAATCAACTCGTTACGCTCATGATCCTGGCCCGTCAGACAAGGCCGATGCAGAGAACCGAGACAAGGTATCTATGGAGGCCGCGTCTTTGGGGGGGGTTCGACACCGCCTCTCCAGGTGCGTGCTCTCGCTGGTGACGAGAAAGGAGGAGTCTCAGGGAGCATCAAAGCCATCCCGCCCAGCCCTCAATTATCCTTGAGTCGTGCGTGTACGGGAGGATCTATCTGCGGAGAGTACCGGCCCCACGCAGGGAGATGGATAGTCAGTGAAGGAGGGAGGACCACGGGGTGATGTAACTCGGAGGCGCGCTGGGGAAGGGGGGATACGCACAAAGTGCTTTTCGCCGGCGGTGTGGTGCAGTGCGGTATGGGACGACGAACGAAACGAAACGAAACGAAAGAAACGAGAAGCGAACGAAAGAACGAGCCGAGGGCCTTGCAACATCTCGTTTCAGAGGGAGGATTCGGTGTATCGAGCATTGAGAGTATAGTTGCTTGTCCAGATTTGGATGGGTGCGAGCAGCACCCCGTCCGCCGGTTCATAACCTGATAGTCTATGGCCAGGCTCTTCTGTTTCAGTGCCTGTTCTCCTGCGGGCCTGGTCGTTACTGCTGCGCCTTGGTAGAGACAGAGACGGAGATGGAGAGAGAGACAGAGAGAGAGACAGAGACAGAGCGAGAGGCAGAGAAGAGAGCCGTTATGGAAGGGGACGAAGGAGTTGACATTGTTCATGATGGGCAACGACGGCAGGACGCAGCTCTCTGGAAAAGGGGGGGATGGCCATTCGTCCTCCGCGCGGCGCACTCGCACCTCATGCGCGAACTCACTCGCAAAACGGAATCCGTTTTCAGTCATGGAGCTCGACGGGAGTGTTACCCACAGACTCACATCCACTTCCTCCGTCTTCGAGTTCCAGGGCCCATACAACCGCATCTGGGTCTATGCCAGACCAGACCCGTCACTCGTAGAGCACATGCGCGTATGCCGTAACTTAGTTGGCAGACATCGATGCCACTCTTGCTTGACTTTGCATAATCTTGATAAATTCTCAACTAGATATACACATGGCATCATGGTTGCAGCCTGGTCTCCAGAGTACATCATATGTGATACGGCATTCCTCGAAACAGACACAACGGTCTTGAGACTGCCATCGATTCTCTCCCCGCGACGTCACGCAGCTAACAGGCAAGCACCTAGTCTGATTAGACTATCTGATTAGACTATACACATGTCCGTTGCGAGATCAGGGTAAAAGCAGGCACGGTGAAGACGCTTAGTGCTTCAGCGGGCGAAGACAGTCAAGGAGATTTTATAAGGTATCACCGGCGCACATCCCGCAGTGTCCGTAGTTTCTTACGAAAGCAGGTATTGCCTTCTTAGTCTTCGCTTACCCTTTCGTACTACGGAAACAACAACAAGGCACTGCTGCAACGAGCGAGGTCGGTTAACAGGACAAGGGGGTTTGCTGCGGGAGTGTAACACAGGACCCTGGCCGCAGGGCTCCTGTTCAGCACAAACATGCACGTACTCTCTGACATGATGCCCGGAAGAAACACCAGCAGCCACATGGGATTGTCGCCCTCGGTGATCATGGCGGACATTCACAGATGCCTTGGCCCCTGATGATCAGGAGGGGTAGTATGCCAGCACCTCACCAATGACGAATGCGACGCGCCAACTTACCGTACCTCGGTCTTCTAGCTCCGGGCATCCAGCTCCGGGCATCCAGCTCCGGGCATCCAGCTCCGGGGCACCATAGGCTTCTTGGGGTGTGCAACGACGGCGCAGCCGGACCACCCGCTGGGACGAAGCGCGGTGTGTCCGATCGAGCGTCGAGCCTGGCAGTCAGCCAGCCGCCGAGGCCGCCTGCGCGGGCGCGCATGCCAAATTGCCAAATTCGCCCCGAAACCCAATCGATTTGTGCCTGGTATTGATGGATGCGGACATGGGCTGCGGAGGCTAAACTGGCGCTGCTGTTGTCGGCGCCGGTGGCTGGGACGGGTTGGCGAAGCAGGGCCTATTTCGGTGACCTGCAGCCATTAGCGGGCGAATGGCTTGGGGATGCTCTGCAGCAGCTGGTGCGTTGGCAAAGAGGCTCTGCTCCTCTCCTGAAGGTCCTGGTCCGTCAGCCTGTTCTCGGCAAAATTGCATCAAGTCAGGGAGCGACGTCGCGAGACTACTGACGCAGCCAAGCAGGCCGATCATGCCCATTGTTTGTTTGTTGACGATGATATGACGACTGGCCCGCAGGGGAGGCCGGGGAGCGCCAGGCCCGAGCTCCTGTTACATGTTTTGCATGTTGCACGCGTTCTGGACGCGTAGAGTGGTTTCGTGGCGTTTTGTTGGCGTTGAATCATGACACCCTCCGGTTCGCCGGCCATCCAATGTCGCCATGTGGCGGGAACCTCCTTTCTTGAACGGGCCCGGGCTGGCGGCCCAGATCGATCTGGGGGGTCGCATCTTGGCGGCCAGCGTCGTTGTTTGTTGATGTTTGGCCGGGAACGTCCCAACGGCACTGCACGCTACGAATTGCAACGCGATTGCATGAGACCCAACGCGGCGGCCTCTTCGACAACAATCGTCATGACCCCGCGCTGGCTGCCGGCCTGTTTGGCTGGTCAGCATGTGCGTGCAGCAGCGCCATGCGGAGAGCACTTGTCCAAGGTTCAACCCAGAATGTCTTACAAGACCCCGCGTGTCGAGAGACTTGAGGCGACCTCCGCCCAAAGTCACTGGCCAGCAACTTGCCTCTTTCGTAATCCTGCACGTTGGCTCAATTCCCCCCTTCCCAGCTGAAGCTCCGTCGGTTTGTCGATCGCCGACTCCGCAGGAGCCTGTTCGTCTGCTCGTTCGTCCCTGCTCGGCGTCTCAGCTGGCCTCTAGACCCCATTGAGCCAACGAGCGTCCGAGAATGCCTGCCTGCAGTCGGCGCCATCGACCTCGAAGGATTCCCGCCCCGTCGGCGCTTACACTTGGCCTCGCGCAATCCCTCCTCGTTTCAAGGTCTCGAGGCACGGGAACCAGCGCAGCCACGGCAGCCTCCCCTGCCCAGGCCTACGTGTGGAATTGAACATGAACAATGGCCCCGTCGTTAGCGTCGCGGCGCTGCACGACAATGCTCGCCAATTGCCATATTCTGCGCAAGACTGGCGCCGCGGATCGTAGATTTCTGCCAGCAATCGCACTCTGCGCGGCAGCCTCCTCGGCGAATGGCCGGGCGCGCCCCGCCCCGATATGCGACTGCCTTCTGACTTGCGTTTGAGACCAGCCACACCGGGAGGAGGCAGTCGAAGTGCCATGTTCGTGGAAGATGCCAATGTCCGGAATACCGTGTGCCAATGGCCCGGCGGTCCCTTGCTCCATGGGGGACGCAACGCCACTCATGGGGGCTTGGTGCGTTCGTCGTCTGTGGCTTTGCGGCGCATCTCGACAGCCATGGCGTTCGTATGCTCAAGGCTTGTCGCCATGGCCCTCAATCCTCTGGATATCACTGAGAATTGGCAAGGCGAGCACTACCCCGCTGCAAGAGGCGCCTCTCTCCGAGTTCTGTTGTCTCCTCCATTCAACTTTCGTGTCTGTCGAGGCGGGTTCCGGATTCCGGGAGACGCCGATACGGTAGCCGCTATAGGTTCTGAGGATGTAGTGAGTATGCAAATGAAGCCTGGAGGGGAGGCGGCGTGTCTCTACCCATGGAAGTGAGAGATGACTTTCTGACATGCAGTCTGTGGCTAGCGGGATGCCTCCCAGAAGGGGACATATTCGTCGTCGGATGCCTGCAAGCCCGCTGTACCACGTTATGGCTGACTCCAGGGACCTCGAGTGCGCAGTCGCTGAGGGCAATCCGATTCGATATCGCAGGCGCCCTTTACCTGACCGCCAGCCGCGTTCCATCCCGTCCCTCCAACGGCGATGCCACACCCGGCGGTGTTGGCGTCAAGCAACGACGCCGTCGGCGGCGCCGAGGTGCGCTGCGTAAATAGCAGCAGCAGCTTCTCCGCAACAGGCTGCTAAGCCATGAGTGGTCGTTGTCCGAGACCAGGGGGGAGTGAGCAGTAACGAACGGGCGCCCGGCCTTGGCAGCACCCCGTAGAGCCTGGGAGCTTTTGCAGGTGGCTGACGGAGTAGTTGGCGTTACTGCATTTGCGGCTGCAGGTCGCCAATCTGATCATCCCCAATCGCCCATTGACCGGTTGCGCGACGGTTTCGCGTCCTCCTCTTCCAGCTTCCAACTCGCGGCTCGTCTGCATCATTCCCCTAACCCGACTCGGTGAAGCACGAGGGCACATCGCGGCTGCAGCTGCATCCGCGGACAAGCCTGCGGCCCCCGTGTCACGGCTGGGTCGGCTCGCAATTTTTCTCGGGGGTCCGCAGGTGAGGGTCTCCAGGCCTTGGATTATATAGACATGCCGTCATTGGCGTGCCGCTGGTCCTGCGCTGCCAAGGTGGGACAACGGAGCTGTGCATGGCATCGCGAAACTGCCGCACGACTCACGAGACCCAGAACACTCCCGCGCCATTAGCAGGCGGTCTCGATGCTCGTCGAGGGCGGTGGCATCGGGCCATGACTCCATGGCATACAGACGCCGCCCACCGGCCCCGTCAGTGCAACATGCCGAATGCCGTGCGCGGGTTGCCAGCACTGCCAGCGAGAAGCGTCGCCACAGGAGCTCCGCGCGCGCGCGCTAGCACTGGGCCGGGTGTCCATAGGCACGCGACGTAGTGTCGGTAGCTTTGTTGCGAGGTGCGTCGTTAGGTGACCCGTCGACATGGCCGCCTTCCGGGGACTGGGTACGGTCGGGATAATGCCAATTGCATCCACCGCACGGAGTAGTGCACCGGCATAGAATAATCCATGTGGGGCGGGCCCTCGCGGACGACGAGCTTGAGTTTGATGCCGAAAAGAGACGTGATGTGACGCCTTGAGGCGTTCGCGAGGCGACAGCCACGGCGAGAAAGGCATCTCGTACCCAGAGGTTGACTTGCCTGGCGGCGCTGCAAGCCGATTGATGACGCAGGACACTTTCGCCATAACGGAAGAGGAACACGGCAAAGCTCGGGCGGACATGCTGCCCTCCGATCGTCATACCGGCGGACAAGGGGATGCGTACTCCGTGTCTGGTGCGAGTTACAAATGGCCGGCCGTGGCGCGCGACGAGTCGCGTCCCAAGGCAGCCGTCCGGGACCAACGTCGGGATCTGTCCCTTTGAGCGTGACGTAGCAAAGTTGGAGCGAGTAAGGTTGTCGCAACACGGCGCGGGCGGCAATTGGAAGAGGCAACAACATGCACGTTCGCCGCGCCCCGTGCGCGCGGGCACGTTCGAGACGCGCGGTGGTTGACCCGGCTCGGGCCATGGGAAGGGGAGAATTCCATCGCAGGGAGGACCATGTCTCTTGCGCGGAAGCGCGGATACGGGCAAAGCGAAGAAAGGAAAAAAAGCAGGGCAGCGCCTTGTTGAAACAATCACGAGAGTTTTTCGCCTCAGGGGTCCCGGCGCTGGGAAGGAAAAAAAGGTTTGAGGGGCATCTTAAACGGAGGCAGGAGCTCAGACAGACAACCTGGTCGCTCCTGCCTCGATGCTGGTGAGGCACGGGTGTGAGTGAAGCACTAACATGGCTCAATATCGTGCGAGGTCAGGCAACGACGGTATGTATAGGTACCTAGTACTCCGTACGCGGTATCACGGTGTGCCACCCAAGACGAATGGGGAGTGGGCATGGATGTTCCAGCCGGAGCCGCAAGCACTGCAGTGGCTCTGATATACATGGTCAATATGACTAGCGACGGCGGATATGCGCTCGAGCCAGAGCTGGCCGGAGGGAACTGATTGAGCCGCGACATGCAATGTGAGAAAGCGTGAGGTTCTGGTACTGGGTACGGAGCGTTAGGTGCGTACTCGCTAGGTACTTCGCCGCCCCCAACCGCCGGCACCAAATTTGCTGCAATTCAACGGACGAACGCCTATCAGGGTGAAACTGACCTGCGACGTATATCCGTTCGAACAACGACCGAGCAACCAAGCAACGAGAGAAAAAAAAAAGTGACACCAATCTGTGAACCGAATAAACAAAATTTCAATCGGTCGATCCAGGGCATCGGATCGTTGATGGCCAGAAGGAAGGGATGGGGGGTGCGCGGGCGCGTGCGAGGGGCACGTACCCGCCCGATCGTCAGGAGGCTGGCAGCAAGCAAGCCCCCGGAGCGAGCAGTATCATTGCCACGGCACGGGCACTGGACCCGACTGCAGGGCCTAGGTGCCTGCAGGGACTTTGAAAGTGAGCCCAGTCAGCCAGCCGGACCAGGCCAAAGCACCGCCCGAGAAACATCACGCTCGCCTGCGTCAGGTACCCGCAACATTTCGTATGTCTGTGTGTGTGTGCATTGTGTTCTCCGCCCTGCGCTCGGGGACGCGCAGGTCGTCACACGAGCAGGACAAATGCGCCGCAATACGCCGCCGCCGCCGCCGCCGTCGTCGCCGCCTCTCTGCATGACGTGAGACCCCGACTGAGAGAAGCCGTTGGCCCGGCTGACGGACGGGGTCGCGCAAGATGGGGATCCTGTCTTGGGGGGCCCTCGCTCACCAGCCAGCGAGTAACCTCAGGACCTGCTACCAGTTGGGTGGGCACCAGCAGCGGCAGCAAACTTGAGGTGGCGCGGCTCCAGCCAAATCTCGCGAGCCGTGTTTCAACCGCACAGCAGCGCGCAGCAGCACCCCGACCCAGCAGCAAGCAAGACGAGGCAAGGCGGGTTGACGCACGGCGCCCGGCGGCCCCCAACGGCCACGGCGTCGGCTGCGTGTTCCATGCCCGCCCCGAGACCGCCAAGCCCAAGTCTATCAGAAGTGCAAATAGGTGGCGACATGCAGGGCGGGCGACCGACCGACTCTCTGGATGCGAGAGCCGGGCTATTGTGACGCCTGTGCACGGCATTTCCAAGTCAAGTGAAAGTGACGTCGCGGGTCGACTTGATCAGACACACGCCCAGCCGTGCCTCCCATCCATCTCTGCGCACGCCTCCGCAAATCTGCAGCTCCGCGATGAAGTTTTTTTTTTCTTTCTTTCTTCTCCTCGCGCCCCCATCCAAGTCCCCTCTTTCGTCCCCAACCACGGAGTTGTCGTCGGTAGAAAAGATTTTTCTTGCCCCGTTCCGCGCAGTTCGGAGGCTCAAGGAGAAAGAGAGGGGTTCGTCCGCGGCTACGCTTACGTCGTTGCCGGGGTCGGCGGTGGGCAGGACCCGGTGGGCGCTGGCAATAGTATGCGTCCTGCGCTGCAGGTATGGAGGAGGCCCCCTCCCTCCAGCCCCCCAAAGGGCCTTGGTTTCGGGATGGGGAATCGGACGTGCAGTAGCGGTTCCGAGTCGCGTGCTGGACGCGGTGGGCGAGGCGGGGACGGAGGCGTGCGGCCAGAGGGCCGCCTCGGCATTGCTGGGTTGGTGTGCTCCGCGTCTCCATGGACGCTTCACATATATGTACTTTTTGATTGGGGATCCTCGTGCGTGCACATTAAGTCGAGGAACCCGAGAGGACGGACAACGGCCTTGGGATAGTTGCTGGGCCAATTTTCCCACCTGCGGCAGGGCCGGGCTCCAGCAGCCGCCCCAGCGAAAGCCCTGTCGACGGTGAACCCGCGGCGTGGCGTGTCAATTGTGTATCAACGATAATGAAACGCTGACGTCGCCAATGAACGCCAGCGAGGTTGGCACAAAATCCGCATCGCCCAAAGAGGAAAACAATTAAAGATTCGCCGTCCAACCACGTCGCGCCAAATTCGCTCCAGCCACGGACATGTGGCGCAGCCGCCCACCAAGTTGTGCGCCATGCGTGCATGCCCATGACAGCCCCCTTTGGGCCGGTGCACCACCCGTGCAACCATAATTAGTGCTGTGGCGCACCTTACCGCCCCGGGAAGGCTTCCAGAATACCCGCTGTGCCCGCTATGCCCCATGCGGTGTGGAGCGGTCCGGCCCCCCAGGGCGGCTCCATCTTGCGATGCCCTCACAACTTTTTGTGCCCAAGAGGACCCCTACTAACTTACCTGCGGGCACACCCGGGGCAGAGTGGGCGATGGTGACAGGCCTGCCGTCGTAGCGCGGCGCGGTCCTTGTCAAAGGCCCTGCTCTTGATCCATCGTCAGGGTGATCTGCTTGGGCGAGATGGGGTCGTCCAGGTCGGTTGTTGAACCAACGGACAGGCATTTGCAATTTTTTTCTTCTTCTTTCCTCCTGGGGCCGCCGGATCGGTTCCCCAGTCTCGCGCCGGGCCTGTCTCAAGCCCCGTCACAGTTTGACAGTCACCCCCTTCCTTGAGGCCGCGCGTGGCCTGCTGCCGGCACGCGTCTGATGGTTCGCGGCCCACGGGCAAGTCGAGAACCCGCTGATCAGCAGGCGCTGCGACGACGGGCTTTGCGGTGGCGAGTGGGCGGCAGGAGGGCGTCATGCTCGTCATGGCCTGTTCGTGGCCCGGCCAGGTTGTCATTGGAGTTTGTGGGCTCATCGCCTGTGCTCGTAAGTACCGTACCGCGAGGACCCATGCCGTCGTCCCCTGCCGGGCACCAAGCAGACGCAGTACGGATCCATCTGCTAGAGTAATAAGAGGACCCTGAAGCAAGGGCGGCGCCTGGTACTCGTAATTGCAATCTGCCCCCCAACAAGCGGGGATGCTTAACGCGTCCCGCGAGCCGCCGCAACCCTCGCCCGCGTCGGGACGCTGACACTTGACACCGGCACTGGCACATAGCACCCCGTGTGGGAGTGCTTGCATGCATGCATGTGCATGCATTGCAGAAGAGCAGCACCGGCGCGGGACAAAGAGAGGGAAGCGCCCCAGGCCGTCGTTACAATAGGCCGCCATTGTGTGGTAAGTTACTCTGGCCCTCATTTCGGGTCCGCGCGGGTGGGGCGAAACAGTCCACTCATTTTTTTTGCCTGGCGCGGGCTTGTCCTGCATCGAGCACAGAAGCAAACATGCATTCGATTCGAGTTGTGCGCGCCGAACCAGGCCCTGCAGCATGCTGTACGTACCATTTGTGCGAAGTACTGGACCGACCGACGGCGCAGGCGTTCAAGCCAAAGACCACCTCATGCGCCAGGGTATGCCGGCTCGCAGCTGTCTTGTCCCCTGCCTTGGTCTGTAGCAGAGACGTTTTGCTTTGCCTGCAGGCATAGTCGGAATCATGTCTTTAAAGATCTCGCTGCGCACGTCCTAATGTATGCACTTTGCTGTACCTTACATTCTCCCCGTTCCGAGCTCATTTCTTGTGATGCAGGGCTGGCCGGCGGCGCGGACCTGAGGCGTTCCCCTGCGTCTCGTCCCGTGGAGACCTCATCATGACACGGACGCCCCAATCTGGTCAGCCCCGGACAGGAGGGCCCTGCCACCAACCGAGCCGACGCATTTGCTGGCCTGGGCAGACATCAGACAGCGGGCGCCGGCACCGTCAGAGTTCGCGGGTTACAGCACAGAGGAGCACTGTTCGCTTCACCCCCTCTCGCCCGCCCCAAACCACGCCGACAACAGCTCGGCGACCAGCCGTGGTCGAAAATCCACCTGAGGGTTGGATGCGTCTTGTCCACCTCGTGGACGGACCTTGCGGGGCAAGCTAGGGTCAGTAGTCGGCAGCTGCCCATCCCGACACTGGATGCACCAAGCCCCGGCAAATTGATCAGTCGTGAACCACGGAATATTGCCTACGTCACACGTCTCCATCTGTCCAACCCAGGCGTGGCCTGCACAGTCGTCTGAACAGGCATCCTCATCCTCGGCGTGAGCGACTTGGTATGTTTCTGAACAATTTATGCCAGAGATGTGACCCCTACACCTCTCAGAATGCACAGCGGTTCCCCGGCCAAGGCCGCCTCCGTTGCTCGAATTTAATTTTTCTTGTCCAATGCAGACTCGCAGCGTGGAGAGTGACGAATCGTCGCTCGCTTCATGCCCTCCTGGATCGAAACGTGGCGTCCGACCGAGTTTTGCCGGAACCGCTGGTGCCGCCCCTACTTGAGCCGCACGACCGTCGTAAATGTCTGCCGTCGATATCTCAGCCAATAGTCGGCTCACTGGCCGTTCAGCTGGTCACCGAGTGGGTGTTGGTCATCAACGAAGAGACTCTGTGAATTCACAGGCACCAATTCGAGCACGGACGGCCGCATTTCGATGTCCCATCGGCAGGTGCCACTTGGCATTTGCATCTTCCTCGCAATGTGTAGTCCGTTCGGCGGGGCTGTGACTGTTTGGCCACCGTCGCGCCTTTCGAGACTCAATGACACAACAATCAAGTGCGCTTGCTCGCTTTGATAGCCCGACCAGGTGCTGCGACTGGCACAGGGACTTGGCGTGACCAGGTCTGGGGCAGTCCACTGCCGCCCCTGTGGGTGACCGAGGCCGAAAGGTTGCGGCAGCATCACGGACCGCCGGGCCCAGTGTGGCGGCCAAGGAGAGGCTTGCACGGCCTCCGTCGTCGGTCGTTGTCCTTGGCGCAGCTGAGCCGGAGGGGTAAGGTGGCTGCCTTGACATATCTGCAGGCTGGTCGGTTCCGAGCAAGAAGATGCATGCAGGTGCAGAGCTTATCGCTTTATGAATCGTGAATCGGCGTTCTGGCCGGAGGAGGTGAGGCGTTCCTCAATGGCCAACTTAATTCACCAACTGGGGGCGATAATTGAGGCAAAGCCCTTTCATGAGACGGTCATGCAACGACGGCCAAGGGCCCAATTCCTCTGGACGCAACATGGCGACGTCCTCTCGTCTCATTGTGCTCGTGTGGGGAGAAGGTGCGGCGAAGCTTCGGGGCCTGTGCAGACACCAGCAGGGGAGGGGCTGCACTGCGAGGGGCGCAGACAAGAGTTGGGGCGTCATGTTCCTGACGGCGCCTGGCAGGGAAGCCCATCCACGAACATAAAATGGTGTAATGCCCCGCACCTTCGGACGGCGCCGGCGAGTGCAGCGCCACGAACGACCAGGAGCTTGGAGGTAAGCTCCGCTAGCTCATCCGGCCACCGCGTTTTGCTGGGGTCGGGCGTTGATCGAGTTTCATCCCAGGTGCGCGTCCACGTGTCCCATTGGGCAGAGCGCGTAAAGTGGGAGGTTTGCGGACGACAAACGTGCGAACGCTCGGCGCGGCTGGTGCAGGTGGCATCAAGCTAGCAACGACGAGGGCAATGGCGCCGACGGGGCCGATCTTGCTCACGTTTCGGGGCGACTTTTGCGAGGGGGCCTGTGATGATCGTGGTGTTGGGGTCCAGCCACCTCCGGCCGGAGTGGTGCGTACGTATGTACTTGGCTGAGCAATGACGACATCTGCGTTTGCAGATGGTTCGTGGGCGCCCACTCGTTGACTTGCCTTCTGTGTCGGGATGGTAAAGGCGTTCGCTGGCTATGCAGTAGGCGTAACACAAGCTCGTTGAACGAATGTTAAGAGTGATGGAAGACGGACGCCCGAGTGCCGATAGCTACGAGGTGTGAGTTGGGGCTGTGGCAGTGGCAGTGGCAGCTATTGGTGGCAAGTGCAAGTCACGACACGGCTTCATCAGCAACAGATCTGGCAGTTGTGACGAAAGGGGCTCCTTCCCCTGACAAAACAATGACTTTGTTCCGCAGTCTGCTGAGCAGTCACGATCCAGCAAAGCAATTGCCGACGCGGACGCTCGACGTGGCAATGGCACGAAGGGGCATGCGAAACTCGCAATCCGCATCCCCTGACTGCGCATCATACCCAACTTTTGCGTCACGACAGGCTGATTCGCGTGTCGTGTGTGCGGTCGATGGATGCAAGATCCCGGCTGCCGCAGAAGTGGAGCGCCGCGATCCCCCCAGTGCCTCCACACGCGTCTGGTTGACCGTGATTGGGGAGGCTCGTGGAACGTCGACACTAATTCGACCGGGCACAGCCTCTGCTGCAACGCCAGCCAGTTCCTCGATGCCTTGCCGTCCCTTGCCCTGCTCTGCCCTGCCCTGCCCTGCCCTGCTTGCGTGCACCGGGGTTCGCCCCGTCAGGGCAGAGGTCGTTCGTTCCCTGCGCATGTATGTATGTACGCATGCGATGCGTGCAGCGGGCTGAAATGCAGCTCATTGAACTTCCGACGCAGCGGTGGTCCGTCACGGGATACCCTTCCATGGTCTGAGACGGGTTCCGTGGCTGGCGTCTGCGGGAGGGGAGCTCGACGTCTGGGATGGCGTCGGCTCGATGTTGGACGCCTCGCTTCCACTGTCCGCCCGATGAACCAGCACGCCACGGGCAACCAGCCAGCGGGCGCAGACGCAGACGCAGATCGCATTGCTGAGCGGCTCGGGGGCGTACATGGACACGTCGCTGGCAATGCGCCACTCACCGTCTGTTGCGCATACGTACGAGTACGTTGCCGTTGCCGCTGCTGTTGGCTGTTGTCAATGGCGGTCAACCGGTTTTGCGTCGACTGGCGCAAACACCAGTCACCCGTCATCAACTGTAATCAGAGCCTGCAAAGAACAGCACGAGCAGACGCCGACGTGATCGGCTAAGCCGGGGCCAGCAGAGCTGGGCGAGGATCTTTACCCCGAGGAGCGACTGCGGTTGCTTTTTCAGGTGACGCCCAACTCTAGCTGGGATCAGGGTGCCAGATTCCCAGAACGAGCCGTCGACGTGCTAGCGTGCAGTACGAACGTCCGCCACGGGACGAGAAGGATTTCGAAACGAAAGGGGGGCGATTTTGGATGGAACAGATTGTCTGCAGCTGCTGCACGGACGGGCCTGCACGGTTGGGCAGCGGTTGGGAATACTCGGTACCGCGGGTCGCGATGCACGCACTCAAAGCAAGCAATCACGCGCTCGGCACGCCTGGCCGGGGCCTCGTCTCGTGGCATGCGTGTGCTCACAGGCCCCCTCGCGGCGGCCGCCCCTTGGGACCGAAGCCGAATCGTCCTCCGTGCGTCGTGGACGAGCAAGGGAACGGCACGAGCAGGCACTCGAGACACGGGGCGTCGCTGAGGCTGGTCGGCGGAGGGAGCGCATGGAGCTTCCAGGCTGGAGGAGGCGGCGGCCGGAGGGCCTGGCGGGCAGGCATTGCAGGGCAGGCTGGCAGGGCAGATGGCAGGGCAGGCGTTCGACCCCGCCGCCATTGGTCGGGAGAGGCTCATCTCGGGACACGCGCATGGGTAAATTGGGATCTCGCCAGGTCGTGCCGAAGCGCGTCCTGGCGGCGTGATTGGCTGCCACCGGCCATGGATCTGGCCAGCTCGACTGCAACCCCAAAGGCAAACGGTTCGCGTGCTAGTTTCGACCATCGACGCCGTGGGTTGACGTTGTCGCTGACCGGCCGCTGCCATAGGCTGGTCGTTGACGGCGGGCCTGTGAGGGGACTCGCTCCGTGTTGCGAGCCCTGCGAACCCCGGCCTGCGGATGAGGAGATGCTTCGGAACACGCAAGACACGCTTTTGAATGAAGCATGTCAATGCCGCAACCCAGCAGCATTGCACACTTCGTGGGGTGCATACAGAGAGTACGGCACAGCACAGCACAGCACAGAATCATGCTGCTCTACCTACGTCTGCGCCGTCGTGCTCTGCAGTGCAGTCCCAGTCTGGACCGCCGCCGCCGCCGCCGCCGCCCCCAGCCTCCTCGCCGCTGTTATGCACCTGTCAACGCAACACATCCGATGGATGCATGTGGCATCAACATCAACAGCCCTTGAGCAAGCCACGGCGCAGCTGGCTTTGCCCTGTTTGAAGCCCCATGCTCCAGAGGGCGGATGGTGGGCAACCAAGTGCGGCTGCACCATCGCCGCTAAATCCTCGTACAAGCAACCCAGACCACGACGACGCCCATTTCGAGGCTCACAAGGCAGTGGCCTTCCGGCGACCTTCCGGGCCCGGCAATAGCCAAAAGAATGAATCTGCCTGTCGTCGTGAAACAGACTCCAACAGCATCAACTCGCCAGACACGGCAGTCACATGGACTCCCGCCGAGGCCAACGGTCACAACGCTCGCGGTCGTGGCGGGCGATTTGACATCGCGCGATCCGCTCATCCACTGACGCCGCCCCATCGAGTGCCAACGATGGCTGCGACCCCTGCACTGCTGGACCCGGTCCAACGGGTTGCCGACGGCGCCGTGGCAAGCCTAACGACGATGGACTACCAGCACGTACGAGCATGGTAGTGCTGGGTTGCATTGGCGCCAGCGCTCGCCATGATTGCTCGGTGTGCCGGCAGCGCGGGGCCCGAGCAGGAGAGCGATATGTGACATGTCCTAGGCTTGGAGAATTGAGTTTGCGTGGCTTTTGCGGATCGTGCGAGGCCCGTATTCTCCTCTCACGGCGCAGAGCTACGGAGTACTTGGCGTCGGTGACAAGAACCTGGAACGTCATCTAACAAAGACCAGGCACCAAGTACCCGTACTCCGGGGACCTCGTCTCGCACCCTCGCAAGGTTGTGGTTGGGCTGATCTGCAAGAGGAAACGAGGGCGCGCGGGCAAGGGCACAATTCATTGTGAGGAACTCCAGGCACAGCGGACGGGCCTTTCGGATCTGACTGTGGGGAAAGATGGGGGGGTGCCAAGTGCGCCGCAGGTCGAGGCAGATTACCAGACATGGCACAGGGCCCATCATCGCCCTGTGCCGGCCAGCCACGGCGCGATGAAGGCCGTCGGGGCCATGGATAATATTAATACGGAGTATTACTGTATCTCGATACTGGGCTGGCACAATTTGAACGGGTGCGCGGGTGGCCAGGGCTCGGTGTTCATCGCACCGCAATGCCGGGTGTGGCGGTTTTAGGCGGACAAAGCAAGAAGGCAGGCACATGCACATGCACGGGGACCATCGTATGTATGTCGATGCACCCGATCTGCAGAGTGCAAAGTGCACGCAGCGAGGCACGGCAAGCACTTGGACGGAGATTCCCCACCTCGAATGCGGACGCTGACTCCTCGTTCATTAAAGTCCGAGTGCAAACTCCAGAACCGTGCCATGCCGCGATGCCAGGCTGGGCTGCAACACTCGACGGGCCGCCCAGCAGCAGCACAGCCGGTCTCACCCTGCCTGGATGATCTGATGTGAGCGATTGAATGGCAGCATCCCTTACCTCACCTCGTCGCCTCTCGTCAGCACGCCGCAGTGGGCTCTGGCAAACGGGCAGCCGGCACCTGCTGCAGCATCCAGCCAACCACGACGTGAGGAGGTGACGGGCGAGGTGAGGTCCCGTAGAAGCAGGTAGTAGCAGCTGAACAAGCACTGGCCGTAGCGCGAGCTCCGCCTGTAGGCAGGGGACGCGAGTGTCGACGCAGAATTGGCAGCACAGCTCCCCCGGGCCCCACAGCAGGTCGCAGCCCGCAGAGCTGTCTGCTTGCTTGCCTCCTGTGGTGTGGTCTGCCAGCAGCTGGAGGTCCCCCAACGGGCGGGCATCCACCACTCACAGGCCAGCTCCGCCAGAGCTCCAAGCAACAGCACCTTCAACGGCATCGCGCTCGGAAACAAAACGGCCACCCAACTCGCACCCTCAACGCGCATTACCCGTCGCCTTGCGCAGGGTCACCATTCACCCCTTCGTTGCCACACACACACACACACACGCACACGCATCCGCGTCCCATCTGCAGTTACCCATCTCACATCATCGCCTCCTCGTCAGAAAAGCAGAGACGCCTGTCTGTCAAACCCGGCACGAGATTCAGAACCCCTGCTGCCTCCAAATTAGGCCGCTGGAGAAGACAAAGCAAAAGGCACCAGAACCGACTGCGGGCCAGCAAGCACAACGCCATCGTCACCGCACACCTGCACCCGCACCAGAGACAAGGACACAAATCGAGCGAGGCATCCATCGCACATCGAATCAACACCTCTTGGCACGCTCGCACGCTTCGCGGAGCTTTGAGCAGTCGAGACGATACGACGAAGCGTTCCATCGCAACAATCACTCGCGCAGAGCCCCTACCGGCCCCTCGCGGATTCGGGGTTTCTGCCCTGCAGCAGCACGATCTCGCAAATCTCAATCAACCAAAAGGTCGGCGACGACGAGCGTGTGCGCGTTGCATGTGGTGAGTACGAGAATCCCTGGCTTTGCATCTGTCTATCCTATCCGCCCATCCATCCATCCATCCAATGCATCAAATCACCGCCCACACGGACACGTCCACAAACCCCCCGGTGGCCTGTCCTGGTCTTGCACAACCTCGACGCGGCGAGCAGCGCCCACGCTGGTGGTGCACGCCACCCCCTCACCCCTCGCTCGCACCCCCTCCCATGCTCCCACTTCCACCCCCGGACCTGGATGGGGGGCCCAGCCAGTGGGCACCCACTCATCCGTCCACTGCGGCACCAGCCCAGCCCAGCCCAGCCAGGCAAGGCAAAGGCAGCGCGCGAGAGCGTGAGAGCGAGCAGGCCAGACGCGACCACCAGTGTGGCTCGTCTCGCTCGTCTCGCCCAACCACCAGGCCCTCCCGCCCGCGCGCACCGCACCCCCCTCACCCCCGTCGATGGGACCGACAGGCCCCCAGCAGCAGCAGCGCAGTAGCGCAGTAGCGCAGCCCACAGGCTGGCCGGCGACGCGGTACGACTGCACAAGTCACTGGCCGGTTCACTGCCAAAGCAGGGCAGCTGGCCTGCCCGCCCAGACCACGCCCACGCCCGGGCTGCGCGAAGCACCCACCCAGACACGCGCGCCGAGGGGACGGGAGACAGACGCACTCGCACACACACACGCTCTCGCGCACACGCCTCGCTGCTCCTTTCGTACTGTACCTAAGGTACGGGCCCTTGGGGCCCCAGCCGGGCGGGCCACCACCCACCACCAGGCACCCACCAGGCCAGGCCAGGGGCGCTCCAACAGCCAGTGCTTTGCGGGTGGTGCTGCTGGCCCTGGCCCTGGTGCTTGTGCTGGTGCGGGTGCGGGTGCTTGGGGCTTGTGCTCGTTCTGGCTCTGGTGCCGCTTCCCCCCTCCGCCTCCTGCTGCTGCCGCTGCCAGGTACCTACCTTGCCTTGCCTACCGCTGCTGGTGGCCCTCCACTAGGTGGTGAGCTCCATGCTGCGGCGTGCATTGGATGTGCATCGCTTCCACTGCTCCTTGGCTCAGCTCGTACCGGGCCCGTTCTCTGCACTCCTGGTTAAAACTACCTCTCCTCCAGTCCTTTCTCCTCTCTCCCGTCCTCCTCTTACCTTTTTATCCCACCTCCCTCCTCTTCCTCCCCTTCCCCTTCTCCCTCTTTCCTGTCCATTCATTCCCTCGGCCATTCCAACTCATCCTGACCCGTGTGAGCAGCAGGTCGGAACTGAGCCTGGCAACTGGACTGAGGAGAATCCCGCCGGCAGCGACCACGCCCCGTGTCGACGCTCTCCCGGCCCGATCCCCCCATCCTCTCCGGCCCGCTCTATAAAGGATAGGGACCCGACGCTCCGAGTCGGCAGGCAGGAATATTAAAGAAAGAAAAAGGTGGGAGACGAAGTGAATCAGGAACACCTTAGCTGGTATTTCACTTCATCCCCATCTCGACAAGCACCGCTTTTCTGTGCCTGCTCTCGACATCTCCACCAGCCTTTAGCTGCAACCCCAGAATTCCTCGGCGCCGAACCGAGGAATTTCGACTGCAGCCCAGCCAATCCACTCTCCCGCTCCCTTCGTTGCCCGTCGACCCAGCGAGACGATCGAGCAGCCCTTCCCGAGACTGGTCCAGTGTGGCACTCGATCCCGTGTGCCTACCTGCTCCTCAGCTCTTCGGTCGCTCCCCGACGTTGCGAGATCCGGCCCAGCATCGGACGGATATTGCACACGCACACATACGAGTTCAACTACAGTTGGGGATTTTCGGTCCCGACGTGGGGTCTTCTCGTTCATTCTGTCTTGCACCCTGCCTCTGCAGGAGCTCGTCAGAAGTGATCAGAAGCCAAGCAGCCGACGCGTCGCTCGACTGCACTTGGCATTCTTGATCGCTCCCCCGTGGTGCATGAGCTGAGTACGTGGCAGAGGTATGTTCCTGTGGAGCCCCTCCCGAGATTAGGTTTCGGTGGGATCTAATCGTTCGACTGCTCCCTTCTACAGCTGCATGCCGTGCTGCCTCGCTGCATATCTCAGCCTTCTCCACTGTCGCGTTGGACCTCACTTCTGTGCATTGCTCTGCCGGAGACGTTAACTCGTTGATCCGGCCAATCACGGACTGAGCCTCTTCTCCTCTGTCTCGTCCCTTTTTGCCCGTCACGGTATGTCGTCCCTTCCCTTTGGCTCCCCCCCGTGCCAGCCCACCACATTCCCCGTGCCAAAGCCAGGCCCCTACTCTCCAAGGGAGCGGCTCGCGAGGGGAACACGGCCCCGCTAGAGGCTTGTGTCTTGGAGCCACTGGATATCCGATTCTTCAACGCGATCCGTGCTAATGCCGCTTGCCTTCTCAGAGCTCCATAGTCGACCTCGTCTCTTAAACGGGCTCCCTTCCGACCCCTTGTCTCCTACCCGTCTACCAGTTTCGAGCCCATGGTCCTGGATTCGTTCCCAGCCACAGTCACTCTTTTCCATTAGTTCTTCAACACGCTCATTAATATCCTAATACCCTTAATTCCTTGGGGGTAGCGGCTCACTCTTTCGACGCGCGCCCGGACTCCTTTATTGAACCGTCCGTCTCCGACCTCAAGCTTCCTGGGGAACTTTGTCAGTCACTCTTTTGACGTCCTACACGCGGCACCTCCGAGCCACCTTTAATCAGTCCCACCTGAACTCGACAAGCCTCGACAAAAGGGATCCCCTGACCGACTCAGTTCATCATGGAGTTCACACACGCCGACGAGACGTTCTTCATCGAGTCGGATGACCAGCCACGTCAGCCGTGCATCGACGCCCGGGCTGCCGCCAAGATGATTGCCCGTCAAAGACAGGACGTCATTGGCAGCGAGCTGTCTCGCCAGGCCGCCGACGACTACCTCGACGACATCCTGAAGCACATGCAGACGATGGAGGCATGCACTCCCCAGTCGCCGCTGTCTGCGTGTGTTCTCTTGGCTAACATGTACCCTGCAGGATGAGACACTACCCGATGCCACCCTCATCGACATGCAGCGAGAGATCCAATGGTACATGCGCCCGTACCTGATCGACTTCCTCGTCGAGGCCCACGCCGCCTTCTGCCTCCTCCCCGACACCCTGTTCCTCACCGTGAACCTGCTGGACCGGTACTGCTCGCGGAGAGTCGTCTACAAGCACCACTACCAGTTGGTCGGCTGCGCCGCCTTGCTGATTGCCGCCAAGTACGGTGACAAGAAGGATAGGGTTCCGCAAATATCGGAGCTGGCCAACATGTGCTGTGGTCTGTACGACGCCGGCATGTTCACCCAGATGGAGATGCACGTCCTCAACACCCTCGAGTGGACCATCGGCCACCCCACCGTCGACTTCTTCTCACAGCTGCTGGTGGCTTATGAGCATGACGACAAGGAGGTAGATTGCATGTCGTCGTATCTCAGCGAGATTGCGCTCTACCACCGTGACTTTGTCTCGGTCAAGCCTTCGACCATGGCCCGTGCATCGCTGGCCGTGGCCCGTGCAGTCCTGGGGCGACCAGAGGCGGTGGACAGGGAGTTGGACCATGATGAGAGCACCGTGGCGGAGCTCATCTCGGAGTACTTGGAGCAGCCGTCGCCGACGCTCGCACGCAAGTACTCGAACCCGAGCGCCTACCGAGTCTCACACCGGCTCGCCGAGTTCGTCGCAGCACGAGCCGCCGCCATCGCCCAGGCGCAGCGAGCGGCAGTTCCGCCCTCTCCTCCGGCCGAGATCCTCTCCAAAGAGTCCAACATCTACAGCACGCCGCACAAGCCGCACGGCCCGAACCCGTACGAGGGTTACCTCACTCCCCCCATCACCCCCGACGGCGTCAACTTCGGCAACGTGCCCAAGGACTCGTACCCGATGCCACGGTGCCCGGTCACTCCCACACCGCAGCAGCACCACGCTTCGGGGTACGCGCAACACGCACGTCACCTGGGGATGCCGAACCAACAAAGCTTTCACCAACAATAGAGTGGTTGGTGGATGTCTCCCTACCGGTCGACATTTACCTGGTGGCCACCGTATATGGTACCGAGATCGAGCGTCCTCACGCTGTGGGGATGGGCTCAGAGGGCGACCTGGACGGCCATCGACGAACCGATCCCGGACATGGACCTGGCGGAAGCTGCTCACCGCCACCGCGTCTACTCGCTCGGGTTTAATCTGGCCATTGGCATGCATCAGAGAGCTTACACTTTTCCTCGACGTTATGGCATTTAGCGACTGCTTTCTTCACGTCCTTTTTCTGCGAAAAATCCAAAATTTCCAACTCAGCAAGTCTTTTCGGCACCAAAAAAAATTTTGAGGCACAACCGATCATACCCCCCCTTTTTCCTTTTCCCACATTTCACTTTGCATGCGACGTTGGGAATACCAGGCCTTGCATACACGGCCACTCGGCTCATGCGCGGCGGGATCCCAGGACATGGCACCCCTGGCAAGGGGCGCCATGTGACTTGAAGGGTATAGACGGCCCGCGAGAGGAGGAACCATTTCTTGGCCAGCCTTGAGACACAACAAGGAAAAATTGAGATTGCAAAGTGGCCTTTGGGGTGTCGTGTCGTCGCGTAGACGAGATACCCGCTTTGAGGGGCGACGAAAAGACGCGACGGGAGAAGAAGACAATGGCCTGGTGCCGGACTTGACCAAGGTTCGGTACGGGGGCCAGGGCGCTCTGTGAGCACAGGGCATTTTCTGTACAATTCTTTTGCGCTGCCCGAGGACGGCAGGCGAAGCATCGCCATCCGCGGCCCAGGAGCAGCGAGGCACATGGGAATCCACGCAGCTTGTTGCTGGTGGTAGTACGGTCTCGCGCGATACCATCCTGTTGGCCGTCGGAGGCTGTCAACAGGCACAAGACAGAAGTACAAAGAAAAAATTTGCCAAATATCAAGTCTCGTATTCCTAGTGACGGTGAATTCATGCATGTGCGTGTGTGTGTGTGTTGGCTGTGGCTGACGAGGGCCCGGCGCGCACCGACTTGCGGTTTTTCGCCCTCGCCCTCGAGGCCCTTTCCTTGTAGATAGCTCCGCCCGGTATGACTAGTAATAAGGCTGGCGCTTTAATTGCTCCTGGCTGGTCCATAACTGTCTAGGTGCTATGTTTGTCTACGGATGCCTTCTTGTGGCCACGTGCTGCTTACTGACTGCCACTACTGATACTACTATGGGATACTTTGTATGCACCATTGGAGGGAGGGCGCTGCCAGGATGTGGACTGTCGTCGAAGAGGGTCCTCGGAAGGGGAGGAGGCTTGCCGGCAAAAAGGGCCGTGCAAGCAAGCGGGCTCGTGCTAGTAGTGGGAATGTGAGCAGAATGCCATGGATGATGATGATGATGATGATGATGATGCAAGATTAGGCATTTCTCGCGTCCGCTACGAACCATCCGACCGGCCAATGCCAGCCGAACGCGAACCAAAGCGCGCACCGGAACACACGAGGCAGCGCGTGTGCTGCGACGCGGGCGCAGATTACTCTCTCGTTCGGGCGGCATTGGCGAGCGGGAATTGCGCCGCATTGGCTCCGTTTTGCGCGAGAGCTACTGTACCTACTACTGTACTGTACTGTGCTGGGCGGTAATAATAACGCGCCGCGCGCGAGCAAGGCATGTTGGCGGCGGCGGTAAAGCGGGCAGGTAACAAACAGCGTTAGGTTTAGTTAGTTAGTTCGCGCGCGTGTTGGGAAGGAGGAGGAAGGAGGAGCCCATGCATGGCTGCAGGGCTTGGCTTGCGAAGGGAGGAGATCTCGATCTGCGGAAGCCTGGGCTCCTTTGTTCAGGAGAGGGGCGCGGCGGCGGCAGGGGGGGTCGGGCAGGAGAGGTCCGTGACGTCAAACAATTAAGTCCTGACTATTTGATAAAAAGGATTAATTCAAATCAAAGCCTTTGGCAAGGAGGAGGAGGGAGGCAAAGCCCCCCGCCGCAGTCAGTGAAAGAGGAGAGAAATGGGCCCTTGCGGTGTGCGTTTGGGCAGGTCATAACGCCGCTGATTACAATCAAGGACACTTAGTGACAGTGAAAAGGTAGGTAGGTAGTTGTGGAGTGGAGGGGTGGGTAGGTGGTGATGTGCGCCGCGTTATAACTAATAGCAGCATTTTCGTCAGAAAGGGATGAGGATGGGCATTACCACAATCTGATTATGCTTTTCGGGGGGGCGAAATGGGGAGCAGCGCGGGCGGATTGGCGATGGGAATATGGGGGAGTTTCCTTGGACTTTTTGCATGTACCTTCGTTATGGGGCGCGTCCGAGATTGGGCCTTCAGGTGGACAAACGGCGAGTCAATGCTCGCTCGTCCGTTCTCAAAGGGGGGCGTTGTCGTTGTCGTCCTTGTCCCTGTCCATTGTCCATGTCCATGTCCATGTTCCTCCCACCCCTACATTGCTGTTCTTCTTTCTTTCCCCGTCGCATTGCTTTGATCTGCTAATACTGAGAGATGATAAGGTAAGTAAGTTTTATCCCCACGTGCTTCGTACCGTGCTCGTAGGCTCGCAAGACTAGGAGATTGTGTCGTTATGTGCTGCCATCTCACTTGGGTAATTCCGGGGGGTTGATCCTCTTTCAGATGTCTCGCGCGCTCTGTGAGTGAGTGAGCTTCACTCACAAGCCGCCCTCCTCCCCAGCCTCAACCTCTCCATTTTGCCTCTGCCACTCCTCCCTCGGCAAATCAATCACCCAGCGTGGTGGACCCAACTATGGTGGACTCGACTGGCATGCCAAGGGGGTAGGTAGTAGGGCCGGACAAGGCAGGGCACACCCCGTTCGTTCATCATCGCCCTGTCCGCGACGTGTCGATTCTTCCGCCAGCGTCGTCGCGCAAGGGAGGATGAGGGGGGCGGACGCGGCGCCCCCCATGGGACTACGTACCAAGTTAGTAGACGGTAATCTGCTCGTTTTAATTGAGCCACATGCGTGACAGCCCGACGGCCACGCGAGGGCAGCACGCGTCGCTGAAGAAAGTACGTAGTAAGTTACGTATTACCGCTCGGGTTCGCGGGTCGGGACTCGTCGGCGCATCGCCCGGCACATCGTCCCACCCCTGGAGGGATTCGCGTGGCAGCAGGCATGCTCCGGGAAGATGGAGAAAGCAGGGAGGGCGAGCGTGTTGCGTGCATGCGTGCCTGTCAGGCACGAGGGACCGCTTCTTCCTCTTCCTCCGCCTTCCCCTCCTCTCTCGTACTCCTCCTCGCCCGGGACAGCGTCAGGGAGGAGACTGGGCTACTTGTGATCGAGAGCTGCAAGGCACGGTACGATGGGTGGTGAGAAACCCACCCGCGTGTTCCCGCGCGTTGGGCGAGCAACTGCCGCCTGGACTGGCGCGCAAGTGTCTGACACCCGCGCGGAAAGCGGAAACGGAAACGGGGACCGTGGGGACTGGAGCGCAGGAACTGGGCGCTCGGTAGTGGCGTGATGCGGCGGCACGAGAGGCACCGAGGGGGGGCAAAGTGCTGTGACCGCTTCCTGCTTGCCTGTTTGTGAGCGTTGAACTTATCGGTGTCAACGAGTCGTGTGTTGCAGTGGCCAAAGGTACCTGGACATGCTTCCAGGCATCGACGCCTCGTGTTGTGGGTATTCGGACAACCACATGCCATGCTGTGTCGCGATTCTGCCGTTCCCCGTGGATCTCATGCCGCATGAAGCTCGCCGACAACAGAAGTGTGTACATGTCCTTTTCGAAAATGACCATATGTCTTTGTGAACAGTATTTGGTTCCCGGTCTCTGGTTTCTGATTCTCCAGTAGTTACTTTTTGTGCGTGTTGGCCAGATCTGCAGTCATAACGGAAACTACTTCACCATCGACACCATCACGCAGAACTACCTTTTGTTTTGACAAAACTTGGGCTCTTATAATCGGCACGATACGTCTCAATAATCACTTCAATTTAAAGAGACCTGTTCTGCCTGGAGAGGGCCAAAGCTGGCGGTTCCCGAGGACTCGGAACAGCTACCCTGCACAACGCCCTAGTCGTTCCCCAACCTCCTACGCCAGTTGACAGCTGTCCGGTTGGCACCACCCCAAAGGCAAGTGGCGCAGCAGCTCATTGTTCTCTTTGACCGTCGAGGCCCGACAGAAATGGTGGGCTGGCCTTTGTCTGCGCCCCTGGTGGTGGCGGCGCGGGGTGGCGCTCCGACTGGAATGCGGTCGTTCGGACCACGTCCTGGCCCGCCGTGTAAGTCGGCCGCGAGGCGTGACGACGGTCCAAGATGAAAGAAGACGGAACAAAGAGAGGCGATATGGGTATATGTGCTTGTTGTAAGGCTTTGGGAGCTGTATTTCCTCGGCTTTTGCTCAACTCTTATTCAAAACCGACGCACCGTCGATGAACAGAGAGCCTTGCGGGCGGCCAAGGGCGACACTCTGCTTGGTACGGCGTCCAAACGGGATCGACAACTTCAGTCAGACGAGAAACCTCTACCGCCGGTTTTGAACACAAAATCTCTTCCACCACTTGTCTGTGGCCTCAACGGATCATCCACAGTCATGAGGGCATCCACGGTCCTGCAGAGCAGGCTGGTTGTCGCGGTCAAAGTGCTCCTCCGTAAGCCCATATCCACACGTCCTGCAAGACGGAGAGTATTTGACTGAGCAACGTGCCCGTATAGGCGAGATCGCGGGCCTCTTTGACGGCTATGAGTCGGAACTGCCTTCCGAGGTGCGCAGAGACCGGCACCTCAACATCAACGCGCTCTTCCGCGCCCTCAACATCTGGCTCCGAGACAACATCCTTGTGCAGTTCCTAGCCCACCATGACGACTGCAGGCAGAGAATCGCATGGATCTTTGGCTGCCGGTATCAGTATCTCAACTACTCGGACCGAGGCGACGGCAGCGGCAGCTTGTCGCCCACACAGCAGCTTCGTGTCTTGGCCCGCAGCAAGGGGCGCGCAACGGGAGATGGGGACGCGCCTACCACGACGTGGGTGCCCGACCTCGACGTGGCCCAGGTTGCGGCCCTCTCCGAGCAAGAGCTGGAGATGACGCGCGCGGCCATCCGGGCCTTTGACGCCTTCGAGCTGGCGAGCTTCGACGAGGTCCTGGAGCGCGAAGATGTCACGGACCCGCTGACGATCGCGGAGCTCAACGCCATCGGGGAGCTGCTCATCCTCGAGGACATGGGGTTGGATGAGGCGGGGAAGGAGCAGGCGTGGACGGAGCTGAGACTCCAGCTCGAGCCTGCTGACCCGGAGTTCGTGGATGAGGGCCTAGAAGAAGAAGACGAGGACATGCCGGATGTTGTACAAGAGGAACCGGACGTCCCCATGGACGACAGTGGTTCATACCCCTTGCCGGAGGCAGAGGTGGGATCAGAGAAGGACGTGGCGGAGCTGGTCGAGTCTGTTGAGCAGGAGAGCTCTCCGTTGCCGCCCGCCCCTGAGCCGGCCCCGGAGGTACTGCCATCCCAACAACACCAGGCCCCCGAACAACCTTCTCCTCCACCTCCTCCGACTTCGCCTCCTCCCACTCAAGTGCCACGGGACGTGTTGACGCCCCCGGACTCGGTATCGCCTCAAAAGCCTCCCCCTCCCACGAAACAAGCCGTCGACGAGGAGCCCGTCCTTGAACCTCAACAACCCCTCGTATGGTCCATCGCCAAACCTGAGTCGCCGCCTCCGCCTCCGCCGTCTGAACCACCGGAGCCCGAGCCCGAGCCTGGAGAACCTCTTGTGCCCTCCGCTGTCGAACCGGAACTGTCGCACGAGCCTCCGGTATGCGAAGCGTCTGTCCCTGAGTCCAATCTTCAAGACGTTCTCCTGTGGTCCATGGGTAAACAGGAGTCCGCGCGTGCCCCTGAGCCCGAACAACCAGCACCACGTCAGCCTTCCCCTGAACCGAGACCAGCTCCCACACCGGCGGCCCCGCAGCCGAAGCCTCTTCGGCGTCCGACCCTTCAGACGGTCCGCGCACCGCGCCCGGCCCCGAACCCGGCTCTGCCGTCCGCCGCCCCGGATCCAGCCCGAGCCCAAGTCCAAAACGCCGAGGCTCAGACCGTGCTCCAGCTCCAGAGCGCCAAAAACTTCCTCCGCGAGCGCACCACGCTCCGTTCTCCGGAATGGCGCGCCCGCTTCGCCCAAGTCATCGACATGACGTCCCGCCTCGAGCGTGTCCGCAACGGCGACGAGTCGTGGGGCCGCGCCCTCGAGCAGGTGCTCGTCATGATACGCACGCACCACGCCTACATGCAGTACCACGACAACCGCAAGCAAATCATCGCGCATACGGCGGACGCGGCCGCGGCGCCGCCGAAACAGCAAGACACGGATAAGCCTAGCAAGCTGCCCGTGCTGAACCTGAGTCTCCACGACGCCGGCGAGACGAGCAAGAGGGCCGGGAGGTGGACCTACAAGGACGCCAAACGCGACAGCGACTCTGCGTCTGTCAGCGACACCATCGAGGAGCTGTACCGCCAGGGACATCACCGCGACGCCCGCTCGTTCTGGTCCAAGAGCCAAACTATCGACAAGTCCAAGTCCGGCTTGTGGGGAGGCTCGTCCAAGGGCAAGAGGCTCAACGTCGTGCAGTTCGAGAGCAAGTACTTTGAAGAGTGCATGAGGAAGGGCCCGGCTCACACGGCAAAGGTGCTGCGAAAGGCTCAGGACCGCAGCACGAAGTTGCCCTCGGACGCCAAGGAGCTCAGCGACGACCAGTTCGAGAGCTTGGCCCGTCTCAAGGGGTACCAGCGCGCGGCGCTGCAGCAGAGCCTCAACTTGTTTGACTCGTATGAGAATCGCGTCGTCGGGGCGAACCACTGGCAGACGCTGCTGCCTGACGTTGCGAAGTCTCGCAAGGACGAGCTGGCTGCCGGTCGCAAGTATCCCGTGAAGCCGTCGCGCCTGGACACGTCGCGCACGAAAGCCCCTGCCGCCGCGGACAAGGGCCCAAATCAGGATCAGGATGGAGGCCTAGACCAAGCCGCAGACTGGTCCAAGGCGGATGAGATGATGCTGGAGCTGGGCAAGTTGTGGAACGCGCTCGTCAAGTACCGCACCCTCTATGACATCCTCCTCCAGGCAGCAAGACGAGCACCACGGCCACTGATAACGAGCGTCATCAAGGACGTACGAGCCGGCGTGGTAGGATCAAAGCCCGGCAACGCGAACGTCTCGACAGGAAGCCTACCTGCTCTCCGGCCCCTCGAGGCACGCTGGCTCGAGTTCCTCTGCCTGCCCTCCGCCACCGACACGCGGGCGTCCAAGAAGCGCCAGGGCGAGCGCGAGAAGCTCTTCGTGGACAGCGTCCAGGCCATGCTCGACGACCCCAGCGCGTCGTCCTTTTTCTGCGACATGGCCCCCAAGATGGCCGGCCCGTTCCTCGAGGCGCTGAACTGCGCGCCGACGCTTCGGCAGAAGCCGTTTACAGTGAAGGAGCTGGCGGAGTTTGTTCCGAAGCTGGACAAGATGAATATCATACGGTCAGTTGTCCAATTTGGCGTGCCGCTTTGACTGATTAGAAAGAAGTGCTGGTGCTGACGCCAGATATGTATAGCACGTATGTCAAGGACAAGAAGACGCCCATGCTCGGCCGGCCAGAGCACACGGTCCATCCCGAGCAACGCATCCGCTGGGATGACTCCGGCAACGCGGCCAAGGCCGACGCGGAAGGCGCCAACGCCGAGGAACTCGAGGCGCTCATCAAACTGTGGGACAGCACCAAGATCTTCGATACAGGCGTGGACGATGCCGCCCCCGCCAAGGGCGGCGGCGATGCGTCGTACGTCAAGGAGCTGCCGACCCGCAGCAACCTCCGCTCGCTCGCCTCCTGCACCAAGAAGCCACGCGAGGTCAAGGCCGACCAGGCGCGGACCGAGAAGCTCTTCTCGCAGCTCGCCTACCGCCTGGGCAGCTCGCTGCGCGCCGTGCAGGACGCGCACGCGACGAAGCGGTTCGCGTTGCAGGAACTGCTCGGAGTCAAGGCCGGTGGTAGCCAGTCGAGCCATCCGGAGGAGTCCGGCGTGTCGTACGCGGAGAGGGCGATGCAGCGGCGCAAGTTCCAGCCCGGGCCGGCCGAGTTCTGGCTCGGCGACACGCCGCTGCAGAGGAAGCGCATCGAGCAGCGGCTTCAAGCTCGTGAGTTCCCTCCCTCTCCCAACCCTTTTACTCCCCCTATTCTTTTGCAGTTACTTGCTGTTTGGAAACACACGGGCCGGGTTGCTAACGCTGCTGGAGCAGAGCTGGACCCTGACTTTGCGAATCGCGGAAGGAAGCGGTCGTGGGGCGCGAGGCTGCGCGGCATGTTTGGACGAGGGAAGCAGGGTGACGGTGACGATGAAGAGGAAGCAAGGGCGCGGTTCCCCCCGAGCCCGACTTCCAGCTGCATGTCTGATACCGAGAGCCCGCCGAAGCGGCGTCGTGTCGAGGGCAGCGAGGGGATGCATGAACAGCTGCCCACACAGGGAATCAGGAGGTGAGTCTTGCCCGCCCAACCCGCCTTCTAGGGGCCGACGTTTCTGCAAAGCCGTCAGACGGATGTGTGCTTTCGATTCGCTCTTGGTCCCTTTCTTGTGGCTCAAGGCCGGCACCACTTCACGATCAGAGTGCAAAGAAAAGCTGACACGAGCCTCACCTAGACAAGGATCTCGGGCCAAGGACAAGGGCAAGGGCAAGGGCAAGGCGGTGTCGTTTGCTCGAGAGCCCACTTTCCTCGACCGCCACCGCGGCGACAGCGACCTCTCCCAGTCCGAGACTGAAGGTCAGGCCCGACGAGACGGAGCCGCCAGGAAGAGGAAAGACCCGCCGTCACCTCGGCCCACGCGGCCGGCGAAACGGGGCTGGTTCGGTGGGGGAAAGACGGTGCGGTCGGAGAAGCTGAACTTGCATGTTATGCCGCCGGACGACGGGGAGAGTTTCTGGTGAATGGGACGGGACGGGGAGCTAACAGTGTAAACCGCATGGGTGCCGCCTATCGGGCGATGGAGTGAGAGGATATTACTGCAAAGGAGGCGTATCACATCGAGTTCAAAGGGGGTCAGTCAGGCTGTCATTATAGAAGCAGAGGTGGAATGAACTTTGGTAATCATTTAGACCGTGACCATTATATCTCGAAGGCCAGGATCGGTTGCCCCCACCGGCCAACCGACCATGCAATGAAACACAATGAATCGTGACTCCGCGCACCGGGTTTCGTCAAAAACGTCCCACCCACACGCTCTTCTCTCCTCTCCTCTAGTACCGCTTGCCGTCGCGCAGGGTGTCGGCAAACTCCTCCAGGGGACTCCGCAGCAGCTTGGTCTCCTTCCACAGGTTGGGGGTCAGGAAGCCGTAGGTGTTGGAGACGGCGACGAAGACGGCCTTGAGGGTGTTCTCGAGGGTCTTGGTGGAGCCGGCGGACGACGTGTAGGCGTCCTCGACACCAGCGAGCTGGAGGAAGCGCTTGACGGCGGGGGAGGCAACGAGGCCAGTACCACGGGGGGCAGGGATCAGCTGGAACACATGTTAGCCTTGCCGCTGGGAAACCACACAGGTCTGCTGCCCTGATCTTGGGTGGTGTATTCGACCACCCCAAGACGACCGGCTACCGTGCAGAGACGGGAAGGATAAGACGTACGCGAACGGTGACGGAACCGCACTTGCCGCTCTGCTTGCAGGGCAGAGAGTGAGGCTGACCGAGGTTGGTGCCCCAGTAGCCGCGGCGGACGGGGATGACGGAGAGCTTGGCGATGATGATGGCGGCGCGGATAGCGGTCGCGACTTCCTTGGAGGTCTTGATGCCGAGGCCGACGTGGCCCTCAGAGTCGCCGATGATGACGACGGCCTTGAAGCGCGTGCGCTGACCGGCACGGGTCTGCTTCTGGACGGGCTTGATCTGTAGATGGCAAAATGCCGTGTCAGCGCGGGTTCTTTCTCTCCCTTTCCGGTGGTTGGAGCGCCATGGCCACTGCAAGAATTGCGATCGCTCCGACTCTGCCAATTCCTCGAGTTCCGTCGTATTTCCACCCTCCTCTTTTCCTCGTCCCCTTCCCCGGACGTCGCGTCGCAATTCTTGCAGTAAACCCATGTGCGTCCAATATTCCACCGTCGTATGTGTGTGATGGGTTCACGGGCTTCGCGTTCGCACCTTCATGACCTCGTCCTTGAGCTTGGGCAGGAAGTTGTCGACAATCTGGAACTCCTTGATGGGCAGGGAGTGCAGGTAGATCTCCTCCATGCTGTTGATCTTGCCGGCCTTGACCAGACGGCCGAGCTTGGTGACGGGCTGCCACTCCTTCTCCTCGGACTTGCCGCCGCGACGGCCACGACCACGGCCACGGCCACGACCGCGGTCACCACCTCGGGATCCGAAACCGCCGCCACGAGCTCCACGGTCAGCCATGTTGATTGATGTGTGTAGTGTCGTCGTCGAAGGGGGAGATTCGGCGCGGCGCTGCGGGTGTTAGTTGTTGTGCGGGTTGGAGGGATCCGGAGCGTGGTGGTAACTTTTTGCGCTGGCGGGGTGGATTCGACTCGCTCTCTGCACTGGGGGAATTTTTCGGGTGCGCTTGGGTTAGACGAGCCCTAATGGCTTTTCGTGTGGCTGGAATTTCTGTGGCCGCCTCATTGGCGAACCACGGACAAAGAAAAGCGGGTCAACGTCCACCCTCACCTAGGTCAGCGAGGTGGGTCATCTTGCATCTCGGTGTGGTTTCGGTGAGCCTATGATATCACAGGACGCTTCACTTGGGCGCAATGTCACAGATTGGACCGATTTTCAAGGTGGTACCATATACCGCGCAATGAGTGCAAACAAAATGCTCTTTACTACTGCGGCGGTTTCATACACAGATCGCGTGTTCGAGAATGAAGCAGGGGAACAGGAGGCGAGATGCCATGGTCATGAAACGGAGGTTACGGACAGAGGTTTCATGACCGAAAGCGCAGAAGAAGTTCAAGGATAGGGGAGAGGGTATCGTGACTTGAATTACAATCGCATAGCCCGGTTTGCGAACGCAAACATGCTGCCACCATCTCCGCCAGCTCACTCCGTCTTCCAGATCAGGTTGTCCGACGGTCGGACTCGCTGAGCCCACTCCCTACTCATGGTTAGCATCTTCGGTATTGGATTGGATTCGAGGTGTGCGCTCACGTCCAGCTTCCATCATAGACCCGTCGCTTCTCAGGAGAACCGTATCCCGCAACCTCCAGGCCAGTCTCGATGACACACGCGGTTACGCCCGTGCCGCAGCTGGAGATGATGGGCTTCTCCGGGTCCACGCCCTTCTCCTTGAAGACGGTCCGCAGCTTATCAGCGGGGAGGAAAGCCTTCGTTTGGGGGTCCAGCACGACACTGAAGGGGACACTGATGGATCCCGGCAAGTGTCCAGAGGACAGACCCTCCCGAGGCTCAGGGTCCTTGCCCGTGAAGCGGCCGTTAGGCCGGGCATCAAGGACCTGGATGCCCTCGGCACCCTCCTTGTTGTGGTCCTGGGCCACCTCCTTGACATCTTCGAAGCTTGCCACCTTGGATGCGTCAAACTCAGGGATGGGATAGGGGCAGCACTCGACGCTGTACAGCTCTCCGGACTCGGTGGGCAGGCCCTCCTCCACCCATAGCCTGAAGTTGTTGAGGATGTGGACGTTCTGGTGGCCAAAGACCTTGAGCGTCCAACCGACGCGGGGCGCACTGAAGATGCCGAGCTCCTTGGTGTCGTAGACAACGACGACGTCCTCCTTGCGGATGCCGAGCTCGCTCATGGCGGCGGCGAAGCGCTTGGCGTCGGGCAGCATGTGAGGATAGGGGCTGCGCTTATCAATGACCTTGTCGAGGTCGAAGAAGCGGGCCTTGGGGATGCGCTGCTCCCGGAAGGTCTGGATACCGGTCCGCTCATCGTTGGGCAGGAACCAGGAGGCGCACAGAGGAATGACGCGGGGGTCCGGGCTGATGGGGGAGGGCGGGTTCTTCTTGAGGGCATCTTGCAGCTCCTTGGGGGAAACCAGGTAGCTCGACAAGTTCCGGCGGGAAGCCATGGTTGCGCGGAACGCCCGTGACGGCCCCCAGTGGGCGAGGCCTACTCGCGTGGTACGGCCGACAGCGACGAATGCCATTGCGCTGCGTGGTAGAGAGTCGTTCGCGCCTCGGCCAGCGGCGGACCTGCAGGATGATGCACAGGTCCAAGCAGCGGTGGTGGCGCCGACGACGGAGAGCTCGGTGATGGCGAGACGGGCGGTCCCAATCCGGGTCGTCCCTACGCACCGCGGGCGCAAGAAAGCTCGGCCGTCAGTAATATGGGATGCGGGGTATGGACGGTAAAAACCGAGCTAAGAGCCAGCCCTCGGGGCGTGTCGAGGTGGTGGAGCGAAGGGTGAGTTTGGAGGTTTGCTTCGTGACCTGAGTTTGACACCACCACTTGCCAGGGCAGGAAAGAGAGCTTCTGGCGCTCGTCACCTTTTTGGGGGGGGCGCTATCGGTGCTGACGGGGTGAGCACGCGGCGGTGGGTGGCTTGGGTGGGATGAACTGGATGGCTGGAACCTCTCCTCTCCAAAAGCCAGCGAGCTCCGGGGGAGCTGTGACCAATCATCCCGCCCACACGCCAGGGACCCTGGGGCCCACTGCGGAGCGACACGGAGCTTCCAGGGTGAGTCGCGAGTGGAGCGCCGCCTGTCGAAACCGCTGTAAACTTAACCTACACACACTGGAGACGTCAACACAGCAACAACGACAACAACAGCAGAGCGGCACCGGCAGCATCACGCCGCCAGCCCGTCCCCCTCATGAAGGTCACCATCAAGGAGTGGAACGCCGTCGCCACCTGGCGATGGGACATCCCGGAAGACGACGTCTGCGGCATCTGCCAGGTCCACTTTGATGGGACGTGTCCGACCTGCAAATACCCTGGCGACGACTGCAGCCTGCGTGAGCCACGCCGTCTTCACATGCTTCGATCTGTCCCCGCGCTGACCCGTGCTTCCCTCAGTGTCTGGCAAGTGCGGCCACAACTTTCATATGGTATGCCGTCCCCTGAATCGCGATCGCGCAAAGGGCCTTGTTGACAACCGTCTCTACCGCAGCACTGCATCATGGAGTGGATAAAACAAGACTCTGCCCGCGGCCAGTGCCCCATGTGCCGACAACGTAAGACGACTTCACTTCTTCAACACGAGCTGTCCTTGAACCTAACCTGTTGCTCGCAGCGTTCGAATGGGCCGACCAGGCTAATGAGTCAACGACATCTGGGCAAGAGTAAACGCGACCTACGCCCTGCAGGAGTTCTCTTATGCACTTCATGAACAACTCATAGCGCAGCGACACGATAGAGGCGCAACTTTCGATGCATTCGTAAAGCCGTCTCGTCGTTCTACCTATTCATTACACTCTATCCTTTCCGACATCATGGCCTCATTTTCGACGTGTGTCTTGCAACGAAAAGCCCCAGCGGCCGTCTAGGACTCTGGGACGTAAACGCCATCCTTGCACAGTACCACCACCTTTTTGAAGAACCGCCGCCACTCCAGCGGATCTCCTTTTATCTTTACGAACCGCACGTCGAGGACCTCGGTGCCATCGGGCAGCGGCTGCTTGTCGATGTTGATCTCGCCGTGCAGGCTCTGCTGGCGCCCGTCGACAGCCTTGACCTTGATCTGGGCGATGGGGCTGCCGTGAAGGTTCGGCGAGACGGGGCCGAGCGGCACGTTGAGCTGATGCAACGCGCCCCCGAGCATCTGCACAAGGTGCGTAGGAGGCACGTGGGAGAAGAAACGCGTCAGGGACTCTGGAGGGCAGATGTCGCGGAAGCGACGAGCCTGCTGCGTCAACGACATGGACGGTCCCGGTGTGTGAGAGAATTGCGACATCGAGGGTTCGTCTGCGAGGGTGCTGAGCACCATGCGGCGGGCGTCGGAGGCACGCGAGGGAAGGGAGGAGGCTGGCATGGCCATGGATCGGAGGACCGGCTGCTCCCAGTCCCAGTCCTTGTCGGTTATAGGGGTCTCGGGTTGTGTCGATGAAAACTTGCCGGCATTCAAGCCGGTGTCGACATCCATATCATCGACGCTCGGTGCTTGTCTTTGTGAAGCCGAAGGCCGTTGGCTGAAGTCGACGCGAAGGTTCTCGAGCATCTGTGTGGCGAGGTGGATGGGGTCGGAGACCTTGCCGTCGGCAGTGAGGAGCGGGTTGTGTCTAGTATACCAAGGGTGCTGGCGCACCTGTTGGAAACTGAATCGCTTCGCGGGATCGATAGACATCATGCCTCGCAATAGGGAGAGAGCCTCCGGCGGTGCCCGTTCCCACAGCGCGTCGGTGCTATGGCCGTGATTCCGCGTGTACTCGCTAAACTCCCAGCTGCTGGGCGATGGTTCATCCCAGGGCGTGTTGCCGACGAGCAGCACGAAGAGGATGACGCCGCAGGACCACAGGTCGGCCAGGTCAGGCGAGTATTTGCTGGCACCGGGTGCTTTCCTGTCGGGCGCCCTGCCGCAGGCGAGGATCTCGGGGGCGATGTAGGGAGGGCTCCCACACAAGGTGGAGCTGGTCTTGCGCTGGCCCTTGTACTCGAACATGGTGGCCATGCCAAAGTCGGCGAGCTTGAGGCTGCCCTCGGCCGAGAGGAGGATGTTCTCGGGCTTCAGGTCGCGGTGGGCGACGCCCTTGGAGTGCATGAAGCTGACGCCGCCGACGAGCTGGATGAAGTAGAGCTGGGCAATGTCCTGGCGGACGCCAACGTCGGCCTCGATCTTGTCGAAGAGGTCGCCGCCCTCGGCAAACTCCATGGCGATCCAGCGCCAGACGGGGTCCTCGCCCGAGGCGAACCACTCGATGACGTTGGGGTGCTGGCCGATGTGGGAGTGGAGCGAGACCTCCATGGCCAGCTGCTTGGCCGAGATGCGGCCCTGCTTGGTCGCATAGCCCTTGTGGATGAGCTTGACGGCGAAGACGGGCGTCGGCGAGTCGAGGGGGATGGCTTTCTTGATGCTGGGGTTTTGCACATGTCAGTCCGCAGCGGCGTCTCGAGGGATGGGCATGGAGAGAACTCACGAGGCATAGGCGCCACGCCCGACGGTCTTGGAGACGATGCGAAAGGGCAGGTCCCGTGGTAAGGGATCCAGTTGAGACTGCATCGTGCCGAGATGTCAGTAGTGGTCATTGACAAGTGAGATCATGGGAGGACAAGTCCGGGATGTCGCTTGCGGTCCTTTTTCCAGGCAGCAGCAGCATCACCACCTTGGACCAGAAGCGCATGGCGGGGTCTGACCATGGGCACCATCGGACCCTGAGATCAGCTCCCAAGGACAATTACCGCCGGCACGGTCCGAAGGGTGTGGCAGCCGTCCATCAATGGCTGTGAAAACACACGGAATGTTTGTTACTCACCATCTTGGCTGGGCAACTCGCTCCTCTCACTTTCACGCTTCCACCCCGCCCTTCGAACGCCTTTGCCTCTGTTCCCCGCGCGCGTGTGAGGCTTACACAGTGAAGAGAGCGGAGCGCCGCCAATAAGGGGAGACGTCGTGCTGTGCGCGCGTACAAACAACAAAGCTGGCGTCTGCAACGAAATCTCGTGGTGATTCGACCGTGAACGGAGGTCGCGTCGGGGCGCGTCCGACCGCGTAAAGCTGCAACCGGACGTGTATGGCGTGGTGTGTCGGGTTGCTTTTGGTGGTGGCCGTGGCTTGTGTGGCCGTCCACAAGGGAGCAGCACTAACACCAAGGCGTCGTGCTCTCACACGCAATGGTTGGTTGGCCGGCCGTCGCCATGGAGCACGTCGTGCGGGTGCCTGCATCGCCTACAGCGCCCCATCGCCGCCTCCCAAGCGCCACCCCATCTCCACCGGGCCCCTACCTGTGGGCAGCCAGCAGCCCAGCCCAGCCCCACGCGTGCCCGCGAAACCCGCCTACGCGTGCCGCCGCGCACTGGGTGACGGCTCCCTGTGACTGGGTGGATGGCGATTTGACGCAGTCGGGACGTGGCCCTGGTTTCAACGTCCTGCCCAGCCGCCGCCATTCATTGGCCCGGCCGTGTCGCTGCCCCGTCCCGTTGCTGCGGCAAACAAAACACAGCGACGCCGAATGCGCCGCAACCAGCACGCCGGGTCCCTTCGCCTGGCAGACTGCCGGACCTGAGGGAGAACAGCGAGAGGGAAACCTGTCGACGGACGGACGCTACAAAAACAAGACGCACGCACTCGCACGCAGGCCTTCCCTAGCGAGCCTCTCCCGCAACGCCGCCGCCCCAAAACAGAGTTTCCTAGACCACCCCCGGTGCATTCCTCTCCCTTGTTACCAATCCGTCCGTCCTCGTCCCCATCACCACCACCATCAGCCAGCCAGCTGCCTTGCTCTTCCACATCTCCGCCCTGCGCCTTTCCTCAGCTCAGCCTGCTGTCTCGGCCGCTCCTGTCGTCCTTGGCAATTCCTGGCACTCGTCGCTTCGTCTGCCGTGTCCTCTCTCGACTGCATCCCGGCGTCGTCCTTGTTTAAACCCCCGTCCCCTGCCTCACAGAGCAGCCTCTTGCCGCATAGCTATGGATTACGCCATGGACAGCCAAAATTCCGCTCCCGGCAGCGTCCAGGCCGCCAAGCTCAATGGCTCCCGCAAGGGCCCCGACTCCCAGAGCGTCACCAAGAGGTTCGTCCGTCCGCCGTGTCATGTCCAACTCCCCTCTCATCCATCCTGTACCGGTAATGTTGTCTAACCCGCGCCCTCACGATAGGTTGCAAACCGAGCTGATGACGCTCATGACCTCGCCTGCGCCCGGCGTCTCCGCGTTCCCTTCGGCGGACGGAAACCTGCTCTCCTGGACCGCCACCATTGAAGGTCCAGACGATACCCCGTACGCCGGCTTGACCTTCAAGCTGAGCTTTGCCTTCCCCTCCAACTACCCATACGCGGCCCCCACGGTCCTCTTCAAGACGCCCATCTACCACCCCAACGTGGACTTTTCCGGCCGCATCTGCCTAGACATCCTCAAGGACAAGTGGACGGCCGCCTACAACATCCAGACGGTGCTGCTGAGCTTGCAGAGCTTGCTCGGCGAGCCCAACAAGTGAGTCCCTGCAAAAGACCCGCGTTGGCCCTTGCCTGAACCTGTTTGCTGACTCTCCGCGACAGCGCGTCTCCGTTGAATGGCGAGGCTGCTGAGCTCTGGGACAAGGACCCTCAAGAGTTCAAGACCAAGGTCCTGGCGCGACACCGGGATGTTGAGGACGAGTAGCGGGATGTGACGGGGTCAGGCATTGCATTTGTTGTTCCACTGGGAGAATTGGAGTCCTCGGGTTGTATACCATTTGGTCGTTTACTGTCACGCCTCGGGATTGCGCTTTGGGCGTTCCGCACGAGCTGGAAAGGGTTCTTGTCTCCCGCGGGCATGAGACAGGTGGCAGTCATCAAGCGAAGTCTATTGACGATGGAAGGCGTTCCCCATCACAATGGATTCAAAGCAAGCCAGAAAGCATTTACTCTTTTCCCTCGCCAATAACCCCGGCCCCCGTTTCAATCCCAGCCCTCGTAGTGTCCTGACATCAGCGCCGTCGGGTGCATCGCTCGCATCGGCAACAGAGCCAGCGAGAGTGGTTCGGGTTCAAAGCCTTGATCACATTTCCCTCTGTATTTTCAGCGTGAAAAGCTAGAACAGCCGGTTGCAACTCCAAAATGCCATGCCACACCCGAAGAACCAGTCCCAACAGAGAAACGTCTTTTTGCTCTATTCCTCAACGACAACCGTGGGGAGGCCCTTGGGGTTCTTGACGTTCACCGCCTGCACGTAGCTGTACAGCTTCTCCTTGGCGTCCTCCTCGTCGTTTCGTCGTCGGGAAATTCGGATGCGCAGTCTGTAGGCAACGCCCTTGATGCCGCACTCCCAGACCTTCTTGTTGAGCTGGGGGTCCAGGCGGACGTCGGTGGTGCCCTGAAGAGCAAGGTCAGCATTATGGCTCTGGGTTCCTTGTGTGCCCTCTCCCGTGGATTGGGCCGGCGCCAATCGGGCAAGAGGTTGGGATCTCGTCGGGTAGTCGTACCATAGCCTGAGTGGCGAAAGCCTTGATCTCCTTGATGGCACGAGGAGCGCGCTTCTTGAAGGAGACACCATGTAACTGTTGATCCAAGCAGTTAGCCCATAATCCTTTGCTGCCGCCTCGATGCGTCCCAACTCGTCGCTGGTCCGTCGTCAATCGCAGGCCAGAACGTACTCTCTTGTGCATGTGGATGGTGTACTCGCGGGCGACAACGTCCGCAATGGCGGAGCGCTGAGGCTTGCCGGCAGGCTTCTTTCCCTTCGTCGTGGACGACATTTCTGGATTGGGCTTCTGTCAGTCTCTCGATCTGCGGCGCGGCGGTATTGTGCTGATCGAAGAGAGTATTGCAAAGGTCAAGAAACCTTTACGACTCGTGCGGCGAAGGGAGAAAGGCGTTTGAGGGCGAGCGGCTCGTACCTGCGGATCGTCTCTGGTCACGGTTGGCGATGAGGAGTTGTGATGTCGGAGTGCCAAATTCCGCAAATTCTTTGTGCGTAGGGCAGGCTCGAATTGTGGTGGTGGGGATGTAGCGAGCCAATGAGGCGAAGGTGGACCCCCAACTGTTCATCGAGTCACGTGATGTCGGTACGTACCCGCAAGACTGGCAAGACTGGACCCAATTCGTTCAACTGGGGTCCCGGCAGCTGGCAGCTCGATCCACGCTTGACGCCGCCCAATCTGTTTACGACCGACTGCCTCTGGGTCTCAGAAACAGCCGACTGCATTCCAACCGCTGCTGCGGACGACCTGGTGCTACCAAGCTCCTGCGCAGCGCTGCCGCTCGTTTTGGCATCATCACAGCCAACTCTCACGCAGGACCGGGCTGTCCGTCGCCGCGTGGTACGACCAAGGAGGCGGCAAATTGCGAGAGCCATTATCAGGAGGCATCGTGAAACGTGGGACCGCCCGCCCGACAGCCACCGTGTTTTCCTCATCATCAATCGAGCAACCAGCCGGCCTTCGCTTGCATCCTTCCTGACGTCAACAAACAAAACCTACCGACACCGGCGATAATTTCTCGACGACGAAATGGCGGATACTCGCGACATGGCGGCGCCGTCGCCGCAGCCCGACCTCACAAGGAACAGGCTGCCGACGCTTTTCGAGGTGCTCAGCCGGCGCACGCTTCCGCCCGTCGACTTGTTTTCGTTTTACATCTACATGCGAGACCAGCAGCGGTCGGTGGACTACCTGGATTTCTGGTGAGTCGGCGCCGATGACAGTCCGATGTGGCCCTTTGCTGACCGTGCCTCAGGTTGGACGTAGCGCAACACATGTCGTTGTGTCGTCATTATGTGCGCGAACTTCGACGTTCTGTTCTCGTCGCTACGCCCGACATGGAGAAGAACGGCTCCAAGCGGTCGTCCATGATCCTCGAACAGATGGGCGACCTGGAGCCGCGCGCAGCCGGTCCGTCCATGTTCTCAACGGAAAAGGAGCGAAACCAGGATGCGCAGATGTCGGCGTTCCTGCGTGAGGACCAAAGCCACGACTCGCCCCAGAGCGGCTCCGGCCCCATGCGACCAAGCCCCAAATTCAGCAGTCCGCGCGACGTGACCGACTCGAACTCGCCCTCTCACACTGTAAATCGTCAGGATATCAGAGCGTCCGCGGAGAAGATCCTGTACACGTTCCTCCTCCCTGGAGCCGAGCGAGAGATCACGCTCCCGGGCTCCATCACGCATGACGTGACGACCGCGATTGAGGAGCAGGGCCGCGACGACCCAGAAGTTTTCGACGTCGCCAAAGACTACGTCTTCCAGGCCATGGAGCGCGACGCCTTCCCGGGCTTCCTGCGCATGAAGGCACTGGGCAACCTGATTCCGCCGACACTGGTCATGCGCTTGATAATCGGCTTGGTCTCCATGTTTGGTGCTTTCTGGGCGGCTTTCATTCTCATCTTCCTCGACAAGTCGCGCGCAACGAAGTGCTGGGTGAGTTTCCCTTTTCACTGTATGCTGAGCTGGCTCGCTGACATCTTCGCAGCTCATCCTGCCATTCTCCGTTGGCGTCTATTTCCTGGCGTCGTATCAGTATTCCTTGGATCCAATCATGGCGTTGGTCGGCCTCAGCGAGTACACGCCTTTCAACTTTTCGCGGGTCCGCGAGCCTTACGTCCGCCAGCTCCTGGCCAAGCGCGCCGTCATGGTTTTGGCCGTCACGGCTCTCATCGATGCGGCACTTTGCGTTCTCTTCATTCTCGTCCCGGGCAAGCGTCTCTGAGCCGTTGCCCGTCTTCGATTGCTATACCGGGCGTTGCACCGGCCTTCTCGCGAAGCCATCTCTGGAAGATGGCGCCGGGGTTCATACCCCATTTACGACCGTCATGAGCGTTTTCAAGTTTCCCCTGTGCACCGAATGCCAGGCTGCGGGCGTCTGGCTGTTCCCTCATTGAGCATATTTCCTTGCTATTGTTTCGCTTGCAGCATGATGCTGTGTAATTCGCATTCGACGGATATTTGCGCGTCTGTCACGGAGTAAAGGGCTGACCTTTTTTCACTTTCAAAAATCTCCTTGACACGCGATGGGCAAGCAAAGGAGGGTAGTGTAGTGACTATTACACCACGTGAATGGTCATGTTGTGTCTAATATTTCGTCTGCGTCGTGATCAGTCATGCTGTCTGGCCCCCAAAGATCTATTCATGAGCCTCATCGCCCCAGAGTCGCGCCACCCATACTAAATCTTCCGTTTACTAACCCGCTTCTTCTGCTCTTCTCCCGTGGGCTCGTCGAGCTCCATAGTTTCGTCACCCTCCAGGTTGCCTGTTTCAAGCATGGACCGCTTGTTCAACGCTCGTCTGGGCAGGCCGTCGCGGCCGTGCTGGTCACCCTTCTTCTCGACCTCGCCGAGGAGCCGTTGCATCTTGTCGTCTGTGGCACGCTTCTCCTTTGCGCGTGCAACGGCATTGGCGCGGATGGCATTGATTTGAGCATCGATGTCATCAAGTGTGGTGGTGCAACGGTCGGACCACGTGCTGAGGGCGGCAACCAGGCCAGGGATGGCACCAGGTTGCAGATCCCGCAGGGGAGCTATACTCGTCACCTCGACGGCCTGGCGGACAGGATCGAGCGTGGCGTGCAGGAGGCCATCGTACACGGCCTTGACAACAAGGTCCTCGAGCTCGCGAGCCGATGACAGGCCTAGGGCATCCTGTAGCGCATCGTAGGTAAGGTTTGACCGGTCGCGCGCCAAGGTCAGGAGGGACAGTTGGCGCAGCTTGCGGCTCTGGGCATCGTTGAGGGGTGGAAGTTTGGAGGACTCGGCGCGGTATGACTGATACGTGCCGTGGGAGAAAGTCTGGAGGAGGGCGAGGTGCGAGGCGTACTCGGGAGAGCTAGAGAGGGCTTGGACCTGGGGCGTCTGGAGGAGCTCGGCGAAGACGAAGGTGTTTGGGGCCGAGGTGGCGCGCGTGACGAGGTCGGCGGCGGCGCGGGGGGAGGTGGCCGACTTGGAGAGAGCGAGGAACGGCTACGAGCAGACACGGTTAGACACGCCACAGTGAGGCATTCACGATATCACCAGGGGAGCAGGGGACGTACCTCGAGGGCGTTGAGAGCCTTGGTCTGCTCCATGGCGGCGATGGCACGAGGTGGGGTGGTGGTGGCAGGCTGGGGAGCAGGCTGCAGCCTCGCCTTGGCCTGCTGGGCTGGCCGCGCGCAGGGACTCGACTCGTCTGCTGGCCCTGGCACGCGTGGGAAAACCGTAGAGCGGTGAAGACGTCGTATGGGCGATGAGACCGAGCCTTCGTCTGCTAGGCTGGGGGGCGAGCGGTAAGGACGGCCTGGCTTGGTGGTGGGTGATAGTCGATGTGTCAGGCGTGTTTGAGTGGTGGTGAAGCTGGCTCGGGCCTCTGGTGCGGGCAGTGGGAGCTGGGGGGGTTGGAGGTGGTCCAGGTGTTGCCTGCAAGCCCGCTGGACGGCCCGCGGGGCTACAGCACCTGGCTCGCCTGAGGGACGGGGTCCGACCTCGCCAAATTTCCATGCATTGGCGCTGTGGGGCAGCTGCCGTGGTGGAGAGGGGACGGGGCATCAGCGGGAAGGTTGGTACGTATCTGCTCACTTCCTCCCGCAGGCGCGACCGCCCGCCAGGCGCTGCAACTGCCAGCGCCTCGCCGTTGAAACGGGTCCCAGTAGCCGCCACCTGGGACGTTTACGGCGCGCTGACGATGTTTCGAGGGGCCGGCCAGTCGACGACGGCCGTCCGGCCTGCAACAGTGCTGAAACGGGGCAAGCCACGCGCGCCGTGCCTTACTTCAGCCTGTACCCGGAGTCTTTCGCGAAATGTCAGAGACTCATTTCCTACATGTCAAGTACGAGGCGCCTTGAGCATTGAAGCTTTACCAGGGGGGGGACCATCGCGACGACGGGCTGTAATGCATGTCGGGGTGATACGCGGGCCGGCTCTGTTGAAGGGCGGGCAACACGGAACACGGCAGCGCAGAGGCGCTTGCATGGTGACTGATATAGTCTCGGAAGTGACGCATTGTGCAATGGCCGCGGGCTTGCTGCACGAGTCAGCTTGCAGCGTGAGCTCTAAGCGGCCCTCGGACGAGGCACGGCGGCGGCGCGGATAAGACTTGGTACGACGTGGGTGCTGTAGCACGCGAGACATGCTTGGAACTACTGTTAGTCTCCCAGGTTGTGCACTCCGCACGGGTACGGCACGGATACGAATGTATGCGCAGCGGCACGGTAAGCTGATGGGGGTGCAAAGTATTGGTGGCCCTGTCAGTTGAGTTACTATTTCTGTTATTGTCTGACTGCTGAGCACACGCTGTCAAATGGACCCGAGGCTCACAGCCCTTTTCACCAACACAGACTATTACAGTAGTCGTGCCTACGAAGCTACGGGGTGCGGTGCAAAGTACGGACAAGGTCGTTGGTGAAACGGCCAAGGGGCTTGAGCGCGCCGAGCGGGCTTCCCCGTCCTTTGTCGATTAGGGTTCGCGGTGGGCGGTGGTGCCGCGCCGCTTGTCCTGGATGTGAAACGGAGGGCCGAGGGTCGCCAAGAGGTGCGACGAGATTGCAACAGTCGGCCCAAGAAGAAGGGCTTTTGTTTGGCCCCAGCCAAGCAAGGTGACTTTCGTGGTCAGCGGTACGTTGCATAGGCGCGGCCAGCAGGTTGCTGAGTGGCTGGCCGGATGGCTGCTATTGTCTCGAAGGATTGAGACTGCATGCAGTGAGAGTGACGGTGGCCTTTTGCTTGACCCCCGCCTAATACCTCGAGAGAAGGTGGCAAGAGGGGAGGGGAGGATGTCACTGGCCGGCACTTGGTTGGGGCGATTGACTTTGGGCCGATGGTCGATTGATCAGATTATCCATCAGTGGACGGGGTCGCACAGCTGTGCCATAGAACACCGGGACGTAAATATCGCGACGTCGAGGGAATGTTGGGACGACGCAGAGTCATCGCATCGCACCGACCACCCGGGCCTCGAGCGTGTGTGCCGAACGCAAGAGCCGTGCATCCGCTTACTCACTCTCAAATCTTCACCCATCGTCCTCCACCGCCATCACCACTGAAGGTGTCGTCGCCGGGTGTGTCTTTGGTCCAGACCCCACCTAGGGAGCCCTGCATCTCCCGCGGCTCGAGCCCTGTCGAGCGCTGTCCCTGCGCGCGCAGCCACCCGGCTCCGTCCATTCCGACCGGCAGGCCCGCCCGCAGGCGAAATGCTACAGTGCACCTGCCCTGTCCGGATCTCACACGGCTCTTCCAGGTTCCAGGTCGCTTCCAACAGTAGCCGGCGGGTGACCACCGCCCGCCCGCCCTAGAAAGTAGAGACCCTACCCAGGCCAGAGTCCCAGACCCCCCCGGCTGTCCCCATCCATCCGTCAATCCATCCATCCATCCCGATCCTATTCATCCCTCCACTGTTGCCCGCCGTTGCGTCCACCACAAAAGCCATCTTCTCCCACCTGAGGCCCTTGCTCTCTTCGTCCTCCCGATCCTCCCCTCCCCTCCCTCCCCTTCCTTCTGCTCCTCTCTTGCCTCTCGGCTTTGCTGCTGCTTAGCGCCGGCAGAAGAAGCAAGCCGTAATTAAACAAAACCCTGGGAGCCGGGCTTCTGGGCTGCTGTGGCAGGATCACGACATCTGATTATCAAGTTGCGTTCGGCCGCCGATCAACTCCGAGATGCCCATGCCGGCACAGCGCTAGCCTTCAGCCCCGACAACGACGACAGTGACAGAAAGACGGCCCGCGTCTCCTGCAGCGGACGGCACCGACTGCAGGCCGTTTCGTAACCACCGGCGAGCACGCCCGCGCCCGCGCGACGGCCAGTGGACAAAGAAATTTCCCAGATAAAGGGCCCAACGGCCGCCATGGCTCCCTCTCCCATCGCTGTCCCACCGAGGGACTCCGGCGCAACCGCTCTCCTTGCACCAAAGACATCGCACATGGCCACCACGACGTTGCGCGTGGGCGGCATGACGTGAGTGACACCAGCTCCGGTGCCTCCGAACATCGTTACTAATGCGCGCCCGTCCAGCTGCGGCGCCTGCACATCGGCCGTTGAAGCTGGCTTCAAGGGCGTCGATGGTGTCGGGAGTGTCTCCGTCAGCCTCGTCATGGAGCGCGCCGTCGTCATGCACGACCCCAAGATCATCTCCGCCGACGACATTTCCGAGATCATCGAGGACCGCGGCTTCGACGCCGAAGTCCTGTCCACCGACCTGCCGAGCCCGGCTGCGAGCCGCTTCGGCGACGATGACCACGAGCCGACGCCCGGCTTTGCGACCACGACGGTGGCCATCGAGGGCATGACCTGCGGCGCGTGCACCTCTGCCGTCGAGGGCGGCTTCAAGGACGTGCCCGGTGTCGAGCACTTCAGCATCTCCCTGCTCGCCGAACGCGCCGTCATCAAGCACGACCCGACGCTGGTCACGCCTGCCCAGATTGCCGAAATCATCGAGGACAGGGGCTTCGGCGCCGAGATTGTCGACACGGAGCAGGCAAAACCCGACGCCAAGGCCGCCAAGGGAGGCGATGCGTCGAGCGACGTTGCGACGACGACGGTCGCCATTGAAGGCATGACGTGCGGCGCATGCACCTCGGCCGTTGAGGGTGGATTCAAGGGCGTCGGCGGCGTCCTCAAGTTCAACATAAGCCTGCTGGCCGAGCGGGCCGTCATAACGCACGACGTCACCAAACTTTCTCCAGAAAAGATTGCGGAAATCATCGACGACAGGGGCTTCGACGCCACAATCCTCTCCACTCAGTTCGACACGGGCGACCACAGCCCCTCTTCCTCCGCTGCCCAGTTCCGAATTTACGGCAGCCCCGATGCAGCCACGGCAAAGGCCCTCGAGGAGAAGCTGCGTGCCCTTCCCGGTGTCAACTCCGCGACCCTTAGCCTAGCAACGGAGCGCCTCACGGTGAACCATCAGCCCGCCGTCATCGGGCTGCGTGGCATCGTCGAGGCCATCGAGGCAGAAGGTCTCAACGCGCTGGTCGCGGACAGCCAAGACAACAATGCGCAGCTCGAGTCGCTCGCAAAGACGCGGGAGATCGGCGAATGGCGCACGGCGTTTAGGACTTCGCTCGCCTTTGCCATTCCCGTCTTCATTATCGGCATGGTGTTGCCCATGGGCATCCCCTCGTTGGACTTTGGCAAGCTGGAGCTCATCCCCGGCCTCTTCCTCGGCGACGTGACATGTTTGGTCCTTACGATACCCGTGCAGTTCGGCATTGGCAAGCGTTTTTACATTTCTGCGTACAAGTCGGTCAAACACGGTGCGCCCACCATGGACGTTCTCGTCATCTTGGGCACGTCGTGCGCCTTCTTCTTTAGCGTCTTTGCGATGACGGTCTCGCTGCTCGTGCCTCCGCACACGAGGCCAAGCACCATCTTTGACACGAGCACCATGCTCATCACCTTCATCACCTTTGGGCGGTACTTGGAGAACCGTGCCAAGGGCCAGACATCCAAGGCGCTGTCGCGTCTCATGTCGCTCGCCCCATCCATGGCGACCATCTATGCGGACCCCATTGCCGCTGAGAAGGCCGCCGAGGCCTGGGCTAAGTCCCCCGAGAGCCACCAGCGGACACCCAGGACGCCTCTTCCCACCGAGCCCGCGGGATCTGCCTACGAGGAGCGGGTTGTCCCGACGGAGCTTCTCCAGGTCGGCGACATCGTCATCATCCGGCCCGGCGACAAGATTCCCGCCGATGGTGTCATGGTCCGTGGAGAGACGTACGTCGACGAGAGCATGGTCACAGGAGAAGCAATGCCCGTGCAGAAGCGTCTGGGTGACAATGTCATTGGTGGGACCGTCAATGGCAACGGTCGGGTCGACTTCCGCGTCACGCGTGCCGGCAGGGACACCCAGCTCAGTCAGATCGTCAAACTTGTCCAGGAGGCGCAGACGACGAGGGCGCCCATTCAGCAACTGGCCGACACGCTGGCCGGCTACTTTGTCCCTACAATCCTGATCCTGGGTCTCATCACGTTCCTGTCTTGGATGGTGTTGAGCCACGTGCTGCCGAACCCGCCACAGATCTTCCTTCAGGACGCTAGCGGCGGCAAGATCATGGTGTGCGTGAAGCTTTGCATCTCGGTCATCGTGTTTGCGTGCCCCTGCGCTCTCGGCCTCGCGACCCCTACGGCCGTGATGGTGGGGACCGGCATCGGTGCCGAGAACGGCATTCTGATCAAGGGAGGTGGTGCTCTGGAGAGAACCACCAAGGTTACCAAAGTCGTTCTTGACAAGACGGGAACCATTACCCACGGCAAGATGAGCGTCGCCAAGATGACGGCGGTGCCTCTATGGAAAGACAATGATTGGCGGCGCCGTCTCTGGTGGAGCATCGTCGGCCTGGCCGAGATGGGCAGCGAACACCCCGTGGGCAAGGCCGTCCTGGGTGCTGCCAAGGACGAGCTGGGCATCGAGGCTGAGGGAGCCATCGCGGGAAGCGTAGGCGAGTTCAAAGTCATGGTTGGCAAGGGAGTCAAGGCCCTCGTGGAGCCGCACTCTTCGGCCGAGCGAGTCCGGTATCGAGTCCTGGCCGGCAACGTCCGTCATCTTCAGGAGAACGGTGTTGAGATACCCGAGAATGCCATTGAGGCGTCCGAGGAGCTCAACGCTGCTGCCAAGAAGCACCTGGCCAAGTCATCGACTGCGGGGACGACCAACATCTTTGTGGCCATCGACGGCAAGTACGCGGGACACCTGTGCCTCTCAGACGTCATCAAGGACGGGGCAGCTGGGGCCATCGCTGTGCTGCACCGCATGGGAGTCAAGACGGCCATTGTGACTGGCGACCAGCGCTCGACAGCGCTCGCCGTGGCTGCGGCCGTGGGCATCTCTTCAGACGACGTCTTCGCCGGCGTCAGCCCGGACCAGAAGCAGGCCATCATCAAGCAGATGCAGTCTCAGGGCGAGATCGTGGCCATGGTGGGCGACGGCATCAACGACTCGCCCGCGCTCGCGACGGCAGACGTGGGCATCGCCATGTCCAGCGGTACGGACGTTGCCATGGAGGCCGCCGACGTGGTGCTGATGCGGCCCACGGACCTGATGGGGATCCCCGCGGCGCTGCACCTGACGCGGACCATCTTCCGGCGCATCAAGATGAACCTGGCGTGGGCGTGCCTGTACAATCTCGTCGGGTTGCCCGTGGCCATGGGTTTCTTCTTGCCGCTGGGATTCCACATGCACCCGATGATGGCCGGGTTCGCCATGGCCTGCAGCAGCGTGAGCGTCGTGGTAAGCAGCCTGTTGCTGAAGCTCTGGCGGAGGCCGCGGTGGATGGAGGAGGCCGAGGCGGAGCAAAAGGGGACGCGCCTGCGGTGGGCGACGGGCAGCGGCATCGTCGGCTGGGCGAGGGAGATGTTGTCCATGAGGAAGAGACGAAAGGGCGAGGAGGGGTACGTGCCGCTGCAGAACCTGGAGTCGTAGCTGCGGGGGACGTAGTGGCAGCGGCGGTGGTGACGACGAGTGTCTGTTGTCTCCTCGCCGTGACTTTGATATCCACAAGAGACGACGATATTAGTGGCCATGTATCGACCGCTGCGAGCGAGAGCCCGCTGTCGTTTGTCTGAAAGCATAGCGAATCTTTTCCCATATCAACCAGCAATATCCATCCATTTCAAACCAATTTACCTGCTCAGATCGATGTGCTGTTTTGCTCACGCTCCGTCCCATCCCACTGCCGGCGAACACCGTCTGCGCCGGCCTGCTGTCACCTGCTGGACGAGCTCCCACGCAAAGAAGGACATCTCGTCTTCCCGAGAATCAGGTAAAAAAGCTGCTGGCAGGACAACGCGCCCCTCACAGGATATCTACGTCGGCATACTCTCGGTCGCCTACACTCACGCGCCACCTTCTCTCCTCCAACCTGGCCTGCCTCATCGTCTTGCTTATCTACCTTTATCTACTTACCCAGTAACCCGTGCCCTGCCCAGCAAGAGGCTTCTCTAATACGTGTACATACGTATGTACGAAGAGAGAGAAAAGGGCACCCCGGGGGCCGCCGCGGGGGG